CTAAACATCCTGAAACCCACCCTGTATCGGCTTTACCTTTTAAAATCTTTGTTGTCCGTTCATGGTACCATTCAACCCTTTTCTATAATTTTTTCATCTTTTTCATTCACATATTCCTTATCTGCCTTCTTCACTAACGCACTAGCCACACGTGCTAACTCATCGTCAACATACTCTTTGTCAGCTTTGTTGTCAATATCTGCTTTCAAAAGAAGTTCATCTATAGGTTTCTCGTTTAAAGTTCTTTTTGTTGGATTATACAAACAGTATGGTTCTTACTGTCTTGAATAGAAACTCGTCTGTCATTGGGTTTAATGTCAGTTTTAAGTTTCCTTCTTTCAATGACTCAGATATCTTAGAATAGTTTGAAAAGTTTGTTGTGTTCTTATTAGAGCTTGCATAATGAGTTGTCGGTTGTGTTGTATTTCTCTCATAGACGCTGTTTCATTTGACATTTTATTATAGATAAAATATGCTTCCAATAGAAAAAGAAAATTCAAGAGTTGCTACAACTAAACCATTAGATGAACTTTTTACTAATGTCGGTCAAAAGTTTGAGACAGAGACCGTAAAGCATGAAGGCTATCGTTTTGACTACCCATTAAGATGGCTAAGAGACCCATCTGTCACAAAAGCTATTGGCTTTCGTAGAATGAAGTTTGTGTCTGTAGAAGATAAAAGTTTTCCATTTATTGTAAGGTTTCATTAGATTATATATCTGAAGGGAAACGAAAAATGTGGGAAGAAATTGAGCTAATACAAGTTGACCTTTCATCTTCTCTACAGACTGCGTTAAAAATATAGAAGATAAAATAAATTCATGTTATGCAAAATATGCTGATGAATATGCAAATACCGAGAGCACACTTTATGTGAGAATTGTATATGACAAACAAAATTCACAAGTGTCATTTCAAATCTACGAAGACAATCCAAAGAAAGACGAACAAATATATACAGAATTCACTGCAATGTCATGGTATTATTTGCAAAGAATGTTAAATCAGAAAGTCAAACTTCCTTTAGCAAATATTTACAGTCGATATGCAAGAGATGAACCATATTTATTTAAAGATGTTTTCGACCCAGCTGCTATTATTGTTCATGCTTCATTTTCTGGCGCTCAAAACTCTTTCTTATGCTTGGCAATGACTTTTACGAAAAACCTACAAAGTTATATGAACCGCCGAGTGGAAGTATTTCAGACTTTCAAGTATGGTTTACTACAGATGGAAGAAAAAGAATAATTCCATTATACCATGCGTTTTACTTAGAACTTAGTTTCATATACAACTACTATCGAACGGTAAAAAATATAATTTTTTAATACGGTTGAGGTGTTGGATTTGGTTTGCCAACTAGACTGTGGTGCAGGTTCAGGCTGTTGTATAACAGGAGCTTGTTCTTCTGGTTCAGGGTCTTTAGGTATAATACCAACGAACTGACCTACTCTTTTACCAATATTTTTGACACCGTTCCAAATTCCTCTTCCTACGGTTTTTATTCCATTCCATATACCTCTTCCAACATTTCGAAAGAAGTTTCCTATCTTACTGAAGAAACCCATTTTACTATATGTAAAAATCTAATGTCCGCCTAGTCTCTTACGTTTCCTGTTGAGTTCCATAGCATTCTTTAACTGGAGCTCATACATTCTGTTTCTCCTCTGGTAGAAAACATATTCTGGGTCAACTCCTGTGTTCGCGTCATCTGCATAAAGTTGTTTATATCCCACTTCAGGGTTTGTATAAAACTCTTTCCATCTCATATTTGCATACCATGGTGGCAAACCTAACGCAGCGTCATTTGACATGGCAGTTTGCATTTGTACATCTGTTGGCACTTGACCATAGTTTGCCATTGCAGTTTGTATTCTAACTTCATTTGGAATATTCTCTGGGTTTGGTTGTCCAGGTTGCTGTGCATTCGCTAAGTTCTGTGCGTCCATTTAATATTAGATAAAAATATCTCTTACGAGTACATATACTGAACATTTGCAGGCATTGGTTCATCTTCATATTCTCTGTACTTTTCTGCCACGTCAAAGAAATAAATGACACAATGGAAAAAACCTAAAACAAGTAGTCCTATTTCAAACCACATTTACTTACTAATAAAATTTCTTTATTGTGACACTTTCTCCAGTTTATAGGACCTCTCTCATATTCTATCTTGTCATATATAAACTCATAGTCATGTATGTCCTCTAACCATCTCATGACACTTTCCAAACCACTTTTATCGGATGTAAAGTAAAAGCATGGATGGTTATGTAAAACGTCTAAAGTTTCTAAAGAGTCTCTCAAAGTCCAGTCTACTTGGTATTGAAAATCCCATGTGTTATAGAACGGCGGGTCCACTATAAAGAAAACATTTTCCTTGTCTTTATATTTTTCATACAACTCTGTCCAATGACATCTCACAAACTCTATACCCTCAATATATTTTTCTATGTTCTCTTTGAAAACATTTGTATAGTTAAGATATAAAACTTTTGACATAAGTGTTTCAATGTCATGAACTCTTATAGCACCACTATATAATAGTCTAGCAGATATACTATCCCAGTCAATATACTCTGCCTTTTTCAAAACCTCTCTGACAGTATTTTTCTTATCTAATGGTATACGTTCCATCTTACCTATAGGTATCTTTTCTTTTAACTCTTTCAATATTTTGTTTGTGTCTGGTATATGTTTGAGACGGTTCATATAGTTGTCGAAGTCATTGCATATAATCTTTGAGTCAGGAAATATTGTATGGCACAAATGAGATATATAGAAACTTCCACCGAACAAGTCTACAAATGTTAGACCATTCGGTAGTTTCTTAAGTTCTCTCAATAGAATATCTTTACATCTACTCTTATTTCCAAAGAAGGGTAACGGTGGTTTTGTAAAATTCATTTTATATATATAATAAAAATGTTTTTTCCTGAAAAGTGACAGAAAAGTGACAAAACATGAAAACATATATAATTTGTGAAAAGCGACACATTATATAATGTTTTCGACCCAGAAGAAGGCTTCTTCCCAGAAGCAATGGAGGAAGAAGAAGAGTCCTCCGAATAAAAACTTCATTTATACTAAACATCAACATCAGGGCTAGAAGGCACGAAGTGCCTGGAAGCCCCACTACCTTTTTTTTTTTTTTTTTTTTTTTTTTTTTTTTATTCTTTTAGCTACTTGTAAAATAATCTAATTTTATAGTAGTATATGTTGAAGGGTTTTGTGACTTTTTTTGTAAACGTAAGAATTCATACATTTTTGAGCGATTTTGTATCATTTTTTTTTACATATGAAGTAAAAAATGTATGATTTTTACGGTTTTTATTCTTACGTTTTTGAATAAATCAAGATTTAAAAATTTTCAGAATCGTAAGAAATTTTCACTAAACCCATACATAATGAAATAAAAAAAATAAAAAAAATAAAAAAATAAACTTTAAAAATTCATGTCTTACATTTTTTGAATAATTTATTTTTTTAATTCGTATGAAAATGAGTGTCAAGACTAACGACGTTAAAAAATTGGGATTCACAAACGAGGAAATAAAGGATATATTAGAGGAGGCGAGTTATGAAGTTAATAAATATTATTTAAGAAATTGTCAAAAATTCGCGGAGTTATTAAATGATTTAGATTATGATGGAAAAATGAATAAAGATGATGTTATAAATTTCTTATTTCCCACAAATTAATTTTTACTTTTCATTCTCTCCATATACGTTTCATAATAAAATAGTTGATGCGGTAATGAGAACTCTTAGAGATGCGTTAGGGGTTAACGGTCAGATATACTGGGATGGAAATCATGACTCCATCATACAACAGTTAGTATATTATTACAATAATACATGGCATAGAACAATAAACATGAAACCGGTGGAAATGAAAAATGATATTTCAAAAGAATGGGAATATATTAGAAAGCAAATGGAAAGGTTGAATGATGTTAAACGTGAACAAATTAATTCGGGGCTCATGAATTTTAAACAAGGGGATAAAGTTTTGATTCATCTCGATTATGGAAAAACTGATAAATCAATGACAAAAAGAAGACGAAGATTTGACACAATAGCTGAATTTGTGAGATATATTAACGGCAATGCATTAGTTGAAGTTGACAATAAATTAATAGAAATTCCGATTTATTTTATTACTCCATTATATTTAAATAATATTTAATTTTTTTATTTCGTAAGAAATGAGTAACAACGAAGCAGTCAAGAGTCCAGACGATGAATATAAAAAGAAACTAAACAGAATTAAATCAAAAATATGTTATTACAAAAAGAAGCCACAATGCGGTGGGGTTGAAAACGATAAAGAGAGGAAAGAAATAATCGAAAAATTAGAAACTTATCGTTCAATCCTTAAACTGAGTGAAGCAAAAATAAAAGAATTTAATAGAATAAATAAATTGGTTGGAAGAGATGAATTTAATAAAGATGAATTTTTAAACTCAATCCAAATTTAATTTTTATTCCTCTTTGACAACATCTCTCTTTCCATCATTACCGCATAACCACATTTTCTCAATTTTAGTGGTTTGTTATTTTTAACATGTTCTTGCATCATTTTTATCATTTCCTCCCTTGTTATGATTCGTGGTAAATTTTGAGCTTGTGGGGTATTCATTTATGATAAAAATAAAAATTTGTTATCACTTATTTTATCGTGAATGTTTTTAGGTTATTCAATAATTAATTATTTTTGAATAACTGAAGGTGCTACCATGTTACCATGTGCTACCAGGTCATTTAACTTCTTTTAAAAAATGAGACAACATGACATTTAGACAACACAGCAGGGGAAGGCAGTTATGAATTATTTTTGAAGAACTGAAGGTGCTACCATGTTACCATGTGCTACCAGGTCATTTAACTTCTTTTAAAAAATGAGACAACATGACATTTAGACAACAACATAGAAAATATGATGCAGTCCAAAAATAAAGTTAGTTTTAAAATTATTTTTATTTTTTTATTCCTATATAAATGACAGCAACAAACAACAACAGCAACTATATCATTTCTGATGAAAAAGTTATTGATTCATTAGTTGAGGAATTAGTTGTGGCAGAAACTAAAACCCTCAACGAAAGAATTGGTGAAAACAAGATTGATTTACATAACTACCTCAAACATGATGGAGGAAGAGGAAGGAAAACTGGTATGGCTTTATTAGTAAATAAAATTTCAAATTTAACGATTATAGATGTTGATATCAATAAATCGTACAATGATGAACTTAAAGAAACAGTTAGAAAAGACATTTTATCAAAACTTTCGGATAAAGATGTTATCGTTAAAACCGCTTCAGGAGGTCTTCACATTTATTGCAACACTAATTTCTTCTATTCAACCTCGAACAGAATGATTAAATGTTATTCCTGCAATGATTATGATATTGACATAATGACTTCTATTGATGATTCAAAACGTTCTTTAGTAGTTATGGCTGATTCAAGAGTTCGCAAGAATGCAACAGAACCAATCAATACATACTCATTCATTCGTGGAAGTTACGATTCAACATTAACCAGAACAGTGAATGATATATTAAATGATTTGAATATTAAGGTAAGAGTTGAACAGAAGAATGAAGAAATAAAGAGTATAATGAATGAAAACAAAGATGTAAACATTGACGATAAACTTGCGCAGAGCATAGTTGATGGCATCTGTGATTTTGAAGTACATAATGACGGTGGAAACATGAATTTAGAAAAAGAAGTTACATTATTCACACTGTTTCAAGCAATTAATTCGTTACCTAATCATTTAATTAATGAAGCATACGATAACGTTTATAACTTCTGCAGTTTAACAGAAAATGCAAAAAGTAATTTTGAAAAAGCACGTGGTAGATATGCACATTTAATGACTTCTCCATTTGTTTTAGTGAAGATTCTAAAACTTTATCAAAAGGAATATTATGATGAATATGTTTTACCTTTATTACGTAAGCCAAAAATAACGTTTGATATCAAACTTGATGACTCGTTTTTGATAACAGATATTAGACGCAAGGCTGAAAATCATCAGTATAAAAACAGTTCTGAAGTAATTGAGGATTTATCACGTGTAATCCGTTTTGTAGATTGTGGAAACAAATATTTCATTCAAAAGGACTATAATATCCACGACAAAATGAATCAAATATCATTCGTTCTTCAATCAAACATGAAAGAGTCACTCAAAATGATTAAATTATTTAAAGAAGAAGGTAAAACCATAACAGCATGGGACGTACTATTAAATCAATTATCCTCATTAACCGTTAAGGGTGTTTGCTTTAAATCTGATTCCCCAGATGTTTTCTCAACGTTTCAGGGTTATAAATACAACATTCTCGAAAAACCAGATTACTCAAAAATTGAGATGTTTATGAATTTCATTAAAGAAGCCATTTGTGATAATAACGATGAAGTGTATAAATACCTTCTCGGCTGGATTGCATCAATGATTCAACATCCTGGAATCAAGAATGAAACAGCAATTATTTTGAAAGGACTTCAGGGAACAGGTAAAAACAGATTTACAGACATTATTTCTGAACTCCTCGCTGGTTATTCATGTAAAAACATTACTGAAATAAGTGAGCTAACGGGTAATTTCAATTCGGTTGTTGAAAATAAAATGTTTCTTGTACTTAATGAACTCAAGAATGTTGGTGAAGACAGACTCGCAAACTTCAACGCTTTGAAATCAATTATTACGGATAATCAAATTAGAATTAATGAAAAGAATCAACCCAGAAGAACTGCACAGAATGTTGCAAACTTCATTTTCGTAACTAATAACGTCTACCCTGTCAAAATTGAAGTTGGAGATAGAAGATACGTAGTTTTAAGAGTTAATGGTAAATTCAAGGGTCAATTTGATTACTTCAAGAATTTAATGGATTCATGCACAAAGGAATTTTATGATAACCTTTTAACATATTTTATCAATTACGACCTTTCATCATTTAATGTACGAATCATTCCGATGACTGAAGCCAAACAAGATTTAATTGAATTATCAACAAATCCTTTAGATGTATGGATAAATACACATTATGATGAATTGTGTGCAGGTATGACGTGTGAAAATGCTCTATTCTGCAAACCATCAGACATGAAAGACAAGAATTTCCAAATGAGTATTAAGGATAAATGTGATAGGAAACATAGAAGAATAGACGGTAAACAAACATGGTGTTATGTTTTGAAAGAAGAAATGAAAGGATTATATAAACAGGTTGAACCAAACGATAATGAGGATTCATTTACTGACGATGAAATACCTGTAAATGAAGCTTTATAAAGTATGATTGGAATTTATTTTTGCCTTCCTCCTATGTTGTTGTCAAAATGTCATGTTGTCACACTTTTTCAGAGAAGTTAAATGACCTGGTAGCACATGGTAACATGGTAGCACCTTCAGTTCTTCAAAAATAAGTCATTATTGCCTTCCTCCTATGTTGTTGACATAATGTCATGTCGTCAACATGGTAACATGGTAGCACCTTCAGTTCTTCAAAAATAATTCATAACTACCTTCCTCCTATGTTGTTGTCAAAATGTCATGTTGTCACACTTTTTCAGAGAAGTTAAATGACCTGGTAGCACATGGTAACATGGTAGCACCTTCAGTTCTTCAAAAATAAGTCATTATTGAATAACCTGTAAACATTAACGTAAACATTTATTTCTGCAGTTCATTCATTACTTCATTACCTAATTAATTACAAACATAAAATATATTTAGTTCATTCAATGAACGTGGTAAGCCTGCAAAGTAGGCTCAAGCACATTCAATAAATGCGGTACCATGCGAATACAGTCATAAATGGTGGCATGTAATCTTTACTTTGTCCCGTTGTTTGTGTATATCCTGAAACGCGATGTGTATGGTTTCCTTCTCCCTGAGTGTCACTCCAGTAACAATTTATGGCAAATTTAACATCATCTTTAACATCATATCCTTTACCTTTTGTCATTCCTGACCAATCCCAATATCTATGCTTATGCCAACCTGCTTGAGATGTGCTTAAATCTATGTAGTGACTGTGTGCAGGTAAATTTTCACCCGTAATTGTTTTACTTCCCCCTGTTTCCTTTGAAGAGTTTGCACAATACAAAAACCTGCCGCCATCTCTGATTTAATATTAATTAAAAAATATATTTCATCACTTATATTCTAATTTTTTATTTAATGATAAATGAAACCGATTTTAAAAATAAATGAAACAGAGGAGGAAGAAATAAATGAAAGTGAAAATGTTCAACAAAAAATAAACGTTGTTAAACCAATTACTGAAATAAAAATTTTTTCATCTGTTGATGAATTTAATGACTATTATGCTAATAATAAAAAATTATTTGAAGAATTGACAACATGTAAATTGAATAAAATGTTTAAAGTTGAGGACAGAGTCCAAGACCCGGAGGGTCATGGATTCAAAATTTCAAAAATAAAAGGAGTGGTTAGTTTGAAATCTATTCCCCAATCAAGAATCACCTCATTAATGAAAATAGATGATTTAACAAAAAGAATAGAAATTATTGAAGAGCGAATAAATCAAATAATTGATTTCATAAATCATGACTCGTTGAGCCCGGGTCCTTAAAGCTCAAGGCACAAAGTGCCCAGGACTTAAAGTCCATCACTGAGTTCAAGGTTATATTCATCAAATATTTCATTATTAAATGCAACTTCTGCTAGTTTATTTATTTTTTCAATACGATCATTTGAAAGTCTATCGTTTAATTTTTTCTGAAGTTTTTCATTTTCTAGTTCTGAAACTTTATTTGGATGATATTTAAACCCGTTAAATTCTTTTTCCTCAGTTTTGATCATTAATTTACAAAGAACTTTTGTGGTTGGAATTCGTTTAAACCATTTATCATTAATATTTGTTATAAATTCAATATCTGGAATTAATTCCCAAATTTTTGCATTTTCAATTAATTTATTATCAAATGCAAAAGCAATAGGTTTAATATTAAACTTACCTTTATAATATATACTTTCTACATAATCATCGAAATAAACATCTACTTGTTTAACATTTTCAAGAATTGGTGAAAGAACATCCATTAATTGATTGACGGTTACGAATCTTGATCCACTCATTTTCATACGAATTAAAAAAATAAATTATTCAAAAAATGTAAGACATGAATTTTTAAAGTTTATTTTTTTATTTTTTTTATTTTTTTTTATTTCATTATGTATGGGTTTAGTGAAAATTTCTTACGATTCTGAAAATTTTTAAATCTTGATTTATTCAAAAACGTAAGAATAAAAACCGTAAAAATCATACATTTTTTACTTCATATGTAAAAAAAAATGATACAAAATCGCTCAAAAATGTATGAATTCTTACGTTTACAAAAAAAGTCACAAAACCCTTCAACATATACTACTTTTTATATCATCATTTTACTGGATTATTCTTCAGTGCATCGATTGTGTATCTAAAATAATATCATTATCCTTATTCTGTTTTTTCCAAAATTCTTTTAAATATCTTTTTTGGTTAGATTACTTTATACTTTTTACTTTTATTTTTTAATTTCAAAAAAAAATTTGGTGATTGTTCTATTCTGTTACAATGTGCATTATCATATTCTAATGAATTATTCATTACATACATTTAAAAAAACTTGTTAAAAATGAAATTAAAAAATTATGTTATTATTACGCTGTGAATGTGTCAACAGCGGTCATGCCTGTATCTGTATCCCATATTTGCCACAACCTTTCTGTATCTGCATTTGTGTATTTCGGTTTCAGCTGATACATTTGATTTGGCGTGTAATTTGTTCCAGTTAATGGATTAATTGGGAGATCTTCATGCGGTGTGTTATTATTGTACTCCCAAATAAAGGCAGGAATAGCCTGAATGCTTTGGCAGCGCTCCAATGTCGGCCAGAATCTCTCAATCTTCCCATTTTGGTAGGGAGAATGAGAGTCTGTATGCCGCCATTGGACGCCCCAAAGATCAAGTAGATCTTGAAAGGCGCCCCTATTTTCTGAACCGTTGTCGGTCCAGAAACAATAAGGGGCGCCAAATTCAATGAAGGCGGAAGCCGCAACGTTCGCTGTCGTCGCTGCCAGCATATCTGGTATTTGTATACACGCTAGGACTTTGCGGCTAAAATCGTCGATTATGCCATAAATATACTGGCCCGAACACCCTAAAATAATGAACATCTGCGTGCCAGATAAGATTGGGTGAAAGCGCCCAATATCTTACTGCTGTTTCTGGCCCGGCATGCTCTAATCGCGTCTTGGTGAAATGATTTTCTTTGAAGTATCTGCGTACTTCTCTATAAGATACATCAATTTGTTGTAATTTCAAGCGTTTCCATTGTTTTGTTTGACCACAGGGAAAGGCCCAGTGGTCATGTATCACAGCAAGAGCTTTGATTTGGTCGTAGGGATTGACCCTACGACCTTTCTTGCCTTTAGGCAATGGGATATTCTGTAAGCTAAATTGATTTTGTAAAAAAGATTTTGAAACATCTAAATATTTGAAATCATTTGATTGAAGGGTTGGGGTGATGGGAACATGGGTGCAAGCTTCTTCCCATGTCATTTTACCTTCTTCAATCTGATTGGAAATACCAATTAGGTAAATTCGATCGACATACCCTTTGTAAGGATTCATTCTAATGAAGTACGTTAACAATCAAAATATTCTATAAGTGTCTAGTATGGAATTCAAAAGAATAAAGAAAATGGTAACGTAAATAAACGTATTATGAAATAATTTATAATTAAAATGAAAAAAAGAAAAAATAATAAGTAAAGTGACTGGAAATGAAAATTAAAATCAGTGAACAGTTTTATTTTTTTCTCGCTGTGAAACGTATTCGGTCATTTTTTAAAAATTAATTTTTTGTTAGAGATAAGAGCTAAAACTCGGTAAACAACTTCTTTCTGTCTAGAAAATTCTATCTTGCCTTTTATTTTTTTCTCGCTGTGAAACGTATTCGGTCATTTTTTTAAAAATTAATTTTTTGTTAGAGATAAGAGCTAAAACTCGGTAAACAACTTCTTTATGTCTAGAAAATTCTATCTTGCCTTTTATTTTTTTCTCGCTGTGAAACGTATTCGGTCATTTTTTTAAAAATTAATTTTTTGTTAGAGATAAGAGCTAAAACTCGGTAAACAACTTCTTTATGTCTAGAAAATTCTATCTTGCCTTTTATTTTTTTCTCGCTGTGAAACGTATTCGGTCATTTTTTTAAAAATTAATTTTTTGTTAGAGATAAGAGCTAAAACTCGGTAAACAACTTCTTTATGTCTAGAAAATTCTATCTTGCCTTTTATTTTTTTCTCGCTGTGAAACGTATTCGGTCATTTTTTTAAAAATTAATTTTTTGTTAGAGATAAGAGCTAAAACTTTGCAGACAACTCCCCCATGTCTAGCAAATTTAACATTCGTCTCCCATTTTTATATATTTGGTTTAGAATGTTCGAAAATGCGTAATATGGTCATTAATATTAATTGAAAAGAACCTTGAATTAATTCAATCTGATCTCACAAAATATTTTAAATTACAAACTTTGTAGTTTGAATAGATAATTAGTATTAAACTCAAATAACTAGTTTATTTTTGAATAAAAATTATTTGAATTTATTCAATTTTGTGAATTTTCCTTCAAAAATCAAGTTTAAATATCTTATTTGCCATATAATTATAAATACAATGAAACATATTCGAAATTGAAAAGAATGACTTTTTCTGTTCTTTCAATCATTCAATTTGAATTTTGCAATATTGGATTTCTCATTAAATAGCTATTAAAAACAACAAGCAATTTAACTTACATTCAAATTTATTTGTGTTATATTCAATCTTCTCAAAACTTATAATTTTCGGCTATAGCATGATTATATGCTATATAATATAATAAACCTATAATAGTATCATTCTTTCAATTATTTGAAGAGAAAACCGAAAAAATCTATTTTCGGTCTATAACAGGGAAAGAAATAAATCCTGATAATTTCACCTGAAATAGAAATGATTATTTAATGAGAAATCATTATCCATGTGAAATATTGATTGACTCTTTAGAATAAAATTTATCGTAAGATTTTGTAAAATTGAGAGTAAAATAATCGCATTTCTATATAGGTGCTTTTTGTGTGTACAAAAAAACAATTTTAGATGACAAACCTGAAACCATACACCGGAGCGTTACTCCCGTTTGCTGTCAAGATTCAGGTTGCCGAGTGCCAACCACCACGCCGTCTTTGGCATATTCTCGACGTTCCTCCAGGCATTTGCTGTTTTTGTGGTACAAAGATTGATGCAGGTGATAAAAAGATTGAAGTAAGTGGTCACTTCTGGCACCCCGAATGTTTTAACTGCAGTTTATGCGGTCAGAGAATGGATCCAAGCGGAGTTGTCCCACGTGAAGATTTAATTTTCCATAAAGAATGCTACAAAGAGTGCTATAGCGAGAGGTGCTGCAAGTGCACTAAGTTGATCGACTCCGGTGAATATTTCGGCGCTTTCGGAAGAGCTTACCATAAAAACTGTTATTTCTGTGAGAAATGCAATGCTAGACAGACACAATCCAGTAGAGTTTATAACTTCTACAACATCCCATACTGCGCTGCATGCTTCGAAGATCTCATGAAACTCTTCCCAACATGCGTTACATGCAGAAAACCAGTTCTCCCAACAGAAAAGTCCAAATCCTTCTTCTGGGAAGGTAAAAAGTACTTCTACCATGTTCCTGATTGCGAGAAATGCCAGAAATGCTCTAAAACACCAGACAACGGCGGAGATGTTAACAAACAAGTTTACTGCGTCGTAAACAATACATTGTATTGCATCCCTTGCTACAAAGAAGCTTTGCAGAAGGTCTGCGCTTCATGCAACCAGCCTATTTTCGATCAAGCCAGTAAAATGGAAAACATTAGCTGGCACGGAGAACACTTTAAGTGCTCAATTTGCAACTGCTCCCTCAAACCAAACACATGCGTCTTCAATTTCGGTATTCTCAAATGCAAATCTTGCGCTACTGAAGATAGGCCAGTTTGCGCTGGCTGTGGTAAGCCAATTCAAGACGAGCCAATTACAGCGTGCAGAACTATCTGGCACCCGCAATGTTTGCGTTGCCAATTCTGCGATCATTCTGTTCTCGGTAAGAAATTTACAAATGTAAGCGGTTTCCCTTGCTGCCGCAACTGCTACGAAGAGAAGATGCAGGATGGAACAATCGATAGGAAGACAGGACAGCTCAAGAAGAGAAAACACCACTCAAAGAAGAGCTCTGGTTCTGGAAAGTCCCACAGACATTAAGGGTGCACCCGCATGTACGTTTATTTGAGAGGAGGAGGATTACCCTCTCAATTTTGAACGCTTCGTTAGCGCAATATCTCGATGAATATTGTATTAAAATTGAATTTGCCCATACCAATATATCTGATACAATATCCTTAAGTTTTACTAAAAAGAATTTTTTAAAATCCCTGCAGATTCGGGGATTTTTAATTTTTTTGATTTTTTTCGAAAATTTTTCGGAAAAAAAAATATTTTCAGAAGAGCCTTAACGGCTAAGTTTTATGTTTAATGTTGAGTATCAAAAAGAATGGGCATCTGATATAGCCATCATATATCCCAGAAGCAAATAAAAATTCTGACTTTTTAAGCATAAAAAAATGAAATTTTATTTTTTGCAAAAAACAGGCCACCCGGATGTACGTTTATTTGAGAGGAGGATTAAATTTTTGAAAGCACTAAAATTTGTAAATATGCTAGTTATATAATAATATGCATTATTTTAAAAAATAAAAATTAAAGCACGTTAAAATCTTTTTTGATGAATTTTTACAAAAGCTACTCAGGATAATGCAAGATATGAGTAGTTAAACATAAATTTCAAATCAGATTTTACTTATAATAAATATTTTAAATTTCCGAAAATTAAGTTCAGATCGACTCTATACGTAGTAAATACTAAATAAGGTGCCAAAAACCTATTAAACAGTATCAAAACTATCAAGATTGTAATGTTTTTGAAGAAAAATTTATAGAATTATGGACTTCAAACAGATATTATGTAAATAAAAATAATATAATGAATTTATTTATTCGTATAATAGCAGTAATAAGTCGATTATTCACTTCTACTTCTGAGATTTGAATTTAACTTCGACAGAAAAAGAGATTCAAGAGGAAAATACTAGGGGATACAAACAGCCACCATGACAGGATTATTATGGAGCTAAGTTGTATTTTTTGATATTTTTAGAGTTTTCCGACCTATTTAGGTACCAAGTTATTGCTTAAAAATTAAGGTTCTAAATTCTGAAGTTTACATGATCCTCCCGGGCGCACCCTTAACCTCATCAAATTCGAAAACATTCATACACATTATTTCTAATGGCGTTTTTTTAATCCTTATTAATTTTTAAATAACAAGGACCAAATACTCTTGACATGTAGCCCATATCTCGCTCTTTCAAAAAAAAAATAAAAATAAAAAATAAAAAAAAAACTTTTATTATCACATACCCATAAATCCGAAACATTATTTTCAAAAAAAAATTACCGGTTATTTGTCAGGTACGTAATTTTACATCGATCACAAATTTTTCTCATTTTGTAAATATAACGATAGTATTTGAGGCATCTTTTTTCGCATGAATCAAGGCAAAAAACTATCGATATCAGAGCCATTTGAACTATTACATCACATCCATATAACTGTTAACGCAAAAGGAACGTATCTTAATGTTCCACGCTCTATGATTGAGCACATTCCAAGTGGTTTTTCCGGAGAGGCTATTGATGATAATACAATAGATCCACAAATGCTTCCAGAAATATCATGTAAAACAAAACTCAAAATTTCCAAGCCCACAGATGTCGAGCACAAAATTCATGTCTCATTAGACAGTGAAAATGGTCTAATTGGCTTACCATCAGAATATGAGTGCTTACTGAAAAATAGTGGATTAACTAAAGATGATGTAATTTCTAATCCTGAGAGTACAGTTGACGTTCTTAATTTCTTTAATAGTGAACCGGCACAAATCGATGAATACGAACCTGATACAAAGTCAGCAGATGTACTACCCCCACTTGAAGAAGTAATAAAATATCAAGATCCTCGTCCACTTCTACAAAACATGCAAGTAATTGATGAAGGTAGTACATGCATTATTTATACAGCTATTTATAATGGAATAGAAGTTGCAGTGAAAGAAATGCATTTAAATGAAAAGAAAGAAAAATATTTACTTGACGAAACAAGATTAATGTATACAATGAAGGATGAACATATTATTCGATTTTATGATGCATATAAAGACGGAAATACTCTTTGGATAATTATGGAATACATGGATGCTGGCGCGCTTACATATGTTGCTCGCTATTGTGATTGTATGGAGCCACACATTGCATACATAGCACGCGAAATCCTACTTGCCCTTAAGTATATACATTCTCAAAATAAAATTCATCGAGATATTAAGACAGACAATGTATTACTATCTCAAAAGGGCCACGTAAAGTTAGCAGATTTCGGATATGCAGCTCAACTTACTACAGCAGCTGAAAGAAGAAATTCAATGGTCGGAACTCCATTTTGGATGGCACCTGAACTTATACAACGCACACCATATAGTTTTGCCGTTGATATATGGTCACTTGGCATATTGTGCAGAGAACTTGCAGAAGGTGAACCTCCATATGTTGATGAACCACCAATGAGAGCTACGTTTTTAATTGTTATAAAAGGTATACCAGAAATATCTGATAAAGAAAGTAGATCACCAGAATTACTTGACTTTTTAGATAAATGCTTAAGAAAAGATCCAAAATTAAGACCAACAGCAGAGGAGCTGCTTAATCATCCATTTCTCAAATGTGCATGCGATCAAAAATATATTCCACCACTTATTAAACTCGCAAAGAGACTTGCTGATGAAGATGAACAGTTTTCTAATTTCTAGTAGCTTTGTTAGCTGCTTTATATATTGTTTTATTTGTTTTTAGCTTTAAAAAATGTTATCTAATTTCGAATATCAATTACTAATCATTAGTATTCAAACAGTTATATCTCATGAATGTAAGTGTCGTCATTGATAACATGTTGTTCATTTCTTCTGCATTTCTGAGGATAAAAGTGCCATAATTTTGAGCATTTTTAATTTCTTTTTTTGTCAAGCAAATTCTATTAACAAATATGGAAATATAACATATACAATTGGAATATGGTCAGGATTTGATCAAACTGACCGTCTAGTTGCGCAAGCCAGGTCTTGGTTTCGGCGCACCCTTAAGATATTTTATAATCATGGTATTTTTGAGAGTTTATACATTTACGCGTTTTTTTATATTAAACAAGAAAGTTAATGCTTGTTCAATTTAGCATATGTTAAATTTCGGATTTTTTTTTACTTCAAACTTTGCTTAAAACTAAATTTTTCTAAAACTTACTTCAATTAAATTTTTATAAAGTGGTTTAAATTCATCAGTTAATTTATTGAAAAAAATATGAAATGTAAAATGATGAAATTTCCTTTTAAAACCAATAAAATGATAGTTTTACCGCATGATTAAAGAGATACATTATGATCAGATACATGTTTCAAATAAAAGAATAAAAATTTCAGCAATTGAACCATTTTGATCCAAGATCAATGCTGAATTTCGGTTAAGTGACTTGGGTGATGTAAAAATACAGGAATTTAAAGTTATAAAGGTTTACACAAAATATAAATCTAAAAAAAAACAATAAGAATTAAGAAATAGCATTACGGTTCTAGATATTATAACATCAAAAAGTTAGTATACAAGAACTTTTTGCATTCTAGCGTTTTCCAATGCTTGGAACCACAATTTTAGCTTTGTTGACTGTTCTGATGAACTGTTCGATAGCAGGCATTGCGGCAGCATCTTTTGTGAATGCAGGTGGCTGATATATTGAAGGAATTGCAGAAGTTGAAACAAGGTAATGGGTATGAAGCGCTTTCTTAACGTCTTGTACTGATTTCTGTTCCTCTTCAGCAAATGTTGCGGCTTCGGAAGTCTGTGTGTAGTAATTATCGAGCATGAGTTCCATTTCTTCATTCTTCTTCTGGACATCGTTCATAAATGCCTTCTGCTTGTTGAAATCGAATACGTGTTTTCTTTCCCAGTAACCTCTCCAAACTTTTTGGATTTTCCTGGCCTTTTCGTTGAATAATTTGTTTCTATCTTCAGTTTCTTTTTCCGTTTTGAGACATCTGAAGAGCATGCCTTCATGGAACATTCTCCAGGTTTTTTGTATCTTTATAGCGCTCTCGTTTCTAAGTTTTCTACGCTTGAGGATTTTATATTTTCTCCAAGCAGCCTGAATTGTTAAAGCTGCTCTGTATTCTTTTTCTCTACACTCTTGTGCCTTTTCAATTTCTGTGAAATAGCGATTAACAATGTTCCTCCTGTTCCTATAAATGTTTGCGAAGGATGCCATTCTATTCTCGTTATTTTGCACTTTTTTGATAAAAGTGACAAAGTGTACTATTGAATCAAAATTCAAACCAAATAAACAACATATACATATTAAGCATTTAGTATTGATTTAGAATATTCGTATTAGAAAGAAAATTATAAAAAATTTCAACCTGATTTCGTGTAAAAAAGATGTAAAACCACACAAATAGGTAGTACTCAATCATATGATTATAGTTATCATATTTATTTTTGAAGAATGTAAAAAAAATTCAAACCAAAAGCGTTAACGGTAAAAAAAAACAAATGTCGAAAACGAAAGGACGTGCACCAATCCATGTCTGCTCTTTAAGTATGAGTCCACTCACAGCAGTTCAGAAGGATATGAGGGAAGTAGAAAAGCAATATAATGCCTTAACACCAGAACAACGCGAAAAAGATGTTTCAATGAATGATAAGATTAACCGTCTTCGCTGGGTTCAGCTTTCAATCGAATATAATCGCCAAATTCAGCTTCAGTATGTATACCAGCACCTTGGAGATAAAGGAAACAACCCACGTTTCCGCCAAGTTCGCATGAAACCACTTTTCAATGCATGGAAGCGTGAGATTCTTCGCCAGAAGTGGTTAGAAGTTCGCAAGGCAGTCGATACAAAGGCATTAGATCAGCGCTTGACAAGAAAATTCGATGCTTTTTCAGCACAGCGCGCAGAACTTGCTGCTCGTTCAGTTGCTCGTTGCGACTTCCTTAAGGATCCACCACTTAAGGGTCTTATTGATATTGCTGATCCTCTTGCAGCTCTTTCTGCATTCCAAACACCAGATTCCAACCAAACAGACTTCTACAACAAGGGCTATGACTTCGTTCAGTCATCCGCTGTTAATACTATTTCTGAGCTCCCAACACAAGAAACAAATGAGGAACCACTTAATAATGAGGAGATCAGACAGCGCCTGAAGAGCCGTGGCATCGAGCTTCCAGATAAGATCGAGGAGGCTCCACCTGTTGAAGAAGAAGTCGCTTCTGTCAAGAAATTATCAACAGAACGCTCAAAAAAAGATTCTGGTTCTTCTGATAGCAAGAAAGGAGATTCAAAGTCATTTATCTATGTAATTTTAGCTGTCGTTCTCGCTGTTATTGCTGTCGGAGTAGTTATTTACATTACAAAGGCAAGAGCTGCCGAAGCTCGCCGTATTGCACAGCTCAAATGCGCTACGCCAACTCCGGCTCCTAAGAGAGGCTGGTTCGGAAAGTAAATTATTCTAATTTTTTTTTATAATACAAACCAACTCAATTTTTTACATTTTCAAGCTTATCAAATGCAAAATCTAATAAAATGCATTGTATTACCAAAAAGATATAAAAAAATCTTAAATTCAATCAATTTTCTCTTAATGTTCTTACTTCCTTTGAGCATTCCATCCAGAGTAAAGGTTGAGTATTTACTATCTGTTCATTAAATCATATTATTATAAAATTTTTTAGTGAAAATAATGTTTAATAGAACATTTTATTCTTCATTATCAGCTAATCTTGATGGTGTATTTGTTTTCTCAAGGTAATAGCCTGAGAATGTATCAAATAATTGTATGGAGAATAAAAGATCAACAAAATTTTGATGAAATTATATGGGTATTGTATTATATACCTATTATTAAATCTGTTACATTATATTATATCTTTCAATATTAGTTCCATATTGAGAAAATATGATTTTAAATAAATTTATTTCCAAAAAAAATTTTGATTTTGTGTAAACCAATGAAATTTTCTAAGATTTCACAATTATTTTTTGTTTTTCAAGATCTAACGTTAGTTTTGGCAAGATATTTAGACCATTGATTCTCTACCTATAGACTACCTCATAGCAGTATTTGCAGTCATTTTTAAAATTTGAGACGTTTCCTGAAGTTTCAAATATCATTGAAGTGTACGTTTAAAAATTTTGTTATGAAAGGTAAGTCGACGAAGAGTAACTCGACTTATTTCATAGCGCTCAGAAAACGTCTGGATGCACTAGGATATGGTGATCTTCCTCTTGGCTTAGATTCAGCACCTCTTGCCCAACAAATGATGGAAGATATTTTTGCAACAACCGAATCTCTCAAAGATTCTGAAGAAAAACTCGAAAAAGAAAAATCTAATGCGATGTTACTTGAAGCTCAACTTGAACCACTTCAAGCAGAGCTCACAAGATTAACTAGAGAAAATACACAGCTTCATCAACTTTTAATTAAGTCAAAAGAAGATCTTGTTAAGCAAGACAATCAGTTTTCTATGAGTTCGTTTGAACTTAACGCAGAAAATAGAAGAATGAAATTATTAAATCAAAAAACAAATGAACAAGTCGTTAACTTACAAAAACAGTTAGAAATTGCAAATGCAAAGCTAAAAGAAGCTCTCGAATCCCCATCAGTTACAAACATCTCTGAGTTAAGTGATAGAGAAGGATCCAGAAGAACAAAGAGAAGTGCACGCTCGCGCAGAACTGGATCTGGATCTATCAGTATTGATGGACAATCTACACTTTCTTCGCCAGATGCAGAAGAACTCAAAGCCCTCAAAGAAGAAATTGCAAATCTCAAAGCTACTATCGAGTCAAAGGATAAAGAGATTTCTATATACAATACAAAACTCACGGAAGCTAATAATATTATCAAGATCAAAGATGAAGAGATTATCAGAATTGGAGCAGAGTTAGAAAAGGAAACAGGTAGAAACGGATACATTATAACTCTTCGTCATAAGTTTGCTCAACAGGAACTTGAGCTTGAAAAGCTTCGTGCCCAACTTCGTGTTGCTGGATCAGCTAGAAGTTCAGTAATCAGACCACATAGATTCGTTAGAACAAATCCAAAGAGAATCTTCAGTACAGACATGAACAATAACGAAGATATGAAGTTCTCTTCTGCAGTTACAAGTTCAGCTCAATCAACACCATCTAAATCAGACAAATCATCAAAGAACAATGATAGTTCTTCAATGATTAGCGATGAATATGATAGTAACTTCGCTCCAGAGAAGGCTAAACCAAGAAAGACAGCTCAGCAGAAGCAGCCACAGCAGCAATCCCAACAGAACAATCAGCAACAGAAGAAGACTGTTAATATTGAGACTAAACAACAAGCACAACAAAATCTTATCAACAGTCAACTCGAAGAATCTCAAGAAACAATCAAGAAGTTAGAGCAAGACATCAACAATCTTAATGAACAAATCAAGTCTATCACTGCTGAAAAAGAGCAACATTTGGCTAAGATTGCAGAACTTACAGTAAACATTGCTTTCATTGGAGATAACTTCAAATCAACAGTTCAAGAGAAGGACCAAGTTATTCAAACCTTATCTAATGAAAAGAGCAAGTTAGAAGAGAAACTTCAAGAAACAATTGCAACTCTCACAAAGCAGAAAGAAGAAGAGAAGGCTCAGGCTCAATTAGATATTTCAAAGCCACTTGAACAACTTGCTAAGCAATTAGAAGATACAAGAGCTGAATTTACTGCAAGAATCAAAGTTAAGAAGCAAAAGATCACAGAATTGAGAGGTAGAATTGCAGAATTACAGAAACCAAAGGAATTACCTCCATGCAAAAAATGTCCTGTTCTTAAAGCAAAGATAGAAGAATTGACCAAAGAAATAGAATCAATCAAGAAGGATAATAGTGATTATAATGCTTTACAAGACCATATCAAACAACTTGAAAATCTTTTGCATGCAGCAGATGAAGAGAAAGACCTTCATTCTAATGATGCACAGAAACTCGCTGAATCTATTGTTAGAGTTGGAGCTCTGGAAGGAGAACTTGAAGAAACTAAATCCAAGTTAAATTCTGCTCTTAGAGAAGTTGAAAGGATGAAAGCTAGAGTTGAAGAAAGCGAAAGGTTATCTGCAACAGTTCCAGATATTCAACAGAAATGCCGTGTTTCAATGGAACAGGCTAAAGCTGAAAATGAAGCTCTTCAAGAGGAGATCAAGTGTAAGTCAGAGTTTATTGCAGAATTAAACTCAAGATACGTTGAATGCCAAAAATTAAACAGAAAATATCAGCAACAGTGTCAGAAAGCATTAGATGAGGCTCAAACAATGCGTGATGAAGCTAAATTCCACAGAACAAAGAATGAAGAAGTTCAAATGATAGCAACTGAGAAATTAGCAACACTTAAATCTGAATCAACTGCCACAATTAATCAACTTCGTCGCGAAGTTCAACAGAAGACTCAAGAAATTGAAGGATTGAATAAAGTATTAGCAAGAACTCGCGCAGATCTTGCTCCATTAACTGAAGTTCAAATCCCTCAACTTAACGAACAGGTTGCTAAGCTTAAACGCGAACGCCAAGAATTAGCAATCAGAATTAAGAGCCTTTGTGAATTGGCACAATTTGCGGAGAAAACAACAGAATTCTCACCAAACTCAATTGCTTTTGTTCAAGCCTTACATCATTTTAATGACGAAGTCAGACCTTTCTTGTAATTTATTATTTTTTATTTTTTAAAAAGTTTTATAATATAAGATTTAGTTATCCGATATTTAATTCCAGAACGTTCGCATATTACTAGGAGCTCAAAATTGATTAAATCAGATGTAATAATTTTTATTTCTATGAAAATAGTGCTTTTTGAAGATGAAACGAGCATAAATTGGAGATGCAGTGACATTAAGAATGTATGATGCAATGACAACTTTCTTTTAATTTTTTTTTCTACGTTTCAAGCAATGTTGAATTAATTAGTAAGTTAGGAAGAAGTATTTATATTGTGTCAAGTAAATAGAGTCTCTTAAATCATTAGCTTGTTGAGTTTAAGTCATATATCATTAATACTTTGCAAGCATTCAAAATCAAAAGGATGGTCCTTAAGAGGCATCTGTGATTCTGGATCACAAAATTAGTGATCAAGGTTTAAGATGATAATGCTCTGGCTGCTTGACGATAAAAAGAATGCCTCAAAAATGTTTGAAAGAACGATTACCGTCTCATGGCATGGATAACTTAGTAATCAACAATAGTGCTCAATACAAGATTTCGCACTAAGCATCTGATTCTGACGAAACAAAACTTTGCCAATAAGGATTCCGAGGCCAATTATAGTAAATCAATATCTTATATAATTTCAGAAATCAATTTTTATGAACCATGATTGTTCTCATCACCCAAATCAATCCAATCTTCCTTGAGGTTGTTTTTGGACTTGTGAATATCGGAATCCAATATTAATTAGTGAATACAAAAATGATACCGCTATGGGCAATTCAAGTTTTACAAAATGATGTGGAATTTTGAATTTACATTTGACACATTGATTGACAAATCTATTCAAAATTCATGTTTGCGTTCTTCATTTCACACAAATTATTTTCATATTTATGCATATAACATTAAATATAGATGATCAGAAACTAATGTCCATAATTTTGAATGAAATATTACGGTTTTAATTACAAGAAATATGTCGTACGATTCTCCTGTTACGGCAGGCCTCGATTTGTTGCGCCACGTTCCTCCGAAGGATGTTGAAGAGCGTATGTTTGATATCTTCCAGTTAAACCCAGAATTAACTGATGAAATGATTTCTGCCGTTGATATTCCACTTAAAATTCAGCAGGACAAGGACACCCACCAAGATTTTATTAAATGCGACTACAACCGTGATGGTGACTCATATAGATCACCATTCACTAACAAATACTATCCACCAATCAGTGACGGACAAACACCATCACCAAAACTTCGTAAGCTTGAAGAACTCGCCAACAAGGCTTTCAGTTCCTACCTCAATTTGTTCTTCAGATACGGTACACTCTCTGTCTACACTTGGGATCTTGACGGCACAGCATTTGGTCTTGGCGTGTTCGTTCGCAAGGATGCTGATCCAAAGCAGGAAGGATTCGAAGGCAACATTTCTTGCTCCGATGTTTTCACAATTACTGAATCATCATCTGGCCAGTACGACTACGAAATGGTCTCATCCATCCTCCTTGAGATCAAGGTCCAAGGTGACAAGGGAGTTCCAGTCATTCTTTCAGGTGGTTGCGCAGATTCAAAGGTCAAGTCCCTTCCAGCAAAGAACGATATCGAAATGCTTGTCAATGTTGGTACAATGATCGAAGATAACGCTGCTAACTTCATGGAACATGTTAAGCAAATCTACGTCTCAAAGATGACAGAAATCTTAAGCTACACAAAGGGAATTGCCATTGGCGGACCAGGCAATACACCACAGGACCAGTTAGCTGCAGCTCTCAAGGCTCACATGGCAAGTAATTCTGTTGACCTTCTAGTATAAACTAAATTTTTTTTGTCGAATAATTCAGCGCTTTTACTTTTACAGATAATTAATATAAAAAATTTACTTCTTAACTTACTCATTAAAATTGATTTCCCTTTGGAATAATTTTTATTCAAATTTTACCAAAGCTTTTTTATTAAATCGGATAAATAATATAATTTATTACTAACAACATAACAATAAATAACAATTTATTTCTCTATAATAACAAACAACACGTTGAATTACTTTGTGATTTTTTAGGCTGATGCTTATCAGTCTTTGCCTTACTTTTATTTCTTCTCGAACTCTTGTGATGGGTAGCATTCCCGACATCAACACCGTTTTGATCTTTGGACTTAGTATGGTGATGATGCTTATGATGGTGATGGTCATGCTTATCCTTGCCCTTGTCCTTCGCAGATCCGGACTTTTTCTTTTTCCGACGGTTTTGTGCTCTCAGCGACCTTATTTTGCCAGTTCTTTGTTTGAATACTTCTGATGGTTCAGATTCCATGACGTTGTACCTTGAAATTGGAACACTGGAATCATGAATATCATATTTGTTATCATCTGAGTCAGAATGAATCGAAGAAGTTTGAGCAATTGAAATATCTTCACTTGTAGAAGTAGTTTCCTCTTTCTTTTCTTCAGCATTTTGTCCATCTTCGGTATTATCATGATGAGACATTATTTCCATGTTTTCAATATCTTTTGCTGGTGGAGAATTTAATTTTGGTTCCTCAGCCGGTTTTTCTGGCTCAGATTTATTATGAGATGATTCCTTCTTTTCTTCCTGATATCCTGTTGATAAACTCGATGAAGACTGGCTATATTCAGAATCTTCCTCTTCTTCATAGCTTGTTTTTTCTTCTTCAGATGATTGTGAGGTAGTATTAGGATTAAAACTCGTTTCTGAGTACGTACTTTCTGAAATTTCGATACTATCATAATCTTCTTCATAATTATCTGATTTTTCTGTTTGATCAGCTTTAACTGATTTCTCAGATTCTTTAGTATTAGGAAGTTGTTTTTGAGAGGATAAGGATTGCGAATTTTTGGCATTGGATAATTTATTTTCTTCATTAGGCAAATTTTTATCTGATTTCTCATTTTCACTACTAGGAGGTTTCGGATCATCATTCTGGTTCTGCAAACGAGATGTATTTTGAACTTGATCCTCTTGATTTTCTTTTGTTTCATTTTCATTTGGATCTTGTGGTGTTTGTTTGTCTTCATTGGCCGTATCGTTTGTATCACTTGGTAAAATTCGACTATTATTACTAGCATTATCTGCATTTTCCTCAGAAGCAAAATCTTCTGAGTTATTTGTTGGTGCTGGTCTTCTATATGATCTTCTGACATATCCTATTTTGAGAAATCTCCCTTGAGAATCATTAATTTTTTTGGAAGAATTATGTTCACCGTTTGTCTGTTTTAATTGCAAATTTTCATTCCCTATATGCGGCTTTTTCTTTTTGCGCCCTATAATGATATCGTTTTGCTGAGGAGATGAGTTTAATATTGACTCATGCTCCTCCATAAAATTAATAACAAAATCTTCTTCTTCGAAAAAAAAGTTTATAAAAAATTCGTTATCAGTTTATTTTGAAATAGCGTGATGTACGCATTAATGAGAACCATGATTTTGATATTTTTCGATAAAGATTTCGAGACAGAATTTGGTATTCAAGATTTTTACAATTTTGTCCAATTAGCCTCATGGTTTGGATTGAGATATTCTTCGAAGGGTAATATCAGGAAACATCATTCTTATTCTTCAATTTTACAATTTAACCAATTAATATTATACTTTTATCTAGTGAAAACTAGATTCAATGATCAAATCACATATTTTAATTGAATATAAGATGATTGAAAACTATTTACTAGGATGCAATGAAACAATTAGGACAAATTTATTAACAATATGAAATATACTGAGAATATAAACATTTCCTTTTCATAATCATTAAACAAAAGTTTTTTGATCTAAATACCATTGTAATGGGCAGTCAATTAAATAATTTAATAATTGGAAAGATAATTGATACTAAAAACAGGATTTAAGTTAAATAAAATATTACAATTCATGCATGATGAATACAAATTCAGGATATATCAAAGCCAGACAATAAATCTTAATAAAATTTTTGATAAAAAACTCAAAAAATTAATAAATAAGCATGCAATTGTTTATTTTCTGACACAATATCAAATTTACTCGCTTTGTGGGAGAGCTTCTGTCTTGATAATTACAACATTTCCTCCTTCGCAGCAAACAGCGACGTATTTACCATCTGATGAATACTGCAAGTCGTAAACTATCTGGTTCATCATATAGCTTGCGATCATCTTTCCTGACTGTACGTCCCAGAACTTAATTGTCTGGTCACTACTTCCAGAAACGATAACTTTCTCATCTGGTGAGAACGATATAGCGTAAACTGGCTTTTGGTGTCCCTGGAGAACGCGGAGTAAGTTTCCTGATGTTGCATCCCATAATCTAACAGAACTATCGAAAGATGCGGAAGCAATAATACCATTGCTACCCCATCTCATTGTATAAACTGTAGATGTATGTCCTGAAAGTACTGTGCAATCAGAATCGCGATGCCAAATTCTAACAGTGTTATCATCAGCGCAGGAGGCAATTAACTCGCTATTTGGCTCCCAAACAACACAGTTTGTGGCACTTGTATGGCCTGTAAGCCATAATGGCTGAGCTTCGAGCGAATCAAACACTCCAACTGCGCCATTTTCGCAGCAGACAGCGAAAGAAACATCTGTATGCCATGCAGCATCACGGATACCGCTTGTAGTTGGGAATTCTTTGACAACTTCGCCTGATTCTGAGGCAAGAATCAAGATTTTTGTAGAATTGGAGCCAATAAGAAGATATTGGCCAGTAGTATTAAATTTGACAACACGGATTGATTGTGGTTCCTCGTTGTTCTTTTCGTAAATGAGATCGCCTTGGTTGTTGAAAACGCGGACAATTCCGTCAGAAGAGCCTGTAGCGATGAGTGATGAGTCTGGAGACCAGTCTAATGATGAAACTTGGTGGTCGCCTTCGTTCGACTGGGCGTCGCCGTGTGGTAAGCAGCATTGAGAAATTGTGTCTGGATTTTGGAAATTCCAGATAATGGCAGAGTTGTCTGTACTGCCTGTAGCAAGAAGATTGCCATCCTTTGTCCATTGGCAGCAAACAACGTTAGCTGTATGCTCAGAAAGCGTAATTGAGTTATTTGCATCAAGAGGCATCGAAGGTTCTTCTGCTGCTTGCTTGGAGTCCTTCGGGATCGGGACATTTCCTTCGCGAAGGGCTGCATTAAGTAATGTAATTTGCGAGCCATAGCTTACATCGACTGTCTTTTGGCCAGCTGCAATAGCTCTTTCAAGCTGAATATAGAGTAGGCCCTTTTGAAGCAATGTAATCAGAGCTCCTGGAGGAACTTGATATCCAGTTATTTGAGAAGAATCAATGGAAGATTCGTTTACATATGTGTAGTGGGAGTGCTCAAATCCACATTCTTTGAAGTATCTTAGAATTAGGAAAGTAACTTCATCACTTGAAATTGACATTTTAAAATTTTGATAAACAAAGAATGTAAAGTGATACCCCCTTAAATATAAATTTTCATATATTAACCATGGAACACTGATTTTAAGTATGTTCACATCATATGAGAATGAAATCAAATTATAAAATGGGAAAATATTATAATCAACAAAATATTATCAAAATTTAGTGGATACAAGTTATTTCAAATGATTGTCATTATATGCAATATGATTCAACATCTATGTGCAGTCTATACATGAACATCAAATTAGATAAGAAGTAAAAGATATCTTCTCTATTTATATATTGTCTTGCAACAAAGAAAGCAGTTTATGCATCTTTATCATTTGCATTCATAAAAATGCTGTGTAATTTAAAGATACATACTGCTCCGATGATATTACTCAGCATTGCACAATGGAGGGCAGTCCATCATTTTTCATTAATCGAATATGCATCGAGATTAGATATTCTTCCTCTTCTAAAGAGCAAAATTATGCTGCAAAACAAGAGAAATCTCACTTCTATCTTTTATATTGACACAAACACCATTCAAAGCAGATTATATAATGCAATATTACCTCTGTTGAGAATCTATATTAATGCTTGGGTAATGAACATTTTCCCCTCTAGATAAGTTGATGCTTTATTTCAGGTTAAATCGTATTCATATCATCATCATTGAGACGCTGCAATCTGTATAACATATTTAAAGCCGCTATGTAACATTTGCTCAACTTAATTGGCTTATTGATAATAGAAATCATATATATATCATAAAGAATTTTAACTATAAATATTGACTTTTATTGGTGTTGATTCAAAAGATATTGCATTTATAAGATCATCACTGACTGACCAAGACAATAGTGTTTATAAATGAATAAATTAAATACTAATAGATACCTTTTACTTTGATTGATAATTTAATTTGATTAAATATATTAGTTTTTTTTGGAATAGTAATGTCATTGATATATAATGTTGCATTAAACTAAGGCTTTGAATAAATATTATGCTTATTACAATAAATATGACATATTTCTATTTCATTTACTTGAATTTTTCATGTAATATTAATATCATACATACTAAATAGTTTACTTAGCATTGAAGATGACATTTCAAGCACGCAATATCCATTTATCTTGTTTTAGCTTAGAATGGATTAATTAAGAGTTTAATTGCATGGCATTGACAATATGTTATTCAGTTTTAAATATTTGGTTATAAACAATAAATTTATTTCTGAAAAATTGCGTCTAATATCTATTGGGGAGAAATTAATTTCAATTTACATAAAAAAAGCCAATAAGTCCAGAATTCTTTCAAAACAGAAAGACAATCTGAAGTGCAGGAAATTAATCTTGATAATTCTAGATTTTTTCCATTTGAATATCTTTTTATATCACAATTCAAAATTCCCTTCAGAACTTTTAAATTCATTCAAAAAATAATCATGAAACTGTGAAGATGAGTAATTCTTGCAGTAATGCTGAAGCTGATTATCTTGTTTTGGATGCCCGACCATAATAGTTCATTTCAATTTTATGATATCATTCAAATGCATTTTCAATGCTATTTCAATTCTATTTGATATAAAAATATTCATTCAAGTACATGGATTCTGAAGACAAAGAACTAATGGGTGCCGAAGGGCTGATATTTAAGAGAATTATTGCAACAACTACTCATGGTAAAGTGTTTCAAGTGGAATGGCTAAAATACAAAAATAGTTTAGTCGGTTTTTGCATTTTTAAAATGTTAGTCACCTTTCTCCTTCCAAAGTGAAAAAAAAATTGTTTAAAATATAAAAAGAATTTTTATTCGCATAGGCGACAAACAAGGATTTATAAATAAATAATGGGGCTTTGAGTATTGATCTGAATTGAATCAGATAATTAGCCGTAAAAAATCTTCTAATAACGATTTCTCATGCATGAAAGATGGCTATGAGTGGCGTTAATGAGGGCGTTTGATAATTGGAGTTGGACATAAAATTTGGAGATCTTAATTTTTGAGAATTTTGGTGCGATCTTACTGGTACAAGCAAGAGTATGGAAGGAGATTGAACTGAGAAAAAAACTAGAGCATGCAAAAGAATCATGCTACAGCTTAGTTGAATGTCATTTATGCAAATAAAAATATCTTTTTCAAATTTCAAACAAAATTTTGCCACTTTTTGAAAGAAGATAAGGTAACAAACATTTTAAAATGCAAAACCTAGACTTAAACTATGCCGAAATGTGAGCTCACCGTTACGGTTTTTTCTTTTTTTTGGGGCTCGCAAGCTCGCCCCCAAAGAAAAAACCGTAACGGTGACTAACATTTAGGAAAAATGTTTGCCCTCAAAAGGATTGAGAGTTCTTACTTTGATAAGAACTAAGGGTTTCGTTTTGCTAAAATTGTCACTTTTATAGCATATTTGTTTTTGGATGTTTTGCGAAACCAAAAAAAAAACTATGATATACAATGTGTGTGTAAAGAAAATACTTTATTTACTAGTTAAAAAATCATTTGGTATTGATCAAGTTATTTTTTCTGGATAAGATATTATATGGATAATTGGATAGAAAATACAATTATATAATCTTGTACCTGGTTTAATTAAGCTAATTGTCATCAGAAACTTGTAATTTTTATGAATTTCAGATTTTCTTTTCATTACTGCTTTTCTTAATAGGTCAAGTTCTTATTTACGTTATAAAGTATGATATTTACAAATATCAAGTTATCGTGTTTTTTGAGAAATTATGAGAAACAAACAAAAATGAAAAAGATAGGAATAGCAATGAATAGTGATGTGGGTATAGAAAATGTAAGAGATATGAATGCAAAGCAATCAGTATTTAGGATATTGACCATAGATTTCGAAAAAAAAATGCTGCATATTGAGCGAAAACTATGATTATATTATAAGGCTGTCATTTAAAGCATAATGAAACTATTCCCTTTTCATTTTAATCGAATAAGATAGTAAAGATTTTTGAATTAGCTAGAAACTGATGAGATGTTTTCACAAATCAGATTTTTAATCTCTATAATGCATAATTCACTCAATATCTCAATTTTGATATTGCGAGATATTTTTGCTATCGGTTTCGCAATTTTGACACAATAGCAAGAGGGTTCTATATGCATTATTATCAACGTAGAATCTGAATATCATATCAGAAAATGTCGCAAATCTGACATTTACCCGACCAAATAGCAAAAATAATTGAATACTTTTCGCAAAAACTTTAAAAATCGATAAAAATATGAAATATAGATATTAAAGAGACTTTTTATATAATATTCATAAAGATTTTCCAAAAATATGATACCGCAAAATTAAAAAAGTGACGTCTTGAGTGGAGTCAAAGGTCGAAATTGCTAGCTAAATGTTTTTTTAGCGAAATTGCGTATTGTACGTTTTTTTCGCAAAACGAAACCCTTATAAGAACCAAATTAATCTCATTAAAAACCTATATCACCCTAACATTATTAATATTTATAAGGTAATTACCCGCAAAAAGTATATTTATCTAATTATGGACTATTGCCCAATTGATCTTCAATATTTTATTGAGCAAATAGGTTCTATATCAGAGGAAAAATTTGTTAAACAGGCCTATTTCATGCTTCAAAGCATAAAGACAATTCATCATCAAAGGATTTGCCATAGAAGGATTAATCCGTCAAAATTTCTTTTTGACAGATATGGAAGAATCTTGTTATCAAATTTTTGCAGTGCAAAGCAATACAGTACTGATAAGATTGATGAAAGAGAATTTAACAGAACCAAAGCCATAGACATCTGGTGTATTGGCGCAATATTTTATTATATGGTTACTGGAATCCATATCACGAAACTTTATGATTGTCAAGAGATAGCAATGACAAAAGATTATTCATTAATTAGATATCCTCATGAACTTTCAAAGGATTGCATCTCTTTGATATCAAGCTGTTTGAATTGCACAGAAGAATCATATCCTTCCATAGATGAGCTTTTGAAAAATCCAATTTTTACAAACAACACAACATCTTATTTTGAATTGCCGAAGAAACAGAGTTTTTCTCCAAACAGATCTCTTGGTTCATTGAATTTCACTGTGAAACATGTTCTCACTAAGAGACTGATTCCAATAATTTAAATTTGTCTGCTGTATACTGCATATTGGCCATATGTACTTAGATAACGCAAATATACCACTATGAGCAGTGAGCTTATATGCAAAGCTATGATTCATTTAAAGGAAATGTTGAATAAAAACTGTTAGTCAATATCAATACGTATAAATATAAATACAATAAATTACAGACCTACTGCATACTTATTTTTTTAAATGGAATCTCATTTTGATGGATTGTAGAATAAAATCATATTTCATTCTATAATCAGCGACCATTTCCGATTAAAATTTAGCTACCAATCCATACATGATCTATTGCTCTGAATTTCTATAAATTTAACATTTCGAAAATATTTTTGTAAAGTGACAAAATCAAATGCCTAAAAAATCATTTAAAGATCTTGCTCTTACACCATTTACAGATGGGTATTTCACTGCGCCAGACTTGAATATTCCTCTTTCCACAATCAAGATTCCTTCTTTATTCGTTTGCATGTTGATTGTTGCCATATCTTTTGTTGTAATTGCTGGTGGAACAATCTTTTGCTGGGTACAGGGAATTCCATTTATATATCCAAGATTAAATGAAAAAGGACAAATAGAAACAGTTGTTTTCATGCAAGAACTTTCTTACCAAACAGGATGTGAAGGTATAATAGCAAGCTCAGTTTACCTATTTGCATCTTTGTCATTGATATCAGCTTGTTATGTCATGCAAAAGAAGCAAACTTCTGATGATGATATCCTCTACAATTGTGCCTTAGTATTTGGCTATACATCACCATTTTGGATTATTTGCGCTATTATAGTTTTCAGATGCAAGATACCAAGATATTTCCCAACACCTTTTATCTGAAAAATCATTTTTACCTTTTTCATTGCAGAAGTTTCACATTTATCTTTTATTTTATAATAAAGATATACTCAACATATATTTAATCATAATACAGCGATATTTCTCAAATACAATTCTATTTATATTTTTTTAAAGTTCAGACACTCTTGTCATACATAAGGGTAGCAATGAATTGCTACAAGAGCTATGATTTGCTTATAAAAAAGGATGACTTCCCTATAAAAAATATAATTCAAAAATACACCTCATTATTAGGATAAAATAAGTTATCCTACAAGGTTCAATTCAGAGTAACATTTCAACACACTGATATAAATATAACTTTCGAAGAAATTACAACATGGCGCGCTATTACAACATTCAGATATCATGTGTAAGGGAACTTGGCAAATACAAATTCGTATTCGGAAATTTCAAAAGGGATTGGAAAAAGACAAAACTGCAAGGATTCAACAATATTTCAAAAAAGCGAGTCTATTTATAATATTATCAATAAATTCAAAAAAATATTTATAATCCAGTTTCTTCAGGCTGTACAGGTGGTTGAGGTGCGAGTACTGGCATCGCAGGGAAATCGAAACGTAAATGTCGAGGAAGTTTCTGTATATCTTCTACAAAGCTATCAATTGGCGGGATCTTTCTGGGGAAATTAGTAATAGTAAGCAACGATTGTGAAGGAACAAGAGGTTGTAACTGCTGTTTGAATTGACTATTAGGTGCTGAGTATACAGGATTAAGTTTTCCGCCATTTGGAATAAAACCAACAGAATTATCGTCATCTTTTTCTTTTGTTAACTGTCTATAATGATATCTGCACTGAGCGTCACTTCTATTACCAAGTTCGGCAGCTATTTTTGTCCAGCAACGATCTCCATGTTTTTCAACTAACTCAATAAGCTTTGCATCCTCTTCAGGAGTCCAAAGGACTTTAGATATACGTGGATCTAAGCCTCTAAACCACCTCTGAGAACATTGGGCCCTTGTTCGCGCATTGCCAACATGAGCACAAACAGCAGCCCAGTTATCCAAACCAAATTTATGGATACCGCTAAGAAGGCGCTGGTCTTCAAGTTCGGTCCAAGGATGTGTTTTCTTTCTTGATTGATTTTGGTAATTATATAATGAAGAAAATTGATTTGACGTTTCTGATGGAGGTGGAATTGGAGTGTCATCTACTTGTAAAACCGCATTAATTTTTTCTAATGGATGAATCGTACCGATAATTTCTTTGAAGGAGTTCACAGCGTCATCATGAGATACTTTCCCTTCGATGAAGTCATCAAACACAACTTTGATTCTGTTAAGATCCTCTGCACTTGCACGTGGCGCAACTTCCCTAATATATTGCATTCCAACTGCAAGAAGAGGCTTGAAAGTTTCAATATCATTCATTCAAAAAAGATTATTTGTAAAATTGTCAAATTTCAAAATAACGGTATATCGAAAATTAGAAAAAATGAATTGGATATGGAAAAGAAATTAAAATCCTCCAGCCGAAAAGGTCAAAAGATTTATTCAGAATTTTTTATGGTATTTGCATAGGGGAGACTCTATTAATCAAATAATAATAACAATAAGGAATGTAATAATTATTTGATATTTACATCTATCAAAAATAGAAAAGCATGGATACAATTCAATTGTGTGCATAAGAAATTGAAATATTCGGATTAACTAGGGGTTATTAGATATGTAATTATTTATACTGGTTGACTTTTCATAAAGAAAGAATTGAGCTTGAATAAAATATGATATTGCATTCATAATGCAATATGTACCAATTAAAAGTTTTACACTTAATTTTATCAATTTTACTACCCTGAATTATTTGAGAGAATATGAGAAGTTATTCCGACGGCTTAATAATTCCATACTTTAAAATAATGTGAATAACATAATATCTGTGTTATGCAATCCAATATGCACACAAATTTTGCATGATCACATTTATTTCACAAGCTCCACACAAAATATTGAATATGTGATTTTTTCAGAGGTATTAACTTTTGTTATATGAAAAGACCAACTTCGAATTTAATTAGATTCCTAGAAAAATATAAGTTTTATACTCAAATTCAAAAATTATTATTGTATTGCTCCTTATTGTTTTATATCTATCTAATTATTTATTTTATTCACTTCAGAAAAAAAGAAAACTTGGGTTCTGAACATTGAATGGAAAGCAACAATAAGTTTGAAACATAGAAAAAAATAAGATTTTTGATCTAGCGCAAACAGATACTTTATTTGCTCAGTTAACCAATCTAAACATAATAATATTTTGAACTAAATTTACGAATCTTCAAAATTTCTCCAAAAAATTGATATTTAAGAGACCAACTAATAATGAAATATAGGTCAAAACTTAATATGTATAAATGTTCTACCATCAAATTATCATTTTCTTCATATTTTTACCTCGTTTATTTTTTCAAACTTTTTCACAGAATTTTTGAAAACCATTGTGAACATAAACGGAAAAATTAATAGAAATCAATAAGACGAAGATTATATTATAAGAAACAATTTTTACTTGCAATCTACATGTGCATATTCTATTTTTTATAAAATGAAATATAATTTGATCATTTACTGCTTTCCAAGATTTATTCTTTCGACCCTACAGTCTCTTCTTGCCTATAAAATATGAAAATTGAGATTAATTAATACATATTAGCATTACTTTAACATTACTTTTTTAAAGTAATTTTCAAGATATTTAATATAATATCTGCGTCAATAGTAGTGATCTATTTTCTCACTTTGCTTCTAGAAAACAAAATGATTTATCTTAATTAACACGATTTTAGAATAAATTTTAACTTGATCTTCATTGTACTGAAAAGTTCAGAAAATATTGAGTATATAGAAGCTGAGAATGTGATTTGTCTCTATTAAATGGCAAAATTTTTCACTTATAATTATTCAAAAAATATTTTTTGCAAATATTAACTCAAACCAGTAGAAAGGCCGTACAAACTTAGTATATTCATTATATCAAGTTACCAATACTTTATTTACAATTTGGTTACAAATTCTAAAATATGATGGTAACAATACTGAATATCTGTTAAATCACTTAACACCGATATTCTAAGATGGTGACAAACTCATTACTACTATTTATCTTTAATTTTCTAAAATGATATTCAAACTGTTGTTTCTAATAATTTTCAATGAAACTTATTTAGACATTGCTTTAATTATCTTTTGCATCAAGATCTCAGCGATTTAATGACTTATCAAATCGATCAATGAATAATTTGTTTTAAGTGAATCTATTCAGATAGTTAGCTCCTCACATTGGGACACAAACAACTAGGAAACACACTGCTGCTTAAAAATTAGAGCCCCATGAGCGTTGTATTATCAATTATAGAAAAAATAATAAAAGAATTTTATTTTTAGAATTTCCACAATGCAAGACCATCATCAGCTGCAGACAATAATATCTTTCCATCAGGAGACCAGCACAATGAGTGAGTTTCCAATGTATGAGCTGGTCCGAAGACAGACCACGATCCAGTCTGGAAATCAATCATAGAAATGTATTCGCAGACTCCAGCGCAAGCTAAAACTCTGCCATTTCCTGGTTTGAGGGCAATTGAGTTTATCTGTAAACCGTCAGGTGTTCTTTCCTCGAAAATAATTCCTTTTCTTGGCCAATCGTATGCCTTGAGAGATCCATCGCCCATGCCAACAATAACTTCTCCTTCTCCATCTTTGAATTGCTGGCAAGCTTGGAATCCGATTCTTCCTGTTCCTACCTGTTGACAGATTCTTTTTCCTGTCGTAATTTCGGTTGTTGTCAATGTTCTGTCTGCAGCAACTGAATGAACTCTCTGAGGGAATCCTTCTGCAGGAATAATCTGATGGACAACACCGTTATGGACAAGGGATTCATTAACAAGGCTGCGACTTTGGTGGGTGACTAATCTGAGGAATCCGTCTTCGCCACCACTGCAAATGAACTCTTTTGTGACACAAAGAGCTGTAATCGGGCCACGATGAATGGAAGGAGTCCTGTAAGCGATGCTTCCGTTCTCTTTGAGGCAAACAAGGCTGCCGTCAAGGAGACCAACAATGAAATCATTGTTTGGCATAGCACAAACTGTCTTTGACTGGACATTTACAATCGTGATTAAAGATATTGGTCCGGAAACATTCAAAAGAGCTGTTCCTGTCTTTCCAAGTGCTGCACATGCAATTCTGTTGTTGCAGGTAACAGATAAGACAGGAGCTCTAATTCCGTCAAGAATCTTCTGAGAACGTAAGGATTTGCCATCAACAAGGTACAAACATGTATCTTCTGTACGAATAAGGAAGCGACCATTGAAATAAGACATAAATGAAATTGGTGCGTCAAATTTCACTTGTTTGGAGCATTTCCAGTTTGTATCATCGCCAGTAACAAGGGATAAGCTCTGACCACCAACAGCAATTGTCTTTGGATCAAGAACAACCATTGATGCAAGTGCAAATTGATCAATTTCAACAAAAGTACGTAATGTACGAGAAGTGGCATTGTAAATGGATACTTCACCACTAACTGAGCCAGCAAAGAAGTATGGGAATTCTCCACAAGATGATGTATAACTACGGAAATATCCGTTGGTTGGATTTGTGTATAAATCGTGTTTTTCTGAGTATTCGAATGTTCTGTGATCGAATTTAATGACGTATTCGCATAATCTGCGATCATATGTGATATGAAGATTCCATTCGTTTTTGTTTGTTCCTGCGAAGCAAATTGTAGATGGAATAACTCCTGGATCGAGGAACATTGCTAAATCTTGCTCTTGTGTATCCCAAATCCAAATGTTTGTGGAAATATCAGTTGATACAGCAACCAAACGATTGTCTTCGGAAATGGAAATGTTCTTAATAGCACCTTTATGGCCACGTAAGACCATAATTTGACGACGAGAGTTGAGATCCCAAAGAATAACTGGGGTAGATTTTTCATTTGCATCTTCTTTTCCAGCTTGGCCAGAAGCGAGGAGTGTTTTGTCTTTTGAAACAGCAAATGCACTAATTGTTTGTGAATGACCTTCTAAAAATTCAAATTCACTTGGTTCTGAAATTGAAGCAATTGCAAGATTGTAGCCGATGCTTGTAACATAATGGTCGGCATCTAACCATTCAGCACGGCAGCATTGCGATGGAAGAAAGGATGATGGACGCATATTTTTAATTTTTTTATTTCTATGTACGTTTTTAACTTTACATGTCAAAAAATCAATTTTGTTTACATGCCATAATTTTAATCTCATCTGCCAATGATGACAGTCGTATAAAAGACTGCGCTCTACTGTTTGAATGATATGTATACAGCACTAGAGAGATTCAATCAAGAAATGTTTTTTGAAGAAATTGAATTGAATTTTTTATTTGAATAATAAAGCATTTTGAACAATTTAATGCCTAATTATGGAATATCTAGGCTTCATTAATGTATATCATCATTATTGAATATTGATTATATGAAGTATCGTATTGAATTAAAGAAAATTATCATGCTTGAGCTGTGCAAATTAATAAGTATGTCTAGATATAGCAGCATCAAACGAGGGCCTTATTATTTTCATGAAATTCTAAGGAGAAATTCCAAATTTAGATAAAAAATTACTCAATTTAATTATAAAATTATTGAAATACAAATAATTTTAATATTCATAGATAATAATAATGATAAAACAAATAAATCTATTAATAATAAACAGTTACTTATTATTATTAGCTAAGTAAGGCTCTGCAGTCTGTGGACGAGGCTTAAGAGGAGGTAAATTGCCATCCTCTGAATCAGAAGTAGCAGCAGATTGTGCTGAAGCTGATCTAGGAAGCGACAAACTGCTTACAACACCTCTAACAACTGAATTCTTTCTTGTCATGTAAGTTCTCTGCGTAAACCTTGAATTAAGTGACAGGATAGAGTTTCTAGATACTTCATTCTTGACATCGTTAAGGTTTAGTGTTGTATTTCCCTTATTTTGTGATGGTTTGCCAGTAAGAAGGGCTTTTTCGCGAGGAATCTGTGTAATTGGTGGAAGACTAAACAACTGTAAGTCGCCATTCTCTGGAACAAACATAATTCCGCAGCGATTTCCGGATGCATCAGCATAATTCGAACAAGAGAAAACTGTATAAACGCTATCTCCTGCAAAACGCTCAATACCTAAAGGAACACATTGGTGAGCTCTAACGATATGCTGGATCTTGAACTGTCGAAGAAAATCTTTTACGGCATTAACACCATATGTAACGCCATTGCCACGCTGAGAACGTAAGAAATCTTTTGTTTCAGCTGAAGGGTCGGACCAAAGTAAATCACAAGCGATATTGTTATCATAGGTTGTAATTGGTCTTTTGACTAAACGAAGCTGCCTAAAGCTTGAAATCTGTGGAGATATACCTCCATGTACTGCAAAAATTTCTTTTCCAACTCTAGCCGCTAAAGGCATCCAGTTGAAAGCTTCATTAAGTGCGTTGTAAACCTTCAAATCGCCATATATTGTTTCGCATTCCATTTTGAAACCGTACATTTCATTAACACGTTCAAATTCATGGTTGCCTCTTAGAAGGAAAATATGTTCAGGATAATTGACGCTGAGTGCTAAAAGTAAAGTAATAACTTCGACTGAGTACTGACCTCTATCTACGTAATCGCCAAGAAATAGAAATCTGCTAACAGGTGGAACGCCAGATAAAACAAGAACTCTTATTAGATCGAAGATGTTTCCGTGAAGATCTCCTATGATATAAACTGGTTTTTGTATGTTCAGAAGTGTATCCATGCCAATATAAGATCGTTTTGCTCTATTTGCAAGTTCAATAACGGTTGATTCTTCGAAAGTTGGAATTGGAACAGTGACACCTACTTCACCAACGCGTTCTGGCGGGAGACTTAATATCTCTTTAAACTCGTTAAGAACGCGCTCAGTATTGCCCTGATAACCAGTGTTGTTTTCCTCCATTCGAAATTTTTTTTTAAATATCAATTCAAAAGCACAATCAAAAAATTCTATATGTAAGAAGATAAGGATACTAGCAATTTGATCTGTGATATCTTTGCTCAAAAACTCGGCATTATAATTGTGGGGATCATTTTTCAATTTCTGAGAAAATCCGTTATTTGCATTTTTGTTACATTTTTTTGATTGAAATTTTTCGAACGATTGCTATATTTATGGATTTGATTCAGGAAGCTTATGGCAGCCAAAATACTTGTGCTAAAACTTCCGAAGTAAGTGAAGCGAAATAAACTCTTGATGAAATTTTGGTGTGACCAGCTTAAAATAATTTCACATTTTCCCGTTAATTTATAATCGGGATAAGTAGTATATTTGAGGAATGGGAGTATGAATCAAATAATTATAATTTGGCAATGTCACTTTTGACGAGAAGCTATCGTGATAAATTCTGGAATCAAGGCTGAGAAATTGCTCGAATAAATTAAAGTGAACAGTACTAAGACCATGGGCTGCTTTTGTAGCCCAATACCAAATATCAACAATCACTATATGAATTTAAGTAATTTGGGTTCAGGTCGCCAAAAAAAAGTGCGGAAATTAAAAACCGCAGTTTGAGTACTTTCTGAGAGTCTGTTTGTCAGAAAGTATACATTTGTAAACTTTCTGACACTAAAATTTTTTTAGTCCTTTCAAAGTTTTTGACAATGTCAAAAAGTATACATCGGGGCTCTCAATTTTCCTCTCAAACGGCGGTTTTTTAAAAACGCTCATTTTTTCATCGACCTTATACGTAATAAAATACAAAACACAAGACAAAAAACAACCAAATGAACATGGAATTAGAACTTAAGAAGTGTCATGACTTTCTTAGGACCAACCTTAGTTTTGGAAATTCGACACTTTACAAAATTTAGTAACTTTACATGCGTAAAGTGTCAGATATATCAGTGTTAATTATTCGAAATTAAAGGCTATTGGGCAATGATATATAATTGGTGCCTCATAGTCTTTAGTTTCCTACTAAAAGTAAGAAAACTTTTTTCGAAATGCGCAATGTTTGCGAAAATGTTTTCTGACTTCAGTATGGGAGTTGCTCCTTATGATATACATATTAATTGGACTAAGAATGAGATAACTGCGAATTAAAAAAAAAATCTCATATGATTTCAGATATTTTCCATCAATTGCCGACGTATATGACAAGAATAAACAGCATTTATCTATCAATATTTAGGATAATAAATAATTCAATCAGTAATCTCGTAAATTGGATCGAATAAATAGAAATTCATTTTCTGTATACTATGTCTAATTAAATTCTACATTAGGATCTATCCAAAATACATATTTTTTTGCTTATGCCATATATCGTTTTAGATCGAAAATATCTATTTTCTCGTAACGGATAGTGCATGATAAATGGTTCCATATTTGCAATTATCCACTTCGTTGTCAAATAATTTGAAATGTGTTGAAATTGCTTTATTCCTCCTGTTTCTTTATTTGGGGTTTTTGTAATTTCAGGTTGATTCAATCATCAGAATAAATTGTTTAAGATTAATTTTCAGAAAATGTCTCTAATTTTGAGAAAATAGAAATTCTTAGACCTCTGAAAATTCAATACTGCAAACATCTTAACATTTTGTTTTATTTTTGTTAAGAAACTGCTCATAATTCAATATAATCAAATAGAACAAGTATTATAATCTTAATTCATTCAATTTCATTTTTTCAAAGAAAAATCGCCAAGTTTTTTAATAATACTATCGTATTCATAAGATTTTAAGTGAGACATTCGTCAAATCATAAAAATAATTTAAATGCTTGAATTTTATTTTTATTAATAAGTACTCATTTGTATTTGACTTCAGTAATTACAGGTTCCCGATAATCTTATACAAAATTTGAGTTTAGCAGTTTTCAATACTCGATTTTTTTAATTTCTCTTTAAAAATGTGTTTTAGATACTATTTTTTTACAAACTTTTCAGAGAATTAAGTTCCACCACAATTCTCTGAAAAGTCTTCAAAATTATTTAAAAATCCAATTACTAATATCAGTGTAACACATGAAACTTAATTTTTACAATAACCTATGACAAATTGATTTTACAAAAAAAGTTCAATAAGTTCTCAAATTTATTTAATGATTTGGTTATATATCTGCAGTGTCTTCTCATAGGAGGAATTTATTGGAGGTAGAGATAGCGAATATAGAAATCTATATTCCAGAATAATCACAGTTGCTGATAGAAAAGTTACGGATATGTCATTATCCTCAAATTTTGGTAATTCCAAACCATGGGTTTGGGCTGTAGATGGTAATCCTGATAGATATTGGGAATCTGCAGGTACTTTAGGTAGTGAAATTTATTTAGCCTTTAGTCCTCCATCAAGTCATCCAGAATACAATATTACTTTCAAAAGAATGCTTTATCTTCCTGCAAATACAGATGTTGGATGGTGGAAACGTGTTAAAATCTATGGTGTTAAGTGCGGAGAAGCGTTAGAGAGTTACAAATTCATTAAGGGTGCGCCCGGGAGGATCATGTAAACTTCAGAATTTAGAACCTTAATTTTTAAGCAATTACTTGGTACCTAAATAGGTAGGAAAACTCTAAAAATATCAAAAAATACAACTTGGCTCCATAATAATCCTGTCATGGTGGCTGTTTGTATCCCCTAGTATTTTCCTCTTGAATCTCTTTTTCTGTCGAAATTAAATTCAAATCTCAGAAGTAGAAGTGAATAATCGACTTATTGCTGCTATTATACGAATAAACAAATCCATTATATTATTTTTATTTACATAATATCTGTTTGAAGTTCATAATTCTATAAATTTTTCTTCAAAAACATTACAATCTTGATAGTTTTGATACTGTTTAATAGGTTTTTGGCACCTTATTTAGTAATTACAACGTATCGAGTCGATCTGAACTTAATTTTCGGAAATTTAAAATATTTATCATAAGTAAAATCTGATTTGAAATTTATGTTTAATTACTATATTTTGCATAATCCTAAGTAGCTTTTGTAAAAATTCATCAAAAAAAATTTTAACGTGCTTTAATTTTTTATTTTTTAAAATAATACATATTATTATATAACTAGAATATTTACAAAATTTACTGCTTTCAAAAATTTAATCCTCCTCCTCTCAAATAAACGTACATCCGGGGGCCTGTTTTTTGCAAAAAATAAAATTTCATTTTTTTATGCTTAAAAAGTCAGAATTTTTATTTGCTTCTGGGATATATGATGGCTATATCAGACACCCATTCTTTTTGATACTCAACATTAAACATAAAACTTAGCCGTTAAGGCTCTTCTGAAAATATTTTTTTTCGAAAAATTTGCGAAAAAAATCAAAAAAATTAAAAATCCCCGAATCTGCAGGGATTTTAAAAAATTCTTTTTAGTAAAACTTAAGGATATTGTATCAGATATATTGGTATGGGCAAATTCAATTTTAATACAATATTCATCGAGATATTGCGCTAACGAAGCGTTCAAAATTGAGAGGGTAATCCTCCTACTCTCAAATAAACGTACATGCGGGTGCACCCTTAAAGAATTTTCAAATGACAAAATGTTTTATTATCCTGCCGAATTAGAATTCGATTCTGAGGAATGCTATAGACAGATTAAAGTTAGTGTAACATGTGCAAATAAAAATAAAGTTACAGCTGCCAGAATTGAATTCTGGAGGGATGATCCTGTTGTTACACAGGCAAAAAGACTCTTTTCTGATGCCACATGGTCAGATTTTTCAGCAGAGTTTCAAGATCCCGCAAAAGTTCAAGAATTTATCAGTAATGTCAATAATCATCCATGTCCATATATCTTTTCAGAATTTATGACAGCTGTAAATGAGATTCTTGCAGATCCAGAAGGCATCAAGAACTCTGTTCAAACAATCGAATGCCGTCCAACAATGGGAGCATATTTCAACTTCGATCATAACACTAACCAACCAACAGGAAAATATATGATTACTGGCGAACGCATTATTGTTTACTGCGAAAATTATGGAAGGAAATCAAATTCTAAGTTAGTTTTTTCAAAGAATGCACAAGATGGCGATAACATGATGCAGTATGTTGATCTTCCTCAAGGAAAGACAAATACATCAGCTACATATACTTGGGGTGGCCTTTATGCACCAATGTTATGGAATTGCTATTCAAATGAAGATTTCCCACCACCAAAATGCAGAATCAGTGGTGGTCATGAACTTTTAAGTTTCAAATTGGGAGATAATGCAACTCTTTTCGAAGAAAGACTAGAGAATTATCTTAAAGATCCAAACTATCTAAGCAATACATTGTCAAATGATGTTCAAGGCAAATTAATGAATGTTGCAGAAGTTTCTGGACCAAATTTCGTTATGCATACGACAGCTGGCGCTTGTTTAACTGGTATTAGATGGGGTAAAAATGCAGGATTGGATCTTAATGTTGCAATGGCACAATGGAATGAAATCCGCGATTTATATCTTGAGTATTTGGGATATGTTGATGATGATCCAAATCCAGTTCATAAAAAACAATACGGAACTAGAGTTGTAAGTAAAATAGGCAAAACAGGTGCATATGCATATAAGACAGGAAATCACATCTTTTATAATCAGGATTATTTCGGTGCCGCAGCTTGCAATGCGCAATTCATCAGAGCTAGTGGTGATAACTGGGGAGCTTGGCATGAAAATGGTCATGCTTATGATTTCGGTCCAACAGAAGAAGCCGAATTAACAAACAACATGTTCCCATTAATGATGCAAAGACGTTATAACCTTACATCCCGTTTGGAATCTGAAAGTAGATGGAATAATGTTCTCAATTATTTGAACTATGGTCAAGCATGGGGTGGTGAGAATTGGTACGGTTTAGGTATTCTTAGACAATTGGAAATTTTTGCTGGTAAACACAGCTTTGCTCAATTTTGCAGGCTTATCAGAGAACATGATTACAGTGGCGTTTCAAGGAGAGAGAAATTCGTTATTGGATTTTCAAAGCTTGTTGGCCAGAATTTAGCTATTCCATTAAATAAGACAAAGTTATATAAATGCTATGCAAATTGCATGACGTATGTTCAAGATTTGCCACCATGCGATGTTCATATTGAATACCTTATGGATAGAAATGATTATGACAGAAAAGATTTCCCACCTACTGCAATTCCAAAGGTATTGGCTACATACATTTTAGATGATGGACGTTTAAGAATGATAGTTGATTTCGAAAATGGCGGCAGTTGGAAGAATATGGCAGGAGTTGAAGTCCGTGATGAAGATGAGAACTTCATTTGGTTCTGGCATACAGTCGATCTTTATATACCTGCTAATCAATGGGAACCAGGAAAAACATTTAAGATTAGAGGCTTCGGTTTAAATATGAACATGACACAACCAATTACATACTCAGTTCCTTCCGGCTATCATAGAAGTGCCTTCGAATTTACTGCCGAACTCTTCCCATCAAAAGCAAAAGTTTCCTCACAAGCAAATTCAGCTCTTTCTGGAATGTTAGATGATGATGATTCAACATGCTTATACACTGATCCTTTTGAACCAAAAGAATTAACTGGATTAATAGTTGATGTCGGAATGCCTCGTGATTTATTCGGAATTAGATGGGCACAAACAAGAAGTGATTTCGGAAAAACAAAGCATTTCACAATTCATACATCTCTTGATAAAGAAGAGTGGACTGAATTATATGCTTATCATAGTAACTTGACTTTCTTATATAATGACAATGCTGGTTATTATCTCCTTTTCCCACATGTTGTAACAGCCCGGTACGTTAAAATCACTCAGTATGATGAGAAGAAAAGAACTTCATCCATCAACTTATGCCAATTCCATTTCCTTGAAAGAGACTTTGATCCAACACCTGTAGCTACAATGGAAACAACTCCATTTGAAACTGCTTATGAAACACCAGGAGAAACAGCCCATTTAACACCATATGAAACAGTCTATCAAACAATGCATCAAACTGCTCATGAAACACCATATGAAACACCATATGGATCGCCATTTATTACAGAAGAAGCAACAGTTTATCAAACTCCATATATGACAGAGGCAGAAACAGCATATAAAACACCATTTGTAACAGTTTATCAAACACCTTATCTCACTGAATATGAAACTTTTGCTCAAACACCACATAATACAGCTTTCGAAACTCCTTATATAACAGAACAACAAACAGCTGGTGAAACTCCATTTGAAACTGCATTCCAAACTCCAGGAATTTCTAAATTCCAAACTGCAGCCGAAACACCATTTAATACGGTTATCGAAACACCTCATATAACAGACTTTGCAACAGCTGCTGAGACTCCATTTGAATCTGCATTCGTAACACCATTTATAACACCATTTATTACTGAATTCCAAACTGCTGCTGAAACAGCTGTTGAAACTGTTTTCGAAACACCATTTAGTTCTGCATTCGAAACACCTTATGAAACACAATTTATTACTGCTTTTGAAACTCCTCATGATACACCATTTAGTTCTGCATTTGAAACACCATATGACACACCATTTAGTTCTGCATTTGAAACACCATATGATACACCATTTAGTTCTGCATTTGAGACAGCCGTTGAAACAGTTTCATTTACACCAAAAGAAACCATGACACAAGCACCAATACCAGTAATACAAACAGATGAACCTTCTATTAGCACAAGTCTTGATAACGAAAATAATACCTCAGATAATTCACTTGATAAGAAAGACAGCAAATTACAAGCTGCAAAGATTCCTATAATTATTGGTATTGTAGCTGGTGTAATTGCTTTAGTTGTAATAGATGTAGTTATTGGCGTAATTTATCACAAGAAATCGCCCCATCGTAACTATCAAGAAGAAAAATCTCAAGATTTTGACGAACCAGGAAGTATTGTAGATGACCAACCACCAGCAAATATCCAGGATAGTATTGAAGAGTTGTTTATATAACAATATTAGTAAAAACGATTTTGAAGTAAACAATTTATTTCTTTTAACATCTTTAAGTTTAATCCATTTCCAAATATTTCATATAATACTTAATCATTACATGTTTAGAGTGATGATATCTAATAATTCCCTATTCATTTGGTTTATGTCCACAGGATAATATTAAAGCTAATTTATATTGAAATTATCTTGGCTTATCCATGGTTTGATATTTATCCCTATTCAATTTTTGTGAGAATTCATTGAAAAATTTGAATCAATACATGAAAATTTCCGACTATTTAAGGGGGTAGGGTTGAATAGTTGTAAATTTTTTTTAAAAAATCACTTTTTCTCCATATCGCGGCAATATTTTTGGACGATCATAAGTGCTATGAGCACAGTCATAGTCAGAGTAGGTACTGACAAAGTTTCGACGATCACACTATTCTACGTATGTTTGTCAGTACCTACTCTGACTATGACTGTGCTCATAGCACTTATGATCGTCCAAAAATATTGCCGTGATATGGAGAAAAAGTGATTTTTTTTAAAAATTTACAACTATTCAAACCTACCCCCTTAAATTAGCACTTACAGTTATGAGTAATATATTGGATGCTGCCATATCCATTATTTTAGACAAAGATAAGATTTTATCCTTAAGACACCCTGTGTTTGGAATGAAAAATTTTGTAATCACACATTACAAAAAATTTCATAGAGTTTTTCTAATCTATGATCATATTCATTGATAAAAACCCAATGAAATTGAAATCGAGTCTAAATTTGCATAAAAATTTTGGCAAAATAAATATGGTGAATATTGCAAACGCTATCACGCTTTCTAGAATTCCAATGCTCTTCATGATAGTAGCCTTTCTTTACTCAAAGAAACCATATTCTGCGACAATTGCAACCATTATCTTCTTCTTTGGTGCATGGACAGATTGGCTTGACGGATATCTTGCAAGAAAACTCCATATTTGCTCATCACTAGGCGCATTTGTTGATGCAGTTACAGATAAGATCTTTATGATTGGGCTTTTCATTACAATGCTGTTATTAAATATCGTTCCTCACTGGACACTGTTTTTCATCATCCTAATTCTTCTTCGAGAGTTCCTTATTACAGCACTTAGAGCAGTTGCGGCTACTCGTTCAATTGTAATTGCAGCAGAGAAAGCCGGCAAAATTAAAACTGTGATTCAAATGATTTCTTCGATCACACTCCTCATTTGGTTTACACTTATCAAAGACTATCCTGATCTTGTTTCCTCCAAAATTCTAGATTATTTACACAAATTAGGAATTGCTCTTTTTGCTATTGCAACATTCATGACAGCATTCTCTGGTGTTAAGTATATCATAGATTATCGTCAGGTTCTTGCTGATATATAAATTTTTGTCTTGTATTTTCAAAATAAAACATTTCCGTTTATTATAACCCAATGAACAGTCAATACACTCTATATTATATATTGCTATTCCTAATTTTCACACTAGAAACGTCATCAATCTAATTGAGTGGAAACTATATGGCATACTTCTATAAATCATAATTTTATCATGCATAAGTATCAATTTCTATGTTTATTCCTCAAAATCATCAGAAATTATTTTTTTAAAAATATTGTTTAAAATGTGAGCCCCTAAACCATGAATTATATTTAAATTCCTGCATGCTTTCATTGTCAAATATTACAAGCAATATCATGTTATGAAAATTATTTCATGAATAATTTGGGCGCGTAAAGGGTTGGCGTCCTAAGGCGTCCTGATGTAAACTATTCAATTTTTGAGAAGTTTACACCATAATTGAATAGTTTATGGCGTCCTGAGAGGAGATTTCAATGGGTATGGCGTCCTAAAAAAAATAGAAGAAAATGATTTTTTTCTCGATTTTTCTAGAAATTGAATTTTTTAAAAAAGAAAAAAATCAAAACGTATACATTCAAGAAAGACTATAAATGAAGATTTTTCTATTTTTTTTCATTCTAAAAAATCTTTTTTTGGATAATTTTTTTTTAATAAATATGTAAGAAAGATTGAAGAAAAAGTAAATTTACTTTAAGAAAATTCGTTTTACATGATGTAAGACCCATAACAACTATAAATATTCAATTATTTAAAATAAAAAAAGAAAAACAGATTAAATGTATCTCACATCAAAATCCATTGACCTAAGGATGTTAAGTTTCTGTTTTTAAAAGTTGATATTTTTTTTGTGAGGTCATTTTTGATCAACAAATTAATTGAAATTCCGATCAAAAAAAAATTCACAAATCGGATCAAAAAAATCGAATCTCAAGTTAAAAATAAAAAATTTCTACATTTTTATCAAATTTAGATTTTTTTTTCAAATCATGCGAATTGATTGAATAATTGCATATTTTATCCCATGCATCTAGAAGTATGTGTAATATTTTTGCTTTCATCAAGAAATTGTCGAATTTGATCTTAATTTTTTTTGAAAAATATACTTTTAGAAAAAGAAATAGTGATTGAATAGCTGCCCATGCTGTAAAAGGGTTATTTTTACAAGTAAAAAAATTGTTATTTTTCGAGCAAGTCGAGGCTTTTTTACCATCTTATTTTTGAAAAATTTACGAAAAATTATATCTGAAAAAACGCTTCATTTTGATATCTTACAATGATAAAATACTAATGTTGCTGGGATATAATAGCTACACCTGGACATCTACTACATTAATGCGTATGACAGGTAAAGTTGATTTCAAAAGTATAGCCTGGAAAGATTACAATAAATCAACGATAATTCAAAAAAATTTCTTATAAGTTAACATAATAAAAATTTAATTTTTATATTGCTTGTATTATACTTAAGTATATAATATATTTAAATCTTAGAATGAAAATTCGGGACGCCCTAGCTATTCAATTTTCCCTTAGGACGCCCATAAACCTCTCAAAAATGTGATGTAAATATCACAATTTTGAGAAATTTACACTAGGACGCCTTAGGACGCCAACCCCCTTTTTTACCAATAATTTTAGTATCCCTTACAGTTTTAAGTTAAAATATAAATAATTTAGCAAAAACTATACACTAATCCACCAGAATTACAGTCATTTCTGTTTTTTGTAGCATCAAAAAATGGGTCCGAGTATTTCGGTCCCTTTTCGGGTGACAAATACAAAAGCTAAAGTTTTAGATTTGTCAGGACGAGATATAAAAGTTCTTGAATTTGAAGATGATTATGATATTTCAGTTGAAATACTTGATTTATCCAATAATAAAATTCAAGAATTGCCTTCTGATCTACGGCATCTGCGGACGTTGAATTTATCGAAAAATTCTCTGCAAGATATGCCTAATCAATCAGAAGATATCTTCGAAACTTATGAATCTTTGAAACAATTAAACATTTCTTACAATTTTTTAACAGAAATACCAGAATACTTTTCAGATCTCCAAAGTTTAGAAGAAGTACTCGCATTTGGTAATAGAATTTCAAAATGCTCACTCAAAAAAGCTCCAATTAAGACAATTGACTTTGGACAGAACCAATTTACTTATATCCCTTTACTGAATTCAGCTATAGAGCATCTTTACATGGATTTTAATAGAATTACTTCAATCGAAATTGCATATCCAAAACTTACTAAGCTTTGCTTAAATTTAAATCAGATTTCATTCATATCACCAGATATAGTTTTCCCTGCTCTTTTAACGTTAGACATTTCGCGCAATAAATTAACAGAATTACCAGATTTAAGTGTTTTAGCTCCAAATCTTGAACGTTTGGATGCATCATTTAATTCAATTACAGAACTTCCGAAATTGCCGATGTCTATCATTGAAATCAGACTCTCGAATAATTCAATCAAAAATTTACCGAAAGATCTTGACACTTATACAAATTTAACATACATAGACTTCTCATGTAACAAGCTTACATATGTTGGAAAGCTCCCATTTACGATTCAAACAGCAATTTTATACGAAAATGAAATTGTTGAAATTGAAGAGTGCGAAACCCCAGATTTACACTCACTAGAGATCTCACGCAACTGTTTAGAAAAGTATCCTGCATTCCGTATCAACGAAATTGCCGAACTTTCGATATTTTCAAATCGAATCAAAGAATTACGTGCTGATTGCTTCTACGAAAAGATCTACAAGCTTGACTTATCAGATAACGACACCGATCATCTTCCAGCTGATTTGTTTAAGCTTGCAACTCTCGTTCATTTGAATGTTGCGAGGAACAAAATTAAGAGCTTCCCCCCGAATATTTCTTCCTCCCCCTTAATTTATTTTTGCATCTCGGAGAACCCAATTGAGAAGCTTCCTGACCTGTTCCCTATACCACTTGAACAGTTGTATATGGCGAACTGTGGCTTGGATTGCATTCCAGACACAATTATCCGAAATGAAGAATTAATTGTTCTTGTTGCGCCAGGAAACAACATCAAATCTGTTCCTTATATACCAACATTACAGCGCGCAAACTTTTCTTGCAACAAATTGACGAAAATGCCGATATTTCCGACATCTATTACTTCAATTGACCTTTCTTGCAATAACATTAGCGAAATTACAGACAACGCTAACTTCCCATTACTCAGAGACTTCAATATCTCATCAAACAACGTTTCCAAACTTCCATCCAACTTCTTTGCTCCGAAATTAGAACTTTTCACCATAGCAAAGAACCCGCTTTCAGGAGATTGGTCACTTTCCTTACCATCCCTCGTCAAACTCGATATCAACGCCACAGATATTAATTTAATTTCCGTTCCTACGATCAACGAAGTTGTTTCACCACATCCCAGCGATATACCGTTCTGCCACTCCATCAACTGTGGCGATTGCGTCTCCTACTCCCAAAGGAAACGTTTACAAAACGGTTTTGAAGATGAAATTATCGCTGATGCAAAAAGAGGAGTTTTCGGAATATTAAATGTATCTTGTGACCAAAAAGCGACGAGAAAAGTTGCCGCCGCGTTGACTAAACTCATCAGAAGACAAGATAGTTTCGATGATCAGTCCTTCGAACAGTTATCTGATGACGCAATGATGCTTGTAAATACAGAGCCTTCTCAAGGAGAAACAACAGTAGCATTGGCTTTGGTCAGTGAAAAAGTGACAGTTGTAAGGACCGGATCTGTCCACGTATTGAAACTGAATCGGAATGGTGATATTACGTTTTCCATGCGTAATAGGACTCCTAGTCAACCATTGGACCGTCGGAGTATCAGTTTCTACAGAAGTAGAGATAATTTAGGAGTTATGCAAGCATTAGGAGATCAGTTGGTCTTCGGAGGCGATGACGACTTGAATATGAAGACTACTGAATTGACTGATGATGATAAGTGGATTGTTATAGCTTCTGATATTGTTTTTAATGTAATTGATGAAAATTTGCTGTCAAAAATGGCAAAAACAGTAGAAAATGCTGAGGAGTTCGCTTACGGATTAAGGAATACAACAATGGGACACATGTATAACCAGAAATTATCTGCAATCGTTTTAGATATTGATAAATACAAGAAAGGAAAGAATTGATATTATTTTATTGACTTTTATTTTATTAACTATGATTATAAACAAAACTGTTTTTATACAAACTCATCACATCATCTTACCATTAAATAAAAAACAAATTAAAATGTTCAGCGTAAAACTTTAATATTTTGTAGAAATCTTCAAATATATGATATAAAACAGGATATATACCAAATAAACTTGCATGTACTCCTCCGAAATCCTTAAGCTCAGACTGAATTCCTTATTGCAAAAATTATTCATCATACTCTTATGTTGTTATGAAAATAAGAATTTCTAACATAAAGTATAGGTAGAATTAGCTTCTTTTAGATCATTTGACGAGGTTACCAAAATTTTATTCAAATTCTCTGTTTTTTTGTGATATTTGCCTTTATTTCTGAATGTAATCAGAATTATGTAAATATGTTGCAAATAGATGTAATTGGTCACATAAAATTGACACTTCTTATTATGAATTTTACAATAATGGATGCATTTATCTCTTCAATTATTTCAAGTCGCATATCTTGTCTCTGCAGATGTGCTCATATGTTTCAGATGACATTTGATGAAGATCAAGTCCAAAATTATCTCGATTATGGTGCAAAAGTTCTTAGAAAAGATCCACCTTTATTACGTTTAGATGGAGACATCATGGTAGTTGGTGATTTACATGGTAATGTTGATGATTTATTAAGAATTTTTAGTATCAATGGATATCCACCACAAAAAAGATACTTATTCCTTGGTGATTACGTTGACAGAGGAGCAAATTCGATAGAAGTCGTATTACTCTTAGTCTGCCTCAAAATTAAATACCCTTCAAGCATATATTTAATCAGAGGAAATCATGAAAGCGAAAAACTCACGTCATCATACGGATTCAAGACAGAAACACAGCGCAGGATAAACAAAGGAATATACGTAGCCTTCTTAAACGTCTTCAAACAGATGCCTCTCGCTGCAGTTATCGAAGATAAGATTTTTTGTGTTCACGGCGGCATTTCCAAGAAACTTAATAAAATCAGTGAAATCGAAAAATTCGAAAAACCGGCAGCGTTTTCGCCTAATTCCGTAATTTCAGATCTTGTTTGGTCAGATCCACGCGCCAACGTCGAAAGATGGGCACCAAGCGATAGAAAGGTTGGTCAGTACTTTGGCTGGCGTGTTGTCAACAAATTCTTACAAGAAAATAAGCTTCAAATGATTGTTCGAGCTCATGAAGCTTGTATTCATGGTTATGACTGGCCATACATCGACACACCGAAACACGCACATAAATTACTTACTGTCTTCTCAAGTACAGACTACGGAAGTACTTTTAACAACGGATCAGTTTTATATGTTCCAAAAGACACAACAAAATACGAAATATCAATACTAAGGGCTGGAAAATGTGGCCCATTTAGCTATCCACAGTGGTTAGGAAACGAAACTGCAGGAACTCCTGAAATCGACATAAATCCAGACGAAATTCCTCAAATTCCCAATAAAGAGTTCCCACCTGACTATCTGTAAATGAACATGACAATTTCAATTCATCAATTTCTTTCAAAAAAAAATCTCAAATTTGAACTACAAAACTAGTCAATTCAATGTTACATCGTGTCCACTTTCTATAACAACAGTACTTTATTTACTTATTTTTTTGAAATTTTATTTTATTTTTTATCTGTTTTAATTTTAAAAAGAATTCTATTCGCATTCCTTTTTAAATCGTGATTTTCTATGAAATACTATATTTAATCATATAAATATTTGATTTGTAATAAAATTTTGCTTTATAACAGCTAAATTAGTGAAAGACATGTACTGCGATAAGAACTATGTACACATCACAGTGTTGACTTTGTTCAAGTTTGAGGTTTGTTTTGTAATTGAAGAATTCTTCATTATTAAATTTGTTTTCTCAAAAATTCAATGGAGCAATCAATTAAAAGATCTTATCTAGTGTAAACATTAATAATCAGATAAGTTCAATAACTCAAATATTTGAGATTTTGATAATTGTAACTAATACTTAACGTTTGGGAAATAATATTAATTCTATTTATCTATATATAAAGAAAATTAAACACTTTTCACACACTCATAGCAATAAAACTCGAAAGAGTGATCTGGCTGAATTTCATGTGATGTAACAGTCCAGTTCACTCCGCTCTTCTCAAATAAACGCTTTCTGAAATGAGGCATACCGAATGTAATCTGGATAAATGTACCTCCTGGCTTCAAAATTTTGGCAACGTTGTGGAAGTACTTAGTTGGGATTTCATATACCGAGTCTTCAATATCCCATTTATCAGCGTCACTTAAAATGACGGCATCAAGTGTAGCTTTGTCGATAACAAGATCAAATAATTCTGGTTCGAATGGGAATGGCTGAAGAATATCGGCAACTTCCCATTTCATACCTCTTGTATCTGTATCTTTCATGTTTTTGATGCAGGTTGGGGAGATATCAATGTTGGTGATATCATGGTAGCCTTGATCGTAAATGACATCTTGGATGTGCGAAATTCCGCAACCTACGTTAGGGATCTTCATATTTGGATCTTTAAGATAACTAAGAATGCATTTTAAGAAATTTGCATCTTTTGGACCAGTAAGCCACTCATAATGTTGGTTTGGATCGCATTTTTTGTATTCTTGATCCCACCATTCTGGCTTTGAATACAGCCTATTGTCTTCTGCAGTGAAGTCTACTTTAGCCATGGTATGAAAAGGCTTTTTCTTTGCTTCAATTTTTTCTATGAAATACTTCAATTTATGGAATTGACGATGGAAAATTTTATTGAAATTTGATAGGAAATAAACCCATAAAAAACAGATTACGTCTAAAAATACTTTAAAATATGATATAATTAATATTACTTTAAAATACATTTTTTCAACATTTTTTATTGACCAATCTGTTTTGATTTTCTTCTATAGACTTATTATCCAAGAATTTCATTGTAATGAATATGCTGGCATACAAGAAAGGATTCAGTTTCATATGTCATGTTTAAAGAAACTATTAAATTAGAATTGGTCATAAAACCATACGTGTTCGATTTACAAATTAACTTACGAACCATACTTGCAGACAAAAGTATTACTCAAATTTCTTACTGATAGATACCAAAACAATGAATGAAATTTCAGATTAAATATTTTTTACCCATAGTTTTTTGATCTCATTAGATATAACCTTTATACAGTTAGTATTTCAATTTCAGAGGTGATCAATCAAATTAATTAAAACTAAAAATTTTATTATAAAATTCATAAGACTAACTTGCTAGTGAAGTTACGGAAGCGCTCTGGATCTGCTTTGCAAACCTTTCTGTCGTAAGTGAGAAGTCCATTGACTTCGTCTTCGACATCAGAGACTTGTGTGTAAACAGAAGCAGAAAGACCATTTGGAATCTGTGGAATAATTTCTGTTGTATACAGTTTCTCTAATGCGTCATTCAGTTTTTCTTGACTTTCATACTTTGCGTAGCCAAATTGATATGTTGTGGCCAAATGGTCTTTTACAGCATACGAGTAGCCACCAAACTCTGAGAGGACAATTGGTCTGCCAATTTTATCCTTCTTGAATGTTACAGGCTTGAAGTAGATGTGTAATGATTTGAAATCTCCGGCTTTTTGATCGTGCCAACCACTTGCATGGTCGATGTGTCTTGTCTTATCGAGATCTGTAATTAACTCAACTGCTTTCTTTGCATCGAATTGGCCCCAGCCTTCATTGAATGGAACCCATGTAGAAATGCAAGGACAGTTGTACAAAAGCTCGATCATTCCTTTCAAATCTCTGTAGTAATTATCACGACCAATTTTAGAGTCGCGGTGGAACCATCCGTAATGACTATCCGAAATCGTGTCGTGTCCCATTCCGAATGGGAAGATTTGTATGATAAATGCTGAATATGGTAATTCTCCACCAGAAACAGCATCTTGCCATACAAGCATTCCGAGTTTGTCGCAATGATAATACCATCTCATTGGTTCGACCTTGATATGCTTTCTAAGCATGTTAAATCCAAGAGACTTCATCTGTTTGATATCGTAAATGAGTGCTTCATCTGATGGAGCCGTGTAAATTCCATCTGACCAATAACCTTGATCAAGAAGACCGTTGTGGAAATATGGCTTGTTATTGAGGATAAGACGTGGTATTCCATCGATTGTTTCAATTGAGAACTTACGCATTCCGAAGTAAGATTCGACTTCATCTTCTCCGTATTTGTATTTAACTGTGTAAAGATGTGGGTTTTCTGGTGACCAACTGATAAATGATGGGAGTTTGATACGCGTTTCGGCTCCATTCTTGAAAGTTCCCGATGCAATAATTTCTGTACCATTTAATATGGTAATAGTACCTTCTGCATCATTAATTGCATCAGCAATAAATAATACAGACGAATTATCGTATTCAGGAGTAATTTTAACAGATTTAAGGTAAGTTTTCGGAACCGATTCGATCCAAACTGTTTGCCAAATGCCACTTGTTGCAGTATACCAGATTCCACCTCTGTTCATGGTTTGTTTGCCGAAAGCAGCACCATCTTTATCGAGTTTATCAACAACAGTAACTTGAATTAAGTTTTCTCCTTCTTTTAAGAAATCTGTGATATCAAATGTAAATGGAAGGTAGCCACCGTCATGAGATCCGACAGTATTACCGTTTATCTTGACTTCGCATGTCTGGTCGACTGCTCCGAAATTCAATAAAATTCTTCCTTTATTAAATCCTGCAGGAAGTGTAAAATTACGCTTATAGTATAATTTCTCTTTTGCTGTAAGTTGCTTGCCAACTCTTGAAAGGTTACTTTCTGGCGAGAAAGGTACTATTATGATTCCATCATAGTTTTTAGGTTCATTTTCTTTTTCATTTCGTATGGCGTATTCCCATTCACCATTTAAATTGAAATATGAGCTACGTGCGAACTGTGGACGTGGATATTCTGGTAAAACATTTTTGATATCCAAATTTTCGCCCCATGTAGTGAGAATATTAATCATCGTTGATGAAGGTATGTAGAAATCCTGGAAGTAGCAGTAAGCGATCGCAAAAGTTATTATTAGAGGTATAATAATCAAGCAAGACTTCATAATACTTTTTTTTGTCAGATTTGATCAGGAAAAAGTTGATCCGATTTACTCTCGTGTCAAAAACACCTATAATTACGTGAGAATTAAGATGTATGAAAATTGATCAAGAAATTCAGACTATTTGCCGAGAACATCAAACAATTATCGCGAAATGATGAAATTTAATGAATAACAAGAAAAGATTCTGCATCACAGAGTATGGTTGATCCAATGGCTCATTATTATTAAATTAACATTCAATTCCATAATCATACCCACTTTTTCTTTGCATTCATGGAGTATGCATATATAACAATCAGCATCTATCAGATTTACAATTGTTTTGCATACTTAACAGCAGTCTTGACATTATTGTGACCGAATTGGATTTTCAATGGCAAAAAGTAAATATGAACGCGAAATTAAAACAAGTTAAGTGTAAAATTTCTCAAGTATGATTCTGTTTGATTGAGAGGGTGTTAAATATTCTTTTATGAATGTAAATTCAAAATCATTGCGTCTTCTTCATCGAGATAAGTTTAATGAATAGGTGAAACTTGCCCCATTTCCTGTGCATATCATAAGTTAATACCAATATGTCTGTATTTTGCCTAATATCAGTTTCAATCATTTCTTTTGATGTTCCATCAATGATTTTCCGAAGAGTTTAGTCTAAAATTTTCATATTTAGCATATAAGTATACCATTGTTTAATTCCATTTATGAATTTATAAATTTCGAATTTGTAAAGTACGATAAAAAATCAAAAAATGCTGCTTCTCCTTTTCGTTCTGTTTGGAGTAGCAACAGTTTATGCAGAAATGGTAAAACTCAATGAAAACGAAATGCCCCAGTTAGTATCCGATGAACACAATGCCAAAATTAACAATCCAAATCGCAGACTTATCGTTCACGTCAGACGTCTAGAAAATGAGACGCGAGCAGAATAGCACTTTGCTGCTGTTCGTTCATTTTTATGTTTGCGTTATCAAATTTATTAAATTTGTTAAAATCTTTTTTTACTTGCTTATTAATTAATATCTTTTAAACGAGTATTACAATCGCAAATAGTACAGTTTTTTAAATAGCATCTTTATAAACAACTATTGAAATATGAAAACTTCCTTAATATTTCTTCAGATTCATAGAATAGATTCCATATGCACAAAATGCTATTGAATGAAGTTAGACATATGATCATATACCAGACCCATGTATTGAATATTGAAATATTAAAATATTATGAATCATATGGTAATAGGGCAAAATCCACAAAATTTTTCCTTCCAAAGGAAAACTAAGAAAGTTCTAACAGATAGAAGATAAAAGTAAGAAGAATGAATAATTCATTTACATAAAAATAAATAAATTATTTGGCAAATGTGAAGGTTCCATAGTGTAATGGCTATCACTGGGGACTCTGAATCCCTAAATCCAGGTTCGATTCCTGGTGGAACCAAAATTTTTCTTTTTAATTTTCCTAAATTTTTTTGAATTATAAAATATATTATGTGATCATAGAACTACTATTTTATTTCAATTTTTATACATTTTGATATAAATGAATAGTTTACAAAATCTACGTTTTTTATTCTACTTATTTGATGAAATCAACAGTTCGGACTCAAAACAATCAATACAGGACCTCAGCACTCCCAGGATTGAATGGAAATAGAGGACAACGTCATGTTTCGGCTGAAGAAGTTCAAGCTTTGAAACTTAAAATTCAAAAGATGGAACAAGAGAAGTTACAACTGAAATCGCGTGTTGTTCGAATGAAGCAGATATTGAATGAAAGAAATGCAACAATTGAAAAAGTTTTTAAAGATACAACGTCTGAAAATCAAAAAATTCAAACAGCTAGCAAATCACAGATTGATCGCCTTCAAGATACAGTAAATGTATTACAAAATATCTTGCAAGCCAAGAAAGCTGAACTTGAAAAAATGGTTACATCCGATAGATTTGCAGTTTCTGATGAATTGCAAACTGAAGTTAAAATTTATTACCTCGAACATCAAAGATTACTTAAACAAGCTAGAGCTGTTCGTGAAGGTGAGAAAATTGTTTCTACAGAGCTAAACAGAGTCAGAAATGAAATTAATGATCGTGATAATCATAACATGGCCATTGGTAGCCTACAACAAGATTTAGCATCAATTGTAGATAAGCTCGTTTCATATAGAAAATCCGAAGTTAAGCTTCAAAATGAGGAAGTAGCGTTTAATTTCCTTCAAGAAGACCCAGAGACAGCAACAGATAAGTTCCAGCAAGAAATTGAAGATATACAGAAAGAATCCGAAGCAGCTCAAGAAGAAATAAACCAAATCGAAGAAAGTGAAGATGAAATGGTTGAGAATCTTCAAAAAGTCATATTCGACCAATCAGATAAGATCAATGTTATCATTCAACAGCTTAATGGTATTGAACCAGAAGAGGAAGAAGAACATGCAGAAGAAGAAACCAAAAACGAAAATGACAATGAGAAGAAACAAACAGAGGAAGAAGAGCACCATGAAGAAAACAAACAAGATGAAACAAAGGCAGAAGAAGTGGAAGAAACTAAAGAAGTCAATAGTACAGAATTAAAGGAGCCAGTAAAGAAATTGATCCTTGGAGAAAGAGGTGATAATCGCGGTACATTTATGACAAACGATGGAACACCAATGAAGACATTGGCTTAATTTTTTTAATTTTATTTTATTTTGATATTAAATATTTGTTGTTCGTTCATTATTTGACAATCACAAACTTTTCATTTATATCATATAGATAAGCTCCATTGGCTTTCATTTTGATCATATTAAAAAAATATAAATATTTTTGTGGATAAAATGACCAAATTGACTAGTGATAGTATAGATTCCTGATACAATGAAATATTCATCAATAAATATTATCCTTGAAGAAAATTTATCTTTTGATAAAAGGCTGCCAATAGAAATTCAATTATAAATCATGTGTAAAATCAACGTACTTATCGGTTTCATCACATATTTTGTGATTTTACAAAAATGTAATATCAACGAGTACATGACACTTTTTGAGGTATACGTTTAATTAAGATGATGGATCTAAATGAAGACGAGGCGAACGCAATTGATAAGTTCGTCAACGAGAAGTCATTAATTTCACCAGTTATTACAGCGCAAAACTTAAATAGTATTAATTCATGCCCTGATCAGCAAATGTATCGTGCAAGAATTCAATTTCTTTTTCAAGTCGATTCTTATGTTCAAAATGAAATGAGCGAGATAAATGAAGAAGCTAGAGAAGTAATGATTGATATGATTCACGATGCAATTCTTTTTACAGCAGATAATACTTTTCCATATGCAAAATCAATTGTTTTCTTAACAATTTATATTACATTCCTTCAGCAAGCAATTATTCAATCACATTACGAACCAGAAAAATTATATAGACAGTACGAAAGAATTTTATTGAAACATTCGGTTGAAAGACCTCCTCATTCATCGGGAATCTTCGATTTACCAGATGTTAAACTTATTCACGACTTCTTTATTAATTCATACTTCAGAAATGTTAAATTAATTCAAAATTGTTTATCTAAAAGACATATAATGTCATTCCAATCAATAACCCCAGTATCCATTCCATCGCAAACGCTCCCTGCATTAGCAGAAATGGAGATGGAGGTAGATCATTCAAATCTTCCGGAAGAAAAATTGGAGATTCCAGTCGAAGAAGTCAAACCACCCAATTCATCCAGAAAAGAATCAGGAAGGACAGGGTCATTACATGCTCGCAATGTTGCACCTACTCCAGGACAATCTCCACTTTCATCTCAAAGAGATTCTGAACAGAAATCAAATCAAGCAGAACCTGCTGCAGGAACAGCTCCTTCACAGCTTGAGGCTGAAGACAGAGGACCTGAAGTTCCTATTGACATTCTCCGTGAAACATTATTCAAGATGCATGAAAAATTCGTCCAAGAATTCGATGAAAAGGAGCATTTGCTTATTGGTAAGATCAAAGAGATCGAAATTAAAGCAAATGATAGACAAATTACGACACCAAAGAAAGCTGTGAGAAGCGGAAGGAAATAAGAACTATTATCTTATCATGTGTTCAATTAAACTATACTGTATTGTTTTATCTTCTGAAAAATCATACTATTTTTAAAATTTTTTCTTATAATTGTTTTAAATATTGAACATCTCTTAGATTCTTTAATCACAATCATTAAGACATGTAAAATATCGAGGTTTTTCATTATTTGGAATATAAGTAACATATGAATTTCCTGATTGAAATCATGGAAACCATAGTATGACAACCATATTCAGAAACGTATATCCCAAATACAAATTAGTACATATGTTTTTAAGTTCGAAGTATAATTTCAACCTTCTAACCTTTTTCGATCAAGATTTTTCAAAAAATGCAAATTCATGATTTTTTGGACGTGAAATTGTTGCATGCTAAGTAGTGTCAATGTGTAAACCTCTCAATTTTATCGTCGGGGAAGCAACACAATTCCCTCAAAAATATTGAAAAAATATAGAAAATAAAATGAATTAAGATGTACTTAAAATGAGAAATAGATTATGATATTAGATTTTAGAAAAAACAGACTTTTGATATAACTTTTGAGAATCTCATATAAAAAAAAGCATTTAAAAATAAATTTAAATATCTTATTTATTTTACTATTGTAAATATATTCTGAGATTTTTAGGAAAAACACTTTTCATAAGTATTCAATATTTGAAAATACGCTCCAAAAAAGAATAGATTCTTTTATATTCGCTTATATAAAAGGAGACTCTCTATCAGATGCGAATGCCTGAATTCAGCACCTCTGATAGAGAGTTTCCTCTTATATAAGCAAATCTTTTTCATTCGTTTTTGTTAATATAAAAACATCAAAATCTACCAATATGAGAAATGACAAAACTTGTTCGCAATTGTGAACCATTGCGAGCAAGTTTGCCAGATATCTGGAAGGAATTGCTCCTTATGATATATGCATTGTAACCGTATATATCATAAAGAGCAATTCCTTCAATTAAACGCAAAAACTTTGGTGCAATCGTTGCTGATTGCACCAAAGTTTTCGAACTTTCCGAGGGAATTGGAGGGTGAGAGATACATAGTCTATCTATGTACCTCCCACCCTCCAAATCCCACTCTAAATGGGAGAAACTTTGTTCGCATGTTATCTTATTCAAACAAAGTTTCTCCCATTTAGAGAAGGAATAGGAGCCTACCAGGCACTGATATATAATCAGTGCTTTGTAGGCTCCTATTCCTAATAAAAATTTGAAAACTTTGGAGCATTTGATTATTGTATTTTGTCAAGAGAAATTCAACCCTGCGAAGTGCCAGTTCTAGACTGGTGCCTCGCAGGGTTTAATTTCTCATATTGGTAGATTTTGATGTTTTTATATTAACAAAAACGAATGAAAAAGATTTGCTTATATAAGAGGAAACTCTCTATCAGAGGTGCTGAATTCAGGCATTCGCATCTGATAGAGAGTCTCCTTTTATATAAGCGAATATAAAAGAATCTATTCTTTTTTGGAGCGTATTTTCAAATATTGAATACTTATGAAAAGTGTTTTTCCTAAAAATTTAATATAATGCTTAGCACAATATATAAAATTAAAATATCTATAATTATTTTCTATATCACACTTTTCATTACACCTTGAAAAGTCTTCTCAAACTCTATTTTTAATTATTTTTTAGATATATCTCAAGTGTGATTATTCAAAAACTCATATAGACTATATTTATTTTTTTCATTCAAAAAATTATATGAGAATCTCAAATTAACTTTCAAATTTTTTATTTTAAAAACATATTAATAATCATATTTTAAGATACTTTTCGCCCAAAAAATAATCGTACTTCCTCGACGATTAACAGGCTCTCAATTTCTATCGTTGACACTACTTAGCATGCAACAAAATTCATTAATATTGACATTAGGAATGCTTTTACTAAAACGATGCAGCTTCGTTAAAATTTGAATATCCTTGATATTTTGTGAAAATTTGACTGTAAGCAATTTGGTCACAACAATGAATGCTAAGCAAATAATCGATCATAAATGGATTTAAGTTTTTGAAAGATGTACGTTAATTTTTAAATGAAAAGCGTCGTGAAATGGCTAGTGGACGTTAGCTTCCGTCCTCCACGCCATACATACGATAACAATAGAACAGTTTCAGTAGTCACGACAAATAAAAATGTTTATATTCGGAAATCTTGCGAATTTCAGAATTTTCGCGGGAATAAATTGTTTGGCTCCTTATGGATTGACAGAGCTTCACCAATGCCAAGTAATTGTTTATTATATTTACACAGTTTGGGCACAAATCAATTTGAGGCCCTAAATTTAGTACCTTTTATGGTATCTCAAGATTTAGCATTATTTGCTTTCGACTTTCCAGGGTGTGGAATATCGGAAGGCGAGTATATTCCGCTTGATGGAAGTGGAATTCAAGATGTTTTAGCAGCTTACGATTATCTCGGTGAACAGTATCACTTCACAAAGTTTGCAGTTTGGGGACGATCGATGGGTGCTGCTATTGCGCTACACTCAGTATCTGCTTCAAACAAGTTTGCATGTTGCGTTTCTGATTCTACTTTTCAAAACACAGAAGCTGTCGTATTTGATCAAGCAGACCAAAACGGTATTCCGAGATTTGCAATCTCGTTATTCGAACCATTTGTTAAATATCAAGCAAGAAAAATGTTACATACAAATATCATTTCTCCATATCCTTTAAGTGAAGTACCATACTCATCTACACCTCTATTGATGGGACATGGCAAACAAGACACGTTTGTTAGCCCATCACAAGCTCAACACTTATTTGATTCTTATGGCTTTGCCGACAAACAGCTATATTTGTTCGATGCACGACACAATAGTGTCAGACCATATCAGTGGTATGAAACTGCATCAAGATTTATATATAGAAAACTTGGAATTAAACCAGTGAAAAGGTATTATGATTCAATATTCACCAGCTCAGAGTTACACTCTGGAATACAAGATGTTATTTTAGAGGATATTGATCGAAGTATCCAAGAAAGCCTTGATAAAGAACTCGCAAAAAAGGTAGAAAATCCAGCTTTGGCACAGGATATTCCTCAAGCACCACCTCCTGGACATCCAACTGAACAGTTATCTGAGGAACTGCCACCAAGTATAGAAACTATTCCTGTCGTAGGAAAGAGTGAAGAAAATTAAATGTTGTATTTTGTATGTTATGTTAGTAAAAATGATATAAATGTTTATAGTACTAAAACAAAATTTATTTATTAACTCTATACTACAATAATAAGTCAATTTGAATTTTGAATCTTTAATCAACAAAAACTTAATAGCAAAATCAGCTTTAAATAAGAGAAAATAGAGCTTGGTGTCAAATTTATAAGCTTTAAGATTGTTATTTTTCTTGATATTTTTATAAAACTTAATGTGATTCCGTTTGTTCATGTAGAACGCATATGCGGTTTAAAATAAAAAGAAAATAGAGATTTTAAAATGAAAGAGAAACAATTTTTTAAGAATTAAAATTAAATTTCGCAAACAGTTAGTTAAAGAATGAATAACCATGCATATTAGGGTACATTCCCAAGAAAATGTTACCAGATAAGAAAATTATGAAATCTATGCAACCACAATAAAGATCACCGTTCAGAACTTTACCAAAATCAACTGTTTTTGCACCAGTATCCATTTTAGGAATTTCTGCTCCACTATCGGAATCATTTTCTTCTAATTCTTCAGTCCAATCAGAACCCATCCAATTAAAGTCTTCGCGCGACAATCCGTAGTTAACATAGAATACTTGAGCCATAATTGCAGCAAGCATTCCTCGAATGGCAAGATAATGTGAATCTCTATTATTATCTGCGTCGTATTCAAATTTTATAGAGCTGTATATTACTGCTGAAAGAGCCAATATAATAACTACAATATTAAAAGCTGTAAAAGTACATGGTGGAACAAATTTTGAAAAACAAATGACCCAAAATTCAAGAGCTACAGAAGAAACCGCACCAGCATATGATGATAGACCACCGTATATTTGAGCGAAGATATCTAAAACTAAAATTATTGTTGCAATTGAATATCTTGCGATTTTGAACTTTGGGGTGTATGAAATTATAGCGGAAGCTAGAATTGTCATTGTAACAAGATCTGGAGAAGGACTTCTGAACTGTCCACGAAGGAAATACGTTTTATTTTTATCCCACCTTAAACAAGCTGGTTGCTGGTTTATATATATGTGAAATATTGAACAAACAAGAGCTCCGAGTCCAATAAGATTTTCATAAAAGCAAAAATTAAGTACTAATCTATTATAAAAGTTTCGTAATTGCGTTTGAAGACCGAATCCATAAATTTTGAATAACATGGGTAAAATAATTAATATAATTGCAATGATTGTAACAATAGCATCATAATGAATAGTTCTGCGATAAGTTTCTGTTATCCCAATCATGCCGCCCCTGGCTTTTGTGTGACAAACGTCATACCATTTATCAGAAATTGCACTGAAATTATAGCCAGTTGTGGTGTCAAAATACGACATCGTTTGTCACTTTTTGCAGTTGAAAATCTTATGAATTCAAATCTAAAAGGAACATAAAATAATATTATAAATACACATTCAATTTGTTTTTAATCGTTAAATAGTTCGTAACACCAATATATCACATAAATTCTAATGGGCATTGCAGGGGATGGCGTCACATGGCGTCATGACGTAAACCTCTCAATTTTGAAATGTTTACGTCATGACGCCACCGTTAATTAGGAAAAATTCAATGGGTCGGCGTCACAAATAGGGTGTCAGAAGTTATCGTGAATTAATCGTCGAGGAAGTAAAAATAATTTTTAAAATAGAAATTCTTGCTGTATTGAATTTTGAGTTGAATTTTGCACTTTTTTTCCGAAGAATTTGTTACATTTCATAGGTTTACGTTATTGAAAAAGTGAGACTTTTGTGAAGAAAAATAAATCTTTACTCTAAAATTAAGGGTATAGTCCACTAAAACTTTTTAAGTTTTGACAATGAAAATAAGCTCTGTGACCATGTAAATATATATCTATGCAAAACGAGAGGTTATGCCATAATTTTTTTTAGTTATCAAATTTTCCTTTTTTTGAGAGAAGTCTCTCAATAATTTGAGAAGAATCTTTGATATAAAGAGATACACATTTGTAGAACGAAGTAAGTGTTTTCCAAACATTTTATATGTTCATCCTGTATAACAATATAAAGCTGCATAGTGCCATCTTGTGCGTTTGCTATTTTATGTACTTTTCATTGAGATAATCCCTCTTCTCGGGTGATTTTAACAGTCAACTCAATTTTAAAATAAAGATTTCATCAAAATGATTTCGAAATTCGGATATTGATTATATAAATAGCACTGTTAACATATTTTGGATGAGTAAAAAATACCTTGTTTTGTATGCATTTAGTACACCTTTATTTTTGATTAAAACTATAAAATTTTTATTCCTTATATAATAAATAGTATATGTTACATAAACATGAAATTCAATAGCATTCAATTTTGGATTTTTTAGATTTGGTAAATTTTAGAAGAAATAAAATCAGCAATCAAAATAAAGAAACTTTTTTTGTATCTTCTATGATTACCTTTTGGTACTAAATTTTGCATTAATAAGTAAATTATCTGTATTATTCTGTGAGCACAAGCCCTCAGTTATGCTGGTAGTGAATGATGAATCGTCATTTTGCGAAGAGAACGCGATTATTAAGGTAATTTTGAGAATTGTCTTGAATTATTTAAAATTAAAGTTAATTGAATAGGTAGGATAACTAGCCTTTGCTAAATTTGTATAATTTGACCTTATTCTAGTTGGATCTGAGAATATTTTGCTGAAATAATAAATTATATCGCCGATTTATGAAAATTTCTCTGATGGGACCGACTCGCTGAAACGTATTAGTGTTAATGGTAACTTGTCTGAATTTTCAAATTTTTTTCGAAATCCAAAAAATCACAAACAAAAGCATCAAAATTAGATTTGCATTTAAGGTTTTCATTTTTTTTTGGAAAATAAAAATATTTTTCCCCAATAAAGTTTATTTTTACTTTTGAGAGGAATAGAAACGTTATTTTGGAATTTTGAAACGACAGAAATGTTCCATTTTTAATGTAGATTCTAAAATGGGGTCAAATTTTTGATTGAACCGTTATCCATTGAAAAACCTCGATTTTAAAATGTTATTCCAAAATATTCATCTAATGATATAGTATATATTTATTAATTATTACTTTTTATTCAATTTTCACTTTTGGCGGGATTTCATTTTTTTGTTGTTGTATGGGCCATATTGTTCACCCAAAACGGAAAACAAAGGCAATGCATAACATTTTACTCCACGAACGTCGTCGACTCTCAGCGCGACAGATGCTTGGTGCTTGCATAATGACCGGAATGCCATATACAAAAGGTGCTCGCTTTCTTTCTCTTTGTGGAACTAAGCCCCCTGTGAAGAGTGGTGTCATGAGACAACAGAGATTTTGTGACGATAAGATTAGAAGACTTAAAAGTATTTCCCTAATGCTGTCGAGAAAGTCCTTCAGTGGTTACTTATCCATTGATGCAAGATGGACGCACAGGCGAAACTCGCCAAGTTGTACAGTAACTGCGCTCGATGCTGTCACAAAAAGAGTTCTTGCATGCGTGAACATCAACCATATTGGTGGAAACAGACAGCATGCTCAGTATTCCGGAGCTTCCAACAATATGGAAAGTGCTGGAACTCGAATCATCTTGAAGCAATTAAAGAAATACAATATCTTGAAAGATGTTAAAGAGATTATTAAAGACCGAGATAACAAAAGTGTCTCTGTCTTTAAAGAATTTGGCGTCTCTCATCTTGAAAGATTCGATCCAGGTCATGTATCAAAAAATATCTCAAAAGATTTTACAAAGTTCTCAGCTTCTCATAAGACAGTTGAAGTTTTCAACGACAAGACTCAGAAGATTGAAAAAATAGAGAGACCTTTCTGGGGTCTGAATGCAAGCCTAAGTATGTGGCTTTGGTCATGTTTTGCCGAAGAAAATATTGACAAACGTACGAAAATGTGGGAGAATTGTGTCTACCATTACGTAGGCAATCATTTTTTTGCGAACCGCACAATTACAAATGCTTTGAATGGCAAAAAGGTGTCAATTCGATCCAACTTCAATTCATGCTCTATGACTGGGTTCACAAATGGACACCCATAGTTTCCAAAGTTTCTTCCATTGGATCTACCTGCATGAATGAAGCGTTTAACTCCAAAATTGCATGCTATTTGGACAAATCAAGAGCCTGGAAGAACATTAACATTAGAGTTAACGTTGCAATCTTAGAATGGAATGATCCAGAGCATTTTCTCGGAGATATACAAAAAGCATTACATCTTCCCCACTTCCAGAAGATTATGTCAAATCATTTGAAGAGAATTGTTACTCCAAAATGATATTGAAACAAAAAACTGTTACAAAAGGTTCTAAAAAACAGAACAAATACAAAAAATCCATTCAGAGTGTACCAGGAGGAGATTATCAAGTTTTCAAGTCCGAATGGGAATCAGAAGACGAAGACATTGATGACTTTGATTAACGAAAATTACATTTTATTTATTGTTTTTGTTTTTAATTAAATTATTATTATGCTCATTTTCTTATTTTGATTTTTTCTCATTATGATATAAATAATTTATTAATGCATTTATCCAATAATTATGCTATGATATTTTTATGCCTTATTTCATTTCTCTTATATTTGATAATCTGGTAAAATATAGTTCAGACTATAATCATTTTAGATTATTGATATATTTATATAGGTTAGAATAAAATTAGTTTCATTTTCTACTTTTATTTTGAATTAATAATTTATAATATCAAATATTATGGCGTAACCTCTCCTTTAAAATATAGATATATATAGGCCTATAGAGTTTATTGGCACTCTCAAAACTCTAGAATTTTGAGTTTACTATACCCTTAACAATTCTATAATTTCTGTAAAATGATTAACGCTAAGATCAGCAGAGTCATTATGCCAATAACTTCTACGAAAACAAATCACCGAAATACGAAAATTGGAATTCGAAGATATAATTTCGAATTGATTTTCGATATCTGCGGTGTCATTATGCTTCGAATATCTATGGGAATGCTGGACTTCACGAAATGGAGTTCGGATACCAATAAATGAACGAGAAATTATCAAAAAATCATCATTGGAAAGTGAAATGACCACACAATGAGTCTTGAATTTCTTTTATGTAAGTCATGTTTATAATAACCTAAACATATGATATGTAACAAATTCTTCTGCAAAAAGTGCAAAACTCAAAATTCAAGACAGCAAGAATTCAAATTTGGAGAGAGGGTCAAAGTTGCTATTTGTCACTTTTCCACAAGAATATAATGGGGAAAAAGTTATCATATAGTTGATCTCATTCACTGAGGTGAGAGATGCATGTAGTGTAATGTGATAAACAGTGGGATTGGTGCTCTAAGTCCTAGGTTCGAGACACATTGGCTTCATTTTTCTCTTTTTTATTGACGTAAACTATTCAATTTTTGTGTTCTCCATTCAAATTTCAGAATTTTTTTTGCAGATTTCACGCTACATTCGAAGTTACCTTTTGTAACAACCACCACTGCCTACGAAAGACGAAAGTGTGTCACGATTTCACCCGGAAATCCGACGGTTGTTTAAGAGTAAGCACTTTTGGCACCTACTCTTCAAATTTGTGACATTTGAGAGGGCTGAAGCCCTCTCAAATGTAACAAATTTTTAATTTGTGAAAATATTAAAAATAGTATGATTTTAAAATTTAAGACAAAATTAAGTTTTGTATAAAACTTTTGAAAATGCAAAAAAGGTAAGAATTGTTATAGACCGAAAATAGATTTTTTCGGTTTTCTCTTCAAATAATTGAAAGAATGATACTATTATAGGTTTATTATATTATATAGCATATAATCATGCTATAGCCGAAAATTATAAGTTTTGAGAAGATTGAATATAACACAAATAAATTTGAATGTAAGTTAAATTGCTTGTTGTTTTTAATAGCTATTTAATGAGAAATCCAATATTGCAAAATTCAAATTGAATGATTGAAAGAACAGAAAAAGTCATTCTTTTCAATTTCGAATATGTTTCATTGTATTTATAATTATATGGCAAATAAGATATTTAAACTTGATTTTTGAAGGAAAATTCACAAAATTGAATGAATTCAAATAATTTTTATTCAAAAATAAACCAGTTATTTGAGTTTAATACTAATTATCTATTCAAACTACAAAGTTTGTAATTTAAAATATTTTGTGAGATCAGATTGAATTAATTCAAGGTTCTTTTCAATTAATATTCATGACCATATTACGCATTTTCGAACATTCTAAACCAAATATATAAAAATGGGAGACGAATGTTAAATTTGCTAGACATGGGGGAGTTGTCTGCAAAGTTTTAGCTCTTATCTCTAACAAAAAATTAATTTTTAAAAAAAAGACCGAATACGTTTCACAGCGAGAAAAAAATAAAAGGCAAGATAGAATTTTCTAGACATAAAGAAGTTGTTTACCGAGTTTTAGCTCTTATCTCTAACAAAAAATTAATTTTTAAAAAAAAGACCGAATACGTTTCACAGCGAGAAAAAAATAAAAGGCAAGATAGAATTTTCTAGACATAAAGAAGTTGTTTACCGAGTTTTAGCTCTTATCTCTAACAAAAAATTAATTTTTAAAAAAAAGACCGAATACGTTTCACAGCGAGAAAAAAATAAAAGGCAAGATAGAATTTTCTAGACATAAAGAAGTTGTCTACCAAGTTTCAGCTGTTACTTCTTCTCAATACTGATATAAAATAAAAATCTTTATTATTTATTTACCCTTTATTGTTTCATTAAACTTCATTTATTTTATATTATAGTTTTATTCTTTTAGCTACTTGTAAAATAATCTAATTTTATATCATCATTTTACCGGATTATTCTTCAGTACATCGATTGTGTATCTAAAATAATATCATTATCCTTATTCTGTTTTTTCCAAAATTCTTTTAAATATCTTTTTTGGTTAGATTACTTTATACTTTTTACTTTATTTTTTAATTTCAAAAAAAAATTTGGTGATTGTTCTATTCTGTTACAATGTGCATTATCATATTCTAATGAATTATTCATTACATACATTAAAAAAAACTTGTTAAAAATGAAATTAAAAAATTATTTATTATTACGCTGTGAATGTGTCAACAGCGGTCATGCCTGTATCTGTATCCCATATTTGCCACAACCTTTCTGTATCTGCATTTGTGTATTTCGGTTTCAGCTGATACATTTGATTTGGCGTGTAATTTGTTCCAGTTAATGAATTAATTGGGAGATCTTCATGCGGTGTGTTATTATTGTACTCCCAAATAAAGGCAGGAATAGCCTGAATGCTTTGGCAGCGCTCCAATGTCGGCCAGAATCTCTCAATCTTCCCATTTTGGTAGGGAGAATGAGAGTCTATGCCGCCATTGGACGCCCCAAAGATCAAGTAGATCTTGAAAGGCGCCCCTATTTTCTGAACCGTTGTCGGTCCAGAAACAATAAGGGGCGCCAAATTCAATGAAGGCGGAAGCCGCAACGTTCGCTGTCGTCGCTGCCAGCATATCTGGTATTTGTATACACGCTAGGACTTTGCGGCTAAAATCGTCGATTATGCCATAAATATACTGGCCACGAACACCCCTAAAATAATGAACATCTGCGTGCCAGATAAGATTGGGTGAAAGCGCCCAATATCTTACTGCTGTTTCTGGCCCGGCATGCTCTAATCGCGTCTTGGTGAAATGATTTTCTTTGAAGTATCTGCGTACTTCTCTATAAGATACATCAATTTGTTGTAATTTCAAACGTTTCCATTGTTTTGTTTGACCACAGGGAAAGGCCCAGTGGTCATGTATCACAGCAAGAGCTTTGATTTGGTCGTAGGGATTGACCCTACGACCTTTCTTGCCTTTAGGCAATGGGATATTCTGTAAGCTAAATTGATTTTGTAAAAAAGATTTTGAAACATCTAAATATTTGAAATCATTTGATTGAAGGGTTGGGGCGATGGGAACATGGGTGCAAGCTTCTTCCCATGTCATTTTACCTTCTTCAATCTGATTGGAAATACCAATTAGGTAAATTCGATCGACATACCCTTTGTAAGGATTCATTCTAATGAAGTACATTAACAATCAAAATATTCTATAAGTGTCTAGTATGGAATTCAAAAGAATAAAGAAAATGGTAACGTAAATAAACGTATTATTAAATAATTTATAATTAAAATGAAAAAAAAAAAATAATAAGTAAAGTGACTGGAAATGAAAATTAAAATCAGTGTACAGTTTTATTTTTTTCTCGCTGTGAAACGTATTCGGTCTTTTTTTTAAAAATTAATTTTTTGTTAGAGATAAGAGCTAAAACTCGGTAAACAACTTCTTATGTCTAGAAAATTCTATCTTGCCTTTTATTTTTTTCTCGCTGTGAAACGTATTCGGTCTTTTTTTTAAAAATTAATTTTTTGTTAGAGATAAGAGCTAAAACTCGGTAAACAACTTCTTTATGTCTAGAAAATTCTATCTTGCCTTTTATTTTTTTCTCGCTGTGAAACGTATTCGGTTTTTTTTTTTAAAAATTAATTTTTTGTTAGAGATAAGAGCTAAAACTCGGTAAACAACTTCTTTATGTCTAGAAAATTCTATCTTGCCTTTTATTTTTTTCTCGCTGTGAAACGTATTCGGTCTTTTTTTTAAAAATTAATTTTTTGTTAGAGATAAGAGCTAAAACTCGGTAAACAACTTCTTTATGTCTAGAAAATTCTATCTTGCCTTTTATTTTTTTCTCGCTGTGAAACGTATTCGGTCTTTTTTTTTAAAAATTAATTTTTTGTTAGAGATAAGAGCTAAAACTCGGTAAACAACTTCTTTATGTCTAGAAAATTCTATCTTGCCTTTTATTTTTTTCTCGCTGTGAAACGTATTCGGTCTTTTTTTTAAAAATTAATTTTTTGTTAGAGATAAGAGCTAAAACTTTGCAGACAACTCCCCCATGTCTAGCAAATTTAACATTCGTCTCCCATTTTTATATATTTGGTTTAGAATGTTCGAAAATGCGTAATATGGTCATGAATATTAATTGAAAAGAACCTTGAATTAATTCAATCTGATCTCACAAAATATTTTAAATTACAAACTTTGTAGTTTGAATAGATAATTAGTATTAAACTCAAATAACTGGTTTATTTTTGAATAAAAATTATTTGAATTCATTCAATTTTGTGAATTTTCCTTCAAAAATCAAGTTTAAATATCTTATTTGCCATATAATTATAAATACAATGAAACATATTCGAAATTGAAAAGAATGACTTTTTCTGTTCTTTCAATCATTCAATTTGAATTTTGCAATATTGGATTTCTCATTAAATAGCTATTAAAAACAACAAGCAATTTAACTTACATTCAAATTTATTTGTGTTATATTCAATCTTCTCAAAACTTATAATTTTCGGCTATAGCATGATTATATGCTATATAATATAATAAACCTATAATAGTATCATTCTTTCAATTATTTGAAGAGAAAACCGAAAAAATCTATTTTCGGTCTATAACAAAAAAAGGTAAGAATGAAGTTATGATTTTTGAAAATGCAAAGAAATTTTTATGATATATAGAATAACCTGCAAGACACTTGCCTAGAGCAAGCACTTCGCAGGCAACAATTCCCTCTCTGGAGCTCCGAAATTTGGTCTTAATTGGAAACAATTGCGACCTTTTTTAAGAGTTCCAGGGAAGGGATTGGAACCTGCGAGGCACTTGCCTAGAGCAAGCACTTCGCAGGCAACAATTCCCTCTCTGGAGCTCCGAAATTTACTTTTAATCTCTTATCAAAAGTTCTTTCAATTTTTTTTTTAAAAAATCTCAAATCCATATCTCTTATATTTTATTTCCTGAGTTTTGTGTTTCAATCTTACACAAAATTATTTCATAAGTTTATAATACTTCCTCGACGATTAAATATCAATTTTTGACGAAATAATCGTTTCGTAAACTTGTGACGCCGACCCATTGAATTTTTACTAAATAACGGTGGCGTCATGACGTAAATCTCTCAAAATTGAAAGGTTTACGTCATGACGCCATGTGACGCCATCTAGTGATTAGACCAATTCTAATGCAAACAGCCTATAATTTCTATATTTAGAGGGTAAGAGACAAGATATCAAATTAGTGCATAAATCGTATCCTGATATTTAGGAGAATATTATTTGTTTGTTAATTTTTCAAAATTGAAAATATTATTCTTTGATTGATCATTTTAAAACCGAAATATGGCAATAAATATGTCATGGAATGCAGTTTCAATGTTTATTTTCATGTTATAAAATGCTTACGATTACAATACGTTTTTTTCAAGAAGAAAACTCAAAAAAATGTCGAAGTCAGAGGAATTTCATTGGAGAGGTGGAGATGTTCTGAAAGAAAAGGAATACATCGATGCTGAATATAAGAAATCGATTACAGAATATAGGAAAAATCTTATGATTAAGAATAGTTTAGAAAAAGAATTAGAAGCCGCTACTGCAGACTTAGAAGAAAAACAAGGATACAGTAATGCTTTACAATCATTTATGAATGGAACAGAACAAGGAGGAAAAGAATACGAATTAAAACAAAAACTTGATCAAATCCACAGTGAAATTCAACAAAAAAGCGCAGAATTAGCTACCATGTCAGAATGTCAAAACCCTGCTGCTGTTGCTGCTCTTTCTAAAGAAAACGCGACGTTACTTATCGAAGGCCAGAGAAATGCAAAGCTTATTGCAAATTCAGATGCTCAAACAGATACCATTATACGCCAGCTTGCTGCTTGCACCATATCTGACCCATATCAATACGCTTGCCAATTAGATATTTCAATGATACGCGAAAGCCGCCATAAGACTGTTCTTCGTCAGCTCGTTAGTAGTCTGAAAGGATCATTTGATATGTCACAAAAGATAATGCCTTCTAAAACAGATTATTCCCAAAAATTACGTGATCATTTTACTGATTCTATTACTCTCAAGGCTGCCATGAAAGATGCTCACTTTAACTACAGATACGATGTCGAAGATCACAATATGCACATCAAAGCTTTGATTTCTCATATTGATGAATTAAATTCTCGTCTTGAAGACCTTAAACTTCAAGATTACGTCATCAGCATTGACGAACTGAATCAACAGTTCCAGCCAAAGAAGCCAACCGAGGCAACAAGTGAAGAAGTCGAAGAAAGACGCAATAACAAGAAAGAAAGACACGAAAATCTTCTTCAAGAAGACAAAAAGCGTCAAGCCGATGCCGAAAATGCAGCGAAAAGAGAGAAAAGAGAAGCAGATAGAAAACGTCGCGAAGAACTTAAGCAGGCAGAAGAGAAACGTGAAGAAGAACGTCGCAAAGATCTTGAGAAATACCAAGCCAGAAAACGTGCAGAAGAAGAACATCAAAGGAAACTTAAACTCAGTGGTCCATTTGGTCAGAAGAAGAAACCATCAACAACAGAAAACAAGAGTACTAAAATCACGCCATCAACAACTATCAAAGAGAAAGTTGAAGAGTTTGTTGACGACGAAAACGAAAACAATGAAGAAGACAAACCAAAAGAAGAAAAAACAGAAAACGTCGATGATGGAGATGATGCACAAGTTGAAATTGGCTCTGAATCAGATGAATGAAACAAAAATCCACTTAATAAAACTATTATTTACTATGTTTTTATTATAAATTAAAAGATTTTTTTTCTTCCTCACACACACATCGTGCTCAAGAAAGATAAACTAAAGTATACAAAAGATATCATCACTGTTAAGCAAATTATTCAATTGTTATGAAAACAAGTAAGATCTTATAATCTTTTCATTGAAGATACAAATCATCCTCAAGTCTTTATATCATGTGGAAGGAATTCTTGAAGCTTCATCCAACATTTACTCATTAACTTATATTCTCATTTGTGGTTAAATATTATATTTAATGATGATACCCAATTTTTGATCCCAAACAACTATGAAACCATTGATGAATATTCATTTTATAATTGTGACAATCTGGAAAGCATTATTTTTCCAAAATCACTCAAACAAATCAAGGAAAAGGCATTTTACCGATGTCTCAATCTTATTAGTATTGAATTTCCAGATAAAACTTATATAGTTCGGAAATCTGCATTCGAAAGCTGCGAAAATTTGGTTACGGTGAAGCTTCCAAAAAATTTCACCATTATAGAAGATAGCATCTTTTATGAGTGCAATAAACTTGAATTTTTGACTCTATCGTTGAATCTAAAAATAATAAAGAGCAGTGCTTTTGGTAAATGTAATTCATTGAAAACAATAATATTTCCAGAGACCCTAGAACAAATAGAGGGTGGCGCATTTTATGGAAACAGTTTAACTTCGATTGAATTTAAGTCTACAGTAAAAGTTATTGCAAATGGAAATTTTGAAGGTTACAATAACTATGGAACTGAATTTATTTTTCCAAATCAAATGAATTACAGGCCTTTTCAATTTAGGAATCAAGTTATAGAATCAATTTCGATTAATGAAGAATTTCCAATTTACTGCTTCTACAGATCTAATATCACGAATATCAATCTTGGTAACAAAATCGAAATGATCCCATCCCTGGGATTTGCATACAGCACAATTGAATCTATTAATCTTGAAAATATCAAAGTTGTTTCATCGGATGCTTTTTCTAATTGTGAAAAACTTATTAATGTAACATTTTCAGATAAACTTGAATATATTGGACGGTCTACATTTTATCGCTGCAATAATTTAGAATTTGTAAAAATCAACTCAAATAAAATAATTGAAGTAGGAATATCTGCATTTTCATATTGTTTCAAGTTAAATTATTCGAATATAATATCAGTCATGAGTACTATTCCTAAAGGATGTTTTTACCGTTGCTATAAAGAAAACTCGGTTGATTTACACTCTTCATGCAAAGTAATTGAAAAAGAATCATTTTGTGTTTTCAACGGAACAATTACATTGAATGAAGGACTTGAAATCATTGGAGACAAATCGTTTGAAGATGGGTTATTAACTTCTATTGTTATCCCATCAACGGTAAGATATATTGGTGATTCTGCTTTTCATAATTGCTATCATTTAGAGAGCATTGCAATTCCATCATCTGTAACTTATTTAGGTGAGGGTTGTTTCGTTAGATGTTATGCTCTAAAATCAGCTATAATTGGGGAAAGAATAACAAAATTACCGGATGCAGTTTTTTATGAATGCATAAGTCTTTCAAATATTATATTTTTAGGTAGAATAACTAGTTTTGGAAGTGGAAGTTTAAGTTCAACAAATATTTCAAATATAAAATTGCCTTCAAATTGTATATGTGAGGATAGATCATTTGGTTTCGCTGATATAAAAATGATTGAAACGGGATATAATTCTGTGATAACATTTGATTTTTTCCAATCAACAGGGCTCAATATTGTTTGGAATGATAATCTAACCTTTATTCGAACAGATTATATTTATATTCAACAACTAAATCTTTATTATGTTGGAAGTGCAAAATATGATCATGAAATAGATCAGTCACTTTATTATCTACTAAATTTTAACGAAAACACTAAAGTTTATGTCACACCACGATATCGAAGTTGCACATTTTGTGGGATTGAAGTAATGCATACATATTTTAATCCATTTGAAACTCAATTGTCATTATTTTTACGTTTACGAAGACTCGTTCTCGAAATTGAACATCCTGCACAAATATGCGATCTTAATGCATATGTTAGTCATTATGATGCATATTTTATTAAGAAGGTTCATAGACTTGTTCCATCTTTATCATTTTGTAATTCCATCTTAATAAAACCTTCATAAAATTATCATTTGCTCATATTCTTTTTAAATTTATTATAATTTCTATATGTTTCTCTTGGAAAATTCTCAACAATGCATTTTGATTAGAAATTTCGATTATATGAAACAATGCATCGTTTAGTATAGAACTGTAGGTGTCACGTTTTTCGAAATTAGTATTTTTTTAATCAATTGATAGTAGTTGGACTGTAGATGTGATGAAGAGTTTCATTGCACATTCAATGGGAATCTTCTTACAAGAACATTTGCGAATAATAACAGTATCACAAGTGTTAATATCTCGGGTGAAATTAAAGCTATTCCATCATACTACTTTTATCGATGCGAATCATTAGTCAATGTAACACTAAACAAAAATATCCAATCTATTGGTGACAGTGCATTTGCAAGTTGCTATCAATTAAAAGAAATTAATATTCCAAATTCATGTTTTTCTATTGGACAATACTGTTTCTCTTCATGTGGTAATTTAGAAAATGTTACATTTTCTAATTTAATATCAACAATACCAAATAACTGTTTCATTTTTGTAGGAATTTGATTAATATTGAATTACCATCCCATCTTACAATAATTGGGAATTATTCATTTCAGTATTGCAAATTGCAAGAAATTCGATTTCCAGAAAGCCTCATTGAGATACACGATTCAGCTTTTTACGAAAATAATTTCACAGAAGTTACATTCCCAAATAACTTAAAGTATATCGGAAATTCATGTTTTTCTAGATGTCAAAATCTCAAATCTGTAAATTTTGGATTATCATCCAATATTATTATTGAATATGGCGTTTTTTCTTCTTGCACAAGTCTGAAATATGTTAATTTAATAGGCAATGCAATTGAACCTAGAGGCAGACAGATTTTTGATAAAAGCATGATTATTAATGTTTCATACAATGTAGATTTGACCAGTATCAAAATATTTCCATCATTCTATTCAGGAAATATAAATGTTTCATCTGTAACAGAGACACACATTTTATTTAATGATGATATTAAATTTTTAATTCCTAATAACTACGAAATCATTGATGATTATTCTTTTGCATCATGCGAAAATCTTAATAATATATTACATTCCCAAGGGCACTCAAACAAATTAACAAAGAGGCATTTAGCAGATGCAAAAATTTAAATAATATTGAATTTCCTGATAGTTTATTTACCATTGGAGAATATGCATTTTATGAATGCAATCAACTAGAGATCCTTGAGTTTCCAGATCATGCATTTTCAATTGGAGATTATGCATTTTATAATTGCTATCGTTTACTTAGTATCGAATTACCAGATAAAGAGTTCTCCATCGGCAAATATGCTTTCGCATCTTGCTCATGGTTGAAAAACTTTTTGTTTCCAAAGAATTTCACAATAATTGAATCATATCTATTATCTGGATGTTATCAACTTGAAACTGTAGATCTACCAGAAAACCTCGAAGTAATTAAAGAAGGAGCATTTTCATCATGCAGAAGATTAAGGTCAATAACTTTTCCTATCACACTAAGATTAATTGAACAATCTGCATTTAATGGCAATTTATTAACTAATGTTGAATTTAAATCATCAATTAATGATATTGAACCTAAAAACTTTGAAAACAATTTCGATACTAACTTTATATTTCCAAATAACATTCATTATCCATTTGAATATAAAGATGATGTATCTGATACAGTTTCAATCGAAGATGAATTTCCGATGCATTGCTTTTACAATTCAAGAATCAAAAACATTCAACTCGGGAACAATATTGAGAGAATTCCTGCTTTTGCTTTTTATAACAGCTCAATTGAATCTATTAATCTTGATAAAGTTAGATATATTTGTCCATACTCATTTTATCAATGCGAACATCTTATTGAATTAACATTTTCAGATAATCTTGTATATATCAGTCGATATGCATTTTCAGGCTGTATTAATTTAGAAACAATTATTATTAACTCCCAAAGAAAAATTGAAGTTGGAATACATGCATTTGAGAATTGCCACAAACTTAATATTGCTAATATTGTCTCATTAATGAATGATATCCCAGACTCATGTTTTTCTTGTTGCAATGAATTTACCAACCATGTTGAAACATCTTCATCATGCATAATTATAGGCTCTGATTCATTTCGTAACTTTATAGGAAGCATTAAATTGAATGAAGGACTTGAGATTATTAAAGATTCTGCATTCCTAAATTGTTCTCTTCCATTAATTACAATACCATCAACAGTGAAATACATCGGGGATCGTTCCTTTTTGCATTGCTATGAATTAGAAAGAATTGAAATTCCATCATCTGTAACATTTTTAGGAGAAGGATGTTTTTATTCATGTGAAAAATTATCATATGTAATAATTGGAAAGAATATAACTGAATTACCAAGTTATGCTTTTTATGGCTGGTATTCATTAACAAGTGTGATAATATTAGGTAAAATTACTCGATTTAAATATTGCTGCTTTCAATCTTCCATTGTTTCATCTGCCAAAGTGGGCTCAAATTGTATTTGTGAACCATATTCGTTTGCGACAGAAGAAATGACATTGCTTGATATTGGAAACAATGCAATATTATCAATTAATGAGATACGATCTTCAAAACTTAATATTGTCTTAAATGATAACATTACATTTATAGATTCATTACGTTCGGAATTTCCAATCAATATATATTATGTTGGAATGGCAAAATATAACAAACAAATTTATCAAACCCTTTATTACTTTTTAAACATGAACAGTGAAACTAAAATATATGTTACACCTCGATACCGCGACTGTACATTCTGCGGTTTAAATGTAATTCACACTAATTATAATCCATTTGAATCACAACATATTTCTGTTCTTCAATTAGGAAGAAAGCTACGCGAGATCGAATTACCCCAAAAATGCATTGTGAATGGATATGTGACCATTTATAATGTATATTTCAAGAGAGTTCATAAACTTGCTTTTTCTTTATCATTTTGTTCAACTCTCTTAATAAAGCATCTATAAAGATTATATATATAAATTAATATATTAATATATCATTTAATATTTATTAAATTGCAACATCGTATTAAAATTTTGAGAAAATGATCGTAATTCTATTCAAATATAAATTTTGAATGGAAATTTTTCCTTCTAAATTTCGGATGTCAATTGTGATGCAGAATCACATTGCACATTCAATGGATTTGTGCTAACAAAAACATTTGCAAACAATAATAACATTACAAGTGCTAATATTGCGGGTGAAATTGAAGTTATTCCATCGTATTACTTTTATCAATGCAAATCATTAGTTAATATAACATTAAACGAAAATATACGATCCATTGGTGATTTTTCATTTGAATATTGCTCTGAACTTACAAGAATTAATATTCCAAATTCATGCTTGTCATTAGGAAAGAATAGCTTCTCTAGTTGTAGTAAATTAGAATATATTAATATGTCTGATTTAGTTACTATAATACCAAATCGATGTTTTTCTGGATGCTCAAACTTGAAAATATTGAATTTACCTAAACATCTTTCAATAATTGAGAATAGTGCTTTTTACGCATGCAAAATCATCCAAATTCAATTTCCAGATAGTCTTATTGAAATTAGATCAGGTGCCTTTAGTTTTAATAATTTTACGAAACTTACTTTTCCAAAAAATTTAAAGTTTATAGGAGGTTCTTGTTTTAATAGTTGTAATAATCATAATAGAAAGTGAAGCATTTTCCAGTTGTTCAAATTTAAAATACATAAACATTTTTCCTAGCCAAATCTCGTACACTGGATTTGAATTCTTTCCTTCAGATTGTATTATTAATGTAATATATGATACGAACATTGAAAATATCAAAACATTTCCTCCGTTCTATTCATATAATCATAATGTTACATCAGTAACAGAAACACATATTATATTTAATGATGATACCCAATTTTCGATCCCAAACAACTATGAAATAATCGAAGAATATTCATTTTATAATTGCATCAATCTAAAAAGTATTACTTTCCCTAAATCACTCAAACAAATCAAGAAATACGCATTTTATCAATGCACAAATTTGTCTAGTGTAGAATTTCCAAACAGTACAAACATCATTGATGAATACTCATTTTATCAATGTACAAGTTTGGCTAATATTAAGTTCTCAAATAGCTTGCACATTATTGGAGAATATGCATTTTATCAATGTTCAAATTTGTCTAATGTTGAATTTCCAAATAGTACATATCTAATTAAAGAGCATGCGTTTGCAGAATGTAATAATTTAGTTTCAATATTATTCCCAAATAATTTAACTACAATCGAACTAGATCTATTTTATAATTGCATAAATCTTGAATCAATAACATTTCCAGATAAACTAGAAACAATAAAAAGTCATGCTTTTGGTTTGTGCAAGAGTTTGAAAACAATAACATTCCCAAAATCATTAAAGCTTATTGAATTTGGAGCATTCACATGGGATTTCTTTACTTTTATTGAGTTCAAATCAACCAATTTATCAATCTATGATGGAAATCTCAATTTCGATTATAATAACCGAATAACTTATAAATTTCCTGAGCAAAATACTTATAAACCATTTCAATACACATATAGTTCATCAGGTCCGGAATCAATAAATGAAGAGTTTCCATTTTACTGTTTCTACAGATCTAATATTAAGAGTATCCATCTTGGAGATAATATAGAAACTATTCCATGTTATGGATTTGCATATAGTACTGTCGAAACAATCAATCTCGATAATATTAGATTAATATCACCATATGCATTTTCTGGCTGTAAACAATTAAAAGACATAACATTTTCTGGAAAACTCGAATTCATTGGTACGTCTGCATTTAAAGATTGCGAAAATTTAGAATCAATAACAGTCAATTCACATAGAGTGATTGAAGTAGATTCAAGAGCTTTTCAAAATTGTAACAAACTTCATATGGCAAATATAGTAAATGCTATGAGTGACATTCCAGAATATTGTTTCTCAAATTCTTATCTATCAACAGATTCTGTTTCTACTAACCCTTCATGTAAAATAATAGGCTCAAATTCATTTAGTATTTTCAAAGGACAGATTAATTTGAACGAAGGACTAGAAATTATCGAAGATGGTGCTTTTAGCTTATGCAACTTTTCATTTATTACTATTCCATCAACTGTGACATATATTGGATGCAACTCTTTTGATGACTGTAAGCAATTAATAAACATTCAACTACCGAAATCTGTTACTTATTTTGGACAGGGCTGTTTTCAAAGTTGTTCTAATTTAAAATCTGCAGTTATTGAAGAAAAAATTGCTGAACTTCCAGGAGATGCTTTTTTCAATTGCTATAGCCTTTCTAATCTGATAATTTTGGGTAGGATAACTAAATTTGGACCTTATTGTCTTCAATCAACGAACATAACATATATTAAGATACCTTCAAATGGTATTGCCGATTATCAATCAATTACTTCAGCGAATTTGAAAATATTAGAAGTTGAAAATAATGCAGTGGTTATTCTGGATGAATTCTATTTACGTACATTAAATATTGTCTTAAATGATAATGTCACCTTCACTAGATCTTATAGATTTCATTGTCAAGTGAACATATATTATGTTGGGATGGCGAAATATTGTGAACAAATAGATCAATCTCTTTACTACAATTTGAATTTGAATAGTGAATCAAAAGTCTTTGTAACTCCACGATATCGGAATTGTACATTTTGTGGGCTAAATGTCACACTTGCCTCAAGAAACCCTTTTGAAACATATGCAACTTCATATCTCCGTAGACTCATTCACGAGATTAATCAACCACAAATTTGTACTCTAAATGCACTTTCAACTCGATATATTGCTTATTTTATCAAAAAATCACATCAACTTGTTGTTTCCCTATCATTTTGTCCTTCTCTTTTAATTAAAAACTCATGAAATATATCTGCTTATCTAATATATATTTACTATTTCAATTTAGTATCATAATGGATATATAAATGTTTCCTAAATTTCATATATTTTTAGTTTTCAAAACAGTAGCATGAAACTCCAAGAGAAAGAAATTGGTGTATACTAACCGAATCAACAATTACAATCAAAGATATTAAAGCAAGTTGGATGTGAAAATCTTTTCATTATAGATACAAATCGGTCACAACTCTCCCCATCATATGGACAAAATTCTTGAATCTTCATGCAACATTTTCTAATTAAATTATATACACATTTGTAGAGAAATTTATGTCGCTGGAATACAAATACTTTTCAATTTTTGTTAAAATCTTAGTTCAAAGAATTATCAAAGTATTTGTGATGTTTATCTCTAATATTTCAAATATAAGCAATCATTTGTTTTTCTGATACAAATAAGTTTTGCTTATTTTATTTTTCAAGAACCATATTTATTCATGTTACTAAGCTTTATTACATTTTGATTCATAAAAAGTCGATTTGAATAGATTGATAGAGTTATTTGAAATTTTTGATGTCTCATAAAATTTTATATGATTCAATGAATGGAAAATGAATGAAAGTTGTATGCGATGAAGAATTTCATTGCGCATTCAATGGGAATCTTCTTACAAGAACATTTGCGAATAACAACAGTATCACGAGTGTTAATATCTCGGGTGAAATTAAAGTTATTCCATCTTACTACTTTTATCGATGCGGATCATTAGTCAATGTAACACTAAACGAAAATATCCAATCTATTGGGGACAATACATTCGCATACTGTTCTCAGCTTTTACAAATTAATATTCCAAACTCCTGTGCATCAATAGGGCGTCAACGCTTTCGTTCTTGTAGTAGTCTAGAAAACATAATTATTTCTAATTCAATATCAATAATTCCATATCAATGCTTTTATTATTGCATAAAATTACACCAAATTGAATTACCCATGGAGCTCAAAGTAATTGAAACGGAAGCATTTTATTATTGCAAACTATATGAAATAATATTTCCAGAAAGTCTTGTGGAAATTAAAAACGATTCATTTAATCAAAACAATTTCACAGAAATTAATTTTCCAAATAATATAAAGTTTATACGTGAAGGATGTTTCTCTTCTTGTGATAATCTCATAAATGTAAATTTTGGTTTATCAACAAATATTTTTATAGAAAGTAATATATTTGATTATTGTTATAGTTTAAAATATGTCAATATAATTTTTAATCATATTACATACTCAGGAAATTCATTTTTCCCACCACAATGTATTATTAATGTAACATATGATTCAGACATAGAAAGTATCAAAACATTTCCTCCGTTATATTCTTACAATTATAATGTTACATCAGTAACAGAAACACATATTATATTTAATGATGATACCCAATTTTTGATCCCAAACAACTATGAAACCATTGATGAATATTCATTTTATAATTGTGACAATCTGGAAAGCATTATTTTTCCAAAATCACTCAAACAAATCAAGGAAAAGGCATTTTACCGATGTCTCAATCTTATTAGTATTGAATTTCCAGATAAAACTTATATAGTTCGGAAATCTGCATTCGAAAGCTGCGAAAATTTGGTTACGGTGAAGCTTCCAAAAAATTTCACCATTATAGAAGATAGCATCTTTTATGAGTGCAATAAACTTGAATTTTTGACTCTATCGTTGAATCTAAAAATAATAAAGAGCAGTGCTTTTGGTAAATGTAATTCATTGAAAACAATAATATTTCCAGAGACCCTAGAACAAATAGAGGGTGGCGCATTTTATGGAAACAGTTTAACTTCGATTGAATTTAAGTCTACAGTAAAAGTTATTGCAAATGGAAATTTTGAAGGTTACAATAACTATGGAACTGAATTTATTTTTCCAAATCAAATGAATTACAGGCCTTTTCAATTTAGGAATCAAGTTATAGAATCAATTTCGATTAATGAAGAATTTCCAATTTACTGCTTCTACAGATCTAATATCACGAATATCAATCTTGGTAACAAAATCGAAATGATCCCATCCCTGGGATTTGCCTTCAGCACAATTGAATCAATTAACTTAGAAAATATCAAATTTGTTTCATCAAATGCTTTTTCTAATTGCGAGAAACTTGTTAATGTATCATTTTCAGATAAACTTGAATATATTGGACAATATGCATTTTATCGCTGCAAAAATTTAGAATTTGTAAAAATCAACTCAAATAAAATAATTGAAGTAGGAATATCTGCATTTTCATATTGTTTCAAGTTAAATTATTCGAATATAATATCAGTCATGAGTATTATTCCAGAAGCATGCTTTTACTTTAGTTTTAATGAGAACTCAAATGAATTACACCATTCATGCAAAATAATTGAAAAACTTACATTTTATATGTTTCATGGAAATATTACATTGAACGAAGGACTTGAGTTTATTGGAGATTCTTCATTCCAAGAAAGCTCATTAACTTCCATTATTATTCCATCTACAGTAAGATATATTGATGGTAATGCTTTCTATAAATGTAGTCGTTTAGAGAGAATTGAAATACCATCATCTGTAACCTATTTAGGTGACTATTGTTTCAGTAAAATTTATGATCTAAAATCAGCTATAATTGGGGAAGGAATTACAAAATTACCACTTGGAGCTTTTTATGAATGCATGAGTCTTTCAAGTATTATTTTTTTAGGTAGGATAACTAGTTTTGGAAGTGGAAGTTTAGGTTTAACAAATATTTCAAATCTAAAATTGCCCCCATTTTGTATATGCGAAGATGGATCATTTGGTTTCAACGATGTAAAAATGATTGAAATTGGATATGATTCAATAATATCATTTGGATATTTGGGATCATCAGGCCTCAATATTGTTTGGAATGACAATGTAACTCTTATTAGATCAGATTATACTTATATTCTACAGTTAAATCTCTATTATGTTGGAAATGCAAAATATGATCACGAAATTGATCAATCTCTTTATTATCTACTGAATTTTAACAATCAAACTAAAGTTTATGTTACCCCTCGATATCGGAGTTGTACTTTTTGCGGAGTAAAAGTAATCCACACATATTTTAATCCATTTGAAGATCAGATTTCATTATTTTCACGCATACGCAGACTCCATCTCGAAATTGAACAACCAACACATATGTTAGTCATTATGATGCATATTTTATCAAGAAAGTTCATAAACTTGTTCCATCTTTATCATTTTGTAATTCAATCTTAATAAAACATCCATAAAATCATTTTTTTTATTTTCATAAAATTTTCTCTTAATTTTTACCCAATTATTTTGCTGCAATAAAATTTTTTTTGGATTTTCAAAGTTTCAATAACAAGTATCGCTCGTATTTGATAAATATGTAATAATATGTTTTTCTGATACATAATATTTATTATAGTTTTCAAATTGCCCCGTTTGAAATATTATGATTCGTATAAAATAGATCTGAAATTATTGAGAGAGTTAATTGAAATTTTATTTGATTCAATGAATGGAAAATGAATGTTATCTGTGATGAAGAATTTCATTGTACACTCAATGGATATCTTCTTACAAGAACTTTTGCTTATAACAATAGTATCACAAGTATTGATATCTCGGGTGAAATTGAAGCCATTCCTTCATTTTATTTCACTGGATGTATTTCATTAGTTAATATATCACTTAACTGTAAGGTTAAATCAATAGGTGATATGACATTCGCATATTGTTCTCAACTTGCACAAATTAATATTCCAAACTCATGTATTTTTCTCGGACAGAAGTGCTTCTTGTACTGTAGTAAACTAGAAAAAATAATCCTTTCTGATTCTCTTTCAATTATTCCAAATCAATGCTTCTATTTTTGCAGCAGTTTGGCAAGTCTTGAACTACCATCTAATCTTACAATTATCGAAGACGAATCATTTTCAAATTGTCAATTATGTCATATTCATTTTCCAGACAGTCTTGCTGAAATCAGACAAAAGGCATTTTATAAGAATGAGTTATTTAAAATTGTATTACCAAATAGCTTAAAATTTCTAGGAGATTCTTGTTTTCTTTCATGCCATAACCTTACAATTGTAGATTTTGGCTTGTCTCGAAATATTTTCACTGAGTCTTATGTTTTTTGCGATTGCTCTAATCTAAAGTTTATAAACATATTATATAGTCAAAACTCATATATTGGAAAATTTTGCTTCCCCAGGCATTGTATTATTAATATTACATATAATTCAGATATTGAAAACATCAAGACTTTCCCACCCATCTTTTCAGGCAACGAAAATGTTACAGCACTTACTGAAACACATATTACTTTTAATGAGGACATCAATTTTTTGATTCCTAATAACTATGAGATTATTGATGAATATTCTTTTGATGGCTGTAATAATTTAAAAAGAATCATCTTCCCTATATCATTAAAGCAAATAATGAAAAATGCATTTCATTCATGCAATAATTTGATTAGAGTTGAATTTCCAGATAGTGTTTTTTCAATAGGCGAATCGGCATTTTCTAACTGCATAAATCTTTTTTCAATAAAATTTCCGAATAATTTCCCTACAATTGAAACAGAACTTTTTCTTGCATGCTATAAGCTTGAATTCTTAACACTGCCTGAGAATTTAGAAATAATAAAATCTAGAGCTTTTGGAGATTGCAAAAGTTTGAAATCAATCATATCTCCAAGAACATTAAAACAAATTGAAACAGGTGCATTTTCTGGAAATGCATTATCCTCAATCAAATTTCAATCTACACTAAAATATTTATCAATTTATAATTTTGAAGGATCTAATAACTATATAACTGAATTTATTTTTCCAGATTAAATGAATTATAGACCATTTCAATTCATGAATCAAGTTTTAGAATCAATTTCAATTGAAGATCAATTTCCAATATATTGCTTTTATAAGTCCAATATTACTAATGTTCATCTCGGAATTAATATTGAAATGATACCACCGCTTTGTTTTGAATATAGCACAGTCGAATTCATTAATTTAGAAAATATCAGAGTTGTATCATCAGAGGCTTTTTCAAATTGTGAAAAACTTATTAATGTAACATTTTCAGATAAACTTGAATATATTGGACCATATGCATTTAATCGATGCTACAATTTAGAATCTATATCAATTAGCTCAAATAATAAAATTGGAATCGGAGTATATGCATTTTCAGATTGCCATAAGTTAGATTTTACAATATTCCTGAAGGATGTTTCCATTACTGCGATAAATCAAATAAAATCGAAATATCTCCTACCTGCAAGATAATAAATGTCAAATCATTTTACAATTTCAGAGGAAGAATTACATTGAATGAAGGACTAGAGATTATTGGGGATACTGCATTCACACATAGTAATATTACTACTATTATCATCCCATCAACTGTTAGATATATTGGAAGTCATTCGTTCGCTGTCTGTAAAGAACTAGAAAGCATTGAAATACCATCATCTGTTACATATTTAGGAGAGAGCTGCTTTGAAAGTTGTTCGAAGTTAAAATCTGTAATAATTGGGAAAAATATTTCCAAAATTCCAAAATGTGCTTTTTTATTTTGCTCGAATCTTAATAATGCCATAATTTTAGGCGAAGTTACTTGTTTTGAACAAGAATGCTTTGCTTTCACAAAAGTTACTTCATTTAAATTTCCCCAAAATACCAAATGTGAATATGGTTCTTTTAAAAAAAATAATATAAAAATGCTTGATATTGGAGCTAACACAACAATTACTTTTCCCGAATTTGAATCTACAAGTATTAATGTTATTTTAAAAGACAATAATAAATTTTTATTTGCATTTAATTATGACATACAAGTAAATATTTATTATACAGGAAATGCAAAATATGAACACGAAATTGATCAATCTCTTTATTTTAATTTTCTTTTAAACAATGAATCAAAAGTTTATGTTACCCCTCGATATCGGAGTTGTACTTTTTGCGGAGTAAAAGTAATCCACACATATTTTAATCCATTTGAAGATCATATTTCATTATTTTCACGCATACGCAGACTCCATCTCGAAATTGAACAACCAACACATATGTTAGTCATTATGATGCATATTTTATCAAGAAAGTTCATAAACTTGTTCCATCTTTATCATTTTGTAATCATTGTTGCATGCTAAGTAGTGTCAACGATAGAAATTGAGAGCCTATTAATCGTCGAGGAAGTACGATTATTTTTTGGGCGAAAAAGTATCTTAAAATATGATTATTAATATGTTTTTAAAATAAAAAATTTGAAAGTTAATTTGAGATTCTCATATAATTTTTTGAATGAAAAAAAATAAATATAGTCTATATGAGTTTTTGAATAATCACACTTGAGATATATCTAAAAAATAATTAAAAATAGAGTTTGAGAAGACTTTTCAAGGTGTAATGAAAAGTGTGATATAGAAAATAATTATAGATATTTTAATTTTATATATTGTGCTAAGCATTATATTAAATTTTTAGGAAAAACACTTTTCATAAGTATTCAATATTTGAAAATACGCTCCAAAAAAGAATAGATTCTTTTATATTCGCTTATATAAAAGGAGACTCTCTATCAGATGCGAATGCCTGAATTCAGCACCTCTGATAGAGAGTTTCCTCTTATATAAGCAAATCTTTTTCATTCGTTTTTGTTAATATAAAAACATAAAAAGCTACCAATATGAGAAATTAAACCCTGCGAGGCGCCAGTCTAGAACTGGCACTTCGCAGGGTTGAATTTCTCTTGACAAAATACAATAATCAAATGCTCCAAAGTTTTCAAATTTTTATTAGGAATAGGAGCCTACAAAGCACTGATTATATATCAGTGCCTGGTAGGCTCCTATTCCTTCTCTAAATGGGAGAAACTTTGTTTGAATAAGATAACATGCGAACAAAGTTTCTCCCATTTAGAGTGGGATTTGGAGGGTGGGAGGTACATAGATAGACTATGTATCTCTCACCCTCCAATTCCCTCGGGAAAGTTCGAAAACTTTGGTGCAATCAGCAACGATTGCACCAAAGTTTTTGCGTTTAATTGAAGGAATTGCTCTTTATGATATATACAGTTACAATGCATATATCATAAGGAGCAATTCCTTCCAGATATCTGGCAAACTTGCTCGCAATGGTTCACAATTGCGAACAAGTTTTGTCATTTGTCAAGCGAAATTAAACCCTGTGAAGTGCCAGTTCTAGACTGGCGCCTCGCAGGGTTTAATTTCTCATATTGGTAGCTTTTTATGTTTTTATATTAACAAAAACGAATGAAAAAGATTTGCTTATATAAGAGGAAACTCTCTATCAGAGGTGCTGAATTCAGGCATTCGCATCTGATAGAGAGTCTCCTTTTATATAAGCGAATATAAAAGAATCTATTCTTTTTTGGAGCGTATTTTTAAATATTGAATACTTATGAAAAGTGTTTTTTTCTAAAAATCTCAGAATATATTTACAATAGTAAAATAAATAAGATATTTAAATTTATTTTTAAATACTTTTTTTATATGAGATTCTCAAAAGTTATATCAAAAGTCTGTTTTTTCTAAAATTTAATATCATAATCTATTTCTCATTTTAAGTACATCTTAATTCATTTTATTTTCTATATTTTTTCAATATTTTTGAGGGAATTGTGTTGCTTCCCCGACGATAAAATTGAGAGGTTTACACATTGACACTACTTAGCATGCAACATCATATCTTAATAAAGGCTCCATAATTATTCTCAATCCATTTTTTAAGGGTATAAATCAATAAATCTTAATTAGAATTGCAAAAAAAGTATAACATTAATATTAGGCACTATATAGTGATTTATAATAACTTTTTCACGACCAAAAATATTAGCTTTCAATCACATAATATAAACTCGTTTTCGTTCGTAAAGTCTCTTATTCAAAATTTTGATAGAGGTTCACTCAATATTTTGGTAGAGAAACGATAGTGAGACTTTCCCGCCCCTTAAAAAATTTGACAGAAACATAGTTTAATAAAAAACAGATGCCAAAGCAAGCAAATGCCATTGATTTTTTAATATTTAAGGTTAAGGGTGCCGGAAAGTGAGGTGACGCGATTCACTATTTGTAGTAAAGATATTAATGATATTGAAACTTTTCGAGTATTGCTCACAACTTCATTTGTAGTAAAGATATTAATGATATTGAAACATATATTAGTAGTGTATATACTAAGGTTTTTATTTCTATGATATTGAGGTCTTGGATACTTCCAGTATGAAGAAAACTGTTTCGCAATTTACGAACTTGCGGGCCTATCTAGTCCATGGTTTTTCCATACCAGGGGCTGATACTCCAGGAATGATATCTAGGTACAAGATGCTAGATATTTTACAGAAAACATTTGGCACTTGTTAAATATTGTCGAGATGCAATTAGTGGGTAACTTCAAAACTAAGACCGATTGCACTACAATCTCACTGGATTCTGCTAATTACCATTAGGGAACAAACCCAATGGTAGTGGTTTCCAGTCGAAATGGTCTCATTCAAAGTTTAATTAGATTTGTATCTAGTCCTCCAATATTGTGTTTAAGCCAGTGAGATACATTAAACACAAAATTTCAATAGCTATACTAAAAGTTTTACAGAACAAAGTTTATTTTAAATTCTCATATGTTGAGATAAAAGCACTTTTTCCCTTCCAGATTTTAAAAATTTTGTATGATTTTTGTATGTTATTGATAACCTTATATTCATAAGCATCGATTTTACTTAGTTTAAATATGATACTATGATACATCATCACTTAAGGTTTATACTCATATAAACAAATCAAATTAAAAATGATCTTATGGATTTAAAAAGCGTTGTTTTTATAATAGCTTTCACCTCACTTTCCGGCACCCTTAAAAGTTTTTTTTTCCTCAATTGTTTATTATTGGACTTTAGTTGTGATGAAGAATTTCATTGCACATTCAATGGAAATATTCTTACAAGAACATTTGCGAATAACAACAGCATTACAAGTGTTGATATCTCGGGTGAAATTGAAGTTATTCCATCTTATTACTTTTATAAATGCAGTTCACTAGTCAATGTTACATTTAGTAATAACATCCGTTCAATTGGTGAAAGTACATTTGCATACTGCACCCTACTAACACAAATTAAAATTCCTAATTCATGTATCTCAGTAGGGAAACAGTGTTTCTATTACTGTAGTAATCTAAATTACATTGATTTTACTAGTTTAGTATCAGTAATACCAATACAATGCTTTTATTTCTGTCGACAATTGCAAAAAATTCAACTGCCCACACAGCTTGCAATAATTGAAAGAGAAGCGTTTTACAATTGCAACTTAAAAGAGATTCAATTTCCAGAAAGCCTTGTTGAAATCAAATCAAGCGCATTTTTCATGAATACTTTTTCGGAGATTTCACTACCAAATAATCTAAAATTTATTGGTTATGAGTGCTTTAGTTATTGTAATAATCTCATTGGCGTCAACTTTGGCTTATCCCAAAATATTTTAATCGAAGCCCAAGCTTTTTTTACTGCCCAAATTTGACCAATATTAACATAATAAGTGATTTGACAGTATATCCTGGCTTTTCTATTTTTCCTGCAAATTCAATCATTAATGTTACATATATTAAAGAATTAACTAAAATCAAAATATTTCCTTCATTTTATTCAGGTAATAACAAAGCTACAGAAGTGGCAGACACATATATTGTATAGGGTGTCCAAAGGTGTGTTTAGCACAAACCTGAATACTGCGAATAGAAATAAACAAGTTACATATATATAAAGTTTATTTAAATATAATCACCATTGGATTCAATCACGCGTTCGCAGCGATCGATCCAGGCTTGAAAGACACGCTTTAAATCATCATGAGAAAATTGCTCAAATTGCTCTCTTACAAAATTTTCAAGATCATCTGGACTCGCGAATTCGCGTCCTTCAGCTCTCTTTTTTAGCGTGCCGAATAAATAAAAGTCAGAGGGTGCAATATCAGGTGAATAAATTGGGTTTGGAACAACTTTGACATTGTTTTCCACCAAGTAATTCATTACCTTATGACTTTTGTGAACTCTTGAATTATCAAAATGAATTGCAAACTTTTGTTTTTGTTGTTTGGATTTCTCAAACTCATCAGAATTGATAATTTGAGTAAGAACATTGTCAGTTAGATACTGAGCATTCATCGTATTAGGTTTTTGAAGAATATCAATTGCGATGATGCCATTCACGCCCCAAAAAACCGACAACATCATCATTGGTGTGTCAATTTTTTTCTTCGGGAATGTTTGCGGATTTTCATCCTTCGGGATCCACATGATTTTGGCTTCTGTTGCATATTGAAACCAAGACTCGTCCCCTGTTACTAAAAAGCGAAACTTCTTGGATTGATACGCACCCAATATAGAGAGGAGCTCTTTCGAAGATTGGACTCTAGATTTTTTTTGAACTGAATTAAGGTTGTGCGGAACCCAACGTGTATACGCTAGTTTGTAGTTCAAATAATTGTGCAGATAATAACTGACTGTTGTACTTGGTATCTTTGTCATCTCCTCTATCCTTCTGAGTGATGCTCTTGGGTCTTCATCTAGCGCTTGAAGAATTGCTTTGATTTTTCTTTGATCCGGCGATTTTTTGTCAATTTTTATGATGGGCGCCTTTTTGTTCATGAAGTGATACATCCTAACATGATACGTTACAGTGGAATAGCTAGGAGCATCCATACCGAAGCATTTTACCAATGTCTCGTAGATTTTTTTACAGTCTTTGCATTTTTTTGCAAGAGCGAGGATGTTTTCTTTATGATTCATTAAAAAAATGAAAAAAATCCCGCCAAAATTTCCCGCGAAACCGCCTCTTGTCTCAAAATTCATTTTATATCCCGGCATGGCGCCAAAATACAACATACTCATCATATACATATATTCATATTTTTTATTATATATTTATAATCAGCATATATCTCCTTTAATAGTCTCATATAGAGCGCTGTGCTAAACGCACCTTTGGACACCCTATATTTAATAACGAATCGAAGTTTTTAATTCCAGCAAAATATGAAACAATTGATACGTATGCATTTTATCAATGCAGAAATTTAAAAAGTTTCACATTTCCAAGTACACTTAAGCATATAAAAAAGTATGCATTTTATGAATGCCCCAATTTGATTAGTGCTGAATTCTCAGATAATGTAGAATCAATTGAAAAATTTGCATTTTATGGCTGTTCCAAGTTGGCTATGATAAAATTTCCAAAAAATTTTAAAATTATTGAGGATGCTCTCTTTTATGGTTGCTTAAATGTCAAATCTATAATTTTCCCAGAGAATTTAGAGATAATTAAATCGTCTGCTTTCTCAGGATGCGGATTGACATCAATTGTATTCCCAAAGACATTAAAAGAAATTCATCTTAGCGCATTTTATCCAAATTCCTTTAATTCAATTGAATTTCAATCTCCAATCAATGTCATTTTAAATCAAAACTTTGAATATGATAATATTGATTCTAATTTTATTTTACCTACACAAATGAATTGCAGACCATTTCAATATATAGATTATGTCAATGAATCAATTTATATTGATGAAGAATTTCCATTTTTCTGCTTCATGGAATCCAGAATTAAAAATATTCATCTTGGAAATAATATTGAGACTATTCCTCCTTTTGCTTTTGCTTATAGTTATGTTGAGACAATTAATCTCGAAAATATTAAAATTGTTTCATCAGATGCATTCTACCAATGCATGAACCTTCTTGAGATAACATTTTCTGAAAAGCTTGAATTTATTGGGCCATTAGCATTTGATAGATGCGAAAATTTGGAATCAATAAGAATAAATTCACAGAGAATAATTGATGTGGGATATCGTGTTTTTGAAAATTGTCTCAAGCTTAATGTTGCTAACATAGTATCTCTAATGTCAGATATTCCTAATGAATGCTTTAGATATTGTCGCGGCGCGACGATTCCTATTGTTACTTCATCTTTATGCAGAATCATCGGCAATAAGTCATTTAAAGAATGTAATGGGAGCATTATTTTAAATGAAGGACTTGAAGTAATCAGTGATCGAGCTTTCGAAGGGAGCTTGTTTTCATCCATTATAATTCCGTCAACCGTCAAATATATTGGAGTTGAATCCTTACAGTATTGCAGAGAATTAGAAACTATTGAAATTCCATCATCTGTTTCATATATAGGTGAAAAATGTTTTCGACAGTGCGAAAATTTAAAATCAGCTGTTATGGGCAAAAACATTACTTTTTTACCAGGAAATGTTTTTGATGGGTGCTATAGTCTTTCAAATATCACATTTTTAGGAAAGATAATTCATTTTGAATATTGCTGCTTTCTCTCAACAAATATCAAGTCTTTTAAGTTGCCTACAAATAGTATTACAAAATATGGACTGTTTGCAGGTGTTGACTTGAAATTTCTTGATGTTGGAGATAATTCAGTAGTATGTATAGAAGATATACAATCATCAGCTCTCAATATGATTTTGGGTAATAATGTCACAATCACAATTTCTGATTTAACTAATATTGAGCAGATAAATGTTTTTTATAAGGGAAATGCAAAATATGACTCTGAAGTTGATCAATCTCTTTATTATTTATTGAATTTAACTAACAAGTCTAAAATATATGTAACTTCTCGGTATAGAAGCTGCACATTTTGTGGAATCGAAGTAATCCACACAAATTTTAATCCATTTGAAACTCAAATTTCTTCATTTCATCGTCTCCAACGACATTTACGCGAGGTAGAAATTCCATCAAAACAATGTGATCTCAATGCTTATGTCACCCGATATATTGCATATTTCGTCAGAAAAGCACAACAACTTATTATTTCTCTATCTTTATGTCCTTCTCGCTGAATAAAACACCAATAATTTTTTTGATAAAAGTGACGAGATGAGGTCGTTTTTTTAAACGTTCAATGTCTGCTGAGTTAATCCAGAAGGCATGGGCACTAGCTCAGTTTGATAACGTTGAAGAGTTGTCAAAATTAGTTCCATCTCAAGTAAATCCAAATGCATCAACAAATTCAGAGAAAAATCATATTCACACTCTTCTTATGATCGCTGCTGCATCTGGCGCCGAAGAAGCTACTAAATATCTTCTTGAACAGGGAGCTAACGTCAATGGAAAGAATCCAATGGGTTACACAGCTCTCCATTGGTGCGCTTTTGTTGGCAGAGCAGAATGCGTTAAGCAATTAATTGATGCTGGTGCATCATTCGATTCTAAGACACAAGATGGTCGTACACCAATTCATATTGCTGCACAGAGAGGCCATTTAGATTTTATCAAATATATTGTTGAAATCGGCGCAGATATTAATTCAATATCTAGTAACGGATGGACAGCACTCCATTATGCTATTATTGGCAACCAAGCAGTCGTTGGAAAGTATTTATACGAACAACTCAACTCTACATTTGAATGGAACAGCGTTGATGTCGATGGAAAGACAATTGACGAGATCGCTGAAGAATATAAGCATAAGTGGTACAACGAGCTCAGACATAACGATGAAAATTCAAACGATGAAATTGCTTCTAGCGATGAGGAAGAGGAAGAAGATAAGAAGGATCAAACACCTAAGAAGAAATCTACAAAATAAATATGATTTTGATTTAATTTTTACTTTAAAAAATAATATGATCTTATATTTAAATTAAAACTATGCAGAGCATTAACAAACTATATTTTAAGACATAGAAATCTTTATATCTCATTTCAAATTAAAATAATATCGTAATATTTCTTCAGAATTTCCATAAAACAGGACATTTATATATAAATATCAATTAAAAAGAAATATAAACAGTTTATACAGAGTTATTAAAAACTAAAATAGAGGTTTCTTTGCTGTATTGAAAATATGATGGCGTTTTTTCCTTCTGAATGAATTAATAATCGAAAGAATAGATAGAACAGATATATAGGCAGGATATGATGCACAGAGTGCAAGATAAAGAAGTCGTAATCCTTTTCGAGTTTTGCTTGCAATCCACCAATCATATTTACCCATTAACTTCTTGTCACCAAAGTACAAGGCTAATGTTAATATAATAACAGGAATTAGAGTTTCTGGAAGATAATATGCAATTGTAAACGTGCAAAGAAGAACAATTATATAAAGAGATAGAGAATTAATTGTGTTATTTGCTTTTTCAAGAAAATGTGTAATACTTCCTAATCTATCTTGAAAATTCGAGATTAATTTCACAATTAAATCCATTGACTCTTTTCCTTTCTGTAATTTCTCGTTTATATCGGCTACAGTTCCTTGTAACTGTGTGGATGTTTGCTCGAACTCGTTTGAATATGATTCTATCGATTTTGAAGATGATACTACGCAATCGAAGAGATAAATAAGTCTATCTGATGTAATTGAATTCATTAGGGTATCTCTTGCAAAATAACATAAATGAGTAACATGAATTTTCAGAATTTGATAAGTAGAATAAGTTGCTAAAGACATATTCTGAATTTGTTGGGATTCTGGAAGCTCATGTGGAAATTGCTCTAGTCTGTTTGTTATATTAAAGTAGCATTTCGTAAATTTAAGAGCTAATAGTTCTCTTTGTGATTCTGTTAAAACATCACAATTATATTGAAGATCTTTAAGAACATCAGAATAACAATCTAACTTAGGAAATCCAATACCTTCTACTGTATTGATAAAATCTTTTGAAGCTGGATAATTTTTCTTCATTTCTTCGACATTAACTAGTTCTTTCATTTGTTTTCCATTTCGGAGGCCTTCATATATTCTTGAAGATTCTTTTTCTGCAATATTTGTATCGATACTTAATGAGAGAATTGCAAATAACAAAATCATTCTGAAATTTTAAACAGCCACATATTCAATTATTAGCATTAATTCATTATCATATTATGGTTCAAAAAATGAAGTCAAATCAAAAATTATTCTAAGTAAATCACTATTTTACCAATTTTCAATATTGATCGGGTGTTTTACAACAGATAAAATCCTTAATAAAAATGACCAGATCACTAAATTACAAGCATGATGTCTCCATATAAGCATTTGCATAAAAAAATTCAATAAATTTAATCTAATTTCATTTTTCATATAATTAATAATGCATTAATTTTTATTCACAATCCAAACGTAAGCAAAATATAACACATATAAACATAATAAACAATTTGCAAATTTATTGTGATAGTTGTTGAACTCTTTGGCCAATAGACTTCATTCTTTCAATTAGTTGAGGAGCACCTTCTCCAATTACAAACAGTGCGTTGTGATTCTCAATTTCAGACTGCATTAAGAGTAAACGTTCGATTTGTACTTTGAGATCTTCATTTTCATTTCTAAGACGTTCTATTTCCTGAGAGTGATCATCAGCTTCCTCTCTGATCTTAGAAATTGGAGTTTGAAGAATTGTACCAATTTGATCGAGAGAATCATCGGATAAATCGTTATCACTAATATCTAATTTCCTTAGGTTCTTGCCAAACTGAACTCTATTCGCTTTGATGCAAGAAATAATTTTCGGAACGCTTTCATCTGTAATTTCGCAGTGTCTTAGTGTTAAACTTCTAATATCATGCTTTGTAATAACTTTAAATATCTTAGAAACAGCATTTGGTGAAAGAGGAACTTGATGCAAAATAAATTTATGAATTTTGCTGGGAATTATGTGTTTAAAGATCTGTAAAATATCAGATTCCTCGAATTCAATATTTGCAAGATGTAGAGTTTCAATAATTTTGCTCTTTTTAAGTAACGAAACAACACATAATGCGACAAGGTGTGCAAAATTAGGTGTACTAACAGCGATAGATCTGCTTATTGATTCTGGATCACCATTATGATAATCAATATCTGAGACGAGATCACAATTGAAATTTAACGATACAATTAGATAAGGACCGTGTTTTTCGATTGCTGCAAACAATGCTGGAAGGGATTCCGAGTTAATTGATGAAAGGTCGAATGAGAATGCATTTTTCTCTCCTCCTCCGATGGATTTTAGCTCTTCTATTGATAACATCTGAATAAACGTCAATAAATGAAGAAAGAATGTAAAAATCATTCGAATTGCTAGATTATTATTAATTGAATAGAATGTATTCTAATAATTATATCATTGAATGCAAAAATTCAACTTTTGTGTAAATTTCTTATTTTTTGAACGATTTATTTGGTGGATAAATTAAAATTAATATTAAAATAAATGGATATATAATATCATTCTGCTTTTCTCATTCGGATACTCATAAAAAATGGGGAATGAAGAGTCAAAGATTTCTTTTCCAACACAAGAAGTAATTGTCCTTGTTGGTAAGAATATTACAACAATACCACCTCATATACCCCCAACTCCGATGCTTGCTTATCTAAATCTTTCAAATAATAATATTCAAAATTTACCTCCAGATCTAAAATCTCTTAAAAACCTTATACTAGCTCGTAATGGATATGATTCGATTCCACAAGCTGTCCAAACATCATTATTTACATATTCATCACTTGAAGCACTTGATCTATCAAACAACAACTTGACATCACTAGGAAATATACTCTCTAACTTACCTTCATTACGAAGGATAAATCTTTTTGGTAATAAGTTCGAAACAATTCCTCAACTTGCAAATACAAGTTTGCAAGTTATTGATTTAGCAAATAACAACTTAAAACATTTCCCTAGTCTTCCAGAAACAATAGTTGCTCTCAATGTTGAAAAAAATCAAATCTCAGAAATAGAATTAGATAATTCTTCGTTCAAAATCAACAACTTAGCAAAATTATGTGCTGCATCAAACAGAATTATAAAGTTTACATGCTTAGGAGTCCTCAAAATCGTCACACTTGATATTTCTAGAAATAAAATTTCAAAATTACCAGATTTTAACAGATGTTTTGACAAACTACAACAAATTAACATATCATCGAACTTAGTACCATCTATTCCCCAATTCCCACCCCAAATTACGGAATTTTTTGCATCAAATAATAAAATTGCATCAATTCCTGAATCTTTTTCGCAATACACCTTCCTAACAACAGCTGATTTATATCACAACATGATTAAGTCCATAAAAGTACAGCTACCAGGCTCATTACAGTCATTAATTCTTGCGGACAATCAAATCAAAGATTCTGTTCCTTCTACAATCAACGGACTGAATAGGATGTTTATGATGAATAATCAGTTGAAAGAGATCCCAGTTATACAAGGAAACTCACTCTGCGAGTATTATCTCTCAAGAAATCTGATTGAAAAAATTGAAATTTCAAATTTCTCCAAAAATGTGACAAGAGTTGATTTATCACATTGTAACTTATCTGTACTACCTCCTGATCTGTTTACAATCCCTACTTTGACACATTTATTCCTTGGATATAATAAAATTAAAGAATTGCCGCAAACTTTGAAGAATTCGACATCGATAATATTACTGCAGCTCAGTGGAAACAAGAATATCAATGTAGATGTTGATTATCCTGAAACTCTTGAACAATTATTTATTTCTAACTGTAATTTGAAATCTTTACCTACTTCTTTAGAAAAATTGGTTGATTTTATAGAGTTGGATGCATCATGTAATGAATTAAGAGAGTTTTCTTTGAAACTTCCCGAAATTAAGAAATTAATTTTATCTTGCAACAAAATTAAGAAATTCCCAGAGAATATTGAATCTGTGGAACTCCTTGATTTGTCTGTTAACAGAATAGCTGATATTCCTGAGAAATTATCTTTAATTCGCTTGAAAGAATTAGATATCAGCTATAACAGCATCAAAACAATTCCCGCTGAGCTGGCTTTGAACAGACTTAATATTCTCAAGGTGCAGAAGAACCCTATATCCCAACAAATTGGATATACAAACTTTCCAAAATTATCTTACATTGATTTGTCCTCAATTCCAGCGGAAGTTGCAGAACCAAGTCCAGAAGTTATTATGTATTCATCAGCTCCTGGATTTTGCAACAGTTTGACACATAATTTTGTTATATCAGATAAATCTTGCGCTTACAGCCTCTGGAAAGGTCTTCGCGAGATCATGGAAGATGGAATAATATTTAGATGCGATAAGACACAGCGATTGTTCTCAATAATTGACGGAAGAGGCGGAGCAATGAGTTGTCAGTACATTTCGTCCAAAATTCCGAAATTATCTCGCGATCGCTCAGATATATTAGATGAAGAATCATTGAAACAAATACACGAAAAAATATGCCAAAGCTGCAAGAAGAAACAAATTTTGACAGTTCCTGATTTTTCAATAGTTTACATCAACAACAATGAAATTTTCATGTTGTTGACTGGCCATGTAGACATTGTTATTATCAATGACGAGAAGTGCGAATTGCTTCAGTCATTTACTACTAAAGATAAGCCGAGAGACCTTCTCTCATTGAATAGAACGCACGGACCAGTTCCGACTTCTTACACTGAAGGAGATTCTTTAGTTTACAACACAGTGATTCCCCCTTCAATTGTTAAGAGGCCTATTAACGAGAAGGACAAATGGCTTTTGATATTGAGTGTCAGCGTTCTCGATGTGATGAGATTTAATGAAGTTTGCTCGATTGCAAAGAATTTGAAAAATGCGGATGAAATTGCAGTTTCGATTCGAAACGCAACATACTCTGGTATGAGTACTGATAATATATCAGTGATATGTATCAAATTACAGGAATCACAAAAACAATAAATGTTTATTTTTATTTTTTTAAAAAACATCAATTTGATCTTTCTTGTAATAGCAAAAAAGATTAACAGCAATATGAGGTACTATCTTGTGATTTATAATGACTTATTTATGAAGGGTTTTTCTACAAGTGCAAAAAATGCGCAAAAATGATTATTCTGCATTTAAAAATCAATCTGTGTAAATTCAATTTCAAATAATCGTTTTTGCGCATTTTTTGCACCCTATGTAAAACCCATTATAAAAGGTAATTTGAGATGCGTTTATGAATTCAAGTGCTTTTAAAATACATGCAATTATATTTGGCCATGCACTGAGCCCTTAATTTGAAATATTGAGAAATATAATTTAGAACTATTTATCTTCAACATTTAATGTAATTTATGAGAAAGTATAATTTGGAACTATTTATCTTCAATTCGAGATCCATGAATACGAATGCTGCTGGTGAAACGGCTCTTCGTTTTGCAGTAAAATTTCTGGTTTTGGATTATGCTGATTTTTGATAAGTTCATAAGGTGCATGAGATATGAAAATCGTTTTTGCTAATTTTCTGTGTGTTAATTTTAAAAATTTGTTAAAAAATTCTAATCTTTAAGATCTTGCATCATAGTTTCTGGAAATTTCTCTTGTGCTACAATAAGAGCTTAAATATATTTACTTGTTTGTCGTGTTTAATTCAAACTGTTAATTTTTTATTTCATGAGTAAAACTGAAGTTTTGCTTCCAGGAGAGAAACCACAAGTAAAGACACCCAAAAATTCAGATGCTGGAACTAATGAAATAAACAATAGTCCCGAAAATAATCTCCAAGAGGAAGAAGAAGAATCTTTCGAATATTTTCCTGAGAAAAAGAAAGAAGATAAATATTCATTTAAATCAAGGAGATCAACACGTGCTGAGGAAACAGAATTTGAAATGATCGATAGAATCAGAAAAGAAATTGCAGTTGCTATTACAAGTAAAAACTTCAAGAAAAGCAAACAACTAAATATTGAACTTGACAAGCATATAGAATCTATTTTTGTTTCAAGATTGAACAACGAGCTCCAGAAATTCAATGAAAACGTTAATAATGTCATTGATGTATATTTACAAGAAGTTAGAAGGCTTAAGAAGTCAACCACATTCATGCTTGAGCCAATCAGAATCCAGGAAGATGAATCATTCGAAGCATTAAAAGCAAATCATTTACAACTTTTAACTGAGCTTGAAACAGAGCGACAGTTTGAATATATGAAGAATAAAGACTTTAAGTCAGGAGAAGAGATACATCTTGAAGCAATGGCACAGAATCTTGCGAAATTAAAAAGATACGATGAAGCCCAAATGCTTCAGAAGAACGCTGACCAATTACATAAGAAAAATCTTAATGACAAGACACAAGTTACAAATAGGAAGTTTGATGTCAAAGAAAAGAAGCTTTTTGATAGATTCAGGGTTGATTTAAATAACTTGAAAGATAAATCTAATAAAGCAGAAGAAACAGTTAGAACACAAATCAAAGAATTGATTTCTCTTGAAGAAAAGAAATTAAACGTCAAATGCAAAGATTTATTGAAACAATCGGCAAATAACGTTTCATATGGTGATGGAATTACTGATAACATTAGCAGAGAAAGACGTGTTCATACTCATACAACTCTTTTCAATTCTTTGAGAAAAATAATTATGGAAAGAAAGTTGGAGAGCGTTGTAAACATCAGCAATTGATAAAAAAATCCTTTATATGGGAGTCATTGTTTTTTTCTTTTATTTTAAAATTATTAAATTATTTTCAAAATTATTTTACAATATTAATCGAAAATTCCCTATTTTGAATTTGTTTTATCAGTAAAAACATCTTGCTTTAATGTAAACATCCGTATTAAAGTAATGAATTTTGGGAAATGCAGCTCGTATCTCGAAATCGTATACATGAAAATCTGTGAAGGTTTAGCAATGATACTGTTACTAGCAGAGTATAAGAATTGATTAAGTTATAAAGATTTTCTATCAGTGGATTTTGAGGATTGAAAATTGCGATTCTAAGGTATTATTATTTAATATATGATGATTTTAAGGGATACTCTGGTTTGTGGTAGCAAAATAACATGATCATTTTTTAATTCGCAATATGAGTTGTTTTTCTTCAAATTGTTTTCAAAAGTAATACTGGCAATGCTTTGTTATACTATTTAAAACTGAATCGAGCAATTTTTATTGAAGAAAAATCAGAAGTTCAGACAATAAAGCTGAGTAAAGATATCCTAAAAATAACCTTAAATATTACCTTTATATTTTGTGCCCAAAAATGACAAAATTTTAATTCTTTAGTTTACAAAGAAAAAAATGGGCGAACAACTTGATTCACTAATTGCTGAAGAATATCCTTATCTAAATGGAAAAGGATACTTCGATTACGATAGAGCTGCCCCTATTTCGCATTCTCAAATTGAAAAAATCAAAGCTGTTGCAATGAAAATTCAGCCATCTCCACATAGCTCTGAAGAACAAAGTGCATTCGATCGTTCTCTTACTTCAATTCGTGAAACATTAGCTGATATTTTCCATTCCAGTCAAGTTTCTTTTGCAGTTGTTTTATTCCAAACAAGAGAAGCTGCAATTGACTCAATATTCGAGGGTTTCCCTTGGAAGAATGGATTCAGCCTTACCGTGCTGCCAAACTTCCACGTTGACATTTCCTCTGCAGTAAAATTCCCAACAATTTATAACGCGGCAATTCATGACACAATTGAAAAATCCATTCAGAAATCCTTGTACTGCTTTGAATACGATAAAGAGACAACAGAAACAATGATAAATCTTAGAAAATCCTCTTCTGGAACAAGATATTTCTTATGTGATGCAACAAAGAGAGGAACATTCGATCTCCCAGACTTGTCTCAGATTCCTTTCGATTTTACTTTGTTTAGTTTCAAGCAAATTTGCGGAGCAGATTTGACTGCTTGCTTAATGCGTTTAGAATCAGCAGATATGCTCGTCCCTCTATTCTATGGAGGTGGAGCAGTCTCATTTTCATGCATTCGTGAGTTTTACCATCAAAATTTCAAATCTCATTCAAAGAGATTTGAAAATGGAACACCATCAATGCTTCCAATATTCAGTGCAGTTACTGGACTTGATCTCCTACAGAAGATGCATAAGATTGGAAACCTTGATGAGCGTATTAAGCAAATTATTGAGAATTTCAAGAATGTAGCCAACAGTTACTTCGAGATTTCAGCAGAGAATGATTATACAGTTATTATGAGCAGAGAAGGATGGACATCTACAGAACTTCAGTCAAAGTTTGTAGAAAATGGCGTTTTCTTCGGAATTCGTGATAATTCACTTGTTGCAAGCTTTGGAATGGCATCAAGAATGCAGGATGTTGAAGTTTTCCATAAAACCGCTCAACTTTTATTTAATTAGAGTGTATATTAAAATAAAATTTTCTCAAAAATACTTTTTTAATACATTCATACAAATTAAATAATAAATAATAGAATTCAGTTAAATCTTAAACACCTCTAACATTTTGGAAAATGCTTATTTTGATTTCTTTGACTTTTTCTTGTCTTCTTCTTCATTATCATCCTCTTCCTCATTTTTGTCTTCTTCTTCCTCCTCTTCGTTTTTCTCTTCCTCTTCTTTCTTATCCTCTTCTTCCTCTTCCTTCTTGTCTTCCTCTTCCTCTTCTTTCTTGTCTTCTTCTTCTTCCTTCTTTTCTTCTTCTTCCTCTTCTTCTTTCTTTTCTTCCTCCTCTTCATGTTTCTCTTCCTCCTCTTTCTTATCTTCTTCTTTTTTATCTTCCTCTTCCTCCTCTTTCTTATCTTCTTCTTCTTTCTTATCTTCCTCTTCATGTTTCTCTTCTTCTTCCTTAGGTGGCTCTTCCTTCTTCTCTTCCTCTTCTTCTTTAGGAGGTTCTTCTTTCTTCTCTTCTTCTTCTTCCTCTTCCTTAGGTGGCTCTTCATGCTTCTCTTCTTCTTCCTTAGGAGGTTCTTCCTTCTTCTCTTCTTCTTCCTTAGGTGGCTCTTCCTTCTTCTTCTCTTCTTCTTTAGGTGGCTCTTCATGTTTCTCTTCTTCTTTAGGTGGCTCTTCATGTTTCTCTTCTTCTTCCTTAGGAGGTTCTTCCTTCTTTTCTTCTTCTTCCTTAGGAGGTTCTTCCTTCTTTTCTTCTTCTTCCTTAGGTGGCTCTTCCTTCTTCTTCTCTTCTTCTTTAGGTGGCTCTTCATGTTTCTCTTCTTCTTCTTTAGGAGGTTCTTCCTTCTTCTCTTCTTCTTCCTTAGGTGGCTCTTCATGTTTCTCTTCTTCTTCTTTAGGAGGCTCTTCTTTCTTCTCTTCTTCTTCTTCCTCTTCCTTAGGTGGCTCTTCATGCTTCTCTTCTTCTTCCTTAGGTGGCTCTTCATGTTTCTCTTCTTCTTCCTTAGGTGGCTCTTCATGTTTCTCTTCTTCTTCCTTAGGAGGTTCTTCCTTCTTTTCTTCTTCTTCCTTAGGTGGCTCTTCCTTCTTCTCTTCTTCTTCCTTAGGAGGTTCTTCTTTCTTTTCTTCTTCCTCCTTGGGAGGTTCTTCATGTTTCTCTTCTTCTTCCTTAGGTGGTTCTTCTTTAAGAAGTTCATCAACTGTTGGTTCCTGCTTGTCTTCAACATTGTCTGCAACAATTTGTTGCTGAGGTTGCGGATTTTCGAAGTTTCTTGCTTGAGCAACTTCAGGATTAGCAGGGGCAGGCTCTGGTGGAATTGGCTTATCTATGCTGTTCCTCAATCCACCTGGATTTATCATTAATGGAGCAGCAATTCTTGGTGAAATTCTTGGCGACTTTCGAGGAGATGCCTTTGGACTTCTTCTTGCAGAAATCTTTGCCTTAGGTATTTCATCTTCCTCTTTATTAACAGGAGCTTCAATATGCACAATTGGATTTGGTAATTTTTCTTCTTCTTTAACTAATGTTTGTTCTCCAACAGCAGCATCAAGGGACTTCTTTGCTAAATCATGAACTTGAAGCTTAAGTGATTCTGTTGATTGCAAAGATCTTGATGATTCTAATTTCTGTTCTTCTTCTTTAACTAATGTTTGTTCTTCAACTGCTTGATCGAGTGATTTCTTTGCTAAATCGTGAACTTGTAATTTGAGTGATTCTGTTGACTTTAATGATCTTGATGATTCTAGTTTTGATTCTTCGCTGTCTAAATCATCTCCAACAACCATATCTCCGGGAGACAAAACTGGAGTTGGCGTTTTTTCTGGTGATTTAGGCTTCAAGTCAATAACGAAATCATTTGGATTGAAAACTAATCCAGAAGATCTCAAGTTCTGTTGTTCATCCAATTTTCCAAGTTCTTTCTCTTCAACTTCTTCAGATTTAGGTTCTTCTTCTACCTTTGGAGATTCAGGTTCATTCTTTGGTGTTTCTGTTGATACAGTTTCTGAAAGAATTAATGGTTTAGGAGGCTCCGAAACAATACTTGCTTGAGGAGCAGTTGTCATTGATAATGTTCTTACAGCTGTTTGATTTTCTTGTGGCGGAGGAGGTGGTAATTTCACAGGCTGAGAAGAACTAAATGTTGGCTTTGTGAATTCGAATGTAGGAATAGTTGTTTTATGTTTCTTGTTAGGTATTGGCTGAGGAGGTTTGACAGGATATCCAAGTGTTATTTCCGCGATATTTGCCAAGATAACCGATAATTGGTTTTCAATATCATCCAATTTTCCATCGACATCTGCATCGAAAATTCCACTAAACTTATGCATTTCTTCTCTCAAACAAGCATTTTCATTTAGTTTGGGATCAGAAACAACGTTTAATTTGGATTCACATTCTTTAAATCCTGTATCAATATCTTCTTTCATCATTTTATATTTGTTTTGTAAATCTGTTAAATTATTACCTAAATTTGAGATTGATTGTGTGAATTGGCCAGTCAATATCTGCATAACTCCCTCAAGTTGAGTTAATTGGCTGTCAATTTCTTCCAATCTTTTTGCATTTTCAAACATTGGTCGTAAATTATTCGCAACGCCATCTCCAATATTAGCAATATGTGTTCTTCCTCTTGATTCGGCTTCATTTGCCATATCTTCCATTGCTTTCCTTTGTACAACACCTTCTTTCTTTATCGCGTCCATGAAATGCTGATATTTTTCTTTGATTTCTTGTGAATTCTTTTTCCTTGCATTCGATTCGTCCATCAATGTTGATTCCAACAAACTTAATGCATTAACAGTTCCTTCTTTTATATCAGAAATTGTTGTAATTAATTCAGTTCTTATTGATCCGAAATTTGCTTCACTTTCTGATAAAATTTGATCACATCTTTGTGAAACATCAGATGTCAAACTTTCGCAATCATTAACTGTTTGATCAATTGCTGATGAAATCGAACTGGAAATTCCTCCAAGTAACTGAGAAAAGTTTCTTGTTAATTCTCCAATGATGTTATTTAATGCTGATATAGAATTTGTTGCTCTTTGATTGACTTCATGAACTTGAGAACTCAAAGCATTTGATGTTACAACACGTGCTTCACTTTCGCTTCTAACTTCATCTCCTAACTGTCTTGATATTGAATTTAATGTTCCGTTCATACTGTTTTGTAAAGATCCGAAAGATTGCATAGCTCCTTGATCAGATTGTTCGAAATGACGTGATAATTGCAATGTATCTCCAGCACTTTTTGTAACACGAGCAACTAAAGCTTCTATTCTTTGTAATGTACCATCAGCCGATTGTTTTTGACGAGAAAGATCGCCTTTAGCAGTAACACATGTAGCTTTTGTGGTTGCAGAAAACTCATTGAACATCTGAGTAAATTGGGAAATTGCAGAATTTGCTTCAGTAATTCTTTCTCTCGTATTTCCGATTTCGTTTGAAACTTGTTGTGCTGATTGATCAACTAGAACTCTGTTAGCTTTTGAAGCTTCTAAGAGCTTTCTTGAAGCCGTTATTACTTCGGCTGATGAAATATGTTCGATATCTGCTCGTAATTGATTAATTTGCGAATTTAATTGTGGAATCATACTCCCTTCGAGTGCGCTAGATACTGCCATTGATTGAGAAATTGCGGTCGAAATGTTTCCTACAACTTGATCAACACTTGCAACTCTTTGCATGAAAGAAGATGGATCCATAACAGTTGCATGTGGTACTCGTGGTAATACTGCAGGAATTTCTGTTTTTGTTGTTGTCAAATTTATCGCAATTGGCGCCAAAGCTGTAGATTGAATAGGTTGTCTATTATATTGATATTGATTTTGATTTTGCTGACCTGGACGATTGATTTGAGGTTGAAAAAAGTTACGATTCATGGTATTTCAGACAAAAGAAAATTCGAATAACGTATAAAATTTCAAAACGATCATTTTTTCATAAAAAGGGTTGAATTGAATAGAGATTTCATTGGTAATTTTGTTTTGCCATAATACATCCAAAATAAATGTCAAATCATTATTTTTAAAGGGGAATAAATTTATATGAGCGAAGGAATTGTTCTGAATTTCGAATATATTGGTGCGCATATCAAAGATTACATTAAAGACGAAAATTTCTTTAGCACATTCGATATGAAAGATATCATTACGACCATGAAATATGCGAATTTAAATTCAGGTGACTTTGATACACTTCTTAAGCAAGCATCCCTTACTACCAAAGCGAATGAAATATATTTTTGTACTCGACATGCGAATGTTTCAATAGAAAACTTGCAAGATGCAATTTCAACACTAGAATCTATCCGAAAATACATGAAAATGGGAATATTAGATGGAATTATTGACACATTAAACCATTCAGCAAATGAAATCGAAACACTTCAAACAGAGTTAAATCAAATTCAAAATGAAAAAGAAAACATCGAGAAAGAATTACAATCTCTTAGATCTCAAGTCAAACAAGAAGAAGTAAACGATTTACCAGACGAATTTCTTTCAAAAATTTCAGAACTAAAGAATTTACGTGATTTCGATAGTATGTACAAATTTCTAGTTGAAATTTCTGAAAAAGGTGATAAAAAGATGATGCTCAAAGCATCTGAACTAGGCCTTTATATTTGGGATGGTGACTATACTCTACTTGATCGTGCATGTGAATAAGGAAATCTGCAACTTGTTAAATCTCTCATTGAATGTGGCTATGATATAGAAGAAACAGATAATCCTCCCAAATATACTCCACTCATAATTGCATCAAGAGAAGGTCATCTTGAACTTGTTAAGTATCTTATCTCAGCTGGAGCTGATAAAGAAGCAAAGGATAATTTTGAATTTACTTCACTCATGTATGCATCAAGAAATGGTGATCTTGATGTTGTTAAATATCTTATATCAGTTGGAGCTGATATAGAAGCAAAGTCAGATGAAGAATGGACTCCACTAATTTTAGCGTCATATAATGGTCATCTTGATGTTGTTAAATATCTTATATCAGTTGGAGCTGATATAGAAGCAATGAATAATAAAGGATCTACTTCACTCATTGAGGCGTCAAGAGAAGGTCATCTTGAACTTGTTAGATATCTTATCTCTGTTGGAGCTGATATAGAAACACAAGACGAAGATGGTTACACTCCACTCTCATGGGCATTAATCCATTCATGCGAGGAAATTGCTCAATATCTTATCTCAGTTGGAGCAAATAAAGAAGTAAAGAATAATAAAGGAAGGACTCCACTCATTTGTGCATCAAAATCTGGTAATCTTGAATCTGTTAAATATCTTATCTCTATTGGAGCCAATAAAGAAGCAGAGGATGAATGGGGATATACTCTACTCATTATAGCATCATATAAAGGTCATCTTGAAGTTGTTAAATATCTTATCTCTGTTGGAGCTGATAAAGAAGCAAAGAGCAAAAATGGATATACTCCACTCATTTGTGCATCAAAACATGGCAAACTTGATGTTGTTAAATATCTTATCTCTAATAAAGCTGATAAAGAAGCAAAAGATGATTATGGATATACTCCACTCATTCGGGCATCAAAAGAAGGTCATCTTGAAGTTGTTAAATATCTTATCTCAGTTGGAGCTAATAAAGAAGCAAAGAATAATGATGGATCTACTCCACTCATTAAGGCATCATATTGGGGTTATCTTGAAGTTGTTAAATATCTTATCTCTGTTGGAGCTAATAAAGATGCAAAGGATAATGAAGGTTATACTCCACTCATTTGGGCATCAAAAAATGACGAACTTGAAGTTGTTAAATTCCTTATCTCTGCTGGAGCTAATAAAGATGCAAAGGGTAACGATGGAAACACAGCATTATCAGTTGGAGCGTCCAACACAAGAGAATATTTAAAAACTGTTAAAAATTCTATTCTCCAAAAAAGCCGCCCTTTGAAAGGAAAATTAAGTTCTCCAATTAATACTTTTTGACATGATGAAAGACTTTGAAAAATAAAAAGTTTTTTTTTAGTCGCAGAATTTAAGGGTGCACTTACAACTGTCTGACATGCACTTTTAAACACAATATATCTTTATTTTTACAGCAGAAATGTACAACGGCCATATTAGGCACTATGTTATGATTTATAGTTACTTTTTTCCGACCTAAAATATTAACTCTTGACCATAGAAAATTGGGATCAAAAGCCAGATTTTCAAAAAAAATTGAGAGAATGTCAGAACGTGGTAAGTGCACCCTTTAAAAAATCACATGGTAGTTTACTTTTAATATCACATGGTAGTTTAATTCACACTTTTTGCCTCGTAGTTACTTTTAATCTCGATTTTTGAAGATATTCACACTTTATATGTATGCATTAAGTGTAAATACCAGTGCTTTTTTGGGGAGACATTATTATATCACATGCACAAACATAATCGCTTTTGAAGTCAAATCTAGAAAGTATTGAATATATTATCTTTTAAAATAAAGTCCGCTATCTCTTTTTTTTTTCTTTCGGGAAATTTGAAAGAGTTTTCAGTTCAGCTTGCTGTTGATTTGATTCATTCATCAAATAAAAAAATTTCAAAAAAATGAATTTAGAAACATCTCCAAATTTGCAAGAAAGTATTGATCATAATGATCCCTACTACAAGAAGCTAAAGAAACTACTAATGTATCGAACATGCTACAAAGAAATTGAAAAAAAGCTAATTGCAGCGGAAGAAGAAAATTTCCGTCTTAAATCTAAACAATATGACGAATTTACAAAGTTGAAGCAAGATTATGAGATAGTTGTACATGAAAATGAAGAATTAAGATCACAATTGTCAGATAAACAAGATAACGTATTTGGGAATAATTCATTTTCACCGCAAAACAAATATGAAGAGATTTACAAATCATTGACAAATTCATTAAGCATCGAGCAAGAGGTTTCTACATTGACAGATAGCGAAGAATCTCAAATGAACAATATAGAAGCATACAATCAACTTGTTAACAAATATAATAGTCTTCATGAAGAATTTACGCAGCTTTTTGTTCAATATATTGATACTGTAAACATTTTGAAAATTTCAAATGAAAGAAATGAAAGATTAATGGAGCAATTGAACCAATACGATCAGCAAATAAACGAGTTAAATATCAAACTGAAGATAGAAAAGAATAATGTTAAGGTTTTCAAGCAAATTCAGAATAAAGACGTTTTAGATAGTGTTCAACTACAGTTAATTGAGAAACAAAATGACAATATTAACGAAGAGCTTCTTAGATTGTCAGCAAAAGCAGAAGGCGATAACTATATGCATCAACAAACATTAAAAGATTTAAGAGGGCAAATTGAAGACTTGAAGGCACAAAATCTTCAAACTCAGCTATCATTAAGAGCTGCTGAAAGAAAAATTCAATATTATATGGAAGAAAATGAAAAAATCAAGTCTGATAACGCAAAAGTTATGGGACAAATGGATGGGATGCTAAAAATCCAACAACAGAATGTTATAGAAATGAAGTTTGAGAAAGGAGAATACCATAATAATTTGTTTAACGAAAATATTAAACAAAGTGAACAAATTAAAGCTTTAACAGCAGAAAAACAGAAAATGTTTTTAGATTTACGGAAATTACTGATTACATTGTTTAGAGAAGTAACATTTGAAATGGACTGGAATCAATTACTTGATTTTCTTTCGAAAAAATTAAATGATTTGAGAAATATTTCTTCAGATCGTGATATCCTTATGCAAAGAAATAACAAAGATAAGAAACTTGCATTGGCAATAGAAAATAAGTTTAATGAATATAAAGAAAATGTTGAATTGCAATTGAAGAATAAAGACAAGCTTTTAGACGAAGCAAACAAATCATTGGAAGCATATGCTTACAAGAAACCAATTAGAGATTTCAATTCGGCTGTTGCCGGAATTGTTTCAAAGCATTTCCGAAATTTATCAAATAAAGTTGGAGAATTATGCAGCATAGTTGATGGAAAAGGAGCCAATAATATCAGATTCCATGCTTTGATTGTATTTTCTGTTGCTGTTGGAAGGATTTCAAAGAAACAAAAATTTGATTTTGCTCCACAGCAAATACTGACATATGCTCATAACGCCAATGATGATCTCATAATCTTTGATCGAATTGTTAACTCTAATCTCGATCTTGTAGAAAATCAAAAAATTATTTCCGAAATAATCAATAAACTAACAGACTCTATCAGGGATCATGAATCAGAAATATTGCAACTGCAACATGAAAATGAAATGTATAAGCAGAGCTTGAAAGATTCGAAAAGTAAAAACATTAAATTGCAAAATTCAAATCAAAGTATGATACCAAGAATTGATTATGATATATTAGTTCACCAACTTAATGATCAAAAGAGTAGCAATGAGAAATTGGCTAATGATATCGAAATCCAATATAAAAAGTTTACAAGATTGAAAACTAAATTCTATGAGTTGAAACACATTAATCATGAGCTTAGAGCAGCATTAAAGAAGCAAATCAGTATTTCGACATCAAATAACAAGCCTAAAAAGAAAGAAATTTCTTATTCTTCTGTACCAACAAGACAATTCTTTAAGCAAAGAGAAGAGTCTAATCAAGACTTAAGATCACTCACATCCATCAACGTAACTGACTATAAGCAAGATCTTCAACAGATGAAGAATACAATATCATCTCCACCTCAGATTATAGCTGAAAATTAATCAATATATTGTTTGTATTTATAAATTTAGCATGAATTTTTTTTTTTCGTAATGTTGAAATCTCGAACTTAATCGCAGTGTTATTGAATCAGGCAATGGTAGATAGATCAGCTTCTGAGAAGAAAGAATTATGAATGAACTGGTAAATCCAAACTTGATTGTTGGAAATAGATTGACAAAACAAGAAATTTTACTGCAAAATGAAGAGCCGTTCCATCATCAATATTTTAGATATGACGGTAGGCTATCGTGGTGTTTGGTTCTTTGTTGCAAAAACCTTTTCGATAAAAAAATTCGAGTGTTATCCTCCTCATTTTTACAATTTTGTTGTATAACTCCTCATATGAAATATTTTCAGGTTAATTAAAAGTCTATTGTTTTCAATTTTTTCAGAGTAAAGTATTGAAAATGAATTGAATTGAAGGATGTAAGAGAATAATTATGCAATAATAATATATAGTTCATCAATGTGATTTCGATTATTAAATTTTTATGAATCAATTTTTGCTTTGAATATTATTCATCCGCCGGACCTCCAAGAAATTTGGATAAAAAGATCAACAATCCTTCACATTTCATCCAAATTTCTCACGAGGTTAATGCTACCATTCTTTATCTGTGCAAATGAAGATAGTATTTCGTTAAGAAGCATCAAAACCATCAGCCAGATCATTTTATTTATATGGGAGATACTAGTTTCTGTCATGTACACAGATACTAAGCACTTCGATAACAATTATGGGCCTTTATCATTTATTTACACAATTTTCAAGAACATTTTCTTCATAGAAGAAGAATATACAGGAAGCTTATTCTCATCCCCACCAATTGTAATCAATGCTGTACTTATTATACTGTATTTTTTCTATTATTTAGTGATTTTTAGATATATTTTAACAAAATTTATGACAAAAGCACAACGTATTTACCTCGAAATCATTTCAGATTTGTTCCCAGTTCTCATGTTTATATATACTTTATCCAATGCCATCTTATGCATTATTCATTCCTTCAATTCTTCCGATCCATACCATGAATACCTACTTAGATTTGCTTTAATTACATTCATATTTTGTCTTCCAGGGTTTTTCATTGGTATAGGCCACGTAACTTTCGTTATTTGCAGTGATTATCGCTTTACAATTTTAAGTGCTCGCAATTATATATCAAGAATCCTCATCCTTATTCTACTCTCTGTCCTAAAAATAGTTCACCAAATCAATATTTTTCGAACTACAATTTCATCTTACTTAATTCCGTCTGGAATGATATTTATTTCATGTTATGCGATATTCCTTACAATGTTCAGGCATTCATCAACATATTTTTCATGTCGCTTGATGCATACAACGATTTCTTATAATTTCTTACTAAATAGTATCATAATATTGGTTCTTCCGCTACTAAAGAAAGCACCATTACTATACTGCCAATATACAGCAATTGCTTTGTGTATTCTTTCGTTTATTTCGTCTGCAACATTCCAATATTTCTTAAATTGCAGATCAATGTTGATTTACAATCTGGAACCGATGGCAATAATAAAGAACTACAGTCCATCACGAATTTTGCTTTATCTCTCAATTTTGGAGCAAAAAAATTATCAAATTTCTGAAGAATTGATTTCAGCGATTTACAAAGAATGTCCGAACGCAAATGACTTACATTTGTATTTATTCAATCATACAGTTCGTTACGACATGGAATTCCAGTATAATCCTTTATTATTACACTGTATGATGCAGAAAGCTCATAATGACATATTATTCCAGGTTTCCTTGTTGTTGGTACTTGATTTCGCCAGCCGTTCTGATATAAAAGACTGTTCTTCATTGAAAAAGCTTCATTTCATTGAAAGGCTTGATTACACGAAGAGTTGTGCTTCCAATTTCTGGAATTATGTCCTCAACGATATGTCCATGGCCGCTTCAACCGTTTTCTTCAAATTGTACCGAAATGCAGATTTATTTGAGAAGTTTTATAACAGTTTAGATGAAACTGAGAAGAATAACTCATTCTATAAGATATTATACATAGAATATGCAAAATTAATCGGTGCAAGATACGAATCTATAAAAGATCTCGAAATTTCAATAGAAAAGGAAGGAAATGTTGAGTCATCTTGGATCAGACCATTCGATGGAGTGTTTGAAGATAATAAATTGACCCTTTTTGCTAATCAATTTGGTCAATTTAAATATGAAACCGGCCAAAAGTTCATAAAACCAGAAAGAGTGAAAAGAGCAAAACATGGTAACGATATAGGTACTAGATATACCGTTCTGCAGGATATATTCTCATTCCTGACCTTAATTATACCTCTTATTTTTATGTTAATTTCAGGAACCCTGTTTTTCGTTTATTATTCTAAAATGTTGGAAGACAAACCATATTCATTCAATGCCTGCCCTGCAATGCTCTCAACAATGGATACTTTCTTCTGGGATGTATTTTTGAATTCGACCCAACAGACTTTGGCCCGACCAGTCTTCAAAGAATCGTATGAGGAATTCATTAATACGACTCTTGAACAGGTTGTTCAACAAGAATTGTACGATAATCACTTTAAATCCGGAGTAATTCAAATTAGCCAATGGATGACGAAACTTTTGAATATACTGCCTTATAAAGTGTTCGAAGACATAGCAAAAACCGATGAATTTGTCAACATTACGATGACATTTATAAATTTGTCAATTGATTCAATGGAATTGGGTTATACATACTTGACCAATCTACAAACAGTGTTAGAGAAAGGAAAGAAACTGATTCAAGAAGTCAATTTAATATTTTTATACGTAATAGCCTTTGTTGTTGTAGTTGTTGCTATTAATTACATTGTTCTTTACTACAAGTACAAGAATATGTTCACACAGCTTCTTTTAATCAAGAAACAAATCGTTAATAAATTATATAAACTTATTAACGAGCCGCAATTCAATTCCAGTAAGAAAATACAAACAACTGATATCTCAACAATATCTTTCTTCACTACATGTATCGTTGTTCATGGCGCTATTTTGCTGATTACGCTTATCGCATGTTATCTTTGGAATTATTTCTTAATTAAAGAGCTTGATGATGTTTCCAAGAAGTACAGATACGCTTTACAAGCCGATTTCTTCCCAACTGTCAAAGTAACTTCATTATATGCGATCGGAACTTTGAATCAGAACAGCCAAACAGCATCAATCCTTACTGAATGGCTTAGATTCACTGCATTCTTGGCACGTACCATCGCAGGAATCAGAACGAACATGACAATTCAGCCAACAAACGAAACAGGTAAATTACCACCGAATTTCATGGTAAGAACAAAATACGGAGATATATTAAAGCTATCTAGTGAAGAAGATAGTGTCCATTTCTTAACAATCCTCGCTTCAATTTATGATCTCATAAATGATTTGCTCGACAACACAAAATTAGAGGATTATAACATGAGTTACATGCAGCTCCATGCATTGAACGTATACAATAACGATACTTATCGTTTTTGCCAGATGAATATTAAATCTTGGGAATGGGAGTCTGGTTTGACATATTTTACCTTAGGAGTATTTATTTTTGTGATGATTGTCATGTTAGTTGTTCTTCTATTTCTTTTCCGATATTTTTATAATTTCAGATGTGCAACGATTTACTTCTTTAGGATGATAAATGCTGTTCCCGATGAAAGCCCATTCGATGATGGTACCCAAATGACCTTGTTTAAGAAACCTTATCGAACTTTGATGAGTAGAGTTCTCGAAACGATGCCGGTAGGTATCGTAACGACCAATAAAAACGGTGTAATTTTGGCCGCAAACGATGAAGCCGTTAAAAGATTCCCAGAATTTATTAAAAATGGAATTAAACTGAATACCGACCTTTTGCAGTCATTTACTAATGCAAATGGCGAGACAACATATTATGAGGTTACTACGGCTCCTTCCAACGTTTATGGCTTGAGTTCGATTAATCCGAGATTCACCGGCCAATTTACGACGATTATCAAGGACATAACCATGGTAAATAATTTAGACAACACAGTTAACTCTATTTCCAGAGATTTGGAGAAACTTCGCGATGAAGTTTTTCCAACTCCTGTTTCCAACATGAGGGATTCGTGTGTTTACTTGGAGAACATGATTGTTGTAGATATTGCATTCCCTGAAACCGCAACAATTCAAGAAATTGAAGAATTTGGAATTTATGCGAAAGAATATGCAGAACAAACAACAACTTTCTTCACAAGCAACACTTTCCAATGGTCCTTCTCATTTATGTTCACTGCTTATGAATCTATTGTTAGAGAAAGACAAAATTACCAAGATGCTGTCGAATTTACAAAACAGATCTTCAAGAAGCGCCAGGATGTAAAAGTAGGAATTGCTACAGCTGATGGTGGCTTCTGTATCATAAATAAAACAAATTTCCCAGGAGTTTTAGTTTATTCAACAGCAATGACCACTGCATGCTGTCTTACGAGATTTGCAAAGCCAGGAGGTGTTGCAATTGAGTGGCATGCTCTGATGATGATTTCTGACATTGATGCAAATCCAGATTCAGTCAAAAGAGAAAATTTGTCAGGAAAGGATGTTGATTTCTGCATATTTGATAATATAACTTCGTTCACTCAGAAAACATTATAATTTTAATAGATATATTTATTTTGTTGTTCTTTTAAAACTTCTTAATATATTACATAAGATTATTTTTCATCACAATATTAATATTCTTAATAAATTGATTCAGATTTAGATCATTTCGAATTCAAATATAAAATTACTGAAAAATCAATAGTCAATATCATATTGTTAAGATATGCATAGAACAAACTAGTTCCTTAATTTGAGTGCTTTCGAAATATCAAATGATGAAATTGAGATTAAGTAATGTTATAGGTCATAATTCAAATTATACATACCAAAAAGAATACTACTATGTTAGTAAATAAATATCAATAGTTAAACAAAATATACAAAATTTTTAAAGTTCTTCAACAACTTGTTGATTATGGTTTTCGAGTTCTTGTTCTTCTTCATTAGAGAATAATTGCTCATCTTCTTCGTTTTCGAATAAATTCTCTTCTTCTTTGTGACCAGATGTTTCAAATCTTTTTGCGAGATCATCATTTTCTTCTTCTGCAGATAATTCACCTTCATCAATTTCAACTTTTTCTTCAGTATTTTCATTCTCAAAACTATTTGCCTCTTCTTCGTTGTTTCCAGAAATTAGTTCGCTGCTTTCTCCTGAAATCATCCTCAAAAGAGACAATCTTGCTCTTTCTTTAGCCATTCTTATTGTGTATTCATGAGAATTAGCTAAATCATCTGAGGACTTTTCTTCCTTCTTTACTTCTTCTTTCACAGGTTCTTCAACTTTTTCTTCTTCTTCAATCTTTTGTTCTTCTTCTCCTTTTTGTTCTTCCTCTTCTTCAACCTTTGATTTCTCTTTTGTGCTTTCTTCTTCAGCAACATTTTCTTTAGATGATATTTCATCTATTGGCATAGAAATAGACTGATTTACTTCATCACTTGGTTCTCCAATATTTGATGTTATTTGTCTTGGAGTTTCTTCTTCTTCATTGACTTTGCTTTCATCATTTGTGCTTTCACTCATTTGGGATCTTGTTAATCCATAAAGTGAATCTTTTTCACTTAATAAATCATCAAGGAAGTCATCGATATCTACTTCCTTAGTTGGACTAAGAGATGTGTTAATTTCTGATAATTCTTGGCTTCTTTCTGCGCTGTAATCTTCATTCTTCTTAAATTCATCGTCATCTTCTTTTTCATCAGGAGATTCAAATTTAATTTGATCTTTAATGAGTTTGGAATCATCAATAATATCAGCAGCATCAATTATATCAAGAACATGGCTACTTGATGGTTCCATTTCTGATGTTGGATGCTTTAAGAAATCAAAAACAGTATCACTTTCTGTAACTTCTTGACTTTTCTCTTTTTGCTCATTGTCGTAATTCATGTTGATGTTGTCAAGAGATCTTGTGTTGATTTGTGGTTTAATTGATTCATAAGCATCATCTTCATTAGGAATATTTTCTGTTATCTTTTCAATATCTTCATTTAATTCATCTACGGCTCTTTGTTTCATTGGTATTTCTGGTTTAGATTTCATTTCATTAAGTGATGAATTTAGTGATGGAGAAGGAACTCCCTTTGGAGAAATATCTTCTGTGATTTGTTCGATTTCCTCTTCTTTGATTTTCTCTGGAATTTCTGGCTTTGGAGAGAAATTATCAATTGAAGATGATTTGATTTGGATCTCTGGGATCTCAGGATGAATTGACTGATCCACAATTTGTTTTGTTTCTTCTTCTGTTGGTTTGATTTCTTGGGAAACATATTGATGAGTTACTTTTGATGAAACATCGAAATCTTCTTCGAAATCAATGTCTCTTTCATTTATTTCCTCTTCATTGAAGTCTTCTTCTTCAATAGTTGGCTTAGGAACAAATCTATCTAATGATGATTTAATTGTTGGTTTAATAGAATCAACATTAGTTTGATCAATTCGATCAACAATAGATTTTGTCTCTTCATCAGTAACATCACGCTTGTTTTCAGTTAAAACATCTTCCTGAACTGGAATTGTTGGTTTTGGCTCAAAATTATTCAATGATGTTTTGATTATTGGTTTCATTGATTCAACATTTGTGATGTCAGTATTGTCTATGATTTGCTTGCTGATTTCTTCAATATTTTCTTCTTCTTCAACTTTTTCCTTCTCTGGGATTTCCGGCTTTGGTTGAATGTTATCAATTGTTGCATTTATTGTTGGTTTCATTGATTCAACATTTGTGATATCTGTGTTGTTTCTGGTTTCTTTACTGACTTCATCAAGATTTTCTTCTTCCTCTTCTTCTATTTCTTCTTTCTCTGGAATCTCTGGCTTTGTCTGAATGTTGTCTATTGATGCTTTAATTGTTGGTTTCATTGATTCTACTGGATTTTGTAATGAGTTGTTGGCGATGCTTAAGATGTCTTCTGATGATGGTTCTTGTTTGGTATTAGAAACCAATATTGATTTAACTGAGTCATCAAGTATTTCTTCTACAATTTGATTTGCAACATTTGGATCCATTGATTTAATAATGGAAGGTTTCATTTGAATGTTGTCTAATTTAGAAGAAATTTGTGGTTTTACATCATTTAATGTTGGTTTTGTTGTATTATCAGCTATTTCTTTGGCTTCTTCATCAGTAACATCTCTTTTAGATTCTTCAAGTTTGACATCATTTAATGCATCATTAAAGATGTTTTCAACAATTTGTTCTGAAACATTTTCTTCGATTTCAGGAACAATCTTTTCTGGAATTTCTTCTTTTTGGAAGTTATCAAGAGTTGGTTTAATTTCTGGTTCGAGATTCTCTACTTTAGGATCAAATACTTTGTCAACAATTTCATTCTCATGAAGATCTTCTTCCTCTGGAATTTCTTCTTTATGGAAGTTATTCAATGAAGAACTTATTTCTGGTGATAAATCTTCAACAGCTTTTTCTGTGTCAATGTTTTCATTTACTATTTCATTAATTGTCTCATCTTTAAGTTCTTCTTCTTCACTTTTCTCTGGGATTTCGACTTTAGAAAATGAATCTAAATGTGATGAAATCTTTGGTTCAACTAAATCAAGTTTATCAGTTGATTTTTCTGCAATTTCATTGATTTGCTCTTCCGTTGGTTCAATTTGCTTTTGTGCAAGTAAAATTGATTTCAATGATTCGTCTAAAAGTTCATCAACAATTTTATCAGCAATCTTTGGATCAATTGATGGAACAATAACTGGTTTGATCTTGAAATTATCAAGTTTAGATTTTAACACTGGTTTGATCAATTCAACATTAGTTTGATCAATTGTATCAGCAATAGATTTGGCTTCTTCATCAGTTATATCTCGTTTGATTTCTTCCAATTCAATGGAATTGATAGTTTCAGTTAAAATATCTTCAACAACTTTTTCACTGACTTGTGGATCAATATTAATTTTAACTGGAATTGTTGGTTTTGGTTCAAAGTTGTTCAATGATGCTTTAATTATTGGTTTCATTGATTCAACATTTGTGATATCTGTTTGATCAATAATGTCTAATTCTATATTGCGTGTATCAATTTCTTTCTCTGGTTTTAATTGAATATTGTCAATTGATTGAGAAATATTTGGTTTCATTGGTTCTAAATCATTCATGATATTGTTTTCAGCAATTTGATTAATTTCTTCATCTGTTGGATGTTGAATTGCAGGAACAAAAGAAATATTATTAAGTTCTTCATCTAAAATATCTTCTACAAGTTTTTCTGCAGCTGAATCATCAATTTTTGGTGAAATTGAAGGTTTTTGTTGGAAATTGTTGATTGATGTTGAAATAGCTGGATTCAATGGCTTCACATCATTATTAACATTATTATCAGCAATTTCGTTTATTTCTTCTGTTGTTGGTTCACGAATTTGTTTGACTTCAGAGAATTTGATCGAATCAATCACATCTTTCATAATATTTTCAACAACTTCATTTGAAACATTTTCATCTATTTGAGGAACAACTTTTTCCTTTGGTTTGAAATCATTTAATGATGATTCAATATCTGGTTTAAGTTCTTCATTGATTTGTTCATCATCAAATGTTTCATTTGTGATCTCATCAACTTCTTTTTGTGTTACATCTCTAATTTTTTCTGGAATTTGTGGTTTAGAAACAAATCTATCTAAAGCAGAATATCTGATTTCTGGTTTTGGAACTTCATATTTTTGTTCTTCAGTAACATCAGAAGCAACTTTGGAAACATCAATTTGTTCTTTTTCTGCAAGAATTACATCATTCAATGTTTCTGAAAGAATTTTAGAAACAATTTGTTTCGCCTGCTGTGGATTCATTTTTGGAACTTCTTTCTTTGGTGCCAATGATCTCAAAGCTTGATTTGGATTAAATATGTTGTTAACAATGTCATTAAGGATATCTTCTGATATTTTAGGAACTTTCTTTATTGGAATTGAAGCTGGAATATAACGAATTATTGAATCAGAAAGAATTGGAATCAAATAACTAATTCCTTGTTCTGAATTAAATATGTTTTGTGCAATTTGGAGAATTTCTTCCGGTGTTGGTTCTCTTATTTTCTTTTTCTCAACAAATGATATTTCATCAATTGTATCGTTGAGAATGGAAGAAACTATGTCTTTGCTTTGTGTTGGATCAATTTTTGGAATAACTTGTGGTTTTATCTGGAAATTATCAATATGTGATGAAATTTGTGGATTTAATTCATCAATATTAGTTTTAACATTGTTTTCTACTATTTCATTTGCTTCTTCATCAGTTACATCTCTCTTCTTTGTAACTTTTTCTTTTGGTTTCATGTTATCAAGATTTGTTTTGATCATTGGTTTTGAATCTTTAACATCTAAATCTGTTACATTATCAGTAATTTCTCTGACTTCTTCTTCAGTGACATCTCGTTTGGCTTCTTCCAAATGGATATCATTAATTGCTTCTTGAAGCATGTCATCAATGAGTTCTTCACTAACTTTTGGATCAATGTCTATTTTAACTGAATCTGTTGGTTTAAATGTGAAATTATCAAGTGAAGATTTGATAATTGGCTTTGCATCATCAACATTTAAGTTTGCCACATTATCTGTGATTTCCTTTGATTCTTCTTTGGTAACGTCACGCTTTGATTCAGCAAATTTGATGTCATCAATTGTTTCTTGAAGTTCATTCTCAATTATTTGTTCACTCAACTTTGGATCGATTTCAAATTTAACTGGAACTGATGGTTTTGGCTGAATGTTGTCAAGAGCGGAATTTATTACTGGTTTTGCATTTGAAACATTTAGATCTGATACATTTTCTGTAATTTCATTGATTTCTTCTTGGGTAACATCACGCTTTGATTCTGTAAATTTGATATCATTAACTGCTTCTTGAAGTTCCTTTGAAACAAGATCTTCACTCACTTTGGGATCAATGTCAACCTTAGCTGGAATTGTTGGTTTAGAATGAATATTATCAAGAGATGAATTGATTGTTGGTGAAATATATTCAATATTTGTTTTGTCAACAGAATCAACAATTTCATAAATTTCATCAGATCCAATCTTTTCTTCTTTTTCTTCTTCCTCTTCAGTGACAACTTGTTTGGCTTCTTCAAACTTGATGTCACTGATTGCTTCTTGAAGTTCATTCTCAATAAGTTCTTCACTAACTTTAGGATCAATGTCGATTTTGATTGAAATTCTTGGTTTAAGTTTGAAATTATCAAGTGATGATTTAATAACTGGCTTTGCATCATTAATATCTAAATCTGTAATGTTATCTGTGATTTCTTTCGCTTCTTCTTCGGTGACATCTCGTTTGGCTTCTTCCAACTTGATGTCATTAATTGCTTCTTGAAGTTCATTTTCAATTAATTTTTCACTCAATTTAGGATCAATTTCAAATTTAACTGGAATTGTTGGTTTGGAATGAATATTATCAAGAGATGTATTAATTGTTGGTGAAATAGATTCAACATTTGTGTTGTCAACATTATCGACAATTTGATTGATTTCATCTGGTTCAGCATCTTTCTTTGTTTCTTTAACTCGAACTGGAATTGTTGGTTTGAGTTGGATGTTGAAAAGAGAGGAAATTGCAAATGTTGGTTCTGGATATTTGTATGGAGAAACTGTTGTTGCAATGTCCAAAATATCATCTTCTGTAATTTCAAACTTTTCTTCTTCCTCCAAATATTCTTCCTCTTCTTCTTCGATTTGAAGTAATGAAGCAAGATCTTTCTTTGAAACAAAGTTTTCGACTTCTTCGTCGATTTTTTCTGGAATCTCTTCTTTACGGAAACTATCAAGCGATGGTTTAATTTCTGGTTCAAGTTCATCAACTTGTCCTTCAAATACTTCATTAGCAATTATATCTTCATGAAGTTCTTCTTCCTCTTCTTCTATTTCTTGTTTCATTGTAATATTTTCAATATTTGTAGAAATTTCTGGTTTGAGTAAATCATAAACATTATCTGGATCGAAAACATTCTTTGCAATTTCCTCACTAGCATCTTCTGACGGTTCTTGAATCTTTTCTTCTTCTTCAATGAACTTGATATCATTAATTGTTTCATTCATGATATTTTCAATGAGATTTGAAGCTTGGAAAGGTGAAATTGCAATGATTTTGACTTCTGCAGGTGAGAAAACCATTTTAACTCTTTGTTTGTTAATTGGTGATTGATGTTGTTTAACAGGAATCTTTGGTCTAATTAAGAAGTTTTGAAGTGCATTTGTATTAATAGATGGTTCAGGTTCTGCAAATTCAGCAACTTCATCAAGAATATCTTGTGCAGTTTCATCATCAATATCAATTATTTCTTCCTCTTCTCCTTCTTGGATTTCCTCTTCATATTCATCTGAAATCAATTGAGAGAATTTAGCTAACACGCTTGCAGCCTTATCTTCGAAATTATCACGTATTTCTTCCTCTTCCTCCTCTTCTTCTTCAATTTTGAGTTCTGTTGATTCTTCTGTTTTAACAGGGATTTGAACTCTAACAAAGTTGTTGAGAGATGTTGAGATTGAAGGTTGTAAAACATCTTCTGATTGTTTTTCATCGAACACTTCATTAGCAACATCTTTTTGTAATTCTTCTGTTATTTCTTCTTCATGTATTTCCTCTTCTTCTTCTTCCTCTTCAATTTCTTCTTCTTCTTTAACTGGAGTTTGTTTCTCTGGAATGAGAACTTTGACGAAATTAAGAAGAGACTTTGAAATGAAAGGTGAAAGTGAGTCAACATTAGTTTTAACAACATTTTCGGCAATGATATCTTCATGAATTTCTTCTTCCACTTCTTCTTCTTCCTCTTCTTCAACTTTGACTGGAATTTCTGGTTTGGATGTGAAATTGTTGATTTGTGATGAAAATCTTGGTTTAAGAAGTTCATAAACATCAGTTGTATCAAAGATTTGTTTTGCAATTTCTTTAGGAGCAGTTTCTGGAACTTCTTTCTTTGGAATGATTTTCTCTGGTATTTCAACAATCTGATAGTTATCGATGGATGGAGATAAATCTGAAACGATTTCATTAACTACATCATCCAAATTAACACTGTTTCCGATGATTTCGGCATAAATGTCATCAGGAATTTCAACTTTCTTTTCTTCCATTGGCTTCATATTATTAAGATTTGTAGGAAGTGATGGAATAATTACATCATCTAAATTAACAACTCCATTTACGATTTCATTGATCATTTCATCAGTAATTTCTGGTTTCTTCTTTTCTGGCTTTTGTTTCATTGTGAAATCATATAAAGAACTGCTTGGTTTGTGAGTAATTGTTTGATCAACATCATCAAAGTTGAATGAATCAAGAATCTTCTTGATTTCATCGGAATTAACATCTTCAAACTTCGGTTTTTCTTCGATTTCAATTGAATTCAAAACATCGCATGAAAACTTTGTTAATTCATTATCAACATCATCGAAGTTATCAAATGGAACAGCCTTTGCAGCTTCTTCATCATCTAAACCTTTAATAGGTATTGAAGGAAGCATCAAATCATCAAGAGAAATTGTAAATCTTGTGATTTCGTGTTCAACATCATCCATATCGAAGAAATTAACAACTTTGAGAGCTTCTTCATCTGTTAATTCAGGAATTTGCTTCTCAGGAACATCAATCATCTGATAATTAGCAATTGGAAGCTGTTTGGGAATGAAATCACCGAGGATTTCATCCAAATTAATGAAAGAAACTGTTTCTTCAGCTTCTTTATTAGATAATCCTGGAATTCTAACAAACTCAAATGTATCAAGTGATTTGATTGATGTATGGATTATATCTTGATGAATTGAATCTGGTTTGATATAATCTGTAGCTTCATTTGCTTCTTCTTTTTCGAATTTTGGTTGTGGAGGTGCTTCAATTAAAGGTTTCTCAATACGAGGAGTTGGTTTCTGATCAATGAAGACATCTTTAGCAGGTATCTGTTTATGGTCATCATCTGTTGAAAATGCATCATCAACATCAATTGGTTCTGATGTGAAATCACTTGAGAAATCATCAACAGGTTGATTCTGTGTCATTTTCTGTCTGTCCATAATATCATTTACGTCTTTAATGATGGATTTAACAACGTCTTCATCACCTGATTGTTGTGGAGAGTTATTAATTGAAATGAAACTATCTTCTTCCTCGTCAACAAACTGTTCTTCTTCTTCATGTTTAGGTTGTTCCACTTTTTCTTCTTCCTCGTGTTTTTCTTCCTCTTCGTGTTTTTGTTCTTCTTCTTCCTCAACAACTGAAAAACTTAACATGTGTTCTGTGTTATTGGCTTGTTCAATTGCTTTCCTCAAGTCGAACATTTCTCTCAATGGTGATAGTCTGTCAAGAGGTTTGTTTTCTGGAGAAACAATGTTTTTAACATCAGGTAATTTGATGTCAACTTTAGGAACTTTGAGTTGAATTTGTTGTGTCAACTTTGGGAATGTTGTTTTCGCTTTCTTTCGAATAACTCTTGAAGCAACCCAAGTTGTAAATGCATGTTGCATTATGAATAAATCCTTTTGTCTGTTCTGTCTTCTTAAATGGTTTCTGAACACGTTTTGTATCATTTCTGCTGCAGCATTTTGGAAAGAAATCGAATAAGATTCTATTGCACTGTTATAAGAATCTCTAACATAATCTCTTGACTGAGTAAGAGCATTCCATTCTCTTACAACTGCTCTTGATAATTTCCTTGATTTTAGTTTAGCACGGCTATCATCAATGTATTTTCTTCCTGCCTTTAATACATATGTTCTTGCCATTTTCATGTAATTTCTTGCAAGTTCTTGCCATTTCTTTCCATCTTCGAGTTTTTGTTTTTCTTTTTGCATATCATCTTGTCTTTGTTTCTTAAGTTGTGCCTTACTGAGATCTTCCCATTTCTTTTGAATCTCATTGTGTTTATCAAGAGCTTTTTGGAGTTCTTGTTTCTTCAATTCTGAAAGAACTTCTTCCCATTTCTTTCTTACTTCTTCTTTATGTTTCGCTGCTTCGATTTCATCCTTAACGTGTTTCTTGTTAAGAGCATCTGCTAACTCTTTGAATTTCTTTCTGAGTTCTTCTCTCTGTCTTGCTGCTTCGATTTGTTTCTTAATTTCATTGTTAAGTAATTCTTTTGACAAATTTTGCCATTTCTTTTCTGTTTCTAATTCTTTCAAACATTTCTGCAAATTGTCTTCGAAATTCTTTTGTTGGAGTTTAACAGCAAGATTAATTAACTGTTCTCTTCTTTCTTCTCTCATTTGGCCTTTGAGTTTCTTCCATTCATCAATTACTTCTGTTGCAACTCGAATTTGATGTCTTTCTTGTAACAAATCTGCAATGTCGTTGTCTCTTTTATCACTAATAGCATCTTTAGTGATGGTTATCCAGTTCTTACGATGTTGCTTCTTCTTCTGTTCATCAAAGAGCTCTTTAACTTTAGCAAAAACAATTAATCGACATTTTTTGACAATGTTTTTCGCCAATTCACGCCATTTTTGATGTTTCTGCCATTTCCTGAATGATTTTCGAAGTAAAGCTATCTTTCCTTTCTGAAATGCTTGGTCAAAACATGATACTTGCTGAACTGTTGCGATCTTGTTCTTGTGGATTGCTTTTTTAGCTAAATTTTGTAATTTTTTTCTGCCTTCAATTCTTTTGTAGATTTTTTCAATTGATTGTGATAATTTTGTTACATCATAGATGAGCATATCTGTCAAGAATTGAACTGTTTCTGATTTTGTAATGTTGTGGAGTGAAATTGATTCGTTTTCATTGGAAATACAAATTTGATTTTCAAATAATTCGAAAAATGCGATTTTGTTTGTGGGATTTGTTTTCAATTTGTTTGTAACTTTAATTTCAATACCATTTGGAGAGTTTTTAAGCTCAGAAACGAGGATATTTCCTTCGATATCTAATGATACCAAAATATTGCCATTAGATAAAGTAATTCCGATTACTTGAGCCTTGTGATCATTTAATTTCTGAGCTGTAATTGAATTTTCGTTTAGGGAATAAATTTGTATGATATTTTGTGAATTTCCGATAATCACTTCATTTAAACCGCATGCAATAAGTGTATTTGTCGTTTTAATTGGAAACACTTTGCATAATTTCAACGAAGGTAAATCATAAATATATATTGAATTCGTTACATCATAAACAGCTAAAAAAGTATCGGTCTTGCCAAATTTTACGCATTTAATTTCGCTTGCATTTGTAATTGACCCGATTTTTTGCTTTGTTGACATATTAAATAAAATTATATCATTTTGAGGTGAAATTGCGATAAAATATTTACTTGTAGTCGATGATAAAACGTATGTATATTGTCCTGATGTAATTTGTGATGAAATTTCAAGTGAAGGCCATGATATTGATTTAATTCCGACAGAATTTTGAGCTGTAAAGAGGATGTTCTTATTAACTTTATCTTCTGCGATAGATGTGATATGATAATTCGAAATTCTTATCAGATCCTTTGAGGATTCAACTTCTTCTGGTTGAAATTTCGACTTATACAATAATCCATTATCTTTACCCACTGAAAGTATGCTTTCATTATCTGGGGTAAGGATAATGGACTTCGGGAGACCATATTGATTTCGTTTCCTGGTCTCCATCTTTGAGTAGTCGTTTAAAAATTCTCAAAAATCAAGATCTATCTAATTTTACTTTGTTATTTTACCATATTATTCGAAACATGCAAAAAGTATCCTATAAATATATGTTGAAATTTTAAATTATTAATAATTCTACAAAACATGAGATAAATGGAAGCAAAGTTTGAAGAACAAATGCAGAGATAAATTATATTGTTGTAATCAAACAATATTAGCTGATATACATTCATTAATATCTTGTATATGAGTAAATTAGAGCATAGAATAGATAAATGTTTATATCAAGATATATCAATTACATGATATGAAAAATTATGCAAATTCTGGATTTGTTTACACAAATACTCAATTGATTCCTATAGTCATTTGGAGAAATTTGAAAATTTCAAAAAAAAGAATATATTCTATGCTATTTCTCCAATGGCATTATATTCTATAATATTCTTTATGACTTCGATATGTAATTTTCTAAAGGATCTAACAAATATTAGTAATCATTGGGTATGATTTAAAATCAACAATAGTTTGATATCGTTTGCTGAATAAAATTGATCTATTATTTGTTTATGTATCAGGATGGTGTATGTGAGGAGATATTCATCAATGAGAAACTTCCCAAGAAAGATAAAGGATATAATCATGAGAGTGTTCGTATAATGTAAATTCGATATCATCATTACCATATATGATATATTTGAAGGCTATGTAATGAGTTCCAACCATATGGTATTCGTTATCGTGAAATTGGATTTTATATTTTTCCAAAATTTTGCATTTCCTCATTTTGTTAAAATGTAATTAACGCAAATATAGATGAATTTGGCTTGAGAGTTACCTGACATAGTTATGGGTTTTGACAATGTAAAGCTATCGAAATCAATCATTAGTTTACACTGCAAAAAAAATTCAATAAAAAGGCGCAGTTTTCCCCACAAAACTATAAACTGGAATTCAAATCTAAAAATTACTGAAATTATTTATCTACCCCTTACGAACAAAAATAGTTGATTGAGAAAGACGTTTTTGATTTTGGCGCGAATTGTAAAAAAAAAATTTCGATGGTGGAAGCGATTCTTGATGTCGGGCTATCAGAATTAGAAAACACTGGTGAAACAATGCCCGAGGCAACCAAGAGCGCTGTGGTAACCCTCCTTTTAGGCTTTCTCCAAAGGAAAATTACGTACGAAGAAGCATCTTATCAAATGCAATCAATGATAGGAAATTGTTCGCCTTTGGATAAGCTGAATGCTATAGTTAACCAACCTGATGAGCCAATCCCACAAGCAGCAAGTCCTCAAGATTCAAATAGATCCAAGAGTAGACCTTGGACTCCTTACGAGGACCAAAGGCTTTTAGCAGGTATATATAAATTTGGTCCAGATCAATGGAATAGCATTGCAAATTACGTAGGAAACGGTAGAACCCGCGCTCAATGTAGCCAAAGATGGCAACGCGGCATCAATCCAAAAATATCTAAAAGCGCATGGAATCCAGAAGAAGAAGCAAAATTACTTAGCCTTGTTGCTAAGCACGACAAAAGTTGGAAATTAATCAGCGATGAACTTGGAAATAGAAGCGATGTCCAGTGTCGTTATAAATACGTACAGCTTAAGAAACACCCTAACATGTCTGAACAAGTCGAAAATTCAATGAGGGGGTCAAAACAATGGCAAAGTCCCATGTCAGATCAAATGGGCCAAATGGCTGCTCAGCAAAGCATGATGAAACAAATGGGCGTTAATCAAAACCAATTGAACCAACAGATGCAGATGACTCAAGCTAATATGCAACAATACATGCAGAATTCTCAACAGAAATCAATGGATCAAATGCCTATGCAACAGATGTCAAATCAGATGCAACAACTTTCCAATATGTTGATGCAACAAGGTGGATTGAATCAAATGCAAGGCCAGAATCCTTTCTCAATGAATCCAATGCAACAGATGCAATTCCAAATGCCTATGCAACAAAATACAAAGATGAACCATCAGACGAAACCTAAAAAACCTCGAAATACAAAAAATCATAACGCCCAAGCAGGTGGAGCCTCCAATAGTAAGCAAAATGCAATGCAGAACCATATGATGCAACAGCAACAGCCTCAGCAGCCACAACAATCTCCAATTCAACAATCAATGCAAAACCAAATGAACCAAACAATGTCAATGCAGCAGCTACAGAACCAGATACAAAACCAAATTCAGCAACAACTACAAAGTTTGAACCAGCAGAACTCACAAAATTCTTATTCCGCCATGAATCAGCAGAATATGAATCAACAAATGCAGCAACCACCTCAGCAACAATTCCAACAGCCACAGATGTCACAGCAATCGAATTACAATACTCCAATGCAGCAAAATTCTCCTTCTCAGTACCAACAAACAAATCAACAGCAATTCCAGCCACAACCGACCCAAAATCAGTACCAGCAGCAGATGCAACAAATGCAGCAACAGATACAGACACCTACGATGACACAAATGAGCTCTACTTCGCCAATGCCTACACAAGCACAAAGCGCTTTCGATACAGCGTATTTCGAATTGGAATTGGCAATACCTACTATAGATGCAAACTGGTTTTCGGAATATTGATCCGTTTATCAGTTTAGGTTTTTTATATTATATTTATTTTTTTGTTTGATAAAATATCATTATGCCTTTAGTATTTAGTTATTATCAAAACATTTTTCCTACTTCAATACAACTTTTAAATTACTAACAAAAAAAATGGAAAATATCTAAATCCAGGCTGATCAATTTCGATTTGAATATGCCTGAGTAATTCTACTAGTTATAAATTTTCTTGATTTTATGATTTATAACCATTGAATTCAATTTTAATTTAAAAAAAAAAATATGATCACATGCATTTCATGTTACATTTATTTTTGTTTCTCGATATACTACTTATTACTTGATTTTGAAAGAAATTTTTTTGCTCGGAAAATTTGAAATTTAAAAAAATGATACTAAATTTATTCATTTTAAAGATGAAGACTAAACATCAAGAATTTTCAAATCAACAAAATATCGATGTAATATAAACAATTCGTTTTACTACTTCTAAATCAACAAAATTATGATTTTTCATAAAGAAATTTTCGTAAATTCAGCATAAAAGTATTATTAAGCTTTTTTATCTTGTATGAAAATCACTGGCATTCTTATTTTTGATGAATATAGTCAAAACCATTGATATCTGAAAAAAGAAATCGAACGAAAATTAGAATAGTTTTCAGATATAGTATCCCCATTGTAAACACAATTCGAAACGAATAACTATAGTCCAATATCTGAACACAAAATGGAGATCTTCGATGAAATCATCAAAAATTTAAAAATATAGAACAACAACTATGCATGATTATAATTTATCAGAGCGATTATGTCATTAAACTCAATCAATTCAAAATTGATAGCTATTCAATGAAAACGATAAAGGCTTTCAAAATATTTGATAAGATAACTCTTTTCAAAAAATGTCTAAGCTGTTTACCCCAGTGAACATCGCTAAGCTCTCGCTCAAAAACAGATTCATGAGATCTGCTACATACATGGGATTCTGTGATATTGATGGAATGCCAACACAGGAGTGTTTAAAGTATTATCGCGACCTTGCAGACGGACAGTTTGGTCTTATCGTTCCAGGATATCTTTACCCAGTTCCAGCAGGAAGATCTTCACTTCGTCAAGGAGGAATGTCTACTGATAAACATGCAGAAGCATGGCAATCAACAATTGATTACATCCACAAGCAAGGATCAAAGATTGTATTCCAAATTGGCGATGCAGGATTAGGCTCAAGATTTGAAGTTACCAAGGAAAGACCACGTGGTGCTTCCGCAACTGGTCCAATGAATCGCGCAATGACACAGGGCGACATTGATGAATTAATCGAAGCATACAAAGACATAGCATTACGAATCAAGAACGTTGGTGCCGATGGCATTCAAGTTCACAGTTGCCATATGTATCTATTAGCGCAATTCCTTTCTCCAGGCGAAAACAAGAGAACAGACAAATACGGAGGAAGCCCAGAAAACAGATGCAGATTACATAATGAGATTATTTCCGCAATTCGTTCAGTTGTCGGAAATGATTTTCATGTTTCAATCAAAATCAACGGAGATGACTACAAGAAAGATGGCACAAAACCAGAAGATGCAGCAAAGACAGTATCTCTCCTCAAAGGCATCGATTTAGTCGAAGTTTCATGCGGAAGAACTGCTGATGCGATGGCTAGATCTCATTGTTTCAAGACTTTCCCATTTATTCCAACATACAACTTAGATGCTGCTAAGACAATCAAGAAGGCCAATCCTAATATGCCTATTGCATGTGTTGGAAACTTCAGAAAGGTTACAGATATGGAGAAAGCCCTTGATGATATCGAATTGATTTCTCTTTCAAGACCATCAATTGCAGACACAGCCACTGTCAAACATTTGATGGAAGGAAAGAAGAAAGTTAAATGCGTTTCATGCGGTCAGTGCATGATAAAGAGCAACGGAGTGGTTAAGTGCTTCATCTAAATCTAATAAAAGTATATTTCTATTTGAATTTATTTATACTTTTTTTTACTGAAAATGAAATCTCAAATACGCATTTGGTATTTTATCTATAGATTCTGAACAACCATTGATTCTGGGAGCCAAAGGTTTTACCTAAAATATTGAGAATTCTAAATTTTCTTTATTACCAGAATATTTTGATAGACAAAAAAATCATCAATCACATCAATATTCATATGGTAATAAAAGGCTGAGTCATCATATGATAACATAACCTGACTTCAATTCATATGATAACATAACCTGACAAAGTAGAAAATTATCTAAAATCATAATTATGCAAAAGGCAAAGTAGAAAATTTTCCTGGTGTGAAACAATTTTTTTTGAAAATTATTAAATTCTATATTATTAACTCTATTTTGTTTTAGTATTTGGGAAAGAAGGCATAAAATACAATGCGACAACTGAGGTAATTTCTTATTTAATCTTCCAAAATGTCAGTTTCATAAAATTAATATTTAATTATTGCTTCATCTATTCCATCTTAAGTTCTCATTATGATTTTAGATAATTTTCTACTGTGCCTTTTGCATAATTCAGTGCTTTCCGTCCATCATTATCTTTTGTTTCTTTATCAGCTCCAACAGAGATAAGATATTTAACAACATTTAAATGATCATTAAATGATGCATAAGTGAGTGGAGTCCATCCATAATTACTTTTTACTTCCTTATCAGCTCCAATAGAGATAAGATTTTTAACAACTTCAAGATGACCATTAGATGATGCATAAATAAGTGGAGTACGCCCATCATTATCCTTTGCTTCTTTATTTGCTCCAACTGAGATAAGATATTTTACTACTTCGAGATGACCATTAGTTGATGCATAAATGAGTGGGGTACGCCCATATTTATCCTTTGCATCTTTATTAGCTCCAACAGAGATAAGATATTTAACAACTTCGAGATGACCATTAGATGATGCATAAATGAATGGAGTCCATCTCTCTTTATCTTTTTCTTCTTTATCACATCCACAATTAATGAGAAATTTTACAAGTTTGAGATTTCCTGTTTCACTTGCAACATGAAGTACATTCTTTTCATTTTCATGGTCTGAAGCATTAGCTGCAATCTTTTTACAAAGTTCTTCTTCACATGCTTTTGAAATTATTTTTTGATTCCTATCAGATGAAAGATAATCAAGGAAGTTGTATACACTTTGGAAATCCTTAGCATTTTGAAAATCCGAAAATTCTGATAGAAATTCTCTTTGTTTTTGATTTTGAGTAGTAGATAGATCTTTTTGAAGTTTTTGGATTTTTTGAGTAGAATCAAACAATTCTTTTTCTGCCTGCTTTAAAAAATCAATAATCCCATCAAGGTTTCTCAATTTCATGTAATTTCTGAAAGATTCTATGATTGAAATAACATCTTGAAAATTTCGTATTGAAATATTTGCTTTTCGAGTGCATCTATATACTTCATATGCATGAAGGGTTGATGATGATTGCCTGAGAAGATCAATGAATTCGTCCGTAGTTAGATTTGAAAATTTCAATATAGTTTTAATAGTATCTATATCAAAAACACTAAATAAATTTCCTTCTCTGATATAATTGCTAATGTGAGTTGCAATATATTCAGAATTAAGGATAAGATCTTGATTCATGAATGAAGAGTTGTAATTAAAAATAATGAAATAAGCCGGAAATTCTAAAATTAATTATTGTCTCAAAAAATTGAATGGCAAAATGTGATTTATCTTTTTTGCTTCAATTGTAAATTTTCCATAACTTTTATCCAACCTTTCAATGTAATTGAAAGAACTTTGGAGAAAGATATATACATGTTTAGCAAATAACTTTGCAAATGTCAATAATTGACTCAATATAATATAATTGCAAATGTAATAATTTACTATTATAACTTTGCAAATGTCAATAATTGAGTCAATTAGAATATAATATAATAGTAATTTCATGGATAGATTTCGAGAAAAATTGCAATTGCATTTTTTTTTTTTTGAGTGGTAGTAATATTCGTGACTATATTCAGTAGCTATATAATATATCATTGCGTATTCAGAAGTGTGCACTTTTCGTAATATCAAATCATCATAAATATCTAGCATATCATATGGTTTAGTACCATTTTTCATTGAGTGAAACCTAGCGGTCTTTCAATTGGATTGAACATGTATAATAAAGACTTGGTTTCTGAGTTGATTCAATATGCTACAAAACTTTGTGACATATGATGAAATACTTGAAGAATTTTCAATATTAGGCTATTCTATTTTGAATAAAATTCAATTTTTTTTCGAAGCAACTCATTGAAAGTACTTTCGTTGGAAAATTGGATCCAAAAGCGGATAATGATATTAATATTCTTTTGGCTGCACTTACGCCCATCTGACTTTAATTCAAATTTTTGACAACTGGCGTGAAGCGCCTTTGAAATTTAACCTTAAACATCTGAATTGAAGGCCCTGTCATAGGGGCGTAAGTGCACACTTAATAGATAAAGAGATTTTTTAGAAAAATTCTTGTGGGTTTGATGACAATATGATTCGTATTATAGTTTAAAAAAAAATCGAAATTTTTAGTTTTTTTTTTCTTTACACACAAAAAAAGAAGGTAAAAAATAATTTTAAAGTTGATCGAGACCGAATGTAGAAATCTGGTGTTTTCTAACACGAGATCTAATATCAACAGCAGTACCGTATGTAGTTGTGTCAATAGTGTTATACCTTACAGTCTGGAACGAGTTAACAGGAGGTTCGAACGCGTAACCATTTGGATTTTCGACATCAGGATAAGCACCGATATTTACATCCTCTTGTTTGGCCACAGGAACAATGATATCTTCTGGTTCTTCAACAACCCTTTCAGGCTCAGTAGTGATTGTTTGTTCTTGAACAGACTTGCTAGAACTAGCCTTTTCGTAGTCAAAGATGTGAGTTCTTTCTCTGACCAAAATTCTGTTCAAACAAGTATCTCTTGAGTTGAAATATGCGTTGATAGCAATGATTGGAATTGTTGCCAACACAGTTGCACCAATGATAGAGAACCAGAACAAATTAGATCCGAATGTTGGAACAGAAAGACCTCTGATTTCTGTTGCGAAACCAGTATAATCCAAAACAATAACAACAAGCGGATAAATGATGATTGATCCCCAAATGAAGAAATGTTCCATCCATGTCCAATAAGAAGACATTGTCGCAATCTTGAAGTTGACAACGAAAACAACACATCCGTAAACAGTAATTCCGAATGCTCCGTAACCAAGAGATTTTCCAGAAGAGTCAACGAAAGGACGCATTCCGAGATAAGGAACAAATAAACAAACTAAAGCATGTAAAACACCGATACCTAGTGCTTCCCAATACTTCATGTAAGAGACCATTTCTTTTCTCTTTCCTTCCCATTTGTATAATTCTGGTTCGCTCATTGATGTCTTCATAGAAACATCTCTTTCCAAACCAGCGTAAACAACAGGTGGAGCGGAAGTAAATATGACATTGAAGATGGAAAACAACATTGAATCATATAATGTCAAAGAAGAGAAATTGCAGAAAATTCCATAAAAGAATTGACATAATGAGCAACACATGTTCTTATAGAAAGAATAGTTAATTAAGTCAATATTACGTTTGAAATTAAGTCTGCCATGAACAAGTAACAATCTCTTCAAGAACCTGAATTGTGCAAATGAATAATCACTTGCTAAAACTGCTTGCCTACCTTCTTGTCCTGAAATTCCAACACCTATATCTGCTTCAAGAATCATTCCTACATCATTTGCACCATCACCAATTGCCAATGTCAATGCACCTGTTTGTTTACGAACCATTGAAACAACAGTTGCTTTTTGAAGTGGCGAAACTCTGCAGCAAACAACGGATTGGCATATAGAAGCGAATTGGAAGAAAAGAGGCTGATTCTCAGGTAACAATGCATGATACAAAGCTGCTCCTGATGCAACTAATGCTACAGGACCTGTTTCTTGCAATCCTTTGTTCAATTCATTGATGATTTCTTGTGAATCGTTCGAATCCAAAATCGTCAATTTCATGTCTGTTGATAACAATGAACAAGCGAAACCAATGTTGATGGCTGTCTCTCTCTTGTCTCCTGTAATAACCCAAACTTTGATTCCTGCTTTGAGTAGAGAATCAATTGCTTCTGGAACACCAATTTGAAGTTTGTCTTCAATTGCTGTTGCTCCTAATAATTGTAAATCACATTCAACTTCATTTGCTACTTCATCGACAGCTTGTTCTCTTCCTTCTAGTTTGCAGCATGCATCGTTATACCTCTTTGCCCATCCTTCAAACCATTGTGGATCAATGACTTTATATGCAGCACATAATGTTCTCAAACCGTCAGCAGCGAAATCTTTCAAATGCTGCTGTGTGACATCTACGTAAAGAGAGTCTTTTGCAAGTCTGGCCATGATCAAGTCATCGGCGCCTTTGCAGTATAAGACAATCTCGTTCGTCTCTGGATGTCTGATGATGACGGAAGAGCGTTTTCTTTCAGAAGTGAACTCAAGAACGGCTAAAACTTCAACTTCGACATCGACATCGTTGTGTCTTACGGTGACAGACCCTGGTTTTCTTGCTTTAAATAGGTATCCGAAATCTGCCGCTGCGGATACTAAGGCTCCTTCGTCTGGAGATGATGCTTGGAATGCAATTCCGTATGGCTTCTTCTCATTTGGTTCTGGAATGACGGCATGGCACACGGAAAGCATCCAAAGGAAGTGCTTGATCTCCATTGGAGTGTTTCCATTTAGTAATTGCATGAATTGGTCGTCTTTGAATACTTTGCCGGTCGGATCTGGTTTCTCGCATGGAATTCCACGGCATCTGCAGGCTGCATAGGCTACTTCTGTGGTGCCATGGCCGTATTTGCGTCCTGCAATCGAACATTTCATGAATTCCATGATATTGCGGGTAAGAGTACCTGTTTTGTCCGAAAAGATGTATTCGATGTTGCCGAGATCTTCTGAGAGGTTGGATGTACGCGAATCTGCTCCGGTTTGTGTTTCTACGTGATACATTTCTGCATCCCAGGCAACAAAGCCTGATTGGAACAGTCTGACGACTTCCAAGGTAACGTAAAGCGAAATAGGAATCATGGCGTTAATCAAAATGATGTAAGAAATCATTAAAATGAAAAATCCTGCAACTCCTGGGCGTTTCATATCCCAGCCTTTGTAGAGATACCATATATTTCCATTAACGATGTTCTTTTCGTAGACAGCACCAACAATGCCGGAGATTATGCCGATACCGATCATAAGAGCGAAAACCGAGAGTAATTTCATATTGAGACCACGCTCTAATGAGGATACCTTTGAACGAGCAGTTGATGAGTTCTTCATAAGCTTGGATTCAAGGCCTGTGTAAACAACAACTCCGATCATCCATTTTGTATTACGTAAGATGCAGCCACGAAGAAGAACTTGCTTGTTCTCTAGTGGAATTGTCAAACCGTTAAGGTCGAAATAGCCATTGAAGGTGTAAAGTACATTATTCGGTTCATCACAAACAATGGTCGTAGAGAAACGAGCAGCAGATTGGGCGTCTATGACATCCTTTGTTTGTGGCATGGCCTGACGTACCTTAAGATTTGTTTCTCCGTCCAAATTGCAAGTATCAATGTATGCAACGCTATCTGGTTCACTTGTTGAGAGCATAACGATATCAGCAGGTACTTGTTCATTGGAATTCATGAAAATAACATCGCCAACAAGAACATCTCTCCATTTCACATCTTGCCACTCAAAACCACGTAACACATGAGCAGTAGAGTTATTGATCTTTTTATCACTGAAGCCACGCTTGATATCTTCCCAAGCTTCACGGATGGCTGAAATTGCAACGACAATAACAAGTGGTAAAATAGCTGGACCAGCTTCAAGCGGAGCCCATGGAAATACGTAAAGGATAATTGAAATAACAAGGAAGTAAAAGTTTGCAATTCTACGGAATTGTTCGAATAAGTTTTTTGGTAAAAATGACCAAATAGAGTATTTGGTCGTAGTAATCGCATTATCTATAAATAATGGTTTTCCTTTTTCATTCTTTGTCTTATGAACAGTGACTGAACGACCTGTAACTTCAGTCATTGTTTTTTTTTAGCTTTTTTTTTCTGACGTAAACTTCTCAAAAATAATTTTTCATATCCTTGGAGCTGTTGAGCAAGGGAAGAAAAAACTTTACATCTCAGATCCGAATTTTAAATCGAAATGGATACTGTTGTAAACAGAAATTCATCAAAAGTGACACCTCAGAAAAGCTAAAATATTGAATTTTTGGAACTTTTGATAGAGCACGTTTTGAAATATTAATTAAAGTAAATGTATATTTTGTAAAGATTCTTTTTAATAAAAAAGTAAAATTTTGAAGAAGAACACAAAATCTTCTGAAAAATAATATCACATAAACTCATATTATTTTCTAATATATAACTATTTTATATAAAAATCAAATTCAATGATCTTAAAAGCGAAGGATAAACCTCAAAATTTACGAATATAATGAGTGGGAATATAATGCTTATCTATCATAAAACCATATGAAATATCAATTTTTGCTTTACGCCTAATTTTGACGACAATTAGCAAAAAATGTTAAATGTTAACACTCAGTCCATTTGAATATGAAAAATAAAATTGACTTTGATTAAATGTTTTTATTTATCATGCAATTCTTCTTGCGACCAAAGATTTGAATAAAAGTTCAAAAAATAAGATAGAACTTAAAAAATAATATACGGTAGTGTTTACTAATAGATGAATAGTATATAAATTCTATTAAAATGGATTTGATCCAAAAAAATATATAAAATTTGATCATAAATAAAATCGTTTTAAATTACTTCTTCATTTAAATTATAACAATTATTTTTGGTTTTATATTTTTTTGGATCAAATCCATTTTAATAGAATTTATATACTATTCATCTATTAGTAAACACTACCGTATATTATTTTTTTAAGCTATCTTATTTTTTGAACTTTTATTCAAATCTTTGGTCGCAAGAAGAATTGCATGATAAATAAAAACATTTAATCAAAGTCAATTTTATTTTTCATATTCAAATGGACTGAGTGTTAACATTTAACATTTTTTGCTAATTGTCGTCAAAAATTAGGCGTAAAGCAAAAATTGATATTTCATATGGTTTTATGATAGATAAGCATTATATTCCCACTCATTATATTCGTAAATTTTGAGGTTTATCCTTCGCTTTTAAGATCATTGAATTTGATTTTTATATAAAATAGTTATATATTAGAAAATAATATGAGTTTATGTGATATTATTTTTCAGAAGATTTCATTCTATATGCCTATGAAAAGTACTCTCAAAACTAACTTTTTCCTAATTATAATTAAATCTAGAATATTGTATTATGCTTAGTATTATTTCATTTTTCTCATTCAATTTAGAATTTACAAATGTCAAAAAATTGAGAGCTGTCACTTTTGATGAATTTCTGTTTATCACAATACTATTACCCCTTCTCTTTTTATTTTATTTTGACCACATAGCAAACATTTTATCGAGTGAATTTTTTTTTCCTTTCTCATCCCTTGCGAACTTTTTCAATATGAAGATTTTTTGTATCTACTAAATTAATCGTTACTAAGTAGATTTTATAATAGTAAAAAATTGAAACATTATTCATTAGATCTAAATTTCGAATAATTTGATTGATTTCACAGATGCTTGCAAATAGAATATGGCTAATATATCGAACATACAAACATTTTTAATATAACAAACAATGAAAATAATTAATATGGAAGGAAATTCCACGGCATCTCTTTGATTTCTTCAACTTTGTTCTCATCAAGAAGAGGCTTTGGTTTTTGTGGCTTAATGAATGGTTTTGAATAAAGCTCTTGGATAAACTTTTCGTTGTCTTCAGATTTCGAAACTTTGTTTTCGGAAGAAACAGTTTGTTGAACGCTTCCTATTCTTACAGCAGATGCGTATCTAGAAGAGAATCCTTTCTTCACTTCTCTGTTTTTCCTGCTTCTCATCTTCGTGTAAAACTAATTCATCGTGCATTAACTTGAAAGTTAAGATATTCGAGTCAATATCCTTAGCCACATCTTTGTTCATCCTCTCTAGATCACCTAATTTCATACCGCGTTCAGTATCTTCGTCAACGACTGGCGCATTTTCTTCTTCTGTTTGATCTTTTTGTTTCGGAGGGCTTGGATTCCTTTCTGAAAGCTTCTTCTTGGTGAAAGCAGCAATAATAGGATCTTTATCATCTATATCTGGTATTTCATCTCTCTTATTTTCAGCTAAAAGACGGCCAAGATCATTTACAAACTTTTTAAGTGTTTTTGGTTGGCAAATTTCAACTTCTTTGATGCGCGTCCTCAAATCATCCATGAAATGCATCATCCTGTCATCTCTCATCGACTGTCTTTCGTTAAATTCCTTTCTTTTTTGCTGATAATTTTCAATAATGTGAGGTTTTCGAGCTCTGTGAAGCAAAGATCTGGTTTCTATCATAGGATTATATGAATTAACAGTTGCAGTAAGGTTTTCTTCGGTGTGAGGATCAGGAAGCAAAGTTGGGAAATTTAATTCCAAATCTTCAACTCCATTTCTTGGAAATTCAAGTTCCATCTTAACATTTTTAGTATACGGCATGATCTGGCGCTTCGTGGAGCTCTGAATCAAAGGAGTTAATGATGTAGGACGGAAATAAATTGTTTGAGGAGGAATTCTATGATCTGGTGGCGTTAAACTCTTGAGATCTTCCTTAGGAAGCTCTATACTAGGTATGTAATTCGGATCTTTTGGAGGATTAAGTAAAGCATCAGGAATATCTGCTTGAGGTGGAATTTTGAAATATTTTTGAAGGGTTTGCATTACGAATAAATCGATAGCAGTAAATCCTGTAAACGTTTCGACGGATAATATACACAAGTTTTGTCTGAAATCTTTCTTTGCTGCAATGGGATTTCCGCATGATTTTTGAAGAAACATGTCTTGTAATGTCTGTGTTGCAAAATATGGAAAACTTCGCAAAAAGGCATCAATTATCTTTGAAGGATACTTCTTTTCTGTATATAACGCAAATAATAATAAACCCCAAGCTTCACCAGTGACTTTTTGAAATCCATCTATTCTGTAGTCTTGAGGAAGGTGCATTTTGAAGTGAAAAAGCCAAAATAAAGGTTCAAATAGATTTGTTAAGTAATATAAATTTTCTTCGTAAATCTTTTTAGCATCTTTTTCTTCTTCGATGAATTTTATTGCATCTAATGAGTTTTGTACTGATTTTGTAAGTATCGACATCATTTTTGTATCTCTTTTTTGATATGGAATTCTTTCCATCTCGTAGAATTTATATTCTTCCTGTTCCTTACTTTTTCCTTTAGCAGCAACAGTTCTAGATCTATTGCGCAAGGCTGACGATTTAGGACCAGAGGTAACAAAACTAATTCTTTTCATAAAAATTTTATACGTTACTTCAGTGAATTTTGGCGGGTTATGCCCAGATCATGTATTCAGAAGTCTCTACACATATTATTAGGTTTTTAAGAACCAGATCCTATATATATTGCAATATGGATGCATTTCGCCATGGAAAAATTTGAGATGAATTAACACATTTCAGTAACAATATCTTATTCACTTAAATTCCAACTAAATGAGTGATATATTTGTGTTTAAACAAGTAAGAAGTTCCATTTTTATTTATTAATTGAAACTCAATTAATATAGAATAGATCGTTGTATGGTAGATAATGATGAACTCTATTAAACACAGTATTGACTAATTTCATATAATTAAGTGATATCATGCAATTAATCATCAGTTTTGAAGCCATTCAGATTAAAATCGTGTCATTTATACAAAATCGTTCAAGAGATAAATCACTGTAAGCTATGTTATGCTATTTTATCATGTAAATTCTGATTTGTAATTTGAGCAGGCGTAATTATAATTTCAAAATTTTTTTTATTATCCAAAAAAAATGAGTTATGATGATATTTTTGTCCAATATTATTATCAAATAACTCATGGTTGCGAGTCTGTCAACTGCAAGAATCCATATTGCATGTCATGCTCTTCTTTTCATCATCCAGAAAATCCAACATTATTAGCAGTCAATTTAGCCGAAAATCATTTCAGCAAAGATAACTTATGCAGCTCCTTATCATATTTAATCACCGAACCTCGTATTATGCTGCCATTAGCACGTGCACAAGGCTTTTTCAACCAATATATCACTGACCAAAAGATTTCAGATGAAAATGCTCAAGGATTAGAATCAGTTCTTTCAGACGATAAAGCGTTTCCATACATATTTTTATCAGATGATTCAGAATTAGAACAAGATGATTTACTTATTAGCGATTCATTAATCGTTTCATTTATCAAGATGCATCAAAGGCAGCCGAACTATTTCATCGAATACGAATCCAAATTCACTCCAGTTTTGAAGAAAATTCTTCTTGATAAATCCGACACATTAAGGAATGTTCGTGCTCACATCATGCTCTTTTTATTCCCAGAACTTATTTCCAACAGTATCGCCGACATTTCTCGTTCAATTGCCGAGTTTTCTACAGAAAAATTAAATGTCTTCATAGAATCCATGATTCGCATTCCAAACATGTTCAAACACATGGTCGAACTTACAAAATCCGCTTTGGACATCGCCTGCGACCAAAAAGTGAAGCCTCATTCGGCCATATTACATTCCTTGACATCTTTCATTGAAATCCTTGCCTACGTCAATTCCCAGTTACCTATGCAGCTTACACAGTCCAAGTTCTTCTCAGAAAAGCTATGTTCCATCATATCCCCTGAAATGGAATTTCAACTCATCAAAGATGGCAATTTCTCATATCTCAGTACACCATCTGTCCTTACACACATATTCCGTGCAAACTTGATCTCAAAAGAAACCGCTTTCATGAACTTTTTGAATAATAACCGTAAACGAACAATTTCAATCAGAAGATCACATGTTCTTGAAGATGCACTTAACAGTTTCTCCAAACTATCACAGCACGAGCTCCATGAACAGATATCCATCCAATTTGAAGGCGAAAAAGGTGTCGATGACGGTGGTGTTTTTAAAGAATTAGTTTATATTTTGACGAACGAATTAATCAAGCCCGATTTGAAGTTGTTCCAAGAAACAAAAACAGGATATTGGTTTGTCCCTGGCGGTGACCAGAAGCTCCTCAAATTGTTCGGTATCATTGTTGGTTTGGCCATTACAAATCAATTGATTTTACCTGTCAGATTTCCAAAGATTTTCTATAAGAAATTCGCTAGAACACAGGTAACAATCAATGATTTCGAACAATACGATCCTTCAATTGCTCAGTCCTTCAAAATGCTAAGAAACATCGCGAAAAGCGGCGGCGATGTAAAAGATGCAGAAATTAATTTCGTTTTTACAAAAAGTGACAAAGGAGAAGTTGAATTAAAAGAAGGTGGCAGCAACATTGTTGTTGACAATGATTCTGTTGAAGAGTACATCAGATTGTACATTGATTATGTTGCTAATAAGAGCATTGAAAAGGAATTTGAAGCTTTCTTTAGTGGTTATAATGATGTGTGCGACATTCCAATTGTTTCTTTGCTTTCTAGCCGTGATTTGGAACTTTGCGTGTCAGGAGAAGAGACATACAACTGGATTGAGTTACAGCAATCTGCTGGCTACAATGGTTACGATAAATCTTCTAAATCTGTCCAGTATTTGTGGGAAATTTTCATGAAAATGGACGAAACAAAGAAGAAAGCTTTCTTGAGATTTGTGACTGGTTCTGACCGCGCTCCAATGGGCGGATTGAAGAAAGTAATCATTTATATCCATTATTCAGGGGATACAAATCTACTACCAACAGCACACACATGCAAATCAATTCTCGTGCTTCCTGACTACCAAGATAAAGAGAAATTAGAAAAAGCTATGAACATTTGCATCGAAAATGCTGAGGGTCTATTTTTGATTTAATAAAAATTGATATTGATATCAATTTTTTGTTATAGAATGAACTCTTACCACTTTCATGAACTCAATTCTCTGAAATGGTCCGGAGAAACATGAAAGATTGTCATATATTTCAATGATTAGCTCAATTATAAAATAGTGAAGTACTTTTTAGATTTAATATTTAATGAGTTTTTTTTTTCAGCCCGAAACTAATGAAGAGAAATTTATTTTTATATGCTACGCCATTTTCTTGACGTCTGGAATCAACCTCATCCTTGAGCCAATACATTGAATTTGACACTTGAGTGTCAAAAAAATTCTCATTTTAGATGGGGGCGATACCCAAAACTACCCGATTTGCCATTTTTTGAGGGGAAATAACTTTTTTAGCAACAAATGTGTGACATTATAAAGTCCTAGTTTTATCTCTAATTTGTAATGAAAAATAGAATTGCAAAAGATTATAGACAATCAGTCCAGCTTTTCGATGTGATTTATGAGATTATTATATATATTGCTAATAAGGAATAAAGTTAACTGCTTAAAATCGAATTTTGAGCATGGTTTATTTTTGAAATTATTTGATCATTGAATTTTCGGCGATTTAAATGGATCAATCCGCAATATAATATAACTCAAATTGATAAATGCTATTAGTTTAAAAACGATTAAAAATTGCAACCGAAAATGGTCAAAAGTAAGTCACGAAAATATGAAATTTAGATAGCTAATTTGATTTAATTAAAGACGACGAAAAAAATATTTTTAGTCTTATATATAAGATTCATTAGCGAAATTCGTCATTTCTCTTACAAGAGAAAGTGAAACATTTTATCAATTGATTGAACATATTCGATTAGAGTTTTGCAGCAAACAAATAATTGATGAAATTCAAAATTTAACTAACGAAAATAACTATAATATCATCATCAACTCATTCCATGATTCATTATTGCGATCAAGACCTACAAAATATAATTATCCTCGTTACAATATTCAAAACGAATATTTACAAAATGTTTCTGAGATAAAGAAATCAAATGATTTCTCAAATATTTATAAATTCTTAGATGAAATATCAGAAAAAGATAATCGAATTATGATGCCAATTGCATTAAATGAACTTGCAGACACAAAAGATTCAAGTGGTTATTACATTATTCATAAAGCTGCTAAAGATGGAAATCTCAGACTTGTTCGATGCTTTGCTGAATATAATTATAATATCGAAATAAAGAGCAATGGTGATTATCAATGCACTCCGCTTATTTTTGCATCAAGAGAAGATCGTCTTGGAGTTGTTAAATATCTTATCTCTATTGGAGCGAATAAAGAGGCAAAGGATAAAGATGGATGGACTTCACTCATTTGGGCATCAATAAATGGTCGTCTTGAAGTCGTTAAATATCTTATCTCTGTTGGAGCCAATAAAGAAGCAAAAGATAATGAAGGAAAAACTGTATTCGACCGTGGAAATAATGATATAAAAAATTATCTATCTTCTTTATGATTAAAGATATAAACCAGTTATAGTTTATCGCTTGAATAAAATACTCAAAATAATTCTTCGTTTAATGATATTAGTTAGATGTATTTCTGATCCATAAACTCTTTAAATTGGCTATATTTTGTTAAGCTAAAACATTAACTTCTTAAATATAGTTCGATCCAGATAGGTGAACGTTTTTGCATGACTTCTTTGGCCAATTGGTCATTCATGGCTTTGAGACCTTCGATTTGTTTTGTTAGTGCGGCAATGACAAATTCTGATGTGATCAAGTTTTTTTTTTGTAAATTTTTTTTGTAATGCGAGTTTTTAAACCACCAAATATTTATGGCATTACAGGAAATGAGAAGGAGGACTGCTGTACTACCCTTCATTATCGAAATGTTCAATGCTTAACTGACAATGAAGGTCAAATTTGTGGTACTTTTCCACAATTTCCACAAACATTTACTTTACGAGAACTATTCAATAATATTGTTGATATGTATCATGATCGCCCGCTTATAGGTACAAAACCAACAGATGATCGAGAAGATTACGAATGGATGACTTATGGTGACTTCGATTCTCTCGTTAAAAAGCTTTCAGCTTCATTAATTCAAAGAAATTTTAACGAAACTACGATTACAGGAGTTTTTATTGAAAATTCTGAATGGTTTGCTGTTGTTCAATGGGCTTTAGCATATATTGGATCGATTTTCTTCCCTATTGATGTTGATTTTCCACTCCCTATTACATATAGTATCATAGAAACCTATAAATGCTCAGTTGTATTTTGTACTGCTTATACTTTCCAGAAATTATTCGATTTACTATTACAAGAACAACCAGATACTCTTAAAGAGATCATTGTTGCCTGCGATGAACAAGAATTTTCTCAATTACAATCAGATTTTCAAAGTGAACTGAATTCCATCGGTTCAATCCCAATCATTCCGATTTATACACTATTTATGTCTAAGGTTAAAGACTTATCTAATCTTCCTGCTCAATACGCAAACTCAACTTGCGTTTATAACGTTACATCAGGTCGTGGTGGCAGAATTACAGCATGCATCCTGACGCACTCCAATCTCATTGCTGCTGCAGCTGGTCTAGCTTCTTGTGGCTATGATTTTTCGACTGCAATTTACTATTCAAGCATTTCAATGGTCAAACCAGTCGAAAGAGCAGTTGAACTTGCAATTATGGCTAGTGGTGGTTGCATAGGATTTAGCCATTCCCCTGCTGTTGAAGCATTATCTCAAATTCGACCTACATTAGCAGCATTTACACCACAAACTTTGAACGATGTTGCAGAATCATTAATATTAAGTGCTCATAAGTCGAATGCCTTCAAAAGATTCTTCCTTGATTTCGGATTTTCAATTATTGCACAATGTCTTGAAAGCGGAAGCGAAGTTCCATGGTCATTACGCGAATTGATTGTCAGACCATTCCAAGAAAAGGCTGGTGGCCGACTACGAACAGTAATTTCTACCGGAGATTATTTAGAACCGAGTACTTTGCATTTAGTAAGGGTTATGCTATCAGTACCTGTCATACAGATATATGGATGTGCAGAAACCGCGGGAGTTATCTCTGTTTCGAGTTTGACGGATTCTGATTGCATGAGCATCGGAGCTCCAACGCTTTGCTGCGAAGTAAAACTCAAAGACTTCAATGATGCAAACTATATCGTCAGCAGAATGGATCCAGGACAAATCTTTGTCAGAGGTCCAAATGTTTTTGCAGGATACTTCAGAAATTCATCGCTTACTGCTGAAAGGCTTAAGGATGGATGGTTTGCAACCGGAGACTTAGGAAAAATGAGGACAAATGGAACTCTTGAAATTGTTGAGCCAATTGCTGATTGGAGAAGAAGAAAGCAAAGGAAGTAATTGTTTTCTGTAAAAATTTTATGTTTGTTTGCTTTATAATATATCAGAACACTTTTTTATTGAAAATTATTATTTGTTTCATTAAATAAATTATATGTAATGGTCAGAAGATACTCAAATCTAGGAAATTATGCGTAACCATCATGCTAATGAGGATTGAAAGCTATGAAATTTCAAATTTCGATAAGACAATAGACTTTGTATTAACGATTGTATGATAATTGTTACTTCCTGAATTAGCAAAATCTTCCGAATTTTGTTATAGTTTGATATTGTATTTGCCAACAAAATTTATGAGTAAAAATTTCATTTAAATAATAAAAAAAATCCGATGTTTATGGAATTTACTGTGGATGTGGTGCTTGTGGTGGTGGAACTCCGCCATTTGCTTGACGCCATTCGCAAAATGCTTGATACTTCATAGCATTTACGCGTTTCTTCTTGAATGTATTTTCCCAAGCCTTGAACTGAACAAATTCATCGACGGAAATTTCAACTTCCTGTCCAGCTGGATCTTTATCTTTCTTATCCTTCTTATCTTTCTTGTCCTTCTTATCCTTTTTGTCTTTCTTATCTTTCTTATCCTTCTTGTCTTTCTTTTCTTGTTTCTTACGAAGCTTCTCTTCTTTCTTGCGAAGTTTTTCTTCTTGCTTCTTTAGCTTCTTCTCGTTGTACTTAAGACGTTCTTCTTCCGGAAGGCTGTTAATGTACTGCTCACGCTGCTTGAGAACCTTATTCTTCTCTTCCTCAGCATGTTGAAGTCTTGCCTTTTTCTGTTCTGGAGTTTCGCCATCAACTGGCATGAAAAGCCTCCAATCAACTTGTGGATAAACTGGAGCACCTGGTGGTGGCATTTGGGCAGGAGCTGTCTGATTCATTCCAGAAAGTGAAGTGAAAAAAAGCTATCACTTCAACATAAAAATTCGTTAGTGTGAAGTTCAGAAAAAATCTATTAACTAGTCAAATTTTCACCGTCAAATCTTAAAACTTTTGTTTTAAATGTTGAGTAAAATATAATGACAAAATTTTTGATAAAAAATTTTGAAAGGAAAAAACTTTTATTGTTTCACAAAAAAACAGCTTTTGAGCTTGTTTGCTTAAGGAGAACAATCTTTCATTGACACATGCATTTGAATTATCTGTGACATTGCCACTAATCATCAATTTCCGGTGAAATTTCAATGGGTAGTCAATAACATATCACTGGTGTAAACTTCAGAAAACATAATACTTTTGAATTGATTCCTAAACGTGCATGAGATTTACATAAGCATGGCATGAATAACGAATGTTAATGCAAAGAACCTGCTGGCCATTAATAGGAAATGCAGGCTAATGAAGCAAATTTCATTAAATTTACACATTTGAAATAAAATTCGATAATTGTTTCTTATCCATTCCTAACAATTGAGGCAACGGTAGCTATATTATGGGGATGTTATTTTATATGTTTGTATCTTTATTTTGTTTAAAAACAAATGAATATATACTTATCTTTAAAATGTTTAGCAAAATGGGCATTTTTGGATTTGCATAGAGATAAAAATAGTCCATCAATAGGAAATTCTATATAATAAAATTTCCAATTAAAATCAATTTTGCTGTGAACTTAAATCTTATACCCATACTTTACCCAAATAAACCTACTTTAAGAATTAGTTGCAAACTTAGCTAAGTGAGTCAAATTGTAATTAACAAATTCAACAATTGAGGAAAATACTCAATATCTATCATCCATTATTGGATAAAGGTTTATGAGTTAGCACATACATCACTAATTTATAGAATTAGGATTGATCCCTATATCCGGCCAAGTTCCAAATTTCAAATTTGTCACTTTTTGACGGTTTTGGCTCTAACTTTGATGTCTGCTAAAGCTGCTGCAGCTGCTCAAACACTCGCAAAGGGTCAAAAGAAGGAAGTCACAAAGACACGCAATTTCACAAAATTCGGCAAGAATGCTGCTCAGGTTGTTCCAAGACGCCCAGCATTCGAACATAAGGCCGTCAAGCCAGTTTCTCTTAAGCGCAATGACTACAAGATCATCCGTGGCCCAGTTACATCCGATAAGTCTACAGTCAAGATCGAAAATGAGAACACAATGACTTTCTGGGTTGATATCAAGGCCACAAAGACAGAAATTGCTGCTGCTTTCAACCGCCTTTACAAGGTCAAGCCAGTCAAGGTTTGCACAGTCATTACATCCAAGTTTATTAAGAAGGCTTACATCCGTCTTCCAGCTAATGTTGAGGCTATGAACATTGCTACAGAAATTGGCTTCGCATAAAGATAAAGCTTTTAGATTATTTATTACTAAGAGAAATAATTCTTTCTTTTTAAAAAAAAAAAATTAAAATATCTTAAGAAATATTATGTCTTTCTATTTCCAATGACATGATTAATAATAAATACACTTTACTTGAATATAGAAATCATTTTATTTATTAGTTAGATGTCAAAAGTTGCATCTCTTTTTGGAGGCAAACGAGCTGAAAGAAAAAAGATCGAAGATTTCAATAAACCTGTTACAGAAGTTATCAATCTTGATGATAAGCAAGAAAATTCTAAGGAATTAATTTTTTCAAATGTTCACAAGGAAACTAAGCCACCAGAAAATAAACCAAAGTACATATTTCAGGCAATTGATAAAGCTGCTGAACGTAAATACATTCAAAACTGCTTAAAAGATAAAAGATTAGAAAGAGAAATCGCAGACTGGGAAGCAAAGAACGGTCCAGCACTTAAATTCGACACAATACAAGGAAATTCAAATATTCCTGAAGAAAATGGAGAAATTTTAGAAGAAGGAAAAGAAGAGACCAAAACAGAAACAGCTGAAAATTCTAAATGGCCATCAGAAGCAGAGTTTGATGAAATGCGAGAACGTTATATGAAACGACTTCAAGAAGATGAAATATTAAAATTTCATGGAGGTAAAAAGGCTCAAACTGAGCTCCTTTACTATCCTGAAATATGCGGAATTCCTGTAATACAGTGATATCTTTCAGATTTCATATCCAATTTGTAACTTGTAAATATATTTATTTCTGTTTGTATCAATGCTAAAAAAAGTCATATATTAGAGTAGCATATGCTTCCCCAATAATTAATATTATATACAAAACACATCTATTGAAAATGCATTATTATCAAACAAAAGATAATGAATCTTTGCTGATCTACAACCCTTTTGATCAAGTTGTTACATATATGATATATTCATGATAGCTTTAAATTAATTTATTATCATTAATCTAGATCTCATTTATTCACAAAAAATCATAATTTTATGTTCTGATAGAAGTCATATATTTTCTTACATCACTTGTTGCAACATCCCATGCAGTTCTTCCTTGATTATTCTTTGCTTCTTTATCAGCTCCAACTGCGATAAGAAACTTAACAACTTTAAGTTGGCCATTTTCTAATTCTTTTAACAGTGGAGTATTGTCATTGTTATCCTTTGCTTCTCTATCAGCTTCAACAGTAATAAGATATTTAACAACTTCAAGATGACCTCCAAATGATGCCATAATGAGTGGAGTATAACCATTATTATCCATTTCTCCTATATTATCTTCAACTGATATCATATATTGAATCAATATGATCTTCTATCACATCCGCTTTCAATGAGAGATTTAACAATATCGACATTTCCTTTTTTACATGCCACATGAAGTACCTTTCTTTTATTGCTAAGTAAATATTTTCTGATAATCTCTGATTTCCAAAGTCCTTGCTTGCATTCATCTGAAATAAATTTATGATTTCATTGAGATGAAAGTTCATCAAAAAGTCATATATGAGTTTGAATTCATTTGATATCGCAAGTTTTGTAATTTTTGATTGAAGCTCTCTTTCATAATGCTGCATCCCTGCACCCATTAAATAGTAAATAATGTTTTGAGACTTCGTATACAATGAGTCCTTTTCTCAGGCTAGAAATGGTGACCCCACACTTTGTCAGAGATTTGAATACATTTCAGATGTGGAGAGATCATACCCTCAAAAATTGATAACTCGATAACGACATAATCCGGAAATGTGAATTCTAGAATTTATCGATTGTTTTGTAAACTATTCAAAGTTGCGAAATAATTTTTCTTGATGGATCAAAAAGCTCATACGGAAGAACTAATTAGCAAGTATAAAGATTACATTGCTACTATCGATGCATTGTATAAGCTCAAAACAAGAAATGAAGATGAAATTGACCAACTTTTCAAAATGATAAAAACAAATTTGTTTGATACCAATCTATCCACACCAAAAATGATTATTCAACAAATAGCTGGTATAACAAGTTGTTGTTGTCATTATTTTAAGTCGTATTGGACATTATTTAAAAAGATTTATGAGGAATATCATCCAACACCATCTATCACTCTTTCTCCTGTTTTTGATTATTTTGTTTACAAAGAATATGGTATTGTTTTTGATGAAAGAAGTAAAATGATGTTCGAAGAGTTTGAATCTAACAAATATTCATTGGATGTACATGAAGAAAACACAATTTATTGGGCAATTATGAACGATGATGTGAAATCATTGACAGCATTTACAGATGCAAAATCTTTTGACAAGAACCAAAAATTTTACAGTTATATGTATCCGGATCCAATTAATGGTTTATCTTTACTTGAAGTTTGTTGTATTCATTCTTCAATAGAATGTTTTAAGTTTTTAACAACAAAATTTGAAGCACAAGTTACAAGTAAATGTCTGCAATATGCATTTATAAGTGGAAGCCAAGAAATTTTAAACGAATGCTTGAAATCGCAAAAGCCAAATGCTGAGTGCATGTTATTTGCAATTTATTCTCATAACATGGATTTCGTTAATCTCTTGATAAAAGAATATGGAATTCAAATTGATTTGGAAAGTTGCGGAACAATGCTTAATCTTCAAGCATTATTAGCTTACTATGAACAAACTAATGATATATTCAAATGTTTTGTATATTCTGCTTACTTTAATATTCCTTCTCTTTGTGAATATTTTCTTTCTTTGGGTGCAAAAATTGATTCGAAAAATAATGATCATACTGCTCTTCACGCTGCTACTTCAAATAATCTCAAAGAAATTGTAGAATTTCTTATTTCTAAAGGTGCAAACATCAATGAAGAAGATGGAACATGTCTTCATACTGCAGCTTGGTTTAATAGTAATGATGTAGCTGAAGTTCTTATTTCGCATGGAGTTGATGTATAAATTCAAAAAACAGTAGACAAGAAACCAGTTTACATATTGCAGCAAATTACAATTGCAAAGAAGTAATTGAAGTTCTTATTTCTCATGGAGCAGAAGTCAATGCAAGAGATAAATATGACCATACTCCATTAGATATTTGTGTCCAGAGCAATAATAAAATAGCAGCAGAAGTTCTTATTTCTAATGGTGCTGAAATAAATGCAAGTGAGAAATATCAATCTCCTCTTGACATTTCAGCAATGAATAATAGTTTTGATGTTGCAGAACTTCTTCTCTCTCACGGAGCAAGGATAAATCAAAGTCAATATGGAGAAAATGCTCTTCATATTTCAGCTGCCAATAATAGTAAAGAAGTGGCAGAACTTTTGCTTTCTCATGGTGTTGATATCAATGCCAAATATATAGCAGAGACAGCTATTCACATTGCAGCTAAGAAAAACCATCCAGAAATGATAGAAATACTTCTTTCTCACAAAGCAAATATTAGTTCTAAAGATGATCGTGGAAGAATGCCTCTTCATTATGCAGCAGAAAACAATTGTAAAGAAGCTTTGGAATGTCTTATTTCTAATGGAGCTAAAGTTAATCAAAAAGATAATTATGGAAAAACAGCACTAGATCTCGCTCATGAAAAAGGTAATAAAGAAATTGAAGAAATTCTTATGGCTCCTCCAGAAAAAAAGTCAAAAAAGAAATGTGAAATTGCATAACTTTAAACAAATCATAACTATTATTCACCAATGCATCATAAATATTACATTTTTGATGATTTTTATCTCATTAAAATGATTTTTTCAAAAAATTAGAATATATAAATTTTTTATTTTATAAATAAAAGCTCTATAACAAGTTAATATTATCATTTGTTACATGGATAATGTAAATAACAAGAATGAATTATTTCTTGTAGATATATTTTTTGGATTTATTTCTTTCGAAAAATGTAAAATCTGTGTAAAATTTTGGATTTCTCATACAAAATCGTGGAGGAAATTCGAAGAAAACAACAAAAAATACATAAAAATAATAAAAATCAGAAAGTGAGATCAATTTCGTGTTTGGAAGTTTCATTCTAAGACTACTTGAGATTCTTTGTATCGAATAAACTTTAGCTAAAATAGGGAAAAAATATATATTGAAATTTTGTATTGAATTTAATGTAATCGATTTGATTTTGATATATTTATAACGCCCAATATAACAAACCAATCAAAACAAGTGTTAATATGACACAAATTAAAATTAATGGTCCATTTGAAGATTGCGTAAGTTTCTCCATTGCTTCAATATTTTTCTTGATTTTATCTTGAACAGTATCCATCTTATTATCTACATCTAAAAGCATTTTATTTTGATTTTCTAATTCGTCGCCAATCATGATTGTAATCTGCTTAACTTCTCCAGTTTGCTGAACAATCATGTTTAGATTAGCTTCCTGCTGTTCTCTTTGCATTTGCAGGCGCTGAAATTCTTCATCCATTTTGAAAAAAAAAATTGAAAATAATCGTAAGAAAATGGAATGATGCAAGAGAGTATTCATAGGATATTATAACCATTGTTATTCTTGAGTTTAGGGATTCTGTGATAAGTAGTTGTTAAAAAACTCTAAAAAATCCATAAATCTAAGATCCCATTTCAAAATTAAACGAATACAATTATATCTTGCCTCAAGCTAAAATGAAACACATTAAAACATAACATCTGTTTAATAAATCAATGATAAAAACAAAAATAACAAATATAAAACTTAATGCCCTAAAAATAGTGGGTTGATTGTAGCTGTGAAAGACATATCAGGCTCAACAATTCTTTGTGGTGAGGTCTTCACAGTTGTTGTTGATATTTGAGAATTATTCTGAATCTCTATTGCATTGCATGTATATGCAGATTGTAATTGATTCTCATTTTGTCTGTATCTTTGAACAATTCTTTCTAAAGCTAATATTTCTTTGCTCTTTTCACGAATTATTGTATTAAGTTCAGATATGCTTTTATCTTTGGTATCGATTGTAGTAACATATTCTTCTACAAGAGCATCTTTATCTTTTAGCTCGACCTTAAGTTTCTGTGCTTTTTCATTTGCGATTGCTGTTGATGTTTCCATTTGTTCAATCTTAGCAGAGAGTTCTGTAATTTTTCCTTGAAGTTCTTTATTTTGAGCCTTGAGTTCTCTAGCTTTTGTATACTGTGCATTGTAATCTTCTGGTGGAATTAGCTTAGTTAACTCTTCTTGTAACTCGTTTGACCTCTTTGTTAAAGCTTCAAGTTTCTCTTCCATTTCTGAAGCATCCTTTGATGATTTTTCGCTTTGAGATTTATATTCTGCTGCTTGTTTGGTCGAATCCATGCATTTTTGTGTTAAATCTAATATATTTTGCTTAGCAACAACAACTTCATTAGAAAGTTCAGTGAATTTTTGCAACAATTCACTAAATGCTTTTTCACTTTTTTCTTCTGCGAAAATTTTGTTTTTGCTGAAGATTTGAAGAGCCAGAGGATCAGTTGGGGCTTCATTCATTGCTGAGTTAAAGAATCTTCGTGCAAAGATGACTGTTAATGCCAAAGATTTCATTGGTTTGTTCTCATTCGAACCAAATATTGATGAATGAAGATTTTCAACATTCCTTGAGAGTTTATGAGCATTATCTATGATTGTTCTAGCAAATTCAGAGCGTATTTTATATCTCTTTAATAATGCTTTAGAAACTTCATGGTTAGCCCTTAACTCTGACAAGATTGACTCCAATTTAATTCTTTTCGTTTTTTCTTCTTCATACATTACTTGCTTTTTCTCATTAACTTGTGCATTTTTGACAATTTCTAATGCTGAAGTTAGTCTTGCACGAAGCTTTTGATTTTGAATTTGAAGACCATTAATTACTCTTTCGGATTCGTTCATTTCTTCGATCTTGTTCTTCATCATCTTCCATTCTTGATCAAGAGGATCTTGGCCAACTCCAAGCAAATCTGCAATGCCATCTTTTTCAATGGAAATATGTTCAAGAAGGGATTTTGATTGGAGTAAAGCCATTTTAAGGTTGGATATACGGTCTTTAAGTGATTCAATATCTTCATGAGCGTCATTGAGCTGATGGATTAATTTATCGCAATCTTTACTTTGTTCGAGTTCATCAGAAAGCTGGGCGATCCTTGATTTTTGCTTTGTTAACTTGCCTTCTGCCTTAGTGAGAAGTTCTTTGAGGCTGTCTCTTTCTTGTGAAAGCTGATTAACTTGTTCTTGCATGGATTGGCATTGTGAGATTGAATCATTTAAGATACTTTTCTGCTTCTGTCTTTTCTCTTTTGATTGTTTCTGAATGTTGTTAATTTGCTCTAAGATTTGTGATTTTTCTGAATCTTTTTCTTTAATCTTCTCTTCAGCATTGGAAAGACTGTCTTTAAGGCGTTGGATTTCATGATCTTTTGATTCTAACTGACTCTGTATCTGTGAGTTTTGTTCTGTGAATGAATCTTTAATTTTATTGGAATTTAACTCAATCTTATATTTCTCTTCTGTAAGAGCAGATATCTTTTCTTGTAGTTCTTTAAGAGAGTTTTGTGTTGATTTAGCTTTGGATTTCCATTTTTGGTATTTTTTGGTTAAAGTATCGATTTGTTGAGCGTTTTGACTGAGTTGAACTTGAACTTCGTAAGTATATGTTTGATTTTTAATGTTTGTTTCGACTTGTGTTAAATGATCTCGTAGCTGAGACTCGGAATTTCGTAAAGCAAGTATTTCATTTTCATATTCATTCTTTTCAAATGCAAAAGCTGCTTCTTGTAGATGAATTGTTTCTTTTGCAATTTTTATCTGAGCTTCTAACTCTAAAACTTTCTCTTGATACTTAACTGATTCGTGAATTTTTGTTTGTAAGCAGTTAATTACATCGCTTTGTTGATGACTATCACTTATAGACTTAGACGCACTAAGCTGATCCCTCAAATAATCAGAGCATGAGGCTGATGACGTTCGGGGAGATTCACTCATTCACTGTACGTTTACTCTGAATTCTTCTTGGAGTTTACTATTTCCATAAATTTCGAATATAGATTCCTTGCATTGTAAAAATAAAAAACATTAGATATTGTCGCGAATAGGAACTAAATTTATGATTTTATTTTACAAGCAGCACGATTTCATCATCAGTAAACTAACGAGCTCTTGTTTTACATAAATTTTTAAAGATTGGCACTGAAGTTTAAGCTCTTTCAAGAAAATTAATGTATGGAAAAAATATTAGAACATTTAAGAGCTAATTTCTCTATATTTATTAAGAACTATACAAGAAGTGATGAAAGTTTTGGTATTTTTGTTGAAATTGTTATGATAAATCATATTTCATACGAATAATGCAATAGTATATTAGGGTTTTTTATCACAGATGCAAATAAAACATATTAATTATATATATACTTTAAAATTCAACAAATCTAAAATACAAAATAATAATTAACTTAAACTACAATTTGAGGTTTAGGAGGAGCGTCAATTATCTCAATAGTTGCATCTACGCCCATCTTCCTAAATGTTTCGTGGAATACTTTAGAAGGAACACCAACTCTCATCTTTCTTTCTTTAAGTTGACATTTCGCTTCAACAATCCATTTCCCTGAACCATATCTAACATCAAGATGCTTAACATGGCAGAGTTCATCGATAATTTTATAGAATTTCTCGTATTGATCAGCTGGATTAAACAAAAGTTCCGAAATCGAGTTCCTGAGGTGCGGAAATGCAGCGTAGAATGAATAAATAGCTGCGGCCATTCTAGCAAAGAACTCAAACCAGTAAAAATCAAGATACAAAGCAAGAAAATGAGAAATTAATTCAACAACATGGTAAAGAATCAAGATTTCGATATGGAAACTAATAACCTTGTGTATGTTCTCGAGATTACGCCATTCAAAAATGAAGAAATACGAAATAATCAAAATAATTATTACAATTATAAGAACAAAAGAGTTTCTGTCTGATCCAACAGATGACAAGTACCATTCCTTCTTAATTGTATCCATTGTATATAAAACTATTCCAACAATTAAAAATATTGAGTCAACCAAAGAGAAAATGTTCAAAGTATTGGAGAATCCGTATCTGTATTGCTTGGAATATTCTTTGTTTGTGAAAACAAGGGCTAAATAAGTAACAAATAATGAAATCAAAATTGGAACCATATATAATGAATCAAATGTAATGTTGTATGATTCAAGGATGACTCCTTGTCTGTACTCGTAGTAAAATGATACGAAAATCATTGCAAATACAACAATTAAATTTCTTGAGTGTTTTGTATTGTGAAAAGAAGGATATTCGGTAGGCCATTCTCTGAACGATGTCAAGAAGTTCAACAAGAATGGGAAAACGTGAACAAAATCTTCGTAATATAGCAAAACAGCTGCAGATGCATATGGAGCAAGAACATGAACTGTAAGAAGGTCGTTTTGTATATCGCCGAAGAATAATGGGAAGAATAATGATACGCCGTACGTTATAGCTGTGTCTCTGATTTGTCTGTATCCCCAATTTCCGTAAAATACAAAAACAAACATCAGCAATGATTCATAAAAAACAGCTATTGTATTTTTGTTGACATAAAATGCGATGTTTGACGCACAATAGAATAAAAAGCAACGTGTTGTTAATTCGAAATAGTCGTTTCCAATGAAATAGAAGATAATTAAGTTATAAATTGATACAAGCCAGTTGTCTCTTCTCCATATCCAATATATTAGCCAGATGGCGGCTGTTGTACCATATTTTGTTAATGCATCTGTAAATAAGATCTGAATTGAGAAAAGAAGAACAAGTATAATATCGCTGGTTTCTCTTGTCCATTTATCTATAAATTTAAATACTTTCTTTATTATTCCTGGCTTATTTTCTGCTTGTGTTGACATCGAAATATTTTTTGAAGAAGAAGAAGAAGAAGCTTGTTTGTATTTCATTAATTTAAACACATGATGTATGACCATGTTTAATATCATTATATTAAACACATAAAGTATGATAATAATCAGATTCGCTCAATTCGATAATCAAATTAAAAATACATGATGAATTCTGGAAATAAAAGTCGATATCTTCTCAAAAACTGTTATTATATAACACATTGGTGATATTTGGTATTAACATAGTATTTTTCCTAAATCTAATATCAAAGATATAGGTTTAAACCATTACTCAGCTATTAGATATTTAATGATTGACTGGAGTAAACTTATGTTTATAGGTATTACAAAACAAATGATAAATTAGGATATATTTAATAAAAATCTAAATCTTCGGATTTTTCTGCAAGACTTTGATCCTCAGAATGGCTTTCATAAATTTTTGTTAAATACTTGAGCTCTGATTTCCTCTTCAGTACCACAAAAATGGCGAATGAACAAAAAGTTAGAAAAATTAGACCACCAGTCGATAAAACAATAATAATAGTCTTGGTGGTTTTGTCTAATATTCGTTTTTTGATTATATAAAAAATGGCTTTATCGCCCTCCTCTTTGCATTCAGTATCAAATGATTGATTCCTTCTGAAATTATTAATCTTTTTCCAATTTTTACACTTTGAATTGTTGATTTTTATGATTTGAACTTTGAAATCTGTAAAACTATGGGTAAAATTAATGACTACATCATCATCAAAGAATTCAATTTCTCCCTTATTGGATCCATAATAATCCATATTAATATAAGGAATGTAAGTTAAGGTAATGTGTATTCTTAATTTTGAATATTCCTTGTGACAATATGATAATTTCAAAAATGAAAAAGTTGAAAAATTAAGCAATGGGCATGAGAAATTTCCGACGTAAGAATAATTACTAGTTGCCTTAAACATTATATTTTTAGCGAAGACAGAAGCGGAATTGATATATCCGGAATCAGATAGAAATAGCCAATTTGTATTAATTTCATTGCCTTGAATAAAATTCAGTGCATTTTTAAGTTGTATCAATTCGAAGTGAACTGTTTGATCATAATTGATTAGAAATTGTGTTTCAGATGAGATTCTGAAGATGATTGGTATTTTGCCAGTTATTTTTCGAAAAACAACAATTCCGCAAGGATCTATATTCAAAACATTAGTTGATGATTGATTCATTGAATTAATCATAATGATAGAATGGGGATTAGTATTAATAAGAATTAAAATTCCCGGAGATTTATAATTAAGATTGATTTCAGTGTTCCAAACTAAATTATTATCTATGATTATTTTTTCTTTATTATTAAAACTCAATTGATCAATTATGATTGTTTCTTCCTCAAATGAAATACTTTTTGGCGAATAATCGAGCAATTCATATCTATTTGTCATATGCTGACCTCCAATATAGGAAGATCTTTGATCAAATTTGATTTCATTTGCATAAAATTTGGAATTAAAATTGGAGTTTTGCAAAATTAATGTTTCGCACTTAATTTCATTACTAAAATATGCATTTATTCCAATAAGTTGCAATGTGGAGAAAGATGTTCCAATTATTGTTAATTTCAATTGATTCGAATTTGAATATATCCATTCAATAGTAACATCTTTGTGACATTGTGAGAGATCAATAATATCTGTTTTGTTGTTCACAATGAAAATATTAACTGAAGATGATTCATTTGCATTATATTGGGTTAAATTTGTTGTGTGAACGTAATTATTTGGACATTTTCTATTTTTAGAATGAACATAGCATACTTTTAGATACTCTTTAAAATGTTTATCATTTATTTTTTTCAAGTCAATACAATATTTTAAATTCCCTGGTGTTTCATTTTCATGATATAGAATATTATACTGCACAAGAGAATCTTCATATGGGAATCTGATTGAATCAAATTTAATGAAATTTTTTTGATTACTACAAATAAAGTTTGAATAGTTTTTTGAACCTGATTTTAGGACAAGGTTTAGATTACTTTCAGTTCCATTGATGAAGTTTTTGATTTGTAATGCATCATTTGTTGGATTAGCAAATGTGATTGTTATATTTTGAGAGATTTCTACGTTTTCGAAATATGAACGGCTTCCATGGCATTGATAATCAGAACCACGGAATATGTAGTTTCCGGAAAAATTTGAATCTTTAAAAAGAGTGTTATCATGTAGAACTAAAAACGCATATCCAGAATTTATTGTAGATTTGTTAAATTGTGAGTAAACTATACCAACTTCATAATTAGTACTAATTGTTGAAGTGAATGTTATACTTGAATTTAATGCATAAATACTTTGTATGTACGTTTTACCATCAAATTCAAATGTTGCCTTTGAATTATTTAAATCAAAGTTTATTAAATTTGCATTTCTATATGATTTATAATTGATGTCAGCCCATGCATGAACATAAAATTGAATATTTTGCTGGTCGACTAAAGATTTATCGAAGTGATATGAATATATATTTTCGGCAGTTATATTAGTCGGCTTTGTTATAAAGAAATGAATTGATGAATCAAGAACTGCTCGGAAAATAAAATATTTACTCAGGAATAGGTCACAATTAGGAGCATTTATTTTAATTTCCATGTTTACTTTACATTGGAAAGGATTAATTTGTAAATGATTATTCGTTCCAATATGAATTGAAAATCCTCGAAGAAGAGCATCAAAATCCATACTTTCTGTGAGGTTATCTATATTAATATTAACTTGTAATGAGCTTGATGTGAGCTCAATTGTAGTTTCAATTTTTTTAACTGTTGAATCAGTTAAGATTTCAAATTCTGAAGTTTGAAGACTAAGAGTTGATGGCAATGATATCAGATCAGACACAATGTAGTTTGATGTGATATGAACTTCTTTATCTGTGTTAAATCCTGTATTTCTCAAAATTAATTTGTTAGCCGAGAGATGAAAGCTTTTCATATCGATTTTTATATTTTCAAATGTGATATTATAAGAAAAAAAGTATGAGAGTCCATCAAATCTTAATACAGTATCGCGATTTAAACCAACAATTGAAAAATTGCAACTAAATCCAAGTCTAATTGTGTTGAAAAACGCATGATCTTCCTCAATTGAATCTGCAATATTGAAATTAACTCTATTATCTTTTTCTATTTTTCTTTCCAAATCATCCCAACCTGAATGGTTGTGAATTGACACATTTACATCATCTTTTTGGCAAAGATTCAAGCTTGTCTTATAGATGCAGCAGGATATGCAATTGGATATTGATAAAAGCACAAAAATAAACATGAAAAACGAAAAACAAAATTAAATGAATTTGATCAGATTATCAAAAACTTATTACGTTCTTCCTTTTAAAAAATGGAAATAATTATTTTATTAGTGATTGATCAAATTTGTCAAAATTACAAGACGATAAGTCTGATCAATTACAATGATCAGAATAAAAGTTAATGATATTATTGATATCTTATGTAGCATATCATAAATCATATGAAATTATTCCTTTAATAGGCTTTTGTATTCGAAAATAATTTTGAATCAAGGAAAATTGATCTTAATTTAAAAGGATATCACAGCAATTTCCAAAATTTAGCATAAAGTTAATCACCCACGTTCAAAAAGTTCTACAATTATCTGAATTGGCAGAGATTTGTGGTTCTACATAGTAATTTCAAGTCCAATATTAATTACGTATTAATAAAGATGAATTCAAGATGATAAGAAACATTTTTTTATTATTATTTACCTACAAATTGGAAATGAAAACCGTTTTCAGCAAAGAGCATAGCGTAGCTTGATCTGTGAAGATCTTCTGAATAAGCACCGACAGATGCATATCTTTCTTCTTCATTATTAATTGTTTTATGAGTATGACCTGTAACAAGATAGTCTTCGTGGTGTATTAAATCAACAAACTCTTTCTTGAGTGTAGCTACGAATGATTCGCCTTCTTCTGGTTGGAGTTGGAAGTTATTCTTTAAATCATGAGCTAAGAAAACTCTTGGTGGAGTTCTTGATGGTGGCTGAGTCGGGTATGTTAAGCAAATGCATAAATCATAAACAATTGTGACGTTAGAACCTTGTTTATTATATTTAAGATCCCAAAGAAGACTTCTTTCATGATTTCCACCAATTATATAAACAGGAACTGGTAAAAGTTCGAATGCTGTGATAATTGATTGAAGTTTTTCCATTGTGATATCATCATCATTCTGAATCATGTCTCCGAGAACGAAAACTGTATTAAGCTTGTCGCGAATTATAATACTCGATAAGCTCTTGATATATTTTGGAAGTGTTCTTGAGAGAGTTAATGTTTTATCAAAATGTGCATCAGAAACAATAAGCGCTCTCATTCCAGTTACAACATTCTTTGGAACGTGGAATGCTGTTGCAACTTTATTGATTAAAGTCTGTGGACGAATCGTATTTTGCTCTGCCATGAAAAAATGAAAAATTGGAACCGCAAAATACCGATAGTATAGTAAAATCTTGTTACTTTTCAATACCTTAATTTATGCACTATTTCCGAATTTTCAGAATGATCATGATCTCAAGATACTATTTTACAGTAAAATTGTGAAAACTTAATGATTCCAAAAAATATTCCGCGGTTAATTTGATTTCAATAAAAAATTGAGAATAATGCGTCAAATATAATAAAAATCATAATCTTTTGGAGTATTCTCTATATAATAAAGAATAATTTTTATTTGCAATATAGAAAAAGCATTTATGACTTTAAAAATATGATTAGAGTTGAAATATCATACAAACTTTATATATACAAAGACAAAATATCTATTGCTTAGGTTTAACATAATCAGGGAATAGAGATGCAGAAGCTTTCGCAACATTAAAAGGTTCTTCTTCATTTAAATATGGAATAAATTTGCAAGGCAAAGAAATGCCAGAAGTTAAGAGAATATCGATCTGTCTATCCATTGGACATTGAACCAATTCATCAATGTCTACTAAAACTAAAGTTGATAAAGAAATCGTTTCTGGACCTGATGTAACAAGCCTAACAAACCTATAATCACATTCACTGATTATTCCTGGCTCATTAGCTCTGTTGGAGTAAAGTAAACTTGCATCCTCTTTTCGATCAGTCAATTCTAGTGAAAGACCGAACGCAAGCTTATAAGAAGACGGCGTCTGGTTCAGTACATATGCATTTTGAAGACAAATTGCGGCATTTGCGAAACATGACATCTTCAAATAAGAATATCCAAGTAAATACCAAAGTCCGTGATCCATTCTGTTCTGTTCTATGAGTTCTTTTATCATTGATGTCGCAACTAAATAGTTTTCTGATTTAATTACTGAGTAAATGTACATGATTGAGATATCTCGATCTAATTGTTCATGTAAAGGTAAAGAATTGATGATAGACTCGATATCATAAGCCTGCATGTACTTAATTTTAACGTAGAGTAGTTCTTTGATGGATTTGTTTCCTCCTAGGTTCGCAAAAATATAAAAACTTGGTAATGAAATTTTGTTTTGGTCTTTTCTTGCTATAGTTTCGAGTAATTGAAATGATATATCGTATTTTGTAATATACATCGTTTCGATTTGCTTTAAATACTCTAGATCGTTGATTGCGCTATCAAAATCTTTCAAATAACGATAAGCCATTGCTCGAAAGAAGTATGAATAGAACCTGATATCACTGTTCCGTGAGTTAATTGAAATGGAAAAGCATTTTATTGCTTTATTGTAGTCTTTTTGGTACATATAAACATATCCAAGAACATAAGGTTTCTCATTAGCTGTAATATCTAATCCTAATTTGACTGCTGACAAAATAAATGATGTTCCTCTAAATGAATCGCCTAAAAGTAGAAAAGCAAGTCCAAAATTATATAAAACCTCTTTTTCTTGATCATGTTTTCGATTATCACGAATAAATTGCATAATTTTACGGTAATATATATCAAATTGGCACTGTTGTTGAATTCTTTGATCCAAAATCATGAAATATGGAAGTAATTTAAGCATGGCCTTCTCAGCAAGTTGTGTGGCCCCAAATAATTGTGCTTTGTCTAACATTTGTAGCCAAGTATTGAGAGCTTTTTTTTCAATTGAATCTAACTGAGCTGTTAAATATTCTTCGTTAAAAGGAGTTGAAGAATGGAGGTGTATGTAGTACTTTTTCGTACCCTGTACCTTCAAGGATAGATTGATCTTGTAATTGCAAAAGTTGAACTCTTATATAAATCAGATACAGATTAACTGTATCTAAATACATAATGAGCTTGTTTTTTAATTTTCTTCTATTTTGAGTAGTTTTTTCATTCATCTATCGGCGCGAAGCTGAAAATTAATCGACATTTTTTCGATACCATTCAATTTAGAATTCTCGGGCATACGATTATTTTTGATTCAAATGCTGTTCGTTATTAAAAGCAAAAATAATCATATACCCGAGAATTACACTTTTCCGACATTTTTGGGTTGCTTCGCGCCCCTGACAAAACGTCGGAAAAGTGTAAAATTAGTCAAAAATTTTTCGATACCATTCAATTTAGAAATTAGTCAAAATCTCTAAAGACATAATTTCTCAATAATGGAGGCTAACTATGAAAAGAAATATGCTGATTTTATCGGAACACTTGAAAAGCTTTTCTGCAAAAAATCAAACGAATCTGTTGAAGATATGAGCAACTTAATTTCAAATGTTTTAATATCTAAGTATCAACTTTCCTTAAAATCACTTGAAAAGATTATTAAATTGGCAGGACAATGCAATTATGCTTACGTAGAGAGTTATTTCAAAATATTAGAACTAATTTGTTCGAAATGCACGAAAATTACAGAATTAAAATCAAAATTACCAATGGAGGGTTCAGTTGAATACATGGTTATGCACGATCAAATAGACAAATTTAAGGAATATGTTTCACAAAAAGATGTCAAATTTTCCTTAGATATTATTGATCTGAAAGATTTTGAAGGGCTAAATGATCAAGACCTAGATGCATGTGATTCCACCAATTTATCATTATTTGAGGCATGCGCATATTTTGGATCTGTAAACATTTTCATATTCTTAATTTCAACTCAACAACCTAAAATTTCTAAAAAAGTTCTTTTATACTCATTAATCGGACGGAATACAGATATTATTAATGAGTGCATGAAACATAAGAAAATGAACATAGATTGCCTCAGATTCATTGTGAGAACTCATTTCAACGAAATGCTTGAATATGTTATCGAAAATAAGATATTTGATTACCAAGATTTCCTAGAAGAAGAATGGATATATGATGTAAATTGGTGTGGGAAATTTGATTATCAAGCTCCTTTCGAAGATATTATCGAATACCAAAACTTGAAAGCTGTATTCTTGCTTTACAAGAAATTCAAAACAAAAATCTTTCCATGGTGTGCTGCATTTCCACAAACAATCGATATTATCAAAAAAGAAACAAATCCTCGCAATCCTGACTACCGTAATAATAATATTCTAATTTACGCATGCCACTCCCAAAATGGTGATATATGTAAATTTTTATTAAACTAATGAAAACGATAAATATGTCAATGAATTCAATGACGATGAATCGACTCCTCTTCATTTTGCTGCAAAGTGGAATAACAAAGAAGCCACAGAACTTCTTATTTCACACGGTGCAAATATCAATGCTAAAGATAAATATGGAAAAACCGCCCTTCACAATGCAGCATGTTTTCATAGTAAAGAAACAGCCGAGCTTCTTATTTCACACGGCGCAATAAAGGATTCTTCCTGCAACCTTTTCATATTCCAATAGAAATAAAAAATAAATAATTAAGTTCTTATCACTTTCTATTCGTGAAAACGATTTTTTTTCCTATGATCTAGATTGGCAATTAGTAGACAGACCATGAGAAGTATATATCAAGAATTTCTGACCTCGGAATGGACAAGATCCTCAATACCCCACTTATCATCAAGTCGATCTTAATCAATCGAATTACTTTGGCAAAACAGCAATTGACTACTCAACAGCATGACTACTCATGAATAGTAAAACATGTTGTATGTCATCCCATTACGTCGATAGACAAAGTTTTGCATCAGTTTAAGATCAATAAACAACATTCGCCCAATAAAAATCCTATCGAGTATTCAATTTTTTATTTTCCAATGTTTTGGTTGTCGGTTTATAATATTTTTTTTATCATATCTTTCAAAAAAAAATGTCTAAAGCAAGTGATGAAATATCAAGGAAAATAGAAGAAAGTGTTGTAGCTGTTCGTCTAAAAGCAGATTCCGTACGTAAAATAATGAAAGCTGCAAATCAAAAGGGCAGATCAGTTGGAGCTTTATCTGAAGAATTTGCAGATGGTGTAGAAAAAGCAGCAACAAACCAATTTGATGCAGTTCATGCTTCTCTTATTGGCTTCTCTACTATTTTAGGAAGAGTCGAATTTCTTCGAAAAGCCTGTTATCAAAGAATAGATGCTCTTTCACAAACAGCATTAGTAAACCAATCAAAACCAGCACAAGGACTTCAAACATCTTTGAATAAAAGAAATGAAGCTCTCAGAATATTACAAACGCAGACTAATGTCCCTGCTGCTGATCAAAAAGCTGTTCAGACTAGAATAACCGCTCAAGGAGCTAATAATCTTGCTATGCAAGAAGCTCGCCAATGGTACACACAATATAATGTTGAATTAAAGAGAGTTCTTCGAGAATACGCCCATGCTCAAATGGAGTTTGCTGCTAAAGCTTTAGAGCAATGGTCAAACTTCATGGAAGATCTTGCTCTTCTTGATTTTAACACAGATACAGATGCAATTGTTACTAAATTAGAGCAAGGAGCTGCGTTGCAGACAGGGGAACCAGCTCCTCCAACAGATAATGAAGCACATTAAGTTACAGCATATATTTATTCATTTTTTACATTGTTATTAAATTCTTTTGTATTCATCTTCATTTTGGATGCGAGTTCGCTTCTACTTTCAAATCACTCCGATGATTTACTCAGTTCTGGATTTGGTATTTTTCTGAACAGAATAATTCAGAAGCATTCAATTTCACTTTTTATTGAATACTTATTTTGAATTTTGGCATGTCTATGTTCAGAGCTTATGGATACAACAATCGGCGTATTACACTAGTAAAAAACTCGATCATCGTATATACTTTGTCGTGGATTTGTTTTTATGTTATTGCATACTTATTTTTAGGAAAAGAGTATAGAAATATTCTGAAACGTGCTTTTACTCCAATAAATGGAGCAAATCATATAATGCATGATGATGATGTCAACATTCCACTTTCTTACGATGATCCAAGATTCCAATTTGAAAAAGAGGATGAAATCACATTAGACAAGATCGCTAAAGTTGGAAAGCCTCAAAAACGAATAATTAATCCATTATTTAATGTTCCTCAATATGTTGAATTTGATGAAGAAATAATAGAAAATTTTACACTAGCATTCAAACTCGCAACACTTCGACAATGTCGTGAATTAAGAGGAAAGTATTACCACCAAGATATTTATGAATAATTTAAGAACAAAAAAATGAAAAATGTTTTTTTAATGGGCAAGTATGTTAAAATGATGCAATCGATGAAACCAAATAACTCGATATGTCATCCAATTGAATTAATCTCTATTAATTTATTTTAATGCAATATGAATTAAATCTTTTGTTGTTTTTTTTTTGAGCTTTGATGCTCCTATCATAATAAAATCTTATGTAGAAATGATTACTATAATATCAATAGATAATTCTTGCAAATAGATAAAATATTAAGATATTAGGCAAAAGTAAGAAATCCCATTGAAATACGATATTCTTTTGTCATTAGATGTCAATTTTGAAGTATTTTAAATACATAAAATCTGATTTTTTCTTGGTATTTGAACAATCGGATATATATATATGGATCTTTTAAAGACATTAAATTGAAAAATGTTATATGCTTGTATATGAGAAACTCTCATCTTTGATGATTTGTAATAAACTCAGATATGGAAATATATTTTATTAATAGACATAAGATATCAGATACTTGACTTTGAAATATTGAATCATATCAGTATTTCATCATATATTTAGTATAAATTTAAAAAATACAATATTTTTCCATCAATTTTCGAAGGAAAAATTATGACAATAATTTACAAAATTCTGACAATCACCAAAAAAAAATGAACATGTTTAACTTTGTTCCACAAGTTGAACAGCCAAGTTTTATGTTCCCTCCAAATTCCGAATACAATAGAGCTTCATATGATAAATATCACTCCTATGTAGATTACAACAAAAGTCAAATAACTCAATACAACATTGATCAGTTCTTAGAATTGTGCAAGCAAAATCCACTTAATGCCTACTTAGGTATGCTCACTGTTGCACCCGAACATGATCCAAGATTCGCAATTTCCCTTTTAGAAATAGCTCTTAAACTTGATCTTCCAGATAAAGCCAAATCCGGCCTTGCATTAAGATTTGTTGATGCAATAATAATGTCTAAAGGCGTCACCAATGACACTTTTGTCTTAATGGAACAATATGCAAAAGAAAAACCAGAAATTTTCGGTGTTGCTCTTCTTGCTCTCCATGCAAAGAATCAAAAACCAATCGAAGATTTGCCAATTAAATTTGCAAAGAGTTCTCGCGTTTCCTCATTAATTTACTTCTATCATGCCATAAATCTCCTTCTTCTTGACAAGTTCATCGAAGCTGAAGAGAATTTACGTCATGCCTTGAGCTTATCCAACTACGCCAAGGACGCTGTTCCACACTTTTACCAATATTTAGCTTTAACAATGTTCATTAATCATAAGAGCTACGCACTATTCCAAAAGAGTGTCTCTTTGAAGTATCCAATTAGTGAAGATATCAAGAATTTGTGGGATTTAGACAAAGTTTATATGACTCCAGCAATTTATCGCCATTGGCAAAAGTTTGTCTTGGAAGAACGCGCAAGACGCATCATCATTGATGCAGGAACTGTTTTCACAACAATCAACTACGCAGATCTTGAAAAGAAATGCGCAAACTTACCCAAGGACGATTTCAGCAATTTGTTCAAGCGCGTTGCTGCAGATATCAATGCCAGAGTCGAGGGAGGTAAGGTAATTTTCAGTTTACCACATATGACAAGTCAAATTGAAGATGAAATCCGTATAGTTCAGACAAAGCTTGCTAAGGTTCAGGCTGCTCAATAAATCTTTTTTTACGATCTAATATTAAAAAAATCTATAAATAATTTTTTATTTTTTTTAATTCATAAACTTTTTATAAGAATCATTACATTAAAACTCTTCCTCTGATTAACTTATAGGTTGAAATGGTTTAAATTCAATCAATAAGCTGGATTTCGAATAAAAAATCCTTCAGAAAATTAGATATCAGCCCAAAAACTTTAATATTCAAGTTGAAATTTCATAGTAATGTGTTTCGTACTAGTTTTTTATATGGCTGATTTCATAAAAATTGACATTTTCGATTTCTTAAAAGTGACAATTTATATAAAATGGTGAGAACTTCGACTAAAATCAAGCGATACTTAGCACCATTTACATTCACACTTCTCCAGCTTGTTGGAGAATCGCTTATTATATTCGAAATTCAACAACATCATCATTTTCAAGGTAAATATACAAAAGAAATGGTTCTTAGTACTCTTTTCCCGATTTGCATCGAGTGGATATGCTTTGCTTTAGTGTATTTCTTTGATCCTGGAACTTTAGAGAATTCACTTTTATTATCTCCAGACGAAGGCGGTCTAACGCCAGATGAAGAGGCAAGTCTCATGAAATGCAGAAAATGTCACTTACCTATGCCACCAAGATGTCATCACTGCAATCGCTGCGAACAATGTTACGTCAGACACTCATTTCATCTTGGCATATTCGGAATTTGTATTGCAATAAAGAATTTACAACCATTTATTGTTCTCATCAAATGGTGTGAAATAAATATGATTGTAAACACAATAATATCATTTATCATATTATGCTCAAATACATGTCCAGTACTATTCTCGATCTTCATTACGATCATTTACTTCTCAATGATATTCTTATTCCTTGCATTTTGGATAGATCAAATGGGCTACGTAAAAACCAATTTATCATGGTCCGAAAAGAAGGCAGGAGTGCCAAAGCAAGCATACAACCTAGGAAAAGAAAGAAATATTGCTCAAGTCTTTGGTTACGGAATTCTCAGATATTACGTTCCAATGCGTTCAACTATGCATGGATTTGAGTGGCTCCCAGCTCCATAAGAAGATCAATAATCAAGTTTTGTAATTTTATGAATAATTTTCAAATTATATTTTGTTCTTTTGTTAAATTGTTTATGCAATTCATTTAACAAGTTGTAATCAACCTATACATTATTTTAAGCTTGATAACTTTGTTTTTTATTAAAAATATATTAATATTATGAAAAATAATTATAGAGTAAGATTTGTTCTCAACCCTGCTTTTCCAAGAAGTGTACACTAACTTTTTATATAAATGAAGAAAGATTTTTCAAAATCATAATGATCATATGTTGGATAATGACTGCCTTCCATAAGCAAAAAGTATTTAAGGAGTATTTGAATAACCCGATGTTATCAGCGATTAAAAAACAATAAATTCTCTTTTTTGACGTCGTGAGGACGTTTTTAGGTATATTTTTTGTAATTTTTGTTTTCAAAAATACGAAAATCAAACTGTAATTTATAAACATTATATCGAAAAATAATTTGACTGATAATAAGGATTAAAATGACTCGAAAATTAACGATTTTTTTTAAATTTCAATAATTAATAAAATTTCAGCCGTAAAATTGAATAATTCACATAAAACCAATACTACACAATCCAATTCTTCATTAATCTTCAAGAAAAACATTGTACGTTTATTTCAGAACTTTGATGTCTGCAACTCGAATTCCACTCGAGCTGATACAAAAAGTATTTTACGATGATGGTCCTGTAATGACTGAAGCTCAGAATGCATTCATCGAAGGCATTGCTAATGATTTTCGTGTTCAAAAAAATCCAGAAATCGTTATTTCAAAAGAAGTAATTTTTCCCAAATATCCACTTATGCCTAGAAAGATGATACCACCAAATATACCTTCGACATTTTATCATCAAAAGGCAACCGTAATTGTTCCACCAGATCCGGAATTGAATTACGTTCCTCCACATCCTAGAAAGGTAAATATTGACAAATTATCTGAAGAACAAAAACCTTTATATGGTCTTTCACCATTTAAGCAAGATTTGTATAAAATCAACCAAAGAAGAGAGAATTACAAGAAATACATTGAAAAACAAAAGGAAGAAAAAAAGAAAGAGAGAAAAATTACAGTATTCACAGATGAAGATTACCAAAGGCTAAATCTTCATGCAAATTCAAAATTCGAGCGTCAGGATGAACGTAAAGATAAACAAAACAGTCCTTCACATAAAAATGTTCAACGAATGCAAAATTACCAAGCTCAAGGACAAAACGTTGATCCACAAAGATATTATAATGAAAAGTATGATCATGAAGAGCAGAAATACTTCGAGGACCAAAATCAGAAACAACAATATACACCAAATGAATATCCTGAAAATCAGCAAAATTATCAAGCCGAAGAAGAAAACAATGATCCAGATGGATTTGCTCCATCAATGTATCGTGTTTCAAAGCAACAGTACGAAGAGAATGGAAGAATCGCCAGAGAGAATGCAAACAGAGGACCGCCAGAAATGTTATATTACTTGCAGAAAGACTTCAAACCAACTTTGGAAACACGCGCTTCAAAACTCAAAGCTGAATACATTAGAAGAGAAATGGAAAAGGTTGAGATGGAGCAGAGGCGTCTTGAGCTCAATGAAGATCTTAGGAAAGAAAGAGAAGATGAGGCTAAGAAGAAAATTGCTGCTCGCCCCGTTAAATTTAATGCTGATAGTGATGCTGATAAACATAAAAGAGAAATTCGACAGGAGATGAGGAAAAACGAGGAGAATTACATGAATATGCTCAATACCATTAATGAATCACAGGCACTTAACAAGACTTTGATGGAACGTGTTGAAGAAGAGTTAATGAAATAAAATATTTTTTATTTGTGTTTTTTATTATTAGATTAAAATAAACAGAGATGTATGCAATCATTTTTATTAGTAGACATCCAACTCCAAAATGAGATATCGACAATGATTTCATGATTGCCCTATCATATCATGTTTATACTGAATTGATTTAAATTAAGAAAGGACTGTTATAATTCAACAAGAGTTATCATATTTGTAAATTTGTAATCAAAAATTTGCCAAATCAGTGGCATTTTCTTTTAAAAATCAAGGTAAAATAAGTTTTAAGATAATTTTTAGTGAGAAACATTGCTAAACTCTTTATTCAATGAGTAATTAAAAAAGTATTTTATCTCAAAGAGCGAGATGCGTTAAAATCTTGACCACGAACAAGTTGCTGATAGAGCTGCTTATTTTGCTTCTGAACATGCTTGCAGAGCTGATCATATGAAGCTTCAAGAGCTTCTGTGAGTGTTTTCTTCTTATCATAGCGGAATTGAGCAACATCAACGACGTAATCATCATCAGGCTGGAGTAACTCGAACTTAAGCTCCAAAATTCTTACTGTCTTGAACTGGAGTTTCTGTTTGATTGTTAAAGTATTTTCCTCAAAGAAGGCGGTGAACACTGTGCGGTTGGTTTGAACGTTCTGTATGAGCTGTTTGATTTTAACTGGGAATTGCGAGAAATCGCCTTTGAATGTTTTCGCGAAATTCTGATTAAAAGCTTCTTGATCGATTGTAACTGTTGCAATATAGAAGATATCTTCTTCCTTTGTTAATTCGAGTCTTATTCTTTCGAGCTGGGATTCTTCATGTTGTGTATAGAAAATTTGAAGGCTGAACTGCTGATCGCCCTCTGGTGTTCCGCAAGTTATTTCGAATTCACCGTCATTAATAAATTCTGGCTCTTGTCCTTCCTCTGCTCTAAGGAGTGGATGAAGTTTGGAATCGTCAGTATCCATTTTATGTCAGAAAAAAATTTCGTTTACTTTATATACATTCCAACATGTTTACTATGAAAACTCATTCATTATATGATAACAGTTGCAAATTTTTCAAATTTGGACATTGATAATCATATAATCATTTTGAATTCTTTCACATTTGACATTCATCTTGTGTCCAACAGCTTATAAATCTACAGCATTCAAACAATACTGATGTTCAGTTCATGTACAAGTTGGTAAACGTTTCTTACAAAGTTAGTACTTTCAATTCGTTTGCAAATGGAAATCAATTGATCAAAACAGTAAAACATGCAATAAATAATCATGTACACGATAGAAAAACCAAAACTTTTATATTAAGATCATTTATTTGAAAAAAAATAAAATACTTTACAAGAACTATTGATTTTTAAGATAGAATTTCTGTTTACAGCTGATGTCAGTAAATTTCACAGTTGGAATATTTAAATACGCAACAATTCCGAATTCAAACACAGCAAAAATCGGAAATGCGATTTACTATGAAACAGAGAACGCCGGTATTTTGGATGTTAACTACGATCGTCCAGTTGTAATACCAAGCCATGTATATAATAATGAAATTACCCAGATTTTCCTTACTTTTACCACTCCCCATGTAATTTCTGGGGAAAACGATAATTCATTTTTTTATGGATGAATAGATCGTTTTCCTAGAAAGGACCTCATATCTCTGGCTAAAAAGAGTGTCAGATCCTAAATAGATTATTGATCTAGTGTACAAATCCAATAAAAAGCCTATTTTTTTGGCTTTTTTGGTGCTCATTTTTTCGAAGATCTACATGAATATGGGGAAACCATCGGATTTTTTTGGTTAACCCACATCTTCATGTAGTCTGGACTATCTTTCCTCGAAGGACCTCTTTACGGGTGTAAAAACTCATAAAGTTCTCAAAAGATTCATTCTCGATCTCCATGCTGAAAGAATTTACAATAAAAAAGAGATCTACGCATCAAACTGCAGCCATAAATGAACTGAACCCCTAAAGCTCAGCTCTTAGTTTATCAAAAACGTCGAAATCCTTCTCATTGCAATCAAATTTTCTCAATAACTCATAAGAAAAATCGAATTTTGATTAAGCCGATGTTATAGGTATCACAAATACTACAAACTTGAGCAATATCGAAATTGCCAGCAAAAGTTTGAAATTGCATTGCTCATATTTGTTTTGTAAACTAAAAATCTGCTTATATTATTCATTAATTTTTTATATATTATTCATATACTTTAATAAAAACAATACTATTTCACCTTAAAAATGAATTTCATAAGTCAATATTATTTTTTTGAAAATGTATCAATTTTCGATTAAAACAACATGAGAATAAAATTTACGCAAAATTATTTTAAAAAATGGTTTTAAAAATTTACAATTGATGAAGAATAAGATTGCAAGAAGTTTTGAAGTTTAATTTTAAGAAAAAAAATTCGGATATTATTCATGGATCTAAGTAATCTGATATTTGAGTATCGGCACTATGCATAAAACATATATTTATAGTTTTTTTGGAGTTTTATGATTTTAAATATATTCAAATTTGGCAATCCAATAGATTTTTAAAAAATAGGTAAATAAAAATAGATTACATATGCAGCAGATTTAGAACATGAAACAAATCTTATAGTGACCCAAAAAAAATTCATGATCCAAAAAAGAAAAAAATTGGCTAAATGGGAATCAAACCTTGGCATAATGAATCATTATGTCGGATGTTTCCACTACACCGGCAGTTCGAAAAATACCCTTGGTGGTTCTATTTAATAGCTACTCCAAACGATAGGCGGTGTCCCCAGCTTTAGAGAGGTGGTAAAAGTAAGGCAAATCTGGGTAAATATGAAGTTGTCGAAATAGGTATTTCAGCCTTCAGAAGATGTAGGTGCATTCCTAAAGTAACAATTCCTCCAACAATTATTACAATTAGAACATGGGCTTTCGATTGGCTCATTTCTTGCAAAGAAATTGTTTTTCTTCCTGGAAGTAAATTGACAACGATTTCTTCAGATTCATTCTGTAGATGCTATTCTATAACTACATTAGTTATACCTAATTCTGTTCGAACTATTGAAAATAATGCTTTACCCTATTTGAAATCACTGAAATATTTGTACATCTGTGGAAATCCTTCGATTGGAGCTGATATTTTTAAGGATTCACAGAAAGGAAATGATGAAGTAGCACCAGATGATTTAGTGATTTATGTTCCATTTGAGTTTACTGGATCATCAGAGAAAAGAAATTTTACGAAGTCTTATTATAACAAAGTTTGTGATTTTACAATCAAATGTAATTCATGCTCGTATTGTTCATATTACTTTTATTTTTCTTATTTATTGTCTGAAGTAATTCTATCTTAAATTTTATCTTTCTTCATTTTTCATGCTCTGAAATAAAAGATAATAACATCTTAAACTCTACACCATATTTTACATGAGTAGCCAATTATAGCAAAAAAAAATATTTCTCTGCACTTTTCATTTTGACGCAATATTAAGAGCGGTTCATCCTTGATATAATAAGCTATTTGATCTTATTAATACTAAAATTCATCGTTAAAACAGTTGAAATCGCATACTAGTAAAGCTTGGGTTGATACACCTTTGTTCGATTTGTGAATATTTAAAATTGAATCAAAATTGACAGTAAAATTCACACCTTTTTTTAAATTGAAAAATCGAATATTTCTAAAACAGTATCAGATTGAGACAGAGAGTTGCTTGCATGATGACAACAATTAAGCCTCATGAACAAGTTTTCAAGGGTTTCTTAAAAAGATAATTCTTTCATATCCTTACAGAGCAATTGATTAAAGCAGCAAAACGCACAACAAATGATCAAATCCATGATGGCAAATCAACTAATTTGATATTTGCACAATATCTTCGATTCAAAAATTAAATTGAGAATTCAACAGTAACATATTACATAGACCATTGAACTTTTAGATAAAACATCTTCTTACAACAATTGTCGGTGAATTTTACAGTTGGAATCTATAAATATGCAACAATACCAAAATTCAAAAACCGCCAAAATTGGAAATGCTATTAACCAATTTACAAATAACGCCGGCATTTTGGATGTTAACTATTACCGCCCAGTTGTAATACCAAGTCATGTATATTATAAAAATATTAAATATGAGATTGTCGAAATAGGTATTTCAGCCTTCAGAAAATGTAGGTGCATTCCTAAAGTAACAATTCCTCCAACAATTATTACAATTAGAACATGGGCTTTCGATTGGCTCATTTCTTGCAAAGAAATTGTTTTTCTTCCTGGAAGTAAATTGACAACGATTTCTTCAGATTCATTCTGTAGATGCTATTCTATAACTACATTAGTTATACCTAATTCTGTTCGAACTATCGTTAATTATGGTATATCATTTATGAAATCTTTGAGATATTTGTATATTTGCGGTAATCCTTCGATTGGAGCAGACATTCTGAGGGATGATATAAAAGGAAATGATGAAGTAGCACCTGATGATTTGGTTATCTATGTTCCTTTTGAGTTTACTGGAACATCAGAAAAAAGATCTTTTACGAAGTCTTATTTTAACCAAGTTTGTGATTTCTCAATCAAATGCAAATCACGCTTGGGTTGTTCACATTACTTGTATTTTTTATATATGTTAACTAAAGTACTATTTTGCTGTTAAGGCTTTTTTCTATTGTAATTTTATTCATCTTTGATACTCTATCAAGAGCTAATAATATAATGAACTCTACCATATATTAAACTGCTGATGTTGCATAATGGCGAATTGTTTATATATGATGAATACAGATAACAAACCACAATCTTATAAATATTTTCAGACAAAATAGTTAGTTTAGAATACTATAATTTCGATATGATCAAAATTGTCATTTTTTTATACAAAAAATTTGTTTCAAAATAGAATTGATGTCACAAATGAATTAATGACATCAATTATTGATTTTTAAAATAGAATCATTCTTAACGAAATTGTCGGTGAATTTTACAGTTGGAATCTATAAATTTACAACAATTCCGGATTCCAAAACTGCCACAATCGGAGATGCAATTGATCAGAATACAAATAACTCTGCCATTTTGGATATTAACTACAACTGTCCTGTTGAAATTCCAAGTTATGCAAATTTTAATAATATTAAATATGAGATTGTCGAAATAGGTCTTTCGGCCTTCAGATATTGTAGACAAATTCCTAAAGTGACAATTCCTCCCACAATTATCACCATTAATACTTGGTCTTTTGATTGGCTCACCGCTTGCAAAGAAATTATTTTTCTTCCAGGAAGTAAATTGTCTATTATTAAACCATGCGCATTCTGCAGGTGCTACTTGATTCAGACTCTAGTTCTACCAAATTCTGTTCGCATTATTGAAGATGGTGGCATAGCATATATGAAATCTCTGAAATATTTGTACATCTGTGGAAATCCTTCGATTGGCGCTGATATTTTTAGGGATTACCAGAAAGGAAATGATGAAGTAGCACCAGATGATTTAGTAATCTATGTCCCTTTTGAGTTTAACGGAACATCACACTTACGGAATTTTACAAAGATTTATTATAACCAAGTTTGCGATTTTACAATCAAATGTAATTCACACCTATATTGTTCACATGACTTTTATTTTTCATATATACAATTACAAGTAATTATTTGTTTTTTGAAAGTATTATAATGAGAAAGAGAAAATATTACTTTTGCACTATGAGAAGTAAAAATTTCGGCTGTTTGTTTACGATTATTTATTTTTCAGATAATAAAGAGCAGCTCTTCCATATTCATCTTTTTCATTGATAATTGCACCATGAGATATAAGAAGTTCGATTATTTCCTTATTATTTCTTATCGATGCACAATGAAGAGCAGTTCTTCCATATTTGCTTTTTTCAGTGATGCTTGCACCATGAGAAATAAGTAGCTCGATTATTTCTTTTTTGTTATTATTTACTGCTAAATGAAGAGCAGTTCTTCCAAGTACTCTTTTTCATTGATATTTGCATCATGTAAAATAAGAAGTTCGACTATTTCTTTATTATTTTCAGCTACTGCTTTTTGAAGAGCAGTGTTTCCATTTTCATCTTTTTCATTTATATTTGCATCATGGGAAATATTATAATTAATTTCTTCTTTACAATTATGAATTGCTGCAATATGATGAGCCGTTGATCTATCTTCATCTTTCCATTGATATTTGCACCAATTGAAAGAAAATATTCATAAAAAGATGGAAGATTGAATATAACGGAATGAATAAAGCATCTGTTTAAATCATTAGTTTGATCAAAATAAACTAAAAATGCATCAAGATAATTATACCATCCACATTCAGTTAAACTAGTCCTTAGATTGTACTCATTCATCAAGAATGATATAAAATCAATATTGTGCGAAATAATTGCATATTCCATGGATTTATTATCTGGTTTCTGATATTTCAAACATTCACTCATGATCTCTGGATTTTCCCCTAAAAATGAAAAATGTAAACATCTTATTAACTTAAAACAATCGATTGCTCCATGATAACAGCATAATTCAAGTAATGAATAACTGTGATAAGAAAATGGATATAATTTGTTTTTGGGTTTTTGATTTTCATAAGTTTCAAGTTTGAATTTAAATAGCGATTATTGTACTGAATAATATTTGAAATATCAAATACAATAGTTGTAAGGAGAAATTTCTTTGAATCAATTAAATTTGTGTTGATCATTTTGAAATTTGAGTTTAATTCTTCATTATAAGAATCGATATAGAATTTAAAGACACTTCGCATTTCGCTGTACTTATTAATGTGAATGTTTTGATTAGACATTTTATTCCCCACATAAAATTTTTGTATCAAAATTGAAATTGGATCAGAATCTAAATAGCTCTGAAAATTATTCATAACATAAATTGCTGACTTAAACAATAGATCTTTTGTTTATGATCAATGTCTGTGAATTTTACTGTTGGAATCTATAAATATGCGACAATTCCAAATTCATCTACTGCCAAAATTGGAGATGCAATTAAGCAGTATACATATAACTCTGGGATTTTGGATGTTAATTACTCTAATCCAGTTCAAATTCCAAGTTATGTATATTATAAAAATATTAAATATGAGATTGTCGAAATTGGCCTCTCTGCCTTCAGAAATTGCAAATATATTCCCAAAGTGATAATACCTCCCACAGTTATTACCATTAATACATGGGCTTTTGATTGGCTCATTTCTTGTACTGAATTTGTTTTTCTTCCAGGAAGCAAATTGACAACAATTGCATTTGATGGATTCTGTAGATGCTATTCTTTAAAGACATTAGTTATCCCCAGCTCTATTCGTACTATTGAAGATAGCGGAATATCATATATGAAATCATTGAAATATTTGTATATTTGTGGTAATCCTTCTATCGGTGCTGACATTTTTAAGGACTCAAGGGATTTTGATGAAGTCGCCCCGGATGATTTAAAGATATTTGTCCCATTTGAGTTTAATGGAACATCAGAGTTCAGAAATTTTACAAAGTCTTATTTTCCCCAATTATGTGAATTTTCTATTAAATATAATTCATGCATCGGTTGCACTTATAATTTACATTCGGTCTTTTTCTCCGAATTAATCACATCGTCTTAAACCAAATTGTCAATATTACTTAAAATAACCTTATTAGAGCTTGCATGAATTGATCACACTGATTCTAGGTACTCAATATAATATCCTTAAAAGTGCTTTTCTGAGGATCCATCAACTTTAGGGCACTCTTGAGGCTTAACTAACTTGACAAAAATTAAAGCCCTTTGAGATATATATTCTATGATGTATAACAATGCAATACTTTTCTTCCACTATCATGAGTTATAACATGCTTTTTCCTATAATGATAGACTAGTATTTATACGTATTGTAGAGGGTATTTTTCCTCTTTTTAAAATTTTTGAATAATTTTTGTCATGACAATCATTTTAATAACAAAAAAGTATATAAGACATATGAAGTACTATGTAGCTTTTTTCATAGATAATTGGCATATAAAGTTTTAGTGTCAAAAAAATTCAGAGAATGTCAGAAAGCAGTAAGTGCACTCTTAATATCAAAAAATGTCATATGAGTGTGAGTGAATTCTTCAAATATAATTGGTATTAATGTAATATACGAAAACTTTTATAATATAAAACAAATAATTTACTCTATTATGTAAGTTTGTCTCTGTTCTTTGGTCGGCCAGATTTAGTTTTGTTTTCTTTTTCTGCTTTCTCAATCATCTGAGCCCAGATTTTGTACTTTTCGTGTTTGATTGCAAGTTTTTCCTGAATAGCCTTTAGATTAGTGATGATTGTAGATCTCGATTTGTTTGTCTTTTCTATGATTTTTGTGTATTCTGACTTAAGATTTACGAGATCATTCATTACTTCACTATCTATCTCTTCTGGCTGGTCAGAGCTTGGCTTCAGATCAAGGGAAATAACTTCTAATGATAGTTTCGCTTCGAAAGAAAGCTTCGAATAATAAGATGTTCCAAATACGTTCGTTGGATAAAGATTTTCATTGGAATTATCTAATTTGAAGTCATTTGTTGGCTGTACTTTGGAATGTTCTTCATCAGGAGCATGATCTGCCATAGTTTCTAAAGATGCTTCTGAATCATCATGAACAACAGGGATTAGAGCGGCCAAAAGCCTGTGACTAGAAACAACATTGAAGTCTCCAATCTTTTTGGATGGTATATCAACGTAATCAGGTACTTTTATCATGACATTATCATTTTTGAATCTTTGCCTGAGTTTCTGATTGTAAGCTATGGAGTAATGTTGTCCTAAAGGTGTAACAGCAATCTTTTCTTCAATAGGATTCAAGTATTGCTGGAAAGATTCTGCAGTTGGTGAAACTCCGAAAAATCTGTTGATTGAGTTCCAAATTGTTTGTGAAGTCATAGGTTTTACGTTGTGATCTGTTGAATCATCTGTCTTTTTATGACGCTTAGTCTGCTTCACTTGTTGGACTGGTTGAATATTTGGTTGGAAGCTAATTGATGTTGAGCGTGATATGGCATGACGAGTCACTGGTATATACCTTGTAGAAGAAGCAAGTGTAATCGGCCTTGAGAATGATTCTTCGAAGATCTGATGCCTTTTCTGTAGTTCGAGTCGAATATTTTGGAAGAAACTGATATTGTTGTTAATGGCTTCGACCATTGATATCCCTGGACTATCACCTCCTGATAAAATCATATCAAGAAAGATTTTCATTGAATTAAAACCCCAGGATTCTTCGAGATCCGGCTTCTCATCACTTGCAGCATCGATAAAAGAACTTTCAATTGAAGTCTTACGGCCGATAGCTCTCTTCGATGAAAGCCTAGGCCGATTTTCGCACTCGGCCATTTTTAGATACCATCCATGCACACGAACTTTACAATAATCGTAGAAAATTTTTGTCCTGTCTCTTGTTAATAAATGATATTTCAATATAATATATCAAATTCTACGATTGGTCAATATATTCAATATTGTTTTGAATTTTTTCAGAGCCACGATAACCTCTTTTTTTGAAAATTATACCAAATTATTAATGACTAATAATTTTTTTTACAAATTCAATTGAGAATGTTTTGAAAATCCACCAAAGAGGTAGGGCAACGATAGAAAATTTTTGGAAAAAAAGTTCGGAGATCTTAAACGTATCATATTCCCTGCATGGTTTGGTATCTTCCGCCATGCGTTGTGCCAAACATATTGACACTTTCCAATAATTAATTTATGGTATGAGTCACAGAGTTAGATTATAAAAAGAAAGTAAATAATTGCAATTAGAAATCATATATGTCGGAAATCAAATGTTGATGAGCAGAAACCTTTTATCATAAAAGAGATAAATCACTAAAGATTGTATACATTAAAATTTGATATTTGGTGCTCGAAAACTGTCTGATGGGACTCCTCAAAATGAGCCAATCTATCGCTGAGGACCAAATTAGATGATCTGGATGGTGTATTCTCTAATTCTAACTTAGGAAGAATGGGAACAAAACGAATGACGACAACAACATGTCAAACATAGATTAAATATCTATGAATCAATAAAGTATACGTGCATTGAAGGTGATAACGATCACTTGAGGCTTATAACTCTTTGACTAATTATGCAATAATTAAATATAATCATTTTTATATTTTATACTGATAGTAATTAATATACTATCCTGCTTAATAAATGGTATGATCAAATTTGTTTGAAAATTTAATTATGTATATGAAACTATGTCTTCTATATAAAATCAAAATTTTCGGACGAACCTAGATTGAACCTTTATGAAAATCTATCATTTTTGTATATTGAGTTAATTAAATCTTTTACATATGTATATATAGCATTGATAGCTTATATAATCATGGTTTATTCCATATTAACTATTTTTTCAGTTAAATTTGTTAATAATATCATGTAACAAATTAATTCAAGATTAGAATGTCTACAAAATGCTAACAAATAAGAACAAAATACGATTTCTCGACTTAAATTTTAATATGGAGTAGTTTTTCGTTTAAATCTAATTAAAAATGAATAAAAACTTATCTTGTACTATTTTCATTCAAAGATTTTAATAATGTAAATCATGCTTTTCATAATTCAGTACAGTTCTTTTTAGAATTAAAGTTGATGAGGATGATATTTGTGATTTAAATAATTTGTTAATGTTCACTTTTATTCATCACCTTGTGGTATGCCTAAAGCAATAGCATTATCAATTCTGCTGAATTGATCAACTCAAAATTCCAAAAAAAATTCAAAATTTCAAAATGAAATTAAACAATTTGAATTTTCACATGAAAAAAATTAATTTCGAAAAAAATTTGGAAAATCAAAGTTATTTGATAATTAGTCAAATAATCAATTTACATCGTTTTTACTCATAAAAAAAAACTAATTTTTGATTTTGATATCATATTTGATAAATACTCATTCCAGAGTTGACGTAATGTATTAATTATTGTTAGAGATATTGCTTTCGCAGCAAATTCTTATTTCATGAAAGAAAAAAAAATGATTTTATTCCAACAAAAACAAGTAAACAGATGAATGGAAACGTACTATATTTTCATAAATGTAGTAATCAGCGTGTCGGCTTTTGTTTATCATGTTCGAGTCAAAATGTATTAACTTGTAATAAGAAATATTCGAAGATTATATGAAGTATTGAGCATTCTTTGTAGAAATATTTGTAATTCATTACTAACATATATAATAAAGTTGTTTTTTTTTCCTTATTGCAATTTTTGTCTGATTTTAATAACTTTTCATGTATACGAGTTGTGTGAATATGCATCATAATATGCGTATATACTTATTTGCGACGAATAATGTGGTTGCATAATGGAGGTGCTAAATTTTGATTTTTAATATGGGCTTTGATATGTATATCATGTTCTTATCTCAACGTAGGAGTATTGGTGCAATATGATTAAATTTACGAGGTTGATCTTAAATTGAATAATTCTGGAGTATAAATCACAATGCAGCTAATTCTATGTTAAAGATAGATACAGTTGTAGTAATCAATTAGGGAGTACAAATTCATTCTTTCATTTCTGTCGTATTGAGCAGAAAGGAAGAGATCATAACCCTAGGAAAAAAAGCCCAAATTTGTCACTTTTCATAGTACGTTAAACTCAATTCGCTCGGCGAATGCCGAGCACACGTACTCATCATTCAACATAATATTCTCATTCTTTGGTTATTATAGTGCCAGACAACACAAGATTTCAAAGAATTACTTGAGTTTTCAATTAATCTTAATCCGATTTTAGATTTATCGAGAACTCCATCATCACAATCACATACTTCAGTGCGGTAACTACAATTATCCATATACAGAAGGAAGTTCTTTTTCGAACAACTCATTTGGAGTCTGTTTTGGAAAGAACTTCTTCTGTCCGACTTAATTTCATAGTTCCTGATCAACCAAAAGACAGAAAACCACAACTATCTACTTAGGAAAGGAGTTCTTTCTAAATCTTCCTTAAATTGAGATTTTACGAGAGATAACCCTTCTATTGCACTTAAAAATGAACATTTTGATATCTTTAGTATCACACATGGTCATATATAGTATTTCATCTACATGAATACATTCATCTTTCGAAGTCTCTCATTAAATGGGAGGCTTCGAAAGATGAATCGTTTTATTCATACAACTTTAAATCTCGAACACATTTAGAGAGTGAGTATATCATTTTATTCTTGTTTTGAGTTTATTCTGATTCAAAATTGCAGTGAAAACAGAAGTTCACACATCATATCTGAATGTGAGCTCATCTATACTTATACGATCTCAATACCTCCACTCTAAGCATAAGAGGTGAAGTTATATAAAAATTATCAGATGCGTTGAAGTCTCAAAAGTATTGCCTGAATGCTTGTTTCATATTTGTCCAAGTAGTTTCAATGAATAAATGTATTGTTTTTTATAATTTCGATTTATTTTTAGAAAATATTCAATATAAACCTTTATTGTGTTATTTACATCTCATAAATTCTCTGTCTAAATCATATAAAAGCGCGTTTTACCCCTATGAATCAAGAAATTCATTCAATATTCATGGTATATTTATTAAATTTATACGATTTACTAATAATCAATATTATATCCTCATAAATAGCAATATATTTTGGTAATCTATGATAATCATATACAATATTTGAAATCAAATTTTCATTAGTTTAGGTTCCTTGTTAATAGTAAACCATTATATTTATTACTAATAATAAAATCTATGTGTCGTATTGAAATTCAATAAAATTACTTATTCGGTCCAAAAAAACAAATTAGATAAAAATTTTCTTTTTTTATGTAATTTTTGTTTTTCATTTTTCTCAAGATCCTAAGTTATGTTCTAACTTTTGACATCATATCCTATCATGCTAGGCTATATATTATAGCATATCCAAAAGGCAAGGAAATCTATCAGAGAAGCCTTTTTTACCTATCGTTGCCCTACCTCTTCCACCAATGTTGGTAAGATAGATCTAGCTTAAGATTGATTGTGTCTACCTGATTATACTATTAATTTAAGGGTTTCGTTTTGCTAAAATTGTCACTTTTATAGCATATTTGTTTTTGGATGTTTTGCGAAACCAAAAAAAAACTATGATATACAATGTGTGTGTAAAGAAAATACTTTATTTACTAGTTAAAAAATCATTTGGTATTGATCAAGTTATTTTTTCTGGATAAGATATTATATGGATAATTGGATAGAAAATACAATTATATAATCTTGTACCTGGTTTAATTAAGCTAATTGTCATCAGAAACTTGTAATTTTTATGAATTTCAGATTTTCTTTTCATTACTGCTTTTCTTAATAGGTCAAGTTCTTATTTACGTTATAAAGTATGATATTTACAAATATCAAGTTATCATGTTTTTTGAGAAATTATGAGAAACAAACAAAAATGAAAAAGATAGGAATAGCAATGAATAGTGATGTGGGTATAGAAAATGTAAGAGATATGAATGCAAAGCAATCAGTATTTAGGATATTGACCATAGATTTCGAAAAAAAAATGCTGCATATTGAGCGAAAACTATGATTATATTATAAGGCTGTCATTTAAAGCATAATGAAACTATTCCCTTTTCATTTTAATCGAATAAGATAGTAAAGATTTTTGAATTAGCTAGAAACTGATGAGATGTTTTCACAAATCAGATTTTTAATCTCTATAATGCATAATTCACTCAATATCTCAATTTTGATATTGCGAGATATTTTTGCTATCGGTTTCGCAATTTTGACACAATAGCAAGAGGGTTCTATAAGCATTATTATCAACGTAGAATCTGAATATCATATCAGAAAATGTCGCAAATCTGACATTTACCCGACCAAATAGCAAAAATAATTGAATACTTTTCGCAAAAACTTTAAAAATCGATAAAAATATGAAATATAGATATTAAAGAGACTTTTTATATAATATTCATAAAGATTTTCCAAAAATATGATACCGCAAAATTAAAAAAGTGACGTCTTGAGTGGAGTCAAATGTCGAAATTGCTAGCTAAATGTTTTTTAGCGAAATTGCGTATTGTACGTTTTTTTCGCAAAACGAAACCCTTAATTAATTACATTCATTCTATTAAAATAAAGAATAAACAAACAATTTATTTCAATTAAAAATCCGTATAGAGTAAAACACGAGGTATTCTTTCTCCGTTAGTTTCAACATATCGCTTAAAGTTTCGTGTTACAGGGAGATCAGGAAGATTTGATGATAATTCTGTCGAATTTGGTTTAAATCGTTCTGATTTATTAAACACATTACTAACCATTCTAGGACTTGGTCTAGATGTTGCTTCTGTACTGGGATTATTCAGTTTGTAAGGTAATTCAGAATGTAATACCAATTCTGGTTTAAATTCTTTTATTCTAGCTGGTCTCGATTTACGAAGTAGTTCTAAATAGTGATCAACGCTATCTTTTGAAGGTCCATCAAATTGGACAGTTTCTTTTTCAATACCATATATTGTAAATCGACCAGTAAAGCGTAGAGAATCATTTATAGTTGCTGAAATAGGTTTTTTCTTTGACTCTTCAATATTTTTATACCATTCTCGAGCACTGAAAGGAGGAGACTTAGGATATAGCCTCTTTCTAGTCTGTTCAGCCTCGGAAGCAAAGTTGATTTTGGGAAGTTTAGGTGGGTGTGGTTTTTTTCGTGGTGAATGTAGTTTATTCGTTGTAAAATTGGCACTTTTTTAAACGTCAATTTTTTTTCTCCGTTTCGATTTTGAAATTTGAACCATATTTGATTCAAGTTTTTGTATTATCAAGACAAACTGTCTGTTAGAGCATTAATTAAGTTACTCTATTATCAGATCGGATAACCTTATTCTATTTGTCTCATTCAGAAAAATATGTCGATTTTAAGTGAAAATTTGGCCGGCCAAAATCTATTAGAATATCATGGGAAGAAATATTCCCAGGATCATGTTATGATCAATCTCATTTTCACCGAAGCACTAGATTTTCAAGATCAAACGACTTGAACTACTTTGTATACAGTTGTTTTTTTCTTGAATTAAATCCAAATGGCGCTGTTCGATTTGAAACAAGGAATGATAATGTCAAAGCTTATGTTGAAAGGAATAAATTTGATTCATGTTCCTCTGGATCCCAGCCAGGAGGATCTCTCTGCTTTTCTTACGAAGGCGAATTTGTTCAAACACAAAATTCGTTCATTAACTCAACAAATTCAAATTCGGGAACTTCATTTTCCACAAGCGTTTCAAAAAAGCTGAATTTCAGAAATCATGCTAATGAAACTTTAGTTTACAATTGCGGCAGTTCAGAACAAGACTGTAGTAAAACAACTTCCATGCAATTTGGCTTTATATTCTTGAATCAGTGTAATATTACACAAAATAGAGTCAAAGATAATAACGGAGGCTATTCTACATCAAATATTATCTCTAATTCATATATAAACTGTGTCAATATAATTGAAAACAATCAAACATTCCGTGAATTTAATTATCATTCAGCTTGGGATTATTATTACATAGCATTAAAAATAACATCATGTAATTATATCAGAAATAAAAGTACAAACGATTATAGACATGGCTTTAGCTATAGCTCTCTGATATATACAAAAACATGCCATGCTTTCTTGAACTATTGTTGCATTCATGAGAATAAGGTTGATTATATTTTTTACATTTATCATTATTATGTCACATTTGAAAATTCAACTACGGATAATAATAAAACACATGCAGAATATGAAGGTGTAATATTTAAGAACACAGACATTTCATTTGAAAATGAATGCTCTATTTTTATAATTCCTACAACAGATTTCGTTGATTCATTTAAATATAAATGCCCTCATTCCAATTTAAATAATGAAAATGCAATCGAAAATGGGGTATTATTATTGTCGTCTGGCGGTTTTAGACGACAATGCGAATTTTCAAATAATAGGATTTTTAGCCAGATAAAGAGCTACTCCATATATCATGCGTGTTTGCATACTATATACATAGATGGAATTGATGTTCTTCCTTTATTTAGGTACCGAAACATGCTTGAAAAATCTATTTTTTAGACGACAATGATAATTTTGTCACTTTTCCAGACGACAATAATAATTTGTCACTTTTTTAGACGACAATAATAATTTTGTCACTTTTTCCAGACGACAATAAAACATCCTCATCGAAAATCCCATTAATGTTAGAAATCATATTAAATATTTCTTTTTATTCATGACGACTAAAAGATTTAAAAGGTGATCTTAAAATTCAGACATTAAATAACACATTAATATCGGACATATTTTGAAAAGCTTTCAACCTTGGTCAAGAATTTAAAAATACACAAATGATGTACAAATTGAAGGCAAAATAATCGTTTTTAATTGATTTTATAATTTTTTTTGACATTTTAAAATAAATAAATTATAATTTAAATTTTAGAGTTTTGTATATTCTGTTAACACTTCCTTAACTTTCGCAGTCTCGTCTTCACGCATAACATCAGACTGCAGCAAAGAAGACAAAGCGAAAAGCGGATCGACGCCAGACATTGCGATTACGTGATTTGGATTTTCAAATCTTTTATCACGTTTCTTAAGTGAGCGAAGTTTTCTCTGGATAATCTCTTTCTGCTTTTCCTGGCAATGTATGCACATGTTGATGTTTTCGCCGAGACACTCAATGTGGTAAGAATGTCCGCACAAGAAATGTTTAGCAGGGAGGTCGATGACACCATTGCATTTCTTACAACGAGTCTGGTTTGCCTTGTAATGGCAGAACTTCAATTTATAAGCTTCGACATCTTCACGCATCATCTCGTTTTCTGTTTCGAGTTCAATTGATTGAAGTTCTTTCAGACGACTCTGACGAGCCTTGAACTCTGCACGAGCCAAATCTTTGATGTATCCCATTCTTAGCTTCTTATCCATTGAAATAATCTCAAGAATATCAAGAAAAGCAACTGGGCCATCAATTTTTTGAACTTCAACAGGTTCAATAACATCTGTAGCTTTAGGAAGTTTTACGTGGTCATAAGGTCTATTTTCATCATCAACTTCTTCGTCTTTTATGATATCAGGATCTATTTCTTCGAAATATCTTTTTGCGACACGTGTTTCTGATTTGATACGTGCTTGTGTAAGTAAACTAAGGAATTCTTTGATTGATAATGTCAATGTTGCGATGTTTTCATCATCACCTTTCTTTCTACTGTCTACAAGATTTTGAACTAAATATTTAAGAGCATATCTCCATAATCTGTCTGTTTGGCGCCATATAGGAATAGGATATGTCTCTTCAAAGTATTTAGGAATCTGTTCGAATCTTGATAGTTTTAGATATTCTTCGTAGTATCGAATATCATCTTTGATGTAGAAATTCATCAATCCATTTCTGTATTCTTCGCTTTTAAGGAATAAGTCTACTTGGTCGTTTTCGTATTTAAAGCGTCCGTCTTCAAATTTCACGGTATCCGATGTGAAATTGAAGTATTTGTTGAATCTTTCATCCCTTTCTTCTTCTTTCTCTTTGAAAATGATGGATTCGATGGCCGCATTCCAGATTTCCGCTGTGCAAACTTCTGGTTTCTTTTCAGCAAGGAAATCAATGAAGGCTACCAACATTTGTGGCTTCAAAAGAAAGACACGAAGGAAATCATCTGGATTGCAACACTGTTTAACATCATCTTTGTAGCGCATCTTCATCGGACAGCCATCACAGCAACAGTCTGCAAGGAAAGATGTGAATTCCCGGGCTTCTCTTTCGTCTTTGAAGAACATTATTATGTCAAGACCGTATTTCTTTACGATCTGAGTGACATCTTCTGCTCCAATGGTCTTAAGATGCTCGAATATCGTGGAATAACAATGGTCTTCCGCTAACATTCTGGCGTATTCCATATTTAATCCGTAATTCTTGGCCAATTCGAGACTTTCTGGTCTGTAACCACTGAGATTAAGGACTTCAACGGCTGTGGCGACATCGTATGGTGCTGGATTGTGCTTCTGGGACTCTTCAATGTAATATTTGAGTCTTTCTTCCTTCCTGAGCTTCGTGTAGCAGTTGAAAAGCAATGTCGTGTGCTGCTTGTTGGACATTCCTTTCGCTTGAAGGCCTTCCAAGTACTTGACAAGGAATTCTGCGTATTGAGGGTCAATGAAACGAGTAATTACGTATGAAGCCTCAAGAAAGCCGATTGTTTGGATGTATTCGTCAATTGCGAGGTCGAATTTGTGCTTTGCGTAGTAAGAATCTGCTCTTCTACGGTGAATCATGGAAATGAACTCAGGAGTCATCTTTCTGGAGGCTGCAATCGCAAGGGCAACATCGAATTGCTCGTTCTTGATGATGGAATTGATCTTTTCGGTCATGTCGACTTCGGCAATTCGAGTTATTGAGTTATCAGTTCTAACAACAATGATTGAGTTCCATTCTTGGAAGATATAGCGAATGTTATCACCTGGAGCGGCCTTTCCGAAGATGCACGGTGGGAAAAAGTTGAAGATTCTGATCATGGAATCATTTGGAGCATTAAAGACAGCAAGAAGAGCGTTTCCGATCCAGTAGATCCAGATTGGCTCTCCGTTGAGTATGTATTGCATCTTTGGGCCATGTTTGCCAGTTTTGCCATATCTATCGTAAGCTTTCTTTTTATGGATCTTGTTTTCTTCTTCTCCTTCTTCTTCACCTTCCTTGGCTTCTTGTTCTTTGTTTTCTTCGGCTTTTTGTTTCTCTTTTTCTTTATCTTTCTTCTTTTCTTTCTTTTCCTTGTCATCGTTCTCATCTTCGCCCTTGTCTTCCTCTTCTGCGTTGCCTTGGTTGTTGAAAGCGGCCTTCTTCGGGTCGAATTCTTCGTATAATTGGCCACCAGCGTCGTAAACGTTGACTTGAGCTCCGCGGCATACCATAATGACACCATCTTCCTTGATTGTGCAGAGATGTGGGCCTGCGCCGCCGTCTGCTGGGACTTTTGTCTCTTTATAGATCTTTGAATCTTCGCTGCCCCAATCTAAGTAAGTAATTTCGTTTTCTGTTGTCGCGAAGAGGACATTACGAGCTGGATTATTTGGATCGTGAGTGAATAAAACGTTGGTGATCGGATCATGAAGATTACTGACTAATGGCTTAGAATCAAATGGAGCGGAGAATATAACAAGCTTTGTTTTGTCTAAAACGTATGCAAATAATGTCATATCATCGTTTAAATAGATTGTCAAAGATCCATCTTCGATTGCTTCAGTTGGAATGTAATCTTTTGGAACTTCAAGCATTGTTGGCTGAAGCTGCTTTGTATCGAATGTATAAAAGTAAAATCCGTCCTTATGTGTTGTTGATTTTACGGCAACAATGGCCTGTGTAACTTTCTTTGCGCAAGAAACAGTAATGAATGTTTCATCTTCCTTATTTTTCAGTTTTGCTGGTTCATCGACACTTGGGTTTGTAAATACAACACCTTCTGTCGAACCAATGTAAGCAAGAAGACCACCACATGCGTTGTCGCACTTGTTGAGTTCTAACTCATCAAGTTTCTCATAAGGTCTGTCGACAACATCATAAAGGTGATAAACATTCCATATAGTATCGCTCATTTTATTTAATTTATTTATTGAGGGAAAAAAGTGACATTGACAACAAAGATTTTAATTTTATAAAAATTATATTTGGATTTATTGTTATGAACAAAGTTTGGTATAGACCGAAAATAGATTTTTTTGGTTTTCTCTTCAAATAATTGAAAGAATGATACTATTATAGGTTTATTATATTATATAGCATATAATCATGCTATAGCCGAAAATTATAAGTTTTGAGAAGATTGAATATAACACAAATAAATTTGAATGTAAGTTAAATTGCTTGTTGTTTTTAATAGCTATTTAATGAGAAATCCAATATTGCAAAATTCAAATTGAATGATTGAAAGAACAGAAAAAGTCATTCTTTTCAATTTCGAATATGTTTCATTGTATTTATAATTATATGGCAAATAAGATATTTAAACTTGATTTTTGAAGGAAAATTCACAAAATTGAATAAATTCAAATAATTTTTATTCAAAAATAAACTAGTTATTTGAGTTTAATACTAATTATCTATTCAAACTACAAAGTTTGTAATTTAAAATATTTTGTGAGATCAGATTGAATTAATTCAAGGTTCTTTTCAATTAATATTAATGACCATATTACGCATTTTCGAACATTCTAAACCAAATATATAAAAATGGGAGACGAATGTTAAATTTGCTAGACATGGGGGAGTTGTCTGCAAAGTTTTAGCTCTTATCTCTAACAAAAAATTAATTTTTAAAAAAATGACCGAATACGTTTCACAGCGAGAAAAAAATAAAAGGCAAGATAGAATTTTCTAGACATAAAGAAGTTGTTTACCGAGTTTTAGCTCTTATCTCTAACAAAAATTAATTTTTAAAAAAATGACCGAATACGTTTCACAGCGAGAAAAAAATAAAAGGCAAGATAGAATTTTCTAGACATAAAGAAGTTGTTTACCGAGTTTTAGCTCTTATCTCTAACAAAAAATTAATTTTTAAAAAAATGACCGAATACGTTTCACAGCGAGAAAAAATAAAAGGCAAGATAGAATTTTCTAGACATAAAGAAGTTGTTTACCGAGTTTTAGCTCTTATCTCTAACAAAAAATTAATTTTTAAAAAAATGACCGAATACGTTTCACAGCGAGAAAAAAATAAAAGGCAAGATAGAATTTTCTAGACATAAAGAAGTTGTTTACCGAGTTTTAGCTCTTATCTCTAACAAAAAATTAATTTTTAAAAAAATGACCGAATACGTTTCACAGCGAGAAAAAAATAAAAGGCAAGATAGAATTTTCTAGACATAAAGAAGTTGTTTACCGAGTTTTAGCTCTTATCTCTAACAAAAAATTAATTTTTAAAAAAATGACCGAATACGTTTCACAGCGAGAAAAAAATAAAAGGCAAGATAGAATTTTCTAGACATAAAGAAGTTGTTTACCGAGTTTTAGCTCTTATCTCTAACAAAAAATTAATTTTTAAAAAAATGACCGAATACGTTTCACAGCGAGAAAAAAATAAAAGGCAAGATAGAATTTTCTAGACATAAAGAAGTTGTTTACCGAGTTTTAGCTCTTATCTCTAACAAAAAATTAATTTTTAAAAAAATGACCGAATACGTTTCACAGCGAGAAAAAAATAAAAGGCAAGATAGAATTTTCTAGACATAAAGAAGTTGTCTACCAAGTGTCAGCTGTTACTTCTTCTCAATACTGATATAAAATAAAAATCTTTATTATTTATTTACCCTTTATTGTTTCATTAAACTTCATTTATTTTATATTATAGTTTTATTCTTTTAGCTACTTGTAAAATAATCTAATTTTATATCATCATTTTACGAGAAAGGGACAAACTATCCAGTGTCACTTTTCAAAGGAATAAAAAAAATAATAAAGATGAAATAATAACATGAAATCTTATATAAATATAATTTTATCTAAATAGATAAAAGCTAGCATGGGCTACTCTCAAAAATGCTTGAAGCAATATATTCAAGTTTGCAACAAGGATCAATAGATTCAAATCTTGTTTATTATACTTTAAAGGTACTTTTAAAAAAGAAACAATTAATGTAAAAGATCCAAATAATTTTTTATTATTATTTTATTAATTTTTTAAAATAAGGTTAATAAAAAAGTGACACTGGATAGTTTGTCCCACACTCTCATTTTACCGGATTATTCTTCAGTACATCGATTGTGTATCTAAAATAATATCATTATCCTTATTCTGTTTTTTCCAAAATTCTTTTAAATAGAGTATATAAGAATTTCCGAAAAAGTGACACCCAAAAAGTGACACTTTCAATAGGGAGTAACACTTAAAAAGTGACAATTTAAAATTCACAATAAATAAAAATAATAAATTTTTTAGTCTATTAAATTATTCTTTTCTTTGAAATCCTCTAAAAATTCTTCGAAATGTTCTAAAATATAATCTGGAGAATTATAACAAAATTCATTAATTTCTAACATATACGTATCTAACAATTCATTTGGAATTTCAAACGATCTTAAATATGTAATTGAATTTTGTATCTTCTCATTTATTTGAGAAAGTTTTTCTTCAGCATTTTCCAATAAAAATCTTAATGGATTCAAATTGGCTTCTTGATTCTGAACAAAATTTAATACTTGGTATAAACGTGATTGAACTTCTCTTTTCAATTTTGTTTTATAATCTGTCAATCGAGGCTCGCGAATTCTAATTGAAGGAATAAAACCTGTTTGAAGTAAATCGTTTTTAATACGATAAAAGTAATTGGGTGCAACTTCTTCTAAAAGATTTTTGACAAAAACATCAATTCTTTGATTTTTAACGCAGCCAAAATCGTGATATTTTCTCTTTTTAAATAAAGATTCAGAAACGTTATTCACAACGGTTAATTCATTTGGTCTGGCAGCGGCTATCCACATCATAGCCAACAATTCCTTATACAAAATTCAAAAACTTGGGTGCAATCAGTTCTGATTCCACCCAAGTTTTTGAACTTTCTTGAGGGAATTAAAGGGTGAGAGATTTATAGTCTATCTATATATCTCAGTTAGTATACAAGTCATGGGTACGGTGGCACTGCGTTCCATCTTACCCAATACTTGTGAATTTGACACTTTACAAAACCGTTAACGTATATTTTACAACACAAACGACAACACTAACTTAACCTTAAATATTTACAAAGCCGCCAACCACTTCACCTCACTAACGTTTTCGCTAACGACTTCACTAATGTAAAAAATAAACGTTCTCACTTACAAAAGTATTGCAACTCCTCCCATTGCTGTGCTTCACATAACAGCTCATAATCTTCTGACTCACTTTCTTCTTCATATAGGTCAAAGTCACTGTCAAAATAAATGTTAGTAAGTTTTGACAAAGCTAATGAAACACGCTTACCGTTTGTATCGTATGCTTGTATAAACTTTCCATTATGCTTGTAGTCATAAACGCTCAAACTAACTTTACCCTTTCTCCCTCGTATCTGATAGAATGTATTTTCACGAGGAACGAAGAACAAATTCTTGAACTCATGACCGTTGTAGTTTGTTATCTCAATAGTTTTCGTCATTTATATAAAAATAAAATAAAAAATAAACTTAAAAATTAATGATCTCACCACCCTCACACGTATGAAAACATAGCCCAAAAATAAATTTAGGTGAAGTGGTGAGATCTCACCTCTTTTTTCACCCTGTTGAATTCATTGCTTTATAACTCTCTTCCTTGGTTTCTTTTTAGTTGCTTTCTTCACGTCTGTCTCCAACTTGACTGTCTTTCTTCTTCGTCCATAATGATACCAGTTACTTCCACCAGTCAATGGGTCAAATGGTCTTTCGTAAGGGTTTCCATACATTCCATAGGGACCATACGGAAGAACTACTGGTGGAGAAGAAACATTTCTTTAGTTCCATCGACTCTATTTAAATGCATTGTTTCACCTTTCATCTGGTCATTAAAGTCTTTTACGTGTTTTGCAAACTCATCGTCCTTTCCTAAAGCATTTTCTGACTCAGTCGCAACCAAATTGGATGCTTTATTTATGAGCCCTATTTTATTTAATCTTAACTTCTTTGCAACCCAGCCTCCAATCTTTCCTTTATTTGCATCTAATGTCTTCGAAACCCTTCCTCCACTCATTTTATTTACTGCGTCATAAGCTCCAAGTGCTTTTGCTCCAAATGCTAATGCTTTTGTTCCCATTGCGCCTAAAGCTGCCCAAGCTACCATTTACACCATATTAAAATCATCTCTCTTCAATATTATCTCATAAAAGTTCTCGTTACTGGAGAAAGTCAATGAAACATAAACATTCTCACGGGCTTCACCCTCACCGCTTTGCGGTCTATCTAACTTCTTTCTTATCTCATCTATTCGCTTCAAAATGTCTGAACAATTGCTAACATCTTCTACAACAGTTATTTCATCATGAATGACCTTCAAGAACAAGCTCATTTAATATGCAATTAAAATCATCTCAATAATGAGTCCATCCTTTCCATCTTTAGGTAGCACAACATCTTTCATTGAAGAAGGTTCGACAAGTCTTATGTTAAACTTACTGACAAAGTTTGTTATACTATAATGCTTCGGCGGCGAATACATGTAGTTTGAAAGACATAATATAGATTCTTCAGCAAATTCACTTATACTGGATTTTATAACAATGTTCTCACGAGACCAAACGCCACCAATTGACAATCTTGTAAGCAATCCTGCTGAACCTTCTACTGTAAATGTCGATGGTAACATTCCACGAAGGTCATCTATTGACATCTTTGAGTCACTGAATTTAAATATTTTCTTAAAGCAATCGTCATTATCTAACCATGCAATAGCTTTGAAGTTTTCATTCGAATATACATCTGCTTCATTAAATGTAAAACCTGACTTCTTTGCAGAGATGACTTTAAAATCTATTGAGTTTCAAAATTATATGCTATGGTAACTTCTGAAGGTAATGGATGCCCTTCCGCAGTCAGTTGTTCTCTCACTACCGTTTGAAGCTTTGTGTTAAAACTTTCATGTCATCTCCTGTGTCTAGGTTCACATACACAGCAACAGGGAAACTGTCTTGCTTCTTTGTTTCATCATTATATCTCAAAACATTAAAGTTCTTCAATAATATTGTTCTTCCTGCTGGAATACTTCTAACTTGTCTGATTTCAATAGCTTTCTCACCTCCTACATACTCTACCCAGTGTCTTGGATATTCATAAGTATACTGACTTTCTTGAATTTTGGTTGGTTTCATCATAACGTGTTCATAGTATATCTTTATACTCTTGTCAGTTAGACTCGGTGCTATGTTCTGAATATTTCTGACTTGCATTTTTAATGGAGATAAAATGAAGCATTTAATACATGACGTAGATGAAGACATGAATGAAACTACAGACAAACTTAACTCTTCTCTTATTCTTCCTTTCAGCAAAGATTATGAGTTCTGTTCAAATGGTGTGTATTTCTATTGTGGAAAGATGGGTTCAGGTAAGACATTTAACCTCATTCGTCATATACTCATAACAGAACGTTTAGGAAATGACTCATATTATGACCAAATCATTATATCAGCAACTTCAGACTCTATGGACTCAACAGCGAAAACATTTATGTCAAAAGTTCAAGCCTCTGTCGTTAAAGTTCCAGACAGTGAACTCATTGAATTTCTTCAACGTTACATTCGACGTAAGAGAAAATATTATGCCATCGTTGAATTTATACAGTCAGGAATGCAAAAGACTTCTGAGGAGATGGAAAGAATTATTGACAAACACCACTTACGTCAGTACTCAGGAGTTTACGATATGAAACGACTTACAAACTACATTCTATCAAAACTTTCAAAATACCCCTTCAAAAAGTATCCTTCAAACACTTTGTTAGTTTGCGACGACTTCGCCGGAAAAGGTTTAGTGTCAAAGCCTGACTCACCATTAGCTAACATCATAACTAAAGTCAGACATTACCACTTAACTGTAGCAATACTTATGCAAACATGGAGGTTTTTAGCTTTAAACATAAAACGTCTCATAACTGACTTCGTTATCTTTCAAGGTTTCTCACGCTATGATATTGAACTCATTTGGAAACAGTCAGGTATAACATTACCTTTTGAAGAAATTTGGGAAGCATATAAGTCTCTCATCTCTCCTCGTTCATACCTTGAGATTCATATCATGACTAATACCATTAAAGTCAAAAATATTCCATGGGAACGACCAACATTGTTTTAAAGTTTAACCTTCAATTGACTGATGGTAAACAAATTCCATGCATCTCTGTCGCCATTTCTGTTAATATTTTTGCTGTCATTCATATCATCCACTTCCCCATCCGTTAGCTTTTGAGGATATGCGTTAGAATAGCTGTTCTTAAATGAAGGCTTTTCACCTTTGAGAGCATAAACTCTATAACTTTCTGCATACTTTATGTTTGAACCTCCTGAGCCATCATTGACATAAATTTTTATAGGCTTCCACCCTTTGTTCATGTTCCTGCTTCTTCCCTTAGCTCTTTTGTTCAGTAGTTCTACATCTTTATACACAGCACCTGTCTCAGTGAATTCAACAATATTTTCATTCGTTAGCTTTACATTCAAACCCTTGTCGAGTATATTGTTCATTTCATACATATAAAAGGTTTTTATTCTATATGAAATGAGAAGCAAATCCATCTTAGCTGGTGCCGTTAATGTTCCAATTGAACCAACATCAAATGTTGACTCACGAACGACAAACAATATTGTCATAAAGAACTATAGTTCAGAGTGTTTGAAAGAAAAAGAACCAGAACTGAAATCCGTGAATTTAAACTCAGCTTCAAACGCTAACGCTACATCAGATGTTAAGTTAGAGTATCCACCACTGGACCAAATTCTTTCAAGAGAAGCCAACGACAACCCTTACACAAATGTTCAAACAAATCCTTCAGATAACGTAGACCATTACCTTCTTCAGTTATACCAAACAATTTTACTCAAAGACGATAAGAAGCTTTTGACAAATCTTATAAGCAAGAACCAAATAATTCTAACAAAGGAGGACCTTGAAAATGTTATCTCACGAATAACAGGGAAACAATGTGTCATTGACTATCTCGACCCTGAAATCGAATGCTGTGGTCAAACTCCACTATTCATGAAAATAGGTAACATCCGCATCATTGAAACACCAGGAACTACAGGAGTTGAGTTTAAGTATAAATATTCGAACGAGTATACAAAACTTTCAACAGAATATAAACTTTGCTTGAAATATGTTTTAGTAAATTAAAGCAATTTGTAATATCTATCCAAAACTTCTTCAACAGTATCGAACTCATCTTCATAATGCAAACCTAATCTTATTGACTTGGTGCAGTTTTCACTAACACAATATTTTTCTGTTCTCTTGACTGACATAACTAACTCATTTGTTTCATCAAACAGCAACAACCAAAGTTCATGACCTAATACATAACATTCATACTTTATATTTTTAGCTCTGAGTTCTCTTGTAAGCTGTTGCATTTAATATTTTCTAAAAAGTCAACTTCAACAGTCATTCGCACTGGTGCCTTCAGTTCTACAGGCTCTCCTTGAAAGTCAACAAGTCTGAATTGCATGTCTTTCAAATTATGAGGACTAATGCGAACCCATTTACCTAAATGAGTTGCTATGACAGGAACGTTTGGAATGAACATTGAATTGACTGCATAACAGAAGGATTTATACTCTACTGAACCTTTACTATTAACTCCTGAAATGCCTGTGACATTAGCTATTTTAGACTCAATGTATAAACAATTGCCATAACATACGTATGGAACAGATTTCATCTCAATCGTTTTGTCAACACTTTTCAAAGGAAATGTCATATGGTATGCTCCTAAAAGAAGTTGAACTCTATGACTCATTCGTGTTATCTTAAACTCTTTCTTGCTACTGAACTTCAATGTTCCCTCAGAAGAGAGTTCGACATCTATGTTGTCAATAGTTTCTTCATTTATGAGAGTATCTATGACTCCAGCAATTTTATCTATTCTATACTCTGCTCTGTTAGGAAATGTTATAAAACTTCTTTTGTCATCTATTTCAATCTCTATGAAATCTGTTTCATCTGTTATGACAAAAGTTGCGATAGTATTAAAGTCAACAACTCTGAAAGCAAGCGCTTCATTCTGAAGTCCTAAGTTTGTTTGTAGCTTTACTGTCCCGTATTCGTTTGGGTCTGTACTTTGCAAATAGAACAACATTTTATTCTCATTAAAATATGACTATTGCTGCATATGCGTATGAAACAAATGAAGCAAGAAGAGCACATGAACTAGTAAACGAAAACTCAACTTTAACCATTGAAGGCAATGATTTAGTCATTGACGATGGAAAAAAAAAAAAGTCATTGATTTCGATACTTTTAACACTTATGACCCATTCATTACAATAAGTAAGTTCCTATCATAAATGATGGAACGGTGCAATATATAAATTCTACAGTAGATGCCTCATTAGTGAAAGTATTAAATGTTCTCATTGAATTGTTAAAGAGCTTTCGATTTGACGACAACATTAAATGCCTAAAGAATTTAGTCATGAATGAGAAACAAATTCTCGGCGTTGCTGGTAGCAGTAATGATGTACACCTTATGACATTAGAATATTATAACGAACATAAAGATGAACTGAAAGGAGAGAAGGGTGACACCGGACCACAAGGACCACAAGGAATACAAGGAATACAAGGACCTCAAGGCGAGAACGGTTTGGATGGAAAGGATGGAAAGGATGGAAAAACTGCTAAATCATGGATATGGGACCTTATAAATACTGGTTTAACAGCTGCTTCATATGGAGTTCTTCAATACCAAATCGGAAAGATATGGGCAGTACTTGGTGAAGAAGCTTTAGATGACGTTAAAAATGCTTTGAACTTCATTTCAAATGGTTCGGATACTATTAAAACTTTATCTGGTTGGATGCAAGAAACAAGGAGTCAAATAGATACTGTAAGACGTATAGCAAACAATGCACGTACTGGATTGGATACTTTACGAGAAGCACAAAATACACTAAAGGAAGCAAATGATATTCTTGGCTCAGTATCAGACATGCATGAAGATTGGCTTAAAGGTATTGACAAATCTTTAAAAAATCACAGTCAGTCTATTGCTGACTACAAGAAAAGTATAGATTTTTTACATAGTGCTATGGACGTACATGATGGAAGCATAAGGAACTTACTTAATGCTAACAATAACTTACCAGGAACTATTAAAGCATTTATAAAGTCCTTTGTAAAACCCGGTGCTCTAACATTTAGGTCTTTGAGAGCAAGAGCATTGAAGTCAAGAGATGCAGAAACTCCAACAGAACCTACAGAAGGAACTGAAACAACAGAAACTCCAGAAGAACCACCAAAACCAACAGCTAATGAAATATTGTTCGAATATTTTCCAAGGTACTCTGTTCTCATTGCATACATTCAAGAAATACTTAAGAAAGCAGACTTGACTTTAGGAGATGATGAAAGTTCTGTATATCTTTCGTTCCAGTTTCAAATAGCAGAACTTTTGAGACAGATATGCTTAATGTATGACAACATCTCTGATTTCACAAGATATGATGACGACCATGACCCCGAACACGGTGAAGAAGAAGTTTTACAAACATCCATTAAGACAGGAAAGGTTTTAACTCAAAGTCTCATTATTGACACCAAAGATGGCGAAGTGGACGTTCTTCAAGAGCTGAAGAAAAATACTTCTTCGGGAGGTGGTGGTAGGCATGAACTTGAAATAAATGAGATAGAAGAGAAATTAGCCGAAAAAGCAGATAAAGAACATAAACACAATATCTCCGATATAAATGAACTTCAAGCTACATTAAATAGTAAAGCGGACAAGAACCACGTTCATTATATAACTTCAGACGAACAGATTATAACGGACTACCATGGATATTTAACACGAAGTGATGAAGCGAAGACAAAAAATGTTAATGAAAGAAGATATAAATACATTCGTGCTAAAGGTTATGACATAAGCTGTACTGTACAGTATGATGTAGCTAAAGCACCAGAAGCATTTGGTTATACCGGTGAAATTTATGCCTCTACTTTCAATGTTAACGGTGTATTAGTTGAACCAAGATTTACTTTGAGAGTTAAGTCAAAAATAACGTTTGAAGATGCTATTAAAAGTAAAGCTGACAAAGTTGAACTCGAAGCAATGAACAAAGTTTTGAAATCTCATAAACACAACATCTCCGATATAAATGAACTTCAAGCTACATTAGACAGTAAAGCTGACAAGAACCATACACATAAATCCTTCACTACTGTTAGAGCAGACGACATAATATTGAACTTTGACCTTGGTTCAAGTGCACCATTAGAAAATCCAAATACAAGCGTAAAAGATACTCTTAACAATTTAGATAAGAGTTGCAGGAATATCGAAGATCATGCCAGAAACTTTGAAGCATATGAACTACCAGCAATGTTAGATAAGAAAGCTGACAAAACAGAGCTTCAAACATTAAAGACAGAAATACTTCAAACATTATATCCCATTGGTTCTATTTATACGTCAATGAACTCAACAAATCCAGCAACAGTTTTAGGTTTTGGTACATGGCAGCAGATTGTAGACAAATTCTTATACTGTGCTAACTCTTCAAAGCAAACAGGAGGTTCGAAGAAAATTACTGAAGCAAACCTTCCACCGCACACTCATACAGGAACTACAAACTTTTCTGGCGACCATAGCCACTCATTAAGAGACCACCCATTATACAACTCAGAGTATGAAGCTGGCAATGACGTTTTATCTCCATCTTATAACAATGCAGCAAAAAAGACTTTTCGACCAACTGAACCAGGAGGAAATCATTCACATACTTTCACAACAAATCCAACAGGCTCGGGTGCAGATTATATGCCACCATTTGTGACTATATTCGCATGGTACCGCGTTCAATGAACGCGCTTGAGCCTGCTTTGCGGGCTTACCGTCTTGAATAAAATCTTTAACTTTACATAAATGAGCTTGAAAGAAGTATTCGAACAACATCCATGGAGGTCATTTAAGAAGTTCAATGAAGCTGCAAAGAGTTGGGGATTTACTAACAGAGCTGAAGTTAAAAGGTTCTTTGACAAAAATGTTGTACATCAAACAAAAATAAACCCTTACGACTACTTTTTACCAATTTACTCCAACGCTCCTGACGCATACCAATTTGACACTCTCATTCAAAGCAGAAAAGGAGGACATAAACCATTCCTCATCTTCATTAATGTTAACACTCGCAAAGTATATGCATATCCAATGAAAAATAAAGGAACTCGTGAAGTGTTAAGAGTTTTACAAAAGTTTGTAGCAGAACATAGCCCAAGTACTTTAACATCAGACCAAGACAGTGCATACCTCAGCAATGAAATCACAGATTTTCTCATTAAGCATAACATAACTCACTACACTACTGAAGACCATAACCATAACATACTCGGCATCATAAACCGCTTCATAAGGACGCTCAGAGATTTAAACCAAGAGCGAGACTTTACCGAAGAAACAATGAAACATTTTCTCGAAGTATATAATTCCTCAACGCATTCTACAACAGGACATACACCAAATTCAATGACACAACAACAAGAAGAAAAGTATATACAAAAGAAACGAAGTCAAACGCAAAATATCAGAAATTCAACACAATTTACCCTCATTCCTGGAACAAAAGTTCGTGTAGTTCTTGACGACAAACCGTTGACAAAGAAACGTTTAAGGTTAAGTCGAAATTATTATATCGTAGACTCTACGCAAGGTAATGGATATCTTATAAAAGCTGCTGACGACTCTATTGCGTTTTATCCTCGTCATAAATTAGTCGAAAGTAGTAATGGCAAACTTGCTGAAACCATTGACGAAGCAAAGCGAGGAGTGGTTATTGAAATACTTGACTACAACATAAACGATGACACTTATAAAGTAAGATATGAAGGAGGTGTTGAAGATGTTATACCATCTAAGAACTTGAGAGAGTCAAAGCCAACACATCTGGGACCATTAGAGCGGGAGTACTGGAAAGACAAAAATATACCAGAAAGAATAAGAAAATTCTTCTAAACTTTTTCATTAGATGTAAATCAGACAAAATATATTTTAGGTGAAGAGGTGAGATCTCACCTGTTTTCTAACATGGTCTAAAACACACAAAACTCATGAATTTTGTGTGTTTTCACAAAAGACCAAAAATAATGTTTAGGTGAAGAGGTGAGATCTCACCTGTTTTTTCACCTGTTTTTTCACCCCCGTGAATTTTCATGAATTTTCACAAAAGACCAAAAATAATGTTTAGGTGAAGAGGTGAGATCTCACCTGTTTTTTCACCCCCGTGAATTTTCATGAATTTCCTTAAGACAGAAAAAATAAAGTTAGTTTTATTTTATTTATTTTTTTTATTTTGTATAAAAGATATGATTTCAACAATCGGCACAACAGCAATACAAACAACAGCAATACAAACAACAGCACCAAACTCGTTAGTCATGAATCCAACATCTATGTTAGTAGAAATGAAAAGCTTCATTCCTTCTTCATATACTTTTGAAACAGAAATCCAGAAGATAAAGCAAGAACTTTTAACAAGTAATTTAGACTGTAGTGCGAAAGATGAAGAAAATGAAGAATATCTTTATGAAATGCAGGACATTATTGACCATTTACCCAAATTGCCTGAAATCCAACAACAAAAACTCACTATTCCTGAATTCGACGAAATTGAAGTGAAACCAACTGACTCAGTAGAAATAAAGAAGTTCATACGTAAAGTAAATTATGAATTCCTTGGTTTTCATTGCAACCATAAGGTTATGGACAAAGATTGCGACATGGTATATAAAAACATTTCTGACATATATAAATCTGAGGAGTTTAAGACTTACGATAACTTTGTTTCATTAGTTGCAAAATGTGTTTGGGAAATAAGAGATAAAGATAGAAGAGGCAAAGTATGGAACGAACAAATAAGACCCGCTATGTTTGAGATGAAGAGAGCAATTGACGCTTTAGTTGTTTTAGCTGGTTTTATTTCAATGTATAACGCAAAAATGAACCCGCAATGTTCAAAATGTAAAGCAGGAATAAGAAAATATAACTACTCAGTCAAAGAGATAGAAAGAATGAGAAACGACTATGCAGACTTAAAGAAAGAAGCAGAAAAGCCAGCAGAAGATAAAATGAACATGTTAGAATTTCTGAACAAAAACTATCCAACAGCAGAAGATTTCCTTCTATCTGACGTCAAGAAGAAGTATAAAGAAACCTTCGGTATTGTTAAAACTTTTGACATACTGACAGAAGAAATAGAAGCTACGAAATTGTTTAGGATTTCAAATATACATCGTACAATTCATGTAAAACGCTTGTGAAAAAAGAGGTGAAAAAACAGGTGAGATCTCACCTCTTCACCTCAATTATATTTTTGGTCAAAGCTTCCACGAGAGAAAAGATTCCTCATTCGCTAAGGATTCCAAAAATGAAAAAATCATTGATTTCGGCTGAGAAAAAAAGAAAAAACAGCAAAACCCTTCTTCCACGGGAACAAAGAAATAAAGAAGAAATAAAGTAAATTTTTATTTTTCCCGTGGAAGATAGAGCACTTTTATGACACTTTTTATTCACGACAAACAAGACAACAAAGAAAATAAGAAAATACGGCGCTGTCGCGGTTCGAACCACAGACTCTGACCCCTCCATAACACCACCTTAGACCACTGTGCTACGTAGCCTGTCGACATAAGATTTTATAAATTGCATATTTGACGTAAATTTATTTCCATCTAGCTTCCCACCGAATAAGATATTCATACGTGTTTGTAAGACATTCATTAAACTTCTTTTCTATTGCATCTAATCTTGCGTTATTTTTTTCAATAACTTGTCTGTATTCTTCATCATCTCCAGCAGTGTTTGGGTCTTCACGTTTAAAATATTCATTGTTAACCAATTTTTTATCTACAAATTTTATTAGTGTTTGATTCACTTCGTTATGATAACGGTCATATTCTTTCAATACGTAAGTGAAGACAAAAATGCGTCGTACCTTCAATCTTAAAGCTTAAAGAACTTTCAACACAGTTTTGAGGGTCTGTCAGTGCGTCAATGAGATAGTATTCGAAGTCAGTCAATAATCTTTTTAAAGTCATTTCATACAGGATAAAATTTAATGTTGTGAAGAAATAGTGTTTATCTCAGAAAAAATAACGCTAATTTTATTTTTATTTATTTTTTTATTTTGTATGTAAAGACAGTAATGTCAACATTAGAGAACACAACAACTGCTATCGTTCATGAAGCTATAAATGAAGAATACGAGTACATACAATATAACAAACAGTTACGTCTCATTCGTTCAGTCAAAGATGACATGTACCAAATGCAAAGTATTTTGACAGCATGTTATGCTCCAGATACTAAACTTCCTAAAGACTGGTTTAGGAACCAAAGCACTATTGAACTATTAAATGAAGCACAGCGAGACATACTTTTTTCTGAAAACAGTGAAGAACAGCGAGTAGGTAAAAAACCCAGTCGCCAAAACTCTATGAAAATCGTGAAAAATTGCCAAACGGTTTGAGAGGATATTATATTCATAGACTTCTCGTAAATGCTGTAGCAATGTGGGCTTCACCTCGTTATGCTTGGTATGTTTGTAAACTTCTTGACGAAATTCACAGACAAGAACGCGAACAGATGGAAAAGAAACTTCAAGCAAAAGATGAAGTCATTGAATCCAAAGAAAAAGCATACAGAAAAGAATACCGCGTTCAGTACCAAAAGGAAAGGAAAAGAGTTATAAGTATTGATATATACTGAAGAGTTGGAGAAAGAAGAAGACAGAGATATGGTTATGTTGCATTTAGTCAGAAGAAACAACAAAAGCTTTTATGACCTTGCTAAGATTTACAAATCTGACAGAAACTGGTTCTATCGTGAAAACTTACCGATTTCAATGACACCGAATGAGCAAATAAAGGAAATTGTCAAAAGTACTCTTCCTCAAACACACTATGACATCAAAGGTTGCACAATACTTACATTCAAAGAAGACTTACCATTGTTAAAGGAAAAAATAACAGAGTATTTCGATAACTTCAAAGAGGAAGAATGAAAATCTAAGCTAATTTTATTTTTTTTATAAAATTTTATCTCATATGAAAGAACATGAATTTAGAATATTCGGAACTCATGACAGAAGAGAGAACGAACAACATGTAAAAGATTATGCAAAATTTCTGAAGACATACAAAGCATTTAAACAATATCTAAATGCTTCTAAAGATTATGCAAAATTTCTGAAGGTATATAAAGCTTATGAAAAAGCGTATGAAAAGTTTATACATTGGGGAATTGTTGTAAAAATATCCATATGATACTAACCAAAAATATATTTTTGCTTAAATAGCTTCAGGGTCTATTTCTTCAACCATTTCACTTCCTTCGTCAATGTCAATAGAAGCTTCTTCAACCTTTGGTAAGAATTTCTGTATAACATCTTTGTTCGTTATTGTCTTCAGAGATGAAGGATAATATTTCACATTTGTTTCACCCTTCTTATATTCTTTCTGTTCGGAAAGATTCATAGCAATACTGAAGAAGTCAATGTTAGAGTTCTTTATGACAGTATAATGAGTATCTTTGACATTCACGAAGAAACTCTTTTGTTTCAAAACTACTGCTAACTCTTGTGAAGTATAACGTTTGCGGTCAATGACAATAGCTAATGGTCTGACATACTGACCAAACTTAGATTCTTTCACAAACTTCTTGTTAAAGATAACATTAACGTTTGAAGCACCATTGAACTCATTCTTGATGGCATTAGCGAGAGCATTGTATGAAAAGAACTTGCAATCTTGCATGTGTTTCATTATAATAAAAATATTAAATTATTTTGAAAAATAACTTAAAAAAATCTAATCTAATTTTTTCAAAAATATTTTTTTTATTTCCTACTAAAGATGTATCGGAAGTTGTCTAAGTTAGAACACTCGGAAATAAAACAACTTCTTACAGAAGCTAACATAGATGTTGCAAAGCATTACGCAACAAACAAAAAAGCACTCGCTGACTTCATTAAAGACTATAATGGTGCAATAAGTTATGATAGAATTCATGAGTTCATAAAGCCGCAACGCGGCGAGGACGAAGTCCATGCAATAGCATTTCCTTTAAATGACGTTGCTATTGACTTATATCATAGACGTTCAGTACCTCATGAAGTAAGAAGAGAAATGTTTGACATAACAAATGCAAACGTTGGTCATACTCGTAAAGCTCTTTCGCATGATGTTCGTCAAGAAATGTTTGACATAACAAATGTAAACGTTGGTCATACTCGTAAAGCTCTTTCGCATGATGTTCGTCAAGAGATGTTTGACATAACAAATGCAAACGTTGGTGAAACAAGAAGAAGAGACGACACACTGAAACAACAGAGAAGAGAGATGTTTAAAAGTGCTATAGAACAAGTTCGTAAAGCTAACGATGTCATTCGTTCCATTGACGACAAACCAAAAGAAGGTGAGAGATGGTTAAAGAAAGATGAAGAGAATAGGAAGAGAAATGTGAAGTCAGGCAATAGACTCATTGACTTTAACATCGAAGCTTTAGATGAACCAAACAGAGACTACTTACACAAACATTTCGGTAAGGTTTTCATGAGACTCTTAGAGAAGATTAAAATAAACTCCAACAAAGATGGATGGTATGTTATAAACTTGGTGGAAAGTATGAATGTTCTACGTTAAACCTCAATAATATTGGAACATTACTACATCAGCTCTTGAAGGAGAACTTTATATCAGAGATAGAAGCAAATGCTGCAGGTATTGTTGAAATGCACTATGACTTCTTCTTGACAAACATAAAGAATCTTACTGAAATAAAGATGTATGATTTAACAGAATATGAAGGCTTAACGATGTCAGATGTAAAGAAAGGCAAACCAAAAAAGAGACCATATAGAGATGAAAGCACACTGACAAATGACCAGAAAGCCATTTTGGAAGCTCTTAAGCAAACAGGAAACCCAGCACTTATAGAAAGCTTTTGGAAAGATAATGGTGAAAAGAAGTTTTATAAGAAGAGAAGCGGTCAGTTCTGGAAGTATCTTTGCACATTACCTATAAATCTTGAACGCTACCAAATCTTCAATGAACTGAACAAAAGAACTGCAACACTTATGACAGAAGACAATTGTTTCGTTTATGCTTGCATTCAGGCTGGAGTAGATGAGAGACTATTGACCACATGAGAGAAGTCATTCGTGTTAGAGACTTTCCTCAAAGTAAAGTACAAGAAATTTCTGACAACAGGTATAGCATTTAATGTTACCATTGGTTATTTCAATGACTCAAGACATAATGAAATAAAGAGATACATACCAAAAGAATGTAAACTGTTCGAACTATTGACTTACTTCTTGTTGAAGACCACTACATGCTAAACGAAAGATTACCAATGACAACATATTTCATTCGCATATAGAAATCTTGAAGGAGTGTGGTGGAATGAACATTGAGAAACAATGAAGATTTATACAAAGAGAGAAGATAAATATGTAGTTCGTTATGATAGAACAACACCGTATGGGATGTTATGAAAACATTGTGGGAGTGCAAATATTTCGAACCTATTTCTTATGGAGAACTTTTCACATATACGACTGACTTATATAAACAGAACCTTGCACCATTTAAAGATTTGACATATGCTCCAAAGTATTGTGTACAACTGAAGAAGAAAGCAGAGTCAAAAGAAGTAAATAAAAATAAGTGCAAGTTCATTCCTGAGCACGTTTTCTTTGCTGACTTTGAGTGTAGTACGATGGCTTTCATAAAGCTTTTAACATCTGTTATGACAGTGAAGATGGTTCAGTGAGTGAAAGCATTGGGGTCAAACTGTGCAACAGAATTTTTGGAGCGACTTCCTGACAAGAGTTTAATATATTTCCATAACCTCAGTTATGATATAAACTTCATCTTAAGACACATGACAGAAGTGAAAGGAACTCCCATCATTAAAGGTTCACGAACAATGCAAATAACTGGCTTATATAAAGGAAGGGCAATTATTATAAAAGACTCTTACAGTGTTATAAATAAGAAGCTTAAACTATTTCCTGCTATGTTTAACTTACAAACAGGACCGAAAGAAGTATTTCCATACAACTACTACAGCAGTGTTTTGTTAGCAAATGACAACAGAACTGGTGTCATTTCTGAAGCATGTAAGTTTATCCAGGATGCAGATACGTTCATGAAAACATAGATTCCATCAAAGGTTGCAGAATAGATGAAAACCACTTCGACTTAGAAAAGTATAGCACATTTTATTGCAAACAAGATGTAAGAATTTTAAGAGAAGGTTTTGTTAAGTTCCGCAATGACATATTGAAAGAATTTGATTTAAACGTTTATGACTACGTTAGTATTTGTTCTATTGCTAACAAATTATTTGAGAACAGAGTGTACTTCCCGAATGGAAATTTATATGACCTCTCAAATAAACCAAGAGAATTTATTTCGAGATGCATTCAAGGTGGAAGATGTATGTTGTCAGATAACATGAAACAAAAGAGCGAAAAGAAACTCATTGCTGACTTCGACGCTGTTTCATTATATCCATCAGCTATAGCAAGACTTTATACTTTAGAAGGATTCCAAAGTATTGAAGAAAGAAATGTTAAGCACAGAGTATCTCATGAGACATTTATTCGATGACGACCAAAAGGAACCCATTGGTGAAAAGTTTATGTCTGGCTTCTTTGTTCTCATTAAGATAACAGAGATTGGAATACATAGACACTTTCCTTTAATAGTTTGTGACCCTGAACTAAATCCAGAACTTAACGTTCCCAGAAGTTCAAACACTTGCTGTTTAATGTATGTTGACCATATAACATTACAAGACCTCATAAAATATCAAGGTGTCAAATGTGAAGTGTTGCAAGGATACTATTACGATGGAAACAGAGATATTAGAATAAGAGATGAAGTAAAGAAGTTGTTTGAGTTAAGGTTAAAGTATAAGAAAGAAGGAAATCCTTTGCAAGAAAATATAAAGCTCATTCTGAACAGTATTTATGGCAAAACTATTCTATCTCCTATTGAGTCAAAAATAACCATAGTAAATGACAAAGATGCTATAAGATATGCCATCAGAAACTACAACCATATAGTGAAGTTCGAAGGTTTGGATGGTTCAGATAAAACTATTTTCAAGCTAACGAAAAGCATTTGCAGACACTTTAACTTCTGTCCACTTGGTGTTAACATTCTGTCTATGTCGAAGAGAATAATGTGTGAAGTATTCTGTACTGCTGAAGATATGGGACTTCAAATATTTTACCAGGACTGTGATAGCATGCATATTTTCAATGAAGACATACCAAAGCTTGCAGCAGAGTTTAAGAAGAGATACGGTCGCGAACTTATAGGAAAGAACCTTGGTCAATTTCATTCTGACTTCGCAGAAATAACACCTGGAAAACAAAGTTTAGCATACAAGTCAATATTTTGTGGAAAGAAGACTTACATAGACTTACTCACGAATGATTTAAATGAAGTTGCATTTCATGCACGTTGCAAAGGTGTCAAACAAGACGTCCTTGCTTTAACAGCAAATGAAATGTTTCCTGAAGCTATACAATGCTATTACAATGAAGATAAGAACATTCACATACCTGTTGGAACATATGACAAAGACTCTGAGTTCAGTTTAATGAAACTTTACAAAGCACTTCATGATGGTCAAGAGATTGGATTTGACTTATGTAAGTCATGTCAACCTTGCTTTGCTGAAAAGTTTAACTTCTCAATAACGAATAAAACAAGATTTATTCGTAAGTTGAAGTTCTGAGGTCATGAATGAGGTCATTCGTGATAAAAATAATGAGGTCATATATTTTTGTCATTTATGTATAATCATTGTCTCTCTTAAACTTTGCAATAGACAGCTTTGTTCTTCTTCCTTCTACATCTGTAATGTTTATATAATCTTTGTTATACTGTCTTAAGACATTCATTCGTCTGTATTGAGTTCCCATGAAATAGTAAAAGGCATCTTCACTTGGGACATAGTAGTAGTTCTCTAACGTGTGATATGAGTATTGTATAATTTCAACAGCGTCTTCAGGAAGAGAGTCAACAATGTCAAACCAATAGCCATTTGAACCAGAAATATTTCTCATGTTTTCTCTTCTTGTCGTCCATCTTAAGTTCGAGATATGAAAGTCTCCTCTGTCTCTGTTTATATGGTCTACTTCACGAAGTCCTTCAGGGTTCGGAATGAAAGTTTCTGCAACTATTCTATGTTTCATCAGCTTGTGTTTGTTTAAATTTACACAAATATAACCATCTCCTTGGTCAAACTCACTAACAACTCTTTTATTGCTTATACGTCTAATTGGATAAGGGTACTCTGAAAAGATTTCATAGTCATTGTCATGTTCGAGTGTTTGCCAATGTCCTTCACCTTCCATGCCTTTCACTCAAATAAAAATTTTCAGAAAAAATAAAACTAGCGTAGATTTTACAATACAGCGATTGTAGAGTTTAAGAGTTGTGCTTCAATGTAGAGACAGTCCTTATGGTCTGGAGGTAAGAACACTGGGCAGTTATGGTCATGAGTGGAGAACATGTCTATCCAAAACTCACGATTGAAGCCAGTTAATTTATAGTATTTAGGGTTAGGAAGTGGTGTAGTTCTTGTATGACCAATGAACTCATTTTCAACTCCCTTACTTAAGTTTGAATATAATATAGCTTGCTTTCTATCCCAAATGCCAGGTGTTACAATCTTTGAAAATTCATTTTTCCTCGGAAGCATTGCATCATAATTGAAAACATTCTTGAAATCATCACTTGGTTCAGAGATTTGAAACCTTATACGTAATGGATTTTCTTTCTCTTTAGCGACTTCATTGAATGGTGAATATATAACAAACTGACAGTCATGTGTTCCATCTTCATTTTCATTAAATTCATAATGAAAGTCTATAAGTTGTGGCTGACTACCTTCTTCTTTCAGTTGTGCAAGAAACTCACGCAAAGGCTGTAAAGTTTGTACTTCAATGTTAAACTTTTTCTCGAACATCTCATTAAATGAAATCATACATTGCAACAATGTTGTATCGTCTTTAAAGTATTTGTATATGTGAATGTTTTGGGCGCTTAAAGACTGTTCGTCATTTTCTATCTCGACTTGAAGTATAAAGTCAACTTTCCTAAATGCACGTGTTATATACATAGATGTTATGCCAATGTACTTCTCTTCATTTATGTTCACAATCCAGTCTGTTGGAAACTTAAACGTTACTCTGTTCCCCTTTATTTTGACGTCAGGGTTTTCACTACTGAACGCAACAGTTAAAGGTATTTGTCTATACATTTAATTCGGATAAAAATAAACCATTTACTCTTTCTTTGCTTCAGCTTCTTTAGCTTTTGCTTCAGCTTCTTCTCTAGCTTTCTTCGCCAGCAAACGTGGGTTCTTTGTCTTCCAGCAGCTAATGCAGCAAGTTGTTTTTCACTAAGTTTTCTCTTTGGTCTCTCTGGCTTTTGTTCTTGTTTTTGTTCCTTCAGTTCGGATAAAATTTGCTCGCGAATTTCTTTCTTCAATGCTTCAACATCTATGACCCCTTGGGTCTTGTCCGTAGGGTTGTCTGAGTCATTTGACTGCAGATAAAAAACAAAATTAAAACTTTAACCGATGTAAAATGAGCTTGTCAAAATCAGAGCGAGAGTCTATTATATTAAATGACGCAAGAGGAATACAACATCCTTTCTATTACGTAAGTCAGAGTAAAGATGGTAAAATATATGTAAGAAAAAGAAAGGTTCCATTAGCGAATGCAGAAAGCGACAACATTAATGTGCATGGCAAGGGTGAAGCCCATATAAAACCTTCTATTCAAACTGAAAAGTCAATAGAACAAGAAGAAAAGAAGCCAGATGTTCTTTCAATAACGAACCAAGAGCTTATTGCAAAGTTCGTGAATTTCATTGAAAAACAAACCGAGTCAAAGAACCTGACCCACCAGTGAAAGAAGTTGAGACAAAAGAGAATGTACAGTTCATTGAAAATGTCAAGAAACAACTTCCACCACGAATGCCAAGAAGAAGAGTGAGAATAATGAAGTAAATAGATATTTTTATCCGAAGTAAATACATGCAGAACGAACAGTTAAACGAATTTACTCCAGCAGAGCATATTCATCAGATTCGCTCATATTTCGATATCATAGACAATGCAGTTCAAATTGGTGACACTAATAGAAAATATTCTGACGCAAAGATTCCATCACAACCTGGAACTGCTAAAGATAACACATGGGTAACATTCAATCTCTCACCTCCTGGTGAAAATATGTTGGACCTTTACAATACATTCATTACGTATAAAATGGAAGGTCAATTTATTGTAGATAAAGAAATTGGTTCAGGTTCCAATAAAACAAACCCACCAGGATTTTGGATTGGTTTCGATGACGCTTTCTATGCAGTTGCTGGATATCAAATCCTTGCAAATGGTCGTATCGTATATTCTCAAGACAACGCAAGAGAAGAAGCATATATAACTTCAAACTCACAAACTACCGAACAAATAAAGAAAGTAGATGTTTTCTCAAAGACTCGACATGAAGATGTATGGAGTCATTCGGGAACATGCAGAACAGGACAAATTGTTAGTGGTCCAATTACAGCAGGAAAATCATTTGATTTTAAGCTTCGTTTAAGAATTCCTGTTAGAAATTTTCCATTAGAAGCTATTCGATTTATTCCAGCTTTTTGCAGGAAACATTCAGCTTAAAGTAAAGTTCAGTAGCGACGCCTTACAATGCACATCTATATCTGTAAATGATATCATTGCTTTCAATCCAACTCTTAAAGTTGCATTTGCTTCAGATTCAAATCCACCGACAAATAAATTTGTTCCATGGAATGAACCATTCACTATGATAACGAAGGCAGTAGAAGCTAGTGGAACAGTTACTATTACAACTGTAACCCAGCAACTATTTCGAACAAAGATGGATTTTAATGAATGTTTCATTCATCCAAAGTCATTCTCTTTAGACCCTAACATTTATACAGAACTTGTAGAACATTATACAAACGAGGCTTTATGTTTTCCTGTTAAAGTTATGGATTGGATTCCTATGGACGGTTCATTCTCAAAGAATACAGATAGTTCAAGTGCAACATTTACAGCAGCTTATACGCCTATTAATGTTAAAAGTATTTGGGCACTATTTAGAAAGAAAGACAACTATTATGTTAATTTTGAGAACCCTAAGTTTAAATATCTTCAGCTTTCCATGGGAGCTTATGGAAATATGCCTGCAGAACCTGAAAAATCATATGGACCTGTATTTTATGAAATGGTTGCGAACGCTTGCAATACAAACAATGATATGATAGGATTTAATGAAGATGTTATGAGGTCATTGGTGGATGATGGTAGTGTGGAACATAAATGGGATAGCTATGACAACACACATTTCTTATGTGGTTTTCCAACAGAAGTGGACTTTTGCTTCCAGCAAGGTCAAACATCTACTGCTCCAATAACATACAAATTGTCTGTTAAAGGACCTATTGAACTAGCAACTGAAAATGTACCAAAGCCACTTATTGGATTTATGAGGGATTGTTGCTTTGCCATTCAGGTGCGTGCTAATGGAATCCCAATAATAAGATTAGATGACTATAACTTAGCTACGGACGACAGTGAGGAATAAAGGATGAACGTTTATTTTTAAAGCTTATAAATGAGTTCTTCATCAAGCTCTCGTGAACCTTCACCATCTATGAAACAAACTTTACCAAACGATTATGGAGCACCTATTGAATATTTCTTACGAGCTGCACAATGGCAAAGAGCAGTCTCACCAAGGTTAGGTGTTCCACCAGCTCCTGTCAAAAATAGCATTTGGTCAAGTCCTTATATAAAATATGGTCTCCCACTAGGTTTGCTAGCTACAGCAGGAGCAGTTATGATGTTGAAAAGAAATAAAGCAAATGTTGTAAATAATACTGAAGTAGCTGAAGTTAAACAAACTCCAACACCTTCACAAGCAAAACCTTCAATGGCTCCTGAACCTATGGAAGTACAAACTCCTGTTCAAAAGTCAACTCCTAAACCGACTCCAACATTTAAACCAGAACCTACTCCTCAAATAAATCGTAAAACTCCTGCGTTTCCTTACTGAAAAATAACGTTATTTTTATTTAATATTAAAATTTTTATTTGATTGAAATGACGACTAAAGTCACTGAAGCAATGAAACAAAAGTTTTTGGTAGAATACATTAAATCAGGAACTATTCCAGAAGGTTTTTACGTTCATACTATGAAGGATGGTAGAGTTCAGTTTAGAAAGATAAAGCAACCATTAGATAAAGAAGGAATTTTGAGAAAGATTAAACTTCATGAGGACAACATTGCTGAACTTAAGAAGAAGTTAGAAGAGTTATAAAGCAATGAATTCAAGTGGGTGAAAAAAGAGGTGAAAAAAGAGGTGAGATCTCACCACTTCACCTAAATTTATTTTTGTGCTATGTTTTCATACGTGTGAGGGTGGTGATATCATTAATTTTTAAGTTTATTTTTTAAAATTATTTTTATTTTATTTTTATATAAATGACGAAAACTATTGAGATAACAAACTACAACGGTCATGAGTTCAAGAATTTGTTCTTCGTTCCTCGTGAAAATACATTCTATCAGATACGAGGGAGAAAGGGTAAAGTTAGTTTGAGCGTTTATGACTACAAGCATAATGGAAAGTTTATACAAGCATACGATACAAACGGTAAGCGTGTTTCATTAGCTTTGTCAAAACTTACTAACATTTATTTTGACAGTGACTTTGACCTATATGAAGAAGAAAGTGAGTCAGAAGATTATGAGCTGTTATGTGAAGCACAGCAATGGGAGGAGTTGCAATACTTTTGTAAGTGAGAACGTTTATTTTTTACATTAGTGAAGTCGTTAGCGAAAACGTTAGTGAGGTGAAGTGGTTGGCGGCTTTGTAAATATTTAAGGTTAAGTTAGTGTTGTCGTTTGTGTTGTAAAATATACGTTAACGGTTTTGTAAAGTGTCAAATTCACAAGTATTGGGTAAGATGGAACGCAGTGCCACCGTACCCATGACTTGTATACTAACTATCTCCCACCCTCTAATTCC